CATATGTATTAGATTGTCCCCTATAAGGCTGGCTTTGATATCCCCTATCACTTAGATTATCCTACGTCCATCAACGATTAGTTAGTTTTATATACTAACCACTTACTTGTACATGAGTGAATGATAATCGTTGATGGATGTGCAATATCTCACAATCGATCATCAACAACTATTCAATTTTCTCTTCTAACGTATATGATTGGCGGAAAACGTTGATTAATTTGAGCTGTACAATAAATAAGACCTCTTAACCAATGTCAATTACTCACATTGATCGCCTATCAAGCATAAGTGTTGGTTTGTCATGTCTCTTACATCGATCAACATCTATGAGTTGCTCACACTGACACAAGTAAAGATGCTTGTCATTAGCAAAGGACAACAAGCATCTAAAAGATCATGCTAAGATTATTGCTTGAATTGTAGGGGTCTCCCATCTCCACACAAAATCGGGGGCAGTAATCTTCGACATATCAAAAGCATTTGCAAAATGAAGGAGACAAGCATATCAAACAAACTCTGCCCAATTCATGTTAGAGGTCAAAGTAGGCAATAGGGGGCCCTTTTCTCAAACTATAGCATATGACCACAAGCTTTGTGATGCATATTCTATTCCAATTCTGATAATGGTTTCACATTAGGACATGTAGGCAAGAGAGTAGGACCATATAGCAAACCATTCGCGTGACGATAAGCTGTTGACTAACATATCCTTATCGAACAACCCCCCACCACACGATGACTTTCTGCAAATTCAAACCCCCCAAACCAATTGAGAATCAAGTGTTTGATAAGGAACCCTAATTTTTTATATCAGCAAATAGTATTTGTAAAGATACAACAGTCAGCACCATGTGTATTATATATATACCAAGGCAGTGAGGGTGTAGGGGAGAGAGAGAGAGAGAGAGATAGAGAGAGAGAGGGCCTTGAAATGTGGTGGTTTGAGGTGTTTGTAAATCTAAAGAAATCTAGGGAAGTGTTGAGATGAGAATTTGATATATCATAGGGAAGTGTTGAGATGAGAATTTGATATATCCTAAGCTGAGTTTTATATTACTGAATATTATTCATGCTGATGTTTGGTGATTTCACGAGGCAAGGCAAGAGAGGCACAATATTTTTGACTTGTGAGTGAGAGATATACCGCTGTCAACCGCAAGCAATCATAACTCTAATCAATAGTTTATGCATCCTCAACTTAAGATGATATATAATTTGAGGATGAAATTATGGATTGAGATGTCCTATATACATCACTGTCTTCGTCATCTTCATTTTTATTTTTTATTTTTTTATTATCCGCAAAATAAATGATTATATACATGAGCGCTCAAGGTCTAACCAGTTAACAAGACACCGTGCTTATCACTAGTGTAGTGGAATCCATCCCACAACGTCATCCTATGATCCGAACCTATATATATGTAGTATAGAACTCAAAACGTGTTATACATCTTTGACTATACTTGATCTATACATTAAGGCTTCATAGAAGGTGGGTATGCCATGCTCATTCTATCTTATGAAGTTTCATTGAATATGCCCTTGGCGTGAAACGTAGCAGACTGAGTTGATTCCTTTAATCTTTAGCTCACATGGACCTTAGTTGGTACCAACAGCCCCATGTCACCATTTTATTAGTTTATAAATTTCTGGAGAACCTGCAGGAACATATATATATACAAATGAAACACACTATTCAAGACACCAAAAGAAATACTACAAGTTGGAAGTTCTCTATATATAACACAACATATCCAAATCCCAAATATGTATTTTCTCTGACTTTTTAATCGAAATTTGGGATTCAAGTCACCAAAAAAATATTTCTAAATAAGAAATTGTACCTCAAGTAGTTAAGAGTTATGTGTTTAATACATGTGTTGTATGATCACCAACTAGTTTACTAACATTTTAATACTAACATTTTGGGTAATCACCCGCAACCCTAAACCATGGTGCCGCCACCTCCAATCTCGAATCCAACTTTCACGGCCTCAACATCTCCTCTTCTTGTTCATAGCGATGATGCGATATTATTCCACTGACTTCCTCCTCCATCTATGATGAATCTTTTCATTTTGTTTCCCATCACTGAGATTTTCTTATAAATATATAAGATTTGAGAGATTATCTCGTATTGTTTTTGACGATGCTGGACATATACATCTTGACAAAAATACTTGTTTGATTATCCTTGGGAACTTTTACTCTTGTTATTCATCTATCAATAATTTAACAACGAATCAATAACACTGTCGATTCAACCAAGATTTCCATATGATTAAGAAAACCCATCAGCGGAATTATGATGAGCAGATTGAATCGCATCGTCACAGTAACATTCAATGAATTATGAATGGTTGGGTTCAAGATTGACGATGGGACTGACTGGTGATGCGGCACCGCGATGGTGACACTATATCGTAGCAGTGTTGCTGTGGTAATGAAAGAAGGCGTTGCGAGACTCGGCCGAAATTAGAAAATTAAGTTGATTAAAATAAATAAATCAAGAAGTTAAAGGGCAAGTGACATGGACTGCCATATCATGTACAACATAAGTTGGTATTAAAATGTTGATAAACTAGTTGATGTCTGTAGTATTACTGTTTTAAAAATACGTACTTACATATATCATATGCGAAATTGCTAACTAGTCTCACATAAGGAGTTTGAAGGAGGGTTTTTGAAAAGGTCGAAAATACCGCTTGCAAGTTTAAATTTCTGTATGGAAAACTGAGTGGTGTTAGCGTTAGATGACATTTCTTGGATTTTGAAAAATTAAGGTGATATTTCTCTTAAAATTTTCTTTAAGATGAAAATTTAACATCTATTTCCTTTTTTTATTTTTTGGGGTCAATATCTTTCCAATTATCCAAAGAGCCAGTGTTCCTTTGCTGTCAACTAGAAAAGATCTGGTAAAATAAATAGTAATGCCAAAATAAGTATAAAATCTATATTTTCTTAGCTGTGTAGCAAAACAAAAGGTTCAAGCCAATGTTTTTTCATGACTTTTTGAACATGACCATCACCATGAACATGAACACATGATGAAAAAATAGCATCCATTATCCAAGTTATGGCCTTGTGGGTTTAATTTTTAGGGTCATTTAATAAGAGGAGAGTCCGCGTTATGGGGGCAGCAAGAGAAAAGCAGCAGCGTGTCAGTTTTAGCGTGCTTTACTGTGCAAGGTGGTGAGTGAGAGTGAGGTGAGTGTTAATTATGCAACCCAAAAACTCAATGAATCTCTCTCTACTTTTTGCTCACAAAAATTAAAGTAGGCAAACTAAAGGAAAACATTTTCTGTGTGCCAAAAAAGAAAAGTGGTGGTGGCCGTGCTGCTCCTGTGTGATTTTTCCTTTTTTCTTCAGTTTTTGTGACATGGGTGTACTTTGGTTTGGATTTTGGAGCTCTGTAAACAGCTCATTTTCTGATGGGTGCTTTTGAGTTGTGTTTTCTCTTTTAGCCCTTTTGGTTTTTCCTGAGTTTCGTGAAAGTTTGTTTGGTGGTGGGTTTGGTTCTCAAGACTTCAATGCTTGTGCATAGAGCTAAAGACTCGCTCTTTGGTTCGTTACTGTTACTTCCTTTGTTCCTCTGAACGCTGAAAACTCTTTCTGATTCTTCAAGCAAAAAGCTTGAAACGGTGGCGTAAGATATTGGGTGAGCTGTGCTTTGCAAATTCTCTCTCTCTCTCTCTCTCTCTCACACACACACACACACACACACACACACACTCCACTTTCTTTGGTTCTGGTTTTGTTTTTTGGATTTCTATGCTTGGTTTGGGCTGATTGCACTCAAACTTGAACTGGGTTCTTCTATTTTCAAATTGCAAGTAGATGATATTAGTTGGTACTACTGTATAGTTCTGTAGATTTGATGAATAGGTCTTGGGTTTTGTGGGGGTGTACACGGAGAGTGGCTTTTGGGGATTGTCCTTAGATTATTTGCCTATTTCTTCATGTTGGATTTTAAAGATTTTTACTTATACAGCATAATATGTATCTTGGCTTCATTATTTTATTAGATTTTCTGTGATATATTCTGGTAGATTCCTCAGATTTCAGTCCAATCTTGTATTAGTTTTTTTTTTGGTAAGTTGATGTTTGGTTGTCCATTACTATAATAACTTTATTTTGTGATCTTTCTCATTTATTCCCATACTTTGCCCAAATAAAAAGAGATGCTTGTTGTCTACTGTTTTGGTGGTTTCTTCAACTGATACCGAGATGCTGTTTTCAGTTGCAGGATTTCAAACTTCAACGGTAAAACTAATCTATAAATTAAGTGTTAATTGATGTGTACATGTTGGGTTTGGAACTTGAAGCTTTAAAGGCGTCTAAGAGGTCTTGGTGGCATGAATCTTTAATTAGCTTTTAAAAAGGAACAAAGGAACAGAGTAATCAGAAGAGAAAGATTAAGAAATAGTGGGGGAGTGTGGTGGAGTCAGATTTGTGCTTGTGAGTGTCTCTGGTGTTTGATAATTATTTAGTGTTGAGAGTCTGTTGGCTATGTCCCCTGAGCTGACTTGGTGCACCCGGACTCCGTGGGCTTTGCCGCCGACCAAGGAAACACCCTCTTCTTTGGCTCTCTTGCCATTCAAGAGAACCTTTTCTTAAAAAATTGCACAAAACCCATCTTCTCTTTGCCTTTCTCTCTCTCTCTCTCTCTCTCTCTCTCTCTCTTAGTCTGTCTTGGTCCCTGTCAAGATTCGGTCATACGCTGCCTTGCATACATATAACCTTCCCCTCTTTGAGATCTTTCTTTTCTCTCTCGAAGCCCAGGAAGTTGGTTGCATTCAGATATCTATATCTGGTCCCCCACTCCTGGTGTCTTCCTTTCCATTTCCAGCAACTTTTCCTCGATTGAGATGCATTATTATTGGGGATGTGTGGTGGTCAAGGTGTGAAGGATTTGATTAAGCAGTGACAGGTTGAGTGGTGAGGAAGTTTTGTTTTGGGGAAGTGAAGGAGAAGCAGATTGTTTGCTTGCCAAGATGAAGTTTATGAAACTTGGATCGAAGCCAGATTCCTTTCAGACTGATGACAATAATGTTAGGTGAGATCTTCTAGGGCCTTCTTTATGCTCTACCTCGTTCTTCAATCATCATTTTGTATTATTTTTCTTGCTATTGTGTCTCGTGCATATCAGTTCCTATTGTATAAACCTGCCGGTATAATTTTTTGTATAATTTTTAACTGGTTTTTCTGTTCATGTTGGATAAATTTGGGTTTTTCTTCTCACGGATAGTGCCTGTGTCCACTCATTTTTGAGCAGCCATCTGGTTACCGAAAAATTGGACAGTAAATTTTTTCATCCTTTTTTCATTTCTCGTCATTTTCTCCTGCACTCTTGTCTTAAAATTGTTCTTATTCTATGATTTAGTATCAACTCTGCTCTCTTTTCTTTTTTCTTTGTTTTAGTACATGGAAACATAGTTCTCTTAGTGGGGCCATATGAAGAGAACCTTAATTGAATCTATCACTTGCTCTATGATCAACTTTTTTTAAACCTCAGAATCATTGGTATTGTGCATCTTGTTTAGTCAATATAGTATTTATTAGTGCTCTCATAGCTCTCATAAGCAGATCATCACACATTATTTGTTATTTGTTATTGGTTCTCTTAGATTAAATGAGGATATATATATATATATATATATCTGATTTAAAAAACCAGGATAATATATAGAAAACCAATGAGAAATTATAAAGTTGTGTCAAAAGTACACAAAATGTAGAAATGCTAATTAAATGTCTTGCAAAAGCCTTATATAGGAATGAAGGATACGAGAGAATGAATTGTATTTTTGTATCATAGCCAATCAATCTTTTGATTGAGGGAGGGCTTTTAAATCCAATCTATATTTAGCCCTGTGGAAGGTATCATTTATTATGAATTGAAGCTGGTACTTTGCCATGCAACTTGGGTGGGCATACTATTGAAAAGTAAATTCAAATTACTTTCCTCGAATAAATGCTACAAGAGTCCCTGCTAACATCAGTTACTGCTTTTGGCTATCACTTGTATTATTTTTAGTTGAGTATATATTTAGCAGTCTCTGTCATTTCATTACTAGATCTTGAAAAGAAAAGCAAAGTATGATTAGAGTTGTTTTTCTTCATTGACATGGCATAGCTAGAACCTCAAATCTCTATTTATGACTGCTCTCATACAATAAACTATGTAGCTTTATAGCTTGGTCACTCTTGTGCATTAACAGTGACTTTAGGAAAGAAAAAGTGATGGGGTTCAGAATAAATTTTAGGAAAGAAAAAAGGTTGAGTTTCATTTGCATATTGCGAGCCTTAATTGTGTTTGTACCTAGGTCTTCCTCTCCTTTTATTTTACGCTGTACCTATTATGAGGAGTCCTTACTAACACTTTAAACGGATCTCCATATATGCAGGTATGTAGCTACTGATTTGGCAACAGACATCATTGTTAATGTTGGAGATTCAAAGTTTTATCTGCATAAGGTATACTCACCATTTTTCATTTTATGGTGAAATACATGGTTCCCCAGTGACATGCCTTGTATGTTGAATTTTCAAGTGGGGCGATCTATAGTCAAGAATTTGTTAGCGCTCATATTGGAAAGCAACCAGAACTAATACAGATATGTTTAACTACCAACATTATGAGCTATATAAAAGAGGTGCAAGGCTTGTAAGAGTCATAAGAAATTATTGGTGTTCTCAACTTCTTGTTTGATAAAGATAAACTGAACGTTTATCTTCTACAAGATATAACTAGTTGAAATATTATTTTAATACCTGCTTTGTTCATACTTGACAAATGCCTTATCACTTGATGTATTTTTATGATTTTATAGAGACTGGGAGACCATTGATTATCTAAATGTTGGGCATGATATATATGTTAAACTCAATTGAAAGTCAAGGGATGATAAAGCGTTGGCAAACTTAACTCAACACAACTCTATTGCATCTCAAATTTTAACTGCAATCTGCTGTGTGGCTACAGATAAATGTCTTGTGATACTGATCAGGGTGATAAACTTTTATGCAGTTTCCTCTTCTATCAAAGAGTGCACGCTTGCAGAAGTTGGTTGCAAACACTAACGAATCAAACACTGGCGAAATTTACATTTCTGACATTCCAGGTGGCCCTGCTGCCTTTGAGATATGTGCCAAGTTTTGTTATGGCATGACTGTCACTCTCAATGCTTACAATGTTGTTGTGTCTCGATGTGCTGCTGAATATCTGGGAATGCATGAGTCTATTGAGAAAGGAAATCTCATTTACAAGATTGATGTCTTCCTTAGCTCCAGCATCTTCCGGAGCTGGAAGGATTCAATCATTGTTCTTCAGACTACAAAGTCTCTTTTACCAATATCTGAGGAACTAAAGTTGGTTAGCCAATGCATTGACTCTATAGCTACCAAGGCCTGTGTTGATGTTTCACAAGTTGACTGGTCCTATACCTATAATCGGAAGAAGATCCCTGAGGAAAATGGGAATGATCCAAATTGGAACGGTGTTAGAAATCGTCCAGTTCCAAAGGACTGGTGGGTTGAAGAATTGTGTGAGCTTGAGATTGATTTATACAAGCGTGTTCTAACGAATATCAAAACCAAAGCAGTACTTTCTGCTGAAGTGATAGGGGAAGCCTTGAAAGCTTATGCTTACAGAAGGTTTCCAGGTTTTAGCAAAGGTATGATCCAGGGTGGAGATATGGCAAAGCATCGATCAACAGTGGATACAATTGTCTGGCTGTTGCCTGAAGAGAAGGGTGGTGTCTCTTGTAGTTTCTTGCTCAAAATGTTAAAAGCAGCTATATTTTTGGACTCTGGAGACATGACTAAAGGAGATCTGGTAAGGAGAATAGGGCAGCAACTGGATGAGGCTTCTGTAAATGATCTTCTGATACGAGCAGCAGAAGGAGAACCTACAATTTATGATGTTACTGTAGTCCAAAAAATTGTTGAAGAGTTTCTAAGGCAAGATCAGAGTGCAGAGATTGAATCACTAGAAGAACGCCATGAGCTTCAGGAGGTGAGAAGGCCGGGGATCTTGTCGGATGCTTCTAAGTTGATGGTGGCAAAACTGATAGATGGGTATCTTGCTGAAATTTCAAAGGATCCCCACCTACCCTTGTTGAAGTTTGTTGATCTTGCAGAGATGGTGAGAGGTTTCTCTCAGCCTTCTCATGATGGGCTTTACCGAGCCATTGATATGTATCTTAAGGTAAGAGCTTAGAATACATTTTATTCTTTTAATAGGCACTAGTCTTTGCATGGTGGCCTGCAAGTTTTTACATGTCACACTGCAAACAAGATGCTAAAGTGTTCTGTTTCCGTTGTATTTTAGTTTGATGCTGGATTATGTTCATAAAAAATAATTTTTTTTTTCTCCTGAGTGCTTTTGTGTTGTATTTTGTTAGTGTTGTGGTGAAGTATTTTTCACACTCTGGCCTTCTATGATGCAGGAGCACCCGGGGATCAGCAAGAGTGAGAGGAAGAGGATATGCAAGCTGATGGACTGCAAAAAGCTATCAGTTGATGCGTGTATGCATGCCGTGCAAAATGAGAGACTTCCATTGCGTGTAGTTGTGCAGGTACTGTTTTTTGAGCAAGTCAGGGCAGCTGCCTCATCAGGCAGCAGCACTCCAGACCTACCTAAAGGCATGAAGGATTTAAACAATGGGTCCCATGGGAGCTCAAGATCTGCGACAACCAACACAGAGGAGGATTGGGATGCAGTGGCCTCGGCTGAAGAGCTTAAGGCCCTAAAGGGGGAGCTAGCTTCCTTAAGGTTGAGCAGTGGTGTGGGAGGGGGTGAGAAGAATGGAGATGGCAAAGGCAGTGTTGACAAGGCGGCAGTCAGTAAAATGAGAGGGTTACTTAAGTCAAAGAAGAAAGTTTTTGCAAAGCTTTGGTCAAGCAAAGGGGTACAAGGTGAGAATAGTGGTTCCGATTCATCTGAAAGCCTTGGTTCTGCTAATCCTGAAGAGGCTAAATCCACACCTTCCAGAAATAGGAGGCATTCGGTTTCTTAGTAGAACTAATTGGCACAAAAAGAGGTCGGAAATTATCGGGTTTCTCTCTCTATGATCTTAGCAACTTAAAAAAGACTTGGTGGTCTATTACTTGAGCAAAAGTGAAGTACATATAGTTTGGAAGAAGGGTTTTTGTTGTACTTGCAGAAAAAAATCACAGGTTGTGAGAAAATGATTACCTAGAGAATGTAACTGGTGATGCAATTGTCAAGAGTTCAAACTCACACCTAAATGTTCACTTGTCAAAATCTTTTATAAGATGTTTTGGTATGTCTAGTAAGAAAACATTTCTCTCTTTACATATAGGAAATTGTTCAGTGGTGAGCTTTAGCAGGCATGTCTTATGCTGGTTTCACAATATAAAATGCCCAATTCCATACAGAAAATTGCCATACACCAAATCTTTTCAACTTTTTTCCCAACTATCTCACATGACGTGAAACTCCTGAAATTATGGAACCTTATTTTAGGTCCCGCTTTTGGACACAAATATTAGAAAAAGTGGATTAAACAAAATTTAGACCTACAGATATAAAACAGTTCACTCAATTATACTTCCATTACTAGGCTGGAACTAGGCTGGAGAGAAGGATACTAGTATTTCCCTAAAACTACAATATTAACACTAAAACTACAAAATTTGCCTCTCTTTTTTGTTGGCCATTGTTCTAAAACTCTCTTGGATCAACAAAAATTGAAAGCCCAGGAGGAGATTTGGTCCAGTCTCCAATAGGGCCATCACTATAATCCTGCACTAGTCTCTTGATGCACCACATATCCTCGGCGCATGATAGTGTCTTCCAGTGTGGTATTGCTAACCTCAACGGTTCTTGACTTGCTACCTCAGTCGCCACCACCCCACAACCCAATTCCCTAGCCATGTTATGCGCGTGGCCACAAAGCGCTTCCTCCATCTTACCCGCGCGTGGGCCTTGTCCTCCCAAACCATAGAGAAAAACCAACCCAAAAGGCCTAAAAACCTCAGGTACCGAAGGGATCCTCAGCCAAGGTAATGCCCTGTCCACCACGCGCGTGGCCTTCGCCGCAAAACGCCGTGCAAGCGACGCGCCTTTGATTTCCAAAGTGAACACCTCCTTACAATTCCATGCACTTAAAACTGCCCATGACTCGGGCGGTTCAAACAGAAACTCGGCCAAACCAGGCCACGAAAACCCGGTTGGGACGGCCAAAAAGGTGCCAAGATTGAGCTTGTTTTTCACAACCCTATCAATGTCCTGTGGGAAAAACTCGGTGGCGCAAAATCGGGAGCGGTAGAGGGCCTCGGCTTCTGGAGGGCTGAGTTTGATGATGGTGACTCGGTTGTGAGTTTTGACTCGGTGAGCAAATACTGGTTGGACCAAAATTGAAGGGGTACGAAACTTAGTGTAGTGGCATTTTTTAGTGAAGAGGTTGAGGGAAGGAATGTTGTCATTTTCAGTTGCCATGTATGAATACTCTGCTCCATTTCTTGTAAACCATTCCTCCATTTGATTAACAAGCTTCAACCCAATACCTCTTCGCCTGCAGAAGATCATAAGCCATACAAAATTAAATTAAACTAAATTTTGTCAAAATCAAGTAATTGCTAAAAGCAACTATTTGTGTCATATTTTGTAACATGTTACATGTAGTCACATTTTTATTTGTGATGTGGTCCACAATATATGTAGCATTATTTGAACAAGAATATATATATATATATACCTGTGTGAATGAGAAACTCGTAAGCCGAGAATATAAGCGAGTTTGGTGCAAATGGGTTCGAGTTTGGGATCAGAATCTTCATTGCTAGAGTCTGCAATTCCATTGTTACGTCTTATGAGCTTTTTGCCACAAGTAACGATTTTGATGCAACCCCTAATGATCCCAACGATGTCTTTGTCAGGACCCATTTCAGCCACCTGATTAATATTATAACCACAAAACAAACCCCATTAAAGACCAATTAACAAGGTAATAAAAGTGAAAAAAAAAAACGAAAATGGAATTTAATTATGCTTTACACACACACACACACCAGCATGAGGAAGGAGGGTGAGTTTCGAATCCTGCAAATTGGGTCACCCAAAAGATCAGTAAAGAGAGACATTTTGCCAGATGACGAACCACCAACTTCACACTTCCTCTCTAACTCTTCCACACTTCTCGTGTCCTTGTTCAAGTCCAACTCTCTAACCACCAACAAGCCTTCCCCTGCCTCTCCCATAATAACCATGATTAGTCACTAATCACACTCTAATTAACCCACAACGCTAATGAGCATGGAAATGTAGAGCTAATTATATAGTCATAGCAGCAATGGATAGCTATAAATATTTGGTTGATGGTTCCTCTTCTTTTCCTTTTTTTTTTCTGAGAGAAAATTTATAATGATGGGATTTTGAATTATGGGTACGGATTAAGTTGGGTAATCATTGGATTAGTGGAAAAGATAGAGCTGTTACGCTGCTTTTAAATTAAATCATTGCTTGGTTCTTGGGCTCATAAATTTTTTTTTTTTTTTTTTTTTTTTTTTTTTTTTTTGGTTTTTTTTTTTGTTGTAATAAGTTCATCGGTTAGAGGGGGTTATAATGAAGGGACACCTGGAGAGGAAGAGAGTTAGTGGAAATGGCGGCTCTGTGTCTGCGCAAAACTTTTCCTATTTTAACGTAATTATTAATTTACTTTGGAAGATGCGCTGCAATTAAGCTCCCACTAATCCACGATTATGGTGCTCTATCATTTATTTGTTAATCTCTACAATTTATTTATTTATTTATTTTTATGAACACGAGTGAGTTAGTGAGACCACAAAATTGCCCAACTCAAAGCTCGACATTAAAATCCAGTTGACGTTTGGGGCTCAAGGCTTTAGGCCTCTTGGACTTAGGCATGAAGAGGAAGGGCCCATTTGAGACATTGACAGCTTGAAAGAAAGTGAGTCCAATGGTTAGAAGCCCAGTTAGTAGATCTGCGTATGATACGCGTATATATGTATTTTTTGAAAACATTTCTTTTTTGTCGTACGAAAGCAAACCTATTTTATATATGCATACGTATAAATACTCCACGAATAATAGACGTCTTTTCGTATATTTTGCAGTAACACACGTAGTATTTACGTATTTTATCAATGTTTTTTCACATACTATTGAAAAGAGCACCCAAGGGAAGGTCAAACATAAAATGCATTGTTGAATTTTTCTTTGTAAGAGTTTTTTTTATCATGCCTCAATTACCACAAATTCCTAACTGGACTCTACAACAAATTGGGGTAAAAAAAACATTATGGACATTTAAGCATTTTTGCCCTAAATAAAATAACAATGTATTTCTCAAATAAGATGGACCTTAACACAAATTCGTTGAGTTTTTAATAAGAATGAACCACATAACACTAGTTATTTTATTTGGTTTGGTTGTTGGTTTTGGTGTAAAGCAGATGAAATCGGACAGTGTCCACCCCTAATTGATTCTATCAAAAATTTAGAAAAATAAAAAAATTCCAAACTCGGCCAAGAAAAACCACATCTCAAAACTCAACAAATCCAACAAAGTTGCAAATATCTCAAAACCCTGAATCTCCCCCTTCTCCCAAATCTAATTCTCAACAAGATTAACATGAATTCACCGTTGAATTTGTAATAAGAATGAACAATTTAAAATACAGAAGTTGCTAATTAGGATTAATTTTGCTAACTTTTTAATTAATCAAGCTATACCTAGGTAGGGAACCATTGACAGCAAAAGTCAACCACTCCCAGCATAAACAAAACCGCTCAAAATCTGATTTCTCCAACAAATAGCTTCGAAACGACCGTCATGATCCCATTAGCTTTCCCCAGAATCTATTTTCCACATCTGGATTTTGTTTCTTTCCTTTCTTTCTTTTTTTGGTGGTGACAAAAATTTTCTGTTAAAATGAATGAATGAAGAAAATCAAAGATTACGTCTGAAGAAGGGGGCACATCATATGTGTGCCGCGGCTAGTAGTTATCCGAGTTATATTAGTAAACTAAGCACATCTTAGCATAAAATAATTGGATGTTAACCCCATTTAGTTGTACTTAACATTGATAGGTTTTTTTGGAGCTTTCTTGGCTTTGTTTCTGCCAAAAAACAACTCAGTGCGGCATAGGAGCTTGGTATGGCTCATAGTGGCATAAAAGACACATAATCAGATCACGTTTATCTTTACCTATGGATCGTTTATTACAAAGGACTAAGTAGAATATTGACAAGGGATTTGCCGTCACAAGAGTCAAATCCCATAAAAAAATAAGATAAAAGAAATTTAACCTAGATGGTCTAGTGGCAAAAGGTAAGTATGGACAAGTGGTAAATACGAATGTCTTAGGTTTGAACCCTAGCCCGATGATGGAAAAATTTAAAAATTAATAATGCAACTCTAAAATCTCAATATTTATGTGAGTCTTCACATTAAAGGGAAAAATTGTCTCTCTAAATTTGTAGTTTTTCTAGGAAATTACTTGGCTCCTTACATGTAAGGAGTCATTCCTTCTTACAGACAAATCACAGTCTAACACGTATACATAAATTTTTATCTTTTCGTAATGTTAATGAGTCACTTTTGAATATGTATCACACAGTAATTGGTAGGTATGTAAGGAGCCAAACAGTGTCTGTTTTTCTACGTCAAAGATATTTTTATGGTAAAAAAAGTGCACACACCCTAGGGTTACCTCACAATATATTTCGGCGATCGACACTCTTTACATTTTAAGTCATCTTTTGAGAATGTTTAAACCTAAATTTTTCCTCTTGGCCTTCCAGAGAAAAATGACGTGGCAATGACCCATTTGAGCCAAGGCTTTGCGCCTAGAGATAAAAGTGTTCAAAGCCCAAAGCAAAATATGAAGTCGGATCTAAAAGCCCATGGCCGTAACACAATGGACTCGGCCTAAGCAATAAGGCTCGACCCAGGTCTCAAAGCATGCTAAAACACTGCGACCCAAAATGCCAAACATATTGACTAAGGCCCACAAGGCCCAAAAATCATGGTTCGAAATCTCGGCCCAAGCACCAAGGGATGACCTAATTCTCTAGCCCAACCCAAATCATTAAAGCATAACGTAAAGCTTGATCAAAGTCAAGGCTCAGCATTTGTTCCTCGACCTAGAGCAGTGGTGAACACACGACAGGCCAGAGCGGCCGGACAACCCCTTGGAATGCTGGAATCTTGGCTGTGAACTCCATAGGCAACCCCTTGGCCAGCCTGTGTGTGACCTCTTGGGTGCACACCAAGTGCTTGACGAAAGTCCTTCCCCCTTTGGCCTTTGCTGCACAGGGCGCGATGGCTAAATTTTTTTAAAAACAACGTCTTTTGGTCCAGGTCTCTTAATTTTTTTTAAAAAAATCACATGGCCTCAAAACTACATCGTTTTGGGCCAAGTTTAAGAAGAAAAAAAACACAAAACAAAAAGGATTAGCACAACACTCTCCCCCTTTTACCCGATTTCACACCCCAACCAAATCCTCGTTACCAAATCAATTGTCCTTAATCTCCAACCAACCCCCAACCTCAACTACCACCACTTCGCCGGCGCAGCGGAGCCGACCACATCCTGCTAGTAGTTGCCTCCTTATATTTAAACCCCAAGTGAGTATAATTTTTATGTATAATGAAATTGATGTATATATAATATATGTAGATGTGTTTGCTTATATTGATAACGAAACTATAATGCAACGTTTTGAAAAGATGAAAACTCATCGGGGATAGTTGTAGTTTGTATTGTTGGTTTTGCCATGAATTATGAATGGGAGTATTATCTTTATATTTTTTTCTTGTTGAAAAAAATTCAAAATTTTTACACTATGACTCCTTGGTCGAAGAATCCTGGATTCGCCACTAGCCTAGAGGATCTCGGCTGAGTTAAAAAGCATGAGCATCAACTAAGGAAAGGATTTTCACATGCACCACCTCGAGAAGCACACCAGAGCAAAAGGAATGATGGGACGTGGAGCTACTTTTTGAAACTTGAGATGCTCAGAGAATGGAACCCTTGGAACTTGGCAAGAAAGAATGATAAGAAAATGCGCTTGGGAACAGTGATCGAGGCATGATGCGATGGTAAGAGGGCGGCACAAGAAAACATTGGGCGGTGGCTGTATATCTCGACACCTTTTGAAGGCAGCAATTCGACTATGAATAGTACAACAGTTTGATTTCTAATATAAAAAGACCCAATCTCTCAACAACAAAAAAACGAAGCCAAAATGTTGTTCAATGTATTTCCTAAACTAGATTTAGATATTTTTGTTTTTGTTTTCCTAGCATTCAACGTAGCATATCACCAAGAACTTTGAAGTTTGTTCAAAGTTCTTGAGCACCGTCATTGTAACCATTCATTCAATATATCAACAAATAACTATGTTCTTCAAAGTTTTCGCTTGAGCATCATCCAATCCGTTTTTTCTTTCATTGTAGCTTTTTATTTCATTTAGATTCAAAGAGGACTTGAGAGATCACTTGACAGCCGAACAAGACCATGTCGAGCACGATAGTCTCAAGCACCTAAGACAATGTAATGCAAATAGCCTTGTTGCCAAGGCTAAGAACCCAACGGCCGAGAAAATGTTCCTAACTCGGCCCAAATCATTTGACAAAGTCAGACCCAAGGTGAAAATCACCATAACACTTCCTTTACTTTCACGGAATCAACGACTGTGACAACTGACACACATCGCAAAATACTCACACCAAGGACGATTTTATTCCCAAATTCGCTCAGCCCGTCAAATATTCTATTTAAAGTAGTCCACGTGGTTGGCCAAAAAGATTTAGAGTTCAACAAAGAGTTATCCTTATAATTGGAAGATGTGTGTTTACATATTGTGCAACTTTGGGAAGATTGGGATTATGAAAAACAGAAAGTAATTAAGAAGTAAATCTTTCCCATTACCGTGCCTAATGTACATGTGTCCCTCTAGGTCATGGAAGGGACATTTCAAATTAGCTGCAATTGCCAATGGCGATGCCTAATACGACACCCTTCTCTTACAACTAATCCGATGAATCCATGGTTTGGCTTTATGTGTACGGCCAAAGTGATGTCCCATCCCTTTATTCTATATATATATATACCTAATTACACAACCGTAGTTAGTGACTAGAGTGGCCTTACATTCGGAAGCATGAAAATCCAAACTAAAGTGAGCTGTGAAAAGTTAATTGTATTGGAATCCCATTCTCCACAAACTTTGTTTTGTTGGAACATCAATTAACCATTATTTTAAGCATAGTTTAATGTGGGATTAATTTAGTTAATCGTGGTGATAATGAGATAAACATGCCACGTACCCGAGTCGCGACTATAACTTCAATGCCTTTACTTTGTCCATATCGTCATCTTTATCATTAGTCCCATGCGTGCCCACTTTCTTCCCAAATTCTGCGCCTTGTAAATATAGCCACTCACTCACTCTTCAAGTGAAGTCATTTTTGTCTAAATCACTCATTTAATAATACATGTTGTTATATATAATGAAGTCAAGAATGTTCTAGCACAACATATAATATATATGTTCTTAAGGCTACCGATTAAGTGGAATCTAATTTTAAAGCATAGTAGAGTCTGACAACATAACATGGAGGTACAAGATTCTTTATCGAAGTTTCTGAGACTAAAATGGATAATATGGAACGGAAATATATATTTATACTAATTGATTAAATACTTTTGGTGATACCCCTTGTGATGTAAGGATTATTCTTCTTTGAAAAAATAAAAAAGAGAAGAGAGAGTTGTAGGGATTCTTCTACCATTATATGTAAAAGCTATAAAGAATGGTTGCCATTATATAAAATTGGTTTCCCAAAAGAATGGAAGCTCATTTACACCCAACTTAATTGGCTGTTAAATTCAATCCAGCTAGACCCCCCACTCATTTATATGTTCTAAACAATGCTTAATTAATTATTAATTAAACCACTAGGTAGTAATAATAACTTTTTTCTTTTATGGAATTTCTTGAGGCACTCTGCTGCTCCAATCAAAACACAAAGAGAGAGAGAGAGAGCTGCTCCAATCAAAACACAAAGAGAGAGAGAGAGAGAGAGAGAGAGAGAGAGAGAGAGAGAGAGAGAGAGACCAAAAACGTTTGGTCTTGTTGCATGCAAGCGTCTCATGAGTGGTACAAGCTAAGCACAGCCAGAAACAAATAGAAAATTAAAATAAGAAAAAAGACAGAAACAGAATCTGGTCATAGATTTTAGATAATATCCATGCAGAGGTATCCAACGGTGGAGGAATGAAATTCTATGAACCACACCCACCTACTGCGCGGAGACACGCAGCCGTCCCTCACCAAGTTCTTTGGAAGTACACACAACCCAAAAACCCTCCATATTATACAGTCAAACCATGTACTCAACTCCACCTCAAATAACTTAACCCTAGTTAATCAAACCAAAAGCTGATTAATCTCGACGATATATATCTTGATGCGTTATGTTGTTAAATTGTTAATATGTGTCATGTAGCTAGGTTCAAATAAGAATATTTAACACCGTCCAAAAATAATCTAAGCGATTATATTATGTTTTTTTGAACTGTATCGATTAGCTATTATTTAGTGGTATTTCTTTCTACTTTGTTGCAGGAATACCTTGCGTTTGAGATTCAACCCTCCCCATATAATAAAAAGAAAAAAAAAGCATAATTATATAACATTTCCCACACACTCTCACCCTATATATACACAAGTCTTGATGCAAATTAAGACGGCCTCCCACATCTCCAATAATTAAGATGCAGGCTCCTATGTATTACTAGTTGTGACCCTAGCTACTACTGTTGTTGTCGTTGTCTTCGTCGTGACGATCATCAATCGGAGTTCGGTTGTTTACTATTAATGCGTGAAAATGAGTTGCAATGGATGCCGAGTCCTAAGAAAGGGTTGCAGCGACAATTGCATGCTCAGGCAATGCCTACAATGGATAGAGGACCCCAAAGCTCAAGCCCACGCCACTGTTTTCGTTGCCAAGTTCTTTGGCCGCGCAGGCCTCTTCTCCTTCATCAACGCCGTCTCCGAGTCCCAACGACCCGGTAAACAACATTTCTCCCAATCAAAATCAAAGCATGTTCATATTACATAAGTTCAGATGATGATGTCCACACTACAGACCCAGCCTCTGTAGCGTGGAGGTCTATCTCTGAACGTATACATATGAAAATAAAAAGATGGCTGATGATGATTATATATATATTTTTTTATAGCTTTATTTCAGTCGTTGTTTTTTGAGGCGGTGGGGCGGACTATAAATCCGGTGAATGGAGCGACGGGGCTTCTTTTGAGTGGGAAGTGGGAGGTGTGCCAGGCGGCGGTGGAGACGGTGCTACGCGGCGGCACGTTGGAACCACTTCCCGAGTACACTCGTAACGACCACCAAAATTGCGTTCATGATCATCGTATTCGACTACAACGGCAATCCACCAAGAAGAAGAGGTCTAGCAATTTGGCTTTCGATGATACTGATGATCATGCCCTGGCGAACTGCCAGCTGCCTGATCTTGATCTTTGCTTGTCGGCTGCGGGTGGGTTGACGTCGAGGACCAAGCGCGGAGATTGTAGGGCGGGGACGCCGTCCTCGGCGGAAGAGTCCGAAACGACGACGTTAGGAAGCAGTTCGTCGTCAGCAGATCATTGTAGCGGTAATAATTTGAAGGGAACGACAAAGCTTCTGAGGTTATTCATTTGATCATGCATACGTGGTCAAGAATAAATATTTTTGTTTCTTCCTTCTTGTTGTAATTGCCGAGTAAATAATATGGGGGGATTAATATTCGGCTGTTTAAGCATAAACAAAACCATCCTCTTGTAATTTTGCTTCGATTTTTGACCTTTTTACCATAAAATTAATTGAAAAAAAATTGAAAAAAAATTATAATCTCTTATTAATATATATATTCAGAGACCATGACTGAAGATTCTGATGCATGGATGAAATTTTCAGTCTCAGTTGGCTTAATGAGCTGTCAAGGTTGGTTTGGATGATGAAAATTTGGAAATGAATTGTGTAGGGCGCATGAGATATTTGGAATATTATTGGTTGGCTTTTGAGTCGTTTCAAGGGCCGCGCAACACTTTTAGAACCTGTATACAAAAGTTGTGAAGAAAAAAAAAGGTTCCATACAAATTTTGTCAATATAAATTATTGGTTCGGCCTTTTTTTGTTTATTTTGAGCCCTCAATATACAAATGTGTTATATTCTGGACGGGAAATATGTTTATATTTGAGGAGATCGTATTAATAAATATACACGTGTTATAATATAAATATGCGCAAAATAGTTTTTTGAATCAGTGGCTTCGTAGTGGACGGTACACTCACACCTCTCATGTGTTAGATGTTTGTGGTTGGTCACCCAAAATCCAACCCATTTCCTCTCCAATTTAGGTCATATCATGCATGCTTGGAGAGGGAAAAAAATTATTGGGGAGTTGGGTCCATTTTACATACTAATTTTTCTCTTTGCAAACTTTGGAAGTTGACATTGTGTCGCCGCATCACTAACAGATGAGACATCTGAGAGTGGTTTCCAGCTGGAAAGCTTTCGAATCTTTCTCCTTCTAGTATTTCTTCTAAAAATCTATTTTAAATATCTATATTTGTTTGAGATCTTAATTCTTAAACAATATGACAACATGTACACCAGAAAAATGACGTCATGGAAGATCCAAGCAATTAGAAATTAAAATTAAACGTAAACGTGGGTTAAACCAGTCGGCCACGATAAAAAACCCACTTTTTTGCACTCAAAATTCGAATTCCTCTTCTATAAAATCGACTGATTTAGAATAAATTATCGCGTGTATTAAAAGAAATTATGCCACACGACAGCATATATCTCAATAGTTTCTTGATTATGAATTGAGAAAAAATGGACATGAAGAATATTTATTTTTTTAATTTTCATTAAGTAACATTCAATTATAAAACCAAATGGGATATGTGGCATAAAAAAGGCCAGATTTACTCGTTTAACCAAATGGGATGGTTGACCCCTGCAGCCCACAATGGTACAAACGTTATAAAACCGACAGTTTGTCTTTTGTAGGAGAAGGGTTTGAAGGCAAATGAGTTTTCAGGCTAAAACAGGAAAGAGGCAATTGGGTTTTAGTGGCCCTCTTTTTTTCTCTTTTTTTATTTTTATATTTTTTTTTGGGTCGGAATTAAATTATGGTGGCCCTAACATCCTCGTATGCTGGAACTTTAACATGGGCTGTCGCTTGACCCAACTAGTCAAACTAGGTCAATTCTTCTTCCCAGTTGACTCCAATTCTATGTTTTCTCTTAGGAGCCATGTGAACACAAACCTTAACGTGGGGGATGATTGTGAACCGTTGGATATGATGACTTCAGTCAATCAACAGTCAAAGTCTGATGCTAATATTATCTTTTCTCAGAACCATTTTCACCCCTCCATCAATGGAGGCAAATGCACGTGCCAAGTGGGTTCGTGGATTTCATCCTAACAAGAATTTGAAGAAACTATAGGGCAAGAGACTTCTGATTCTCTGAAGTCTGAACAAAAACAGAACAGAAAACAAGAGGTTGCCAACTTTCATGCATTGTGTGGGGGAAGTATCCAAGGATGCATTATTTTATCCCTCTTGTTTTTATAATTCATATGATCTGTAGAAAAACATAGCACAAAAGTTTACAAACGTGATAAGATTCTGAGGCAAAGCCTAAACCTTTTCGTTAAACAGCTTGAGATCTTGTACTCAGCCAATTTCCTGGGTTATACTACAATAGAAAAACCAACAATCTGTTTCAGACTCTATACAGAAAGTAATAACGATGGCATTGTTGAAATCACGAACAATTGAGCAGAAGAAAAGGCATGACAAGATGATTGAATTAAGAGATTTACCACAAACTACTTGATTAACAGTGTGATCAGGGGAAATTACATATATATACATATACATTTCCTTTTTGCCCAAAGGAAAGAAAAGAGTGCTTGTATACAGCTAATTTTAGTGAGAGGGGAAAAGCCATTTTCTGTATTCTTCAGACACAAAAGATACATTGAGATGCATGACACAGAAGACCACAACCAGGTTCCAAAAATTGCCACATCAGAAGCCAAAACTAGCTACTTGATCCATTCTTATTACCTCTGCTGCCTCCACCCGGTGGAAAAAGAAAGGCTCCATGTAATATGTTAGCATTAGGAGTGAGTAGTCAAATAAGATCAGTTCTACACACGTGTTGTCAGGCTGCGGGTAGTTGGTACACGTCGTAATTGTATTATATGTGTTCTCAAGCTACAGTCCTTGACCTGTTACAAGGAATAACAAAGCAATTGAAAAACTGGAGGAAAAAGGTGAAACTTTGAAAGGAAAAAAAATGAAATAGACTACCAGACTTACCTGCATGGCTGATAATGTAGACAAAAAATCTTTGCATTGTTCAAGCACAAACCGTTCTGTTGCGGTAACCCTCATAAGTTCAGACACCAAGGAATTCATTTCCTCCACCTGCAATGGCAAATGTTTAAGAAACTTCCTTAAAACAGTTTCAACTTTTTGCATAGTTTCAAGCTATTCATAACGAGGCTCTACAGTTCACACATCTACCAGGCATGAATAGATAACATGCATGAAGTCTAGGAGATATCAAAATTGCTAGACTACGGAGGCACTTCTAAATATACTCTGCAAAAAAGGTTAAGGGTCTTTCTGGAAACAAAATCCATATGCTGTAAAAATAAAAGAGTAATCAGGTATGGGTGCAGATGTCAACAACTACTAAACAATCAGATCAGGTAAGTGACTGCTGTAGTTCAATCCAACTGAATCAATCAATTATTACTTCTAGGAATTAAACAATAACATCAATCACCTAGGTGTATTGGAAAGTACAACATTTTTAACGAAGGATACCTCAAAAAATTGTTTCACCTAAATGTAAAACAATGGTTCTACCCAACTACAACATCTATGCCAGCTCCTCGGCTAATGTTCAGGTACAGTGGCTTCATCTTTCACTTTTGTTCATTTTTATATTTACAACTTATAACATACGGGAAGAACAGAATGCAATTGACGTATATTTCTGTGAAATGTCTGGAAGAATAATGAAACTAACCAAGAAAAATAGAAACGTTATTCAAGAGAAGAAAAAAAAAGATTACCTTCAATGAAAGAGAGCAAATTGAGGACGCCATTGCTTGCATCACATCAGCTGCAGAACCCACAGCATCTTTCAGCTTTTGAAAGTCAACCTAATATAAAATAAGCATAGTCAGTCTTTTGAACAGTGATGGATCCTTGGTTCAGGCCTTCGATACGTCCTTGATTAAGTTAGGGGTAAGAAGAAGCCACATACAATTGCTTTTCCAACAACCGGAAGACGGAGAGTACTGGCCTGCAATGCTTCAGTTGCTCCTAGCAAAGAACTAGTGTGATCTCGGTCCAGAATAGCCCATTCTTCCAAATAAGTGATCTACAAACACCAAAACAACAAACTTCTTATTAAACAGCTACTTGATGTAGTAGTAGAATACAAAGGAACTTGGGGTGGACGGAAGATTCTTCTCAAGATTATTCCTTCTATTGAATGCAAAAGGCCAAAATACAGAAAATAGAAAGCATTTGAACTTGTACTAGTATGGCAATCTACATCACTAAGAATTCATTGGTGGTAGGTAGTATTATCAACACTAACGTCTTGATAGTGCTATTTAGAGAGAATGTTGCTCAAAATTGCACACAGCGAAAGAGCAAGCCTCTAATCCAGAAGGGGCAGAGGTAACAACAGCAATGGTATCAGTTTTTGTCCGAACGTGTATAGTTAAAAGTTAATAAGGAAGTCAACCAAATGATAGAGAAAAAAAAAAAAAAAAGGGGAGCAGTGGGTATTAAAAATGTGACTAATTTCATTTCTGTCATAATTAAAGCCCTAAACTTTTACCTAGCAAGTCACACGCTTGGTCATAACTGTAGACTGAAGGTCAGCACAAAACTCAAGTACATCTCCTGAACATGAATCTTTAAATGAAGTATCACAAAAAATTCCCACCACCTACTCATATTTCGTATTATAGCACTTTCAGATTCCAGCCAATGATATATAAATATGGAGCAGAAAGTAAATGCCATGAAGATAGTGAATCTCTGAATCTTACTTGTCCTTTGAGGATAGAAGTTAACTTCAATTTCTGCCTCAGCAAAAGTAACTTGATCTTTTTAAGCGTGACGGAATGCCGTAGCTCTGAGATTGATACCCATGCATTCCACAGATTTTTCTGGCACCCAAGAAAATACAAATTTAGACAAAAGAAACTGTACACAAACTGAAACCATCCTGACCATTTCATCACATCATATGCAGCAGAGATGCCAGTATGAAGAAACTTTTTCTGAACCCTAGTGATAAACACATATGAACTGTCAACAAAATCAGAACCAGATACAATGTATCACGTCACTTCTATACATAGTTGAACAAATGGAAATCACTCTATGGATGTGAAAAAGCTCAAACAAACTGATTTAAAGCACTCACTTGTGGTTGAAATGACAAGCATGAATTCAACCACTAGAAATAAAGCTATGTTTTATAGAATCAAAAGGGTTCAGCCAAAATCAAACATGTTGAAAAGTTTAAACAAAATCAGACATGTTTAAACATATAGAAAAAAGAAAAAAGACCAAACATACCAAAGAGACAGATGCATTATCAAATTCCAAATTCACTATGGGTCTTGTTTGAAGATATCAAACAAAGACACCAATTAAGCAACAAAACACGACAATATGCAATCTCCATTCATGGAGTCTATTAAACTGAAAGAGAATCAAGTCCTGCTTAAAGATAACACCCGAGTATGAAGTACTCCTTGACAACAAGCCATGATTGTTCATTGCATACTAGGCGAAAGCCATCTACTCCATTCTAGAGCAATCGGTCAACTCAATAATCACTCTAAAGACTTCACAAATCACCTTTTCATTCTGCTACTTTCCAAATCTATCCACTCCAGAAGTTTCCAATGACAACCGCACACCTTTTTTTTTTACAGTTAAAAACTAATGACAGTGGCACCCCTCATTTAAGATTTGAGCTTCATTCCCTTTATTACTCGGATATTATTTGTATAAAATATTATGCAGCCTTCTGTATTTCCATACTTGGTTAAAACCAAAAGTTCCCTAAATAACCTCGCATACTTCTGATTAGGGATCAGAAATGGATTATATAATGTTATATTCATAAGGAAAAAGGAAAATGCAGTACTCCTTAAGGGGAAAAAAAAAGGTTGCCATAAAAGAAATAAGGTGACAAGGAGAAGTTCCCGTTCTTGTTGTAATTACTGGGGGAAAGAAACTCTAAATGGATGGAGATAAAGTATATGGAAAGCAATGAACATACACACATGAACCATGCTAATTATGGAGATGTGTACAATATAATGAGTACAAAACAAATTGAAGTGTACATCAACCATGGCAAACAATATCTATGAGTCTATGACCATACAAGCACCAAACAAATTCCTGAAGAAACACAATTAGAAGATATATAGCGTTGCAATTTATAGCACCACAAGCATACCTCTGCATTCAGTCTCTGCACCATGAAGGTAGCATCTGCTCTTGCATTTACAAACCGCCATTGCAGATAACGGTTATACAGTAGCCTGAGCATGTGTGCATCAACAATCCTATCTTCCCCCATCTTCCCTCTCCGAATATCAACAGAAAAACTGAGAATTGAGGGTGCAGGACCAGAATAACTACTATTCAAGGAACCATTAACACTACTTCTCACCCGAGAAGGACTATACCCCCTTGATGGTGACATTGATGAAGAAGTCCAAAGCTTTCCCGGAGAAGCAGGCCGAGTTGGTCCCCTAGTGGGAGAAGCCATCGTTCGAGGAGATGATGATAAAGGGATATCACCATTAAACTTTTTCGATTGAGATTGAATGAATTTCGACCCTGCTCTAGACACAGGGCTTGTTGATAAAGGCGAACCGGGATCCTGCAACCGCCTCAACCGGCTATTAGTCTCCTGCCAAAACCTTGCAGACACAACAATGCCACGAGGGGCAGTTCGACTCTTTGCAACACCACCAGTATCATGTACACCTGAAGTGCTACCAGAGGAAACACTGTCTGTATCAGAAGCAGTGAGATCAGAAGGCACAGAAGATTCATTGGCTGAATTGGCATCTGGGTTTTGCTCAGCAGCCTTTAAAGGCTCAGCATTGCCCAAATCTAAGCTCAATCTGCGATCAAAGGAAGCTCTTCTGCTATCATCAATCATAGAGTGCTGCAATGCTCTAGCCGCAACCCCAGATCCAATCCCATTGAGCTTCCTAGTCTCCGAACTACAGTCCAAGCTCCTGGACAACGAGTTATTAGAACCCGAACTCAATTGTCTGGTCCTGGCCGGCCACCGATACTGATCAGAAGGCTTAGAATTCTCAGCCTGATCTCCTCTTACAGGGGTCGACCGGCGTCTCTCAGGCGTGGCCTTCCTCGCAACAGCCCCACTAGGCGAGGCAGCTGCTTTAGTCTTACTAATCGGAAGCGAAAAGGCCTCACCTTGAAAAGAAACTGATAAGCTCCGAGTGGAAGTGACCAAAAGCCGAGTGGCAGCAGAGACTTCAGCGCCTGCATTGCTTAGCCGAGCCTCAGGGAGACCCGTGGAGGTCCGAGGCGTAATGGGTCGCCTCCGGTCCACCGATTGAGCCCGTTTCGGACCCAAAGAGGGCACTGGGGTCGAGTTTGAAGAGGAGTTTATGGACCTTGAGAGCAATGGAGATGGGCATCTTCTAGAAGACGCAGAGGACGAGACAGTAGAAGTGGATGTTGAGGTGGAAGAAGAAGAAGGAGAAGGAGACATGTACTTAGACGAGACTTGTCTGCCTCTGGGTCTTCTTTGCACAAAGCCATTGTCTTTCTCTGAGGGCAAAAGGGGAGGCCTTGATGGGTTTTGGAGATGGGTGCGTGAGCGTGGGTCTGCGGAGGTTTTGGGGTTTGGAGGGTCGTTTGAAGCTGCTTCAGAAATGGCAGCCACCATCATAGGACTGTTGAAAATCCCAAGTCCTCCTCCTCACATTGCCCTCTTAAAGATTGAATTTGTGTGCCACTCGCAAACCCATCACGCCCCCAAAAATTAGCAATGCGGATTTAAGAAATTGCAGGAGAATGGGAAATTCTGAGATAGGTTTGCGGGAGATTCAGCATTTTTGGAGCTGAGGGAGAAAGCGGTGAGCTTTGCTGTCCCTGTGTTTGTGGGTTTTGAGAGAGAGAAGTAGAAGTCGGTAAGAGAGAGAGGCGAGATTTGCTAGTGTATGAGAGAGAGTCTGAGAGCGTCTCTGGCCAAAAGAAAATGCTATGAGAGTTTTTGCAGGTTTGGGATTTTTTTTTCTCTGAGAAACTTTGGAGGGACGTTAACGTTATGTTATGTTGATTTAATTGCATTTTAAGTCTTAAAACTTTTTAATTAATTTATTAATACATTTTCTCCACATGTGACTTTCTCCCATATAATAATTTCCGAATATTGGATTATATAATTTTATTCACAAAACAGAGAAAAATAACAAAGAAACCAAGCGACTTCTTGCTGATGTAGTATCAGAATATCATGACATGCACTAAAATTATTATTAAAAAAAAATACATGTATATATTATTCAGTTTCAAACATGCATTATAAATTATCACCAAATAATTTAACATATTACATTATTATGATGACGTGATATGAAAATCCCCGTATCGATTATCGACCGATGAGAAATGCTTGAGTTGTTATTTCAAGGAGGTTTTGAATTTGAGTTCAAACAAAAATGGTGGTACAAAGTACAAGTATATGCCAAAATTGTGGTATGTATTCACCCCATCTTATTCTCACACATATACATGAGACATGGGTTAAAAAAATTCCAATCCTGTTCTCTGTCTCTGGTATGTACTATTTTGCTGTAAAGAACAATTAGTGTACACTGACCATAGATAGCATTTGTGGAGTGGAAGTTGTCATAATTCCCAATTAATAACAAAATAATGAGAGGCACAATATATATAATAAAAAAAAGAAATAAAAAAAAGGAGAGAGGTGAAGTTATAAAACTAATCTATAATGGCAATACAAGCTGCATAATTTTCTTTTTTCTTCATGAGGGAAAGATATGAGTGAGCTAACAACCTCCATGAAAACAGCATTCAAGCAAAAAAGTGGTTGATGATATCAATTAATGATGCCATAAGCTTAAACAAGATTAAAGGATGGACTCAACTGCTTTGTGTCATTTTTGCAAGCTAAGCTATACAACCCTTTTTTAGCATTAGTTTGTATAAAGAGATACCACATCTTAATCAACATCTCTCAATTTTTAGTTATGCCTTTGCTTTCAACATATTTCCTATTTCTTTTAAATCCCCGAAACTTTTTTCTTTGTTGTGGCTCCTGCCAACCCAATTCACTAGCTCCGCAATTTTTTTTATCAAAGAAAAACTTTATTCGATAAATTTCAACAGTATCATTCAAAGACATCAACATTAAATCAGCTCCACAATAAATCTCAATCTTCTAGCATCTGCTCAACTGGTCCAAAGGAAAATTGGTTAAAAATTTGTTGGCAAATTGTCCCAACTACCTAATTTCCCAATTCCTTCTAAAAAAACAAGAAGAAAAATGTGATTAGTGCCATCAACTTTCCTTATATGTTCAGCAATTTTATATTTCCATCCAAAATTACAGTTAATTTCTCTCTCTAACATTTTCGTTCTGGTTATGAAATCTAACTTAGTTTGACTGTATATATATATGTATATTTTCTAATACATTTCTGGTTCATATTATATCAGAAAATGCAGGACATATGCATTGTTTATTCTTTGATTCCATGGACTTAATCTACTAAAAACAAGATAATCCCATCCGTGATCCGACCAAATACAAATCTTACTGATCAAATTCAGTAAAATTATTATAAAGAAAAAAAAAAAGAAATTATTTTTTTGGAAGAGGCTAGGAAATGAACCCTGCACTGCACCAGCTGGAAAGGCAACCAAAAAGTACACAGCGAACCTCATTAATCCACCTGCCTAATTGCTTTTATTATGATAGTCTAATCTACCTATGAAGCCCTAACCCATGTGGAGAAAGTACAACCAAAGTATGGCAATTGAAGACAGATAACATAATATCTTTCTCAAGCCAACTTGTAAATACAAAAGCATCAACGTTTTTAACAGTAAAACATGAAACTTTCTCACCGTCTGCCCCACATCAGGTAAGATCTAATCACACCACTAACCACTCAAGGCCTTATTGGTGTCCGTACATCACTGATTAGAGCTTCAATTATTATCTTGTTGACTTCAAAATAGATACTAATCTGCAGGAGTTTGGTAATTTTAGCAGTGAACCACAGAACATGGCGGTTAATTTCCGAGGTGCTTGGAGTGGTAATGTACTAGTCCGGAGACTCAAGCGACTACTCCGAGAGAGCAGTGTATTAGTCAAACGATGTAACAGTGCAGTGCTGCACTTAATGTCAATGATCATTTGGCGTAGTTACAATTAGCCTTTATTTTGGTGAAGAATGTTCTGAGTTCAAATCTCGTAGACATTAGTTGTTTAATAATTTTTAAAAAAAGGAAAAACCATTGAAAACAGTGAAAGTTCAGGGAGAATCTGATCCATCAATGATAAAAATTACTAGCAGACAATTACAAACCTGTTCAGAACCCCATATCCCAACTGAGTCTCTCTATAGAATATTGATTCACCAATTTTGGAATAGCATAATTTCAGCTATGGCTACTAAGCCTACAATATCCTGAAATGATGATAGCTTTGTATTTGTTTTGCAGCCATGTGACTTAAGGTACACTCCAATTGGATAATTAGTTTAAAAGTAACACACACCCACTAGGTGATGTTTGTTTAATTGGGTATTAGTTAGTTTGTTTTGAAAGTGATTATAAACTACAGGAGAATGATTTTGTCTGCACCCCATAGCTGTCCAACATTGCTTCTCCTCTCCACTTCAACCCAACAGAGAAAATGAAAGTGACCATTTCCTTTCCAAAGAAAAACAAAGAAGTGATTATTTTGCATATAGAGTCTAACATGTGTGTATTATATGTGATTAATTAGGTTAGATTTATACTTTCTACATTAATTTTCTTCGAATCTAAAAGGATCATCATAATTCATAAACCCCTTCATGATGGTGGGCAACAATCCAGAGTCACAATGATTCATTATTTTACATTCAAATCTTCACACTCGGTGAAAATTTCTCCAGGAGTTTTGCATGCCAGTCATGTGAGAAGCTTTCAATTGTGCAATTTGATGGTTGTGGGAGAGGAGAAAATTTAATGAGTTCCAGAAGTTTTGTACCTAAATGATAAGAGGGAAGTGATTGATTTTAGAAAAGACATTGAAAAGGAGGATTTTTAAAACTAACTTGGAGATGAAGAAATTTTAGTCAAGTAGGTTGGTGAAGTATATTATTGCATGCCCATTTGTGCTTTTATTTTCATTTAGGTGATCTTCACTATCATTGATGCTGTAGTCACCTCAATATAATTTGTTAGTTGCACCATAATATGTTACTGATGCATGCTGGTACTCTCAGCTAGCACTTCAAGAGTTGAGGTGAAATTTGTTGGTAAACAATGAGTAGAAAAAAGGGTTACAAAGTGGAAAGTTATAGGCTCATAGCTCTAGTGGTAGATCATTTTATCTATACATACATAATTTATAAATATAGTTTAGTTCTTGCACTCTCTTTTTCAGGAGTAATTTTCGGGTGAGATTGTACTGTCGCCACATGGTATAACTAATTCATTCACGTTTTAACACGGGCATATCTTATCTTATAAGATAAACCTGTCTTCCACCCATATAATGATGTTCCGATTAGTAATAACACACTACGATATTCCAGTTACTGTTGAGCAAGAAGAAAAAACAAGAAAGTGTTCTTAAGAATGAACTAGAAGCTCCACTGATTAGCAAAATACAGAAAGAAAAAAAAGAGCATTGTGGTTTGGCTTAGAAAGGTAATATAAGTTTGTTAATTTTTGTCCTGGAGACAAGAAAACGCAAGCACTGAACTTGCACAGGGATTGTAAAGTCGGTGGCATCAGAGATACAAAAGTTTTGTGATGTAACCAAAATGGGTGACCACCATGATTTTCCAAGACCTACTCAACATGAACTAACCTCATAAATTATTGCTAACTTGGAGGCATTGGCTTGAATGTATGGCATAGGATAGCCATGTTCGATTTTTTCTATTATTGATGTAATGCTGCCCCACTTCGAAAGTCCATAGATTTTTGAAACTGCCAAGCATCATCAGGAACACAGAGAGGAGAAGGGGAAGTTCTGAACCATCTAAATTTCAAATATCAAATGAACTGTTCTTTGAAAACGACTCTGACAGTCTAGAGCTTATAACTGAAGTGGTTAAATATTTGTCACCCTACCCGAAATCTTGTCGTCTAATTTCTCTTTCTTCAGTATCGCTTGTATTAAGAAAAGAGCCCTAACTAGATGTAGTTGGATTTTAACATACCATGAGCATTTATAATCAAATTAGCATAACACGAATTCTGAACTTCTAAAATATACAACATGATCGCAGTGCTTACGATGCGATCGTTAAAAGTACACGCCAACCAAGCTTCTTTATCTCTTAACTTGGTTCCATTTACAGACCATCAGTCTTTCAAAACATTTCAGTTTTTTTAACTCGGTTCAATTCATCTCCACTTCAACAAAGCACAAGGCGATTTTTGCAAAATTCAAGCAGGCATAATTCTAAAGCAATAGGCTTACTGGCAATGGTGTTCCACACTGTTCTACTATGACAGTACTGATAAACTAATTAATTTTGGTAGAGGCAACTGGACAAGCGACTAAATGGAACAAGAAACAGACATCAACTTAAGATTATGATCTGGTTCGACAACTCGGGTGTGCGCCATAACTACAACCTAATACACATGGCAAGAACATGGCACATAGCAATAAATGAAACCCCAAACAAGAAAATCGGAAGAACAATGCTGAAGATCAGTGCCATTTACTTTCAAAGTTCACTTTTCTTTGTTCGATATTAGATAGTGTTGAACAAAAGTATTTTGCTATCACGGAATACTGAGCATGCAAAAATGAGCTAAATTCCATAGGAAATGAACAAGAACAGAACAGCCACAACAAAAGAGAACATAAATCAAACTTTAATTCATTAACACAATATTCATAGTCTGACCACCAATTCAAGTTCAACAGCAAATCAGTTAAAACAAAAATATCTTCTTGGAGTTCATGACAACTCAGAAACAACTACTCTGACGATTCTTGGGCCAAAACTTCAAGTCCTGGGACGTTGAAGGTCTGCTACTTAACGGTACTGCAACCAAAAAGAAAGTCAATTACAATGTGAAAATGATTCTAGATCGGTGAGGGGAATTAGCACACAGTCAGTGGCTGAAAGTTCCCAAAGCATTACCTTAATGAAGCCAATTTCCTTGGCATTGCTACGGAAGCACTGCCTGCAACACATGAGACCGTACTTCCTGATCAACCCATGGGGGTTTCCACACACGCGACTGTAAAAAGGAAACCAAAACAAGCAAAATCAATATATATATACACACATATTGCAAAGATGCAAAATTATAAACACAAACCAGACCCAAACAAGTAACAAGTCCAAATGAGAAATGTATCAACAACAACTACTCATGGAACACATCTGACCAAGATGTCTTCATGTAATTCAACAAATTTCAACACATCAATGCATTCAAACAACAATGGGAATATGCTTATTTAACCAAATTAGGTAAATCAACAGACAAACGGGAGCATGAAAAACCCATGTGAAAAGGGCCAATTCAATTAAGATTGAGATTTATAAATTCCAGAAATATGCAACAAAACCGCAAGAAAGAACAGATTGACAAACTCCACAACGATAGATTATTGACTACAAACACGTTCAATATCATGGACTGTTTTCCTACAACAGATAGAAATTACAGAAACCCTCGCAAACAGAAAAGTTAAAGACTACACACAAAATACAAATCAATCTAAATAAACTAACAACAGAGTTGAACTTGAAACCAACGAAGATGAACTGGGAATTGAAAATTCTCGGAAATCAAAGTGGGAAAATGAGTACCAGGTGCGCGATCCAGGGCCGTAGTTCTTAGGGTGAGAGTTCCACACGTTGGAGTGCCCCATGATTTGGCTTGAAGGAAGTAAAAACCCTAGCAGGCGCAGAGGAATCTCAAGGTGCGGATGAAGTGGAGCAGCTATGTTTAAACTTGGTATTTATAGTGGGAGAGAGTCAAAACAAAACCCTAGACTTATAAGAACGCACGGGTGGGTTATCTAGTCGGGTCACCAAACGCAGGCCCACCCGACCCGATCGGTATATAAATAAAAGGTAAATAAAACACTGCTTGAAAACAGAGACCTTTCAAGTTTCTAATTCTAACTTTGTTCGGAGCGAGAGACCATCAGTTCCTCCATGGCAGCCCAAGCTGGCTCTTCTTCTGCTGCTCAGGTAATCTTTTATCTCTGCTCTTGGCTGAAGCCGAAAGCTTGATTCTTTTGAATTTTTGTGACAAAGGGTTTTGTTGATTGTGCGAATCAGGAGGACCCATTTGTTGAAAACGAAGAAGAGTTGATATTTGGAGCTGAATCGGGTTGGGTGGAGGCCCGAACATTCTGCGATCACCTGCCTTCCCTGTCCACTGATCTTGCTCACATTCCCGCCCCTGATACTCCCTGCAACAGGTTCCTTTTTCTCACAGCTGGAACCTTTCTTTTCTCAGTTTTTCAATTTTGTTTGTGTTTTTCCAATTTGACCCAGTTCTCAATTTAGCCTCTGATCACTTGTTCCAGCTTTGATTGTTATCACTAGCAAAAGAGTTTGATAAAGGGTTAATTTTTTTTTTCTTTTCACAAAAGTCGCAACCCATCTTCTAATTTTTCATTCATCCTCTTGTTTATATTTGCAGCCATTTGTCTCTTTACCCATGAAGTCACATGCTGTATGGTTGTCTGTTAAGCGTTTGCTTTCCGAATTTGTATACTGTTTTTCAAACAAATGAATGAGTTGAGGTTGCTTTACATGACTGCGGAACATTTGTGACTGCTGTTTAAATCCAACAATGTGCATTGCATCTAACTTCCCCTGAAAAGCTTTAAAAAGAAAACATAGAGAAGACATCTAGCATTGTTGAAAGCATGGCTCTGAGAGGACTAAGATCCTCATTCTACGGCATGAGGTTGTTCTAGTTTCCTTTCCTAGCAGTTTAATGTCTAGGTAACCTTTGGTTTTACACATATTTATATTCGAAGTGCATCAACTATAAAAGGATCTGAAATTTTTTCTCATCCAATTAAATCTTCAAATTTTTATAGAGAAAGAGAATCTAAAGCTTGCTCCTTCTGATTCTCTTCTCTTTAGACGTTGTTTTGAGTCGGAGTGCCTAAGTCTTGAATCATACGTTACATTTCTAATATGGGAAACATTTTTCTTAAACTAGATGCCAGCACCCGAATGAGAACTGGTTATGTTTGTGCTGTAAGGACATCCTGTGCAGCCGCTTCGTGAACAAGCACATGCTTCAGCATTTTCAGCAGACAAATCATTGTCTTGCTCTCAGCTACAGGTATAATTATCAATGCTTTCCACAAAATTTTCCTTCCTCAAGTCATCTTTTCTTTACTGTTCTACAGTGATGGTTTCCAAATTTGTCTTCTCACTTTCTTTTCATTTCAAACAGTGATCTATCAGTTTGGTGTTTCTCCTGCGATGCATATTTAGATGCTCAAGTAATCCCACAACTGCGGGGTGTATATGAAACTGCCTACATACTGAAATTTGGAGAGGCCCCCCCGTTCCGGACGGGTTAATAGCAAACTGAGAGTTCATAACTGGAGGTGGTGATCAAATTAATTAGAGACTTGCAGTACACTTGTTGGAGTTTTTCTTATCAGATGAGGTTCCTTATGCAAATATGTACGTCATCCAAATGACATAATAGTAAAGTTCAATGGCAAATTTGGACAATCATGGATTGTATTGTAGTTATCAAGTCCTTTGAACTACTAGCTGTTATATAATTTTTTGTTGTATGTGTCTCTTGGATCAAATTAGAGACGGCTTGTATCATCAACTGTCGAAAATGCAGACGGTACAAAGAACAAGAAAAACTTGGGAATGAATTAAGAAAAAAAATTTAGTCCAAATCTCATCAACTTCACTCCAAATCTAGTCCAACTTTTTTTTGTATTTGTTTCAAAAAAATAAAAAAAAAATCTGAAACTTGTGAATGAATTAAGAATAATTTGGTAAATTTATATTAGTCCATTGACAGTTGGTCCTATTTTTCCACTTTTTTTTAAGGCGTTGATTCCAATCTATTATCATACATGTTGCAGACTAGTTGTATTGTAGGATGCAAAATGATTTCTTTAGATCTAGGGCCGGTTTGGTGGGCTTAAGTGTGCATCACGGACTGGATATGCATATCCAATAGTCCAGAATAACATGGTCTCTTCGCGTAGTCTCTTCTGTCTACTCTCCTTTCTTCTCTGGCGTATTTGGCTTCTGGTTTGGCTCAAACAAGGTTCAAATCTCTATCTCTCTCTCTCTCTCAAGTTTTGTTTTTCGATTTTATTGTTAAATTTTGAGATTCCTGATGAATGTTATCTTCATTTTCTGGGTTTAGGGTTTCGATTTTATTGGCGCATGTTTCTCATTCTTGCTTTAAGTTTGTTTTTACTTCAATTCATTGAAAATCTTCAGATCTAGTATCGCCGATATGGGTTCCACTTCCATAGTATGCACCATTTCGTTTATTTATTTATTTATTCTGATAAAGATGATAGCTTTTTTAATATATAATATTTTACAGTGCAGTCCTAGAAAGTATGGCATCAAACAACAACTAGGGTTCGAAGCCTGGTCCAGTCTCAGCCAGTCCAATCTAGTCCAATCCAAAAACTACCGGGAGGTTTACAGCCACTCTTGGTTCTGACAAATCCAAACGGGAGAAGATGCTGCTGAGTTTTCTCTGTTAACGAAGAACAGGTGAGTAATATATTATATATAATGTATGCAAACTCCAGCTGCTCCCTTTCTTTCTCACTTTGTTCGTGCCTTGTTTTTGCTCAATCTCTTTTGGTTTTGCTTGCTCACCAGTTAAGACCCTTCAACCCTACAAACTAAAAGACAGAAAGAAAAATAATATGGAAGAAGCAGAGCAGGAGCAAGAAGCTCGGGGGCTGAAATCTGTAGCTGAGGCCAAATGCAAAGACTCCAACTTCAAATCAGCCCTCAAATACGCAAAACGAGCGGAGCGGCTGTGCCCAAACCTGGACGGCATTTCCTCCATGGTCACCGCCTTCAAGATCCTCCGTACAGCCTCCAAAACCCCCGATCCCAACTGGTACAAGATCCTCCAGGTGGAGCCCTTTGCCCACACCAACACCATTAAGAAGAACTACAAGAAGCTCGCATTTCTTCTCCACCCTGACAAGAACCCACATGCTGGTTCCGAAGAGGCTTTCAAACTCGTCAGCGAGGCGTTTCGGTTCCTTTCCGATAAGCTTAAGAGGAAGGAGTATGATATGAGACTCAGGATAAGGATTCAGGATGAGAAGATTAAAGAGGGTGCTGTTGGGGGTTTGGGTTCGAGTGTGGTGGTGGAGAGGGAGACTTTTTGGACTTCGTGTTCGACGTGCCGGCTTTTCCACCAGTTTGAGAGGAGGTATTTGGGGCATAATTTGGTTTGCCCAAGTTGTAGGAAGAGCTTTAAGGCTCTGGAGGTTGAAAGTGATGAGAATGGTGGTGGTGAAAATGTTAAGGTTAGGACCAGTGAGAGGTTAAGAAACGTCACCGGTTTGGCATCAAAAGGGAAAATAATAAGTAATGAAAGATTAGGCAGGAGAGTGAGTGATAGTGGTGAAATTAATGGTGGTAGTGGTGGGAGAGGGAAAAGTGTGAGTGGTGGTAATGGTGGTGAACCATTTGGTTTGAGGTTGAGAAGGAGAATGAGTAGTGTTGGAGAGGTGATGGAGAGGTCTAAACCAAAGAAGGCAAAAACCAGTGAGGACATGATGACATTGGCAGAAATGCAGTCGGAAATGAAGAAAAAGGCGCAAAAGGAGAAGATGAAGATGAAGTTGAAGCTTCAAGACAAGAAGGATGAAAGAGAGAAGGAAGATAAGAGGGAGAGGCTGAGGCATAACGATTTGAAGAAGGGTAAGAATTTTGAAGTTGAGAGACGGACTATTTCAAAGAAGATTAAGGATTTAGGAAGTGATAAGACTAGAGGTTTGGCAGTAGACAGGAGCAGCAGGGTGTCAAAGAGTGGGGATTTGGAGATTATGGCAGTGGAGGATTCTGATTTTTATGATTTTGATAAAGATAGAGAGGAGAGGAGCTTTAAGAAAGGGCAGGTGTGGGCGATATATGATGATGATGATGGAATGCCCAGGCATTATGGTTTGATCGATGAAGTTGTTTCTGTCAATCCTTTTGAGGTGAAAATGAGTTGGTTGGATCTTCAAAATAATGGTGATGAGTGGTTGGCTTATTGGGAGAAAATGGGATTCCATGTCTCTTGTGGGAGGTTTAAGGTTGCCAGGAAGACTCCCATTTATTCAGTGAATATATTTTCTCATGTCGTGAATTGTGAAAGGGCTGCAAGAGAAATTTATCGTATTTATCCAAAGAAGGGTTCCGTGTGGGCACTTTATAATGAAGCAGCTTTGGATGCAGAGGGAAGCAACCTGTCTGTTAAAGATAAGCGATGCTATGACATAGTTGTGTTTCTGACCACTTATAGTGAGATGCACGGTTTGAGTATGGGGTATCTTGAGAAGGTTGATGGGTTCAAGACAGTATTTAAGAGGAGGGAGATTGGATCCCATGCTATTAGATGGCTAGAAAAGAATAACGTTAGGTTGGTTTCACACCAAATTCCTGCTAGGAAGCTCTCTGGTGATGAGGCTCCAAACCTTTTGAAAGACTGTTGGGAGCTCGATCCTGCTTCTCTTCCCCCGGATTTGCTTACATTTGGTTGGAGAAGATAGGTTATGGTTGGGAAAGCAGAGAGGTTTCGTATAGCCTTTCCTTCTTTGGTTTTGAGGTTCAAAGTAGGATATGTAACTTACTGTACATCAAGTACCCTAGTGAGGTGATTTTGTAAATAAGGGTATTGCTTTTGAACTGCAATCTAATCAGTTACTGACTTTATAATCTTGCGGGTGTTTTTTTCTTCACAAACTTTGTATTGTAAATTTTATTCAAAGTCCACAGCAACTCCTCAATGGCAGTGGCAGCTAGCTCTGACTTTGTCTCTTCTCCTAAGGTAATCTTTAACTAGTTGAAATAGATTAAGTTTAATGGTTGATGCTAAAACATATATAGCTTTTTCTGAATGACCAAATCTAAAGGTTTGTTTGGTGAAGGCACAGACATGGTGTGATCTCACCTGGTTTTTTTTACCTCTGATCTCACCGGCATTCCCAGCTCTGATACTCCATGCAAGAGGTTCATGTTACTTTTTCAATGGTTGTTTTATACTCTGAATTGTTGTTGTTGTTTGTTTTTATGTTTTGCCTTGTTTTTAAAACCCTGTTTGCTTTGTTTCTGAGTTGAGAATGATTGGTTGTTTGGCATTTGGGAAAACAAAGACACACAAAAGAAATGGAGTAGAAAAGTGTGTATGTTAAATGAGCTTTAATTATCTGCTAGAGCCAAGACCCAAGTCATTGCCTAGTTGTAGTTGAAAAGGAAAAGAAACTGTACCCTATTATGAAAAGTAGCTTTCTTTTTGTAATAATTTACTCTCTAGGTGACCTTAGTTGCATATATATATTCCCAATGGGCTAGAGCCATCAACTAGAAAGACAACTTTGATGAAAGAAGATTTCACAGTTATTCTGGCATTTACCATTTTTACATTATCAAAGCCTGACTGCTTGAATGTGAACCATAACTTGTATTTCTGATTTAATTTTGCAACTATGGGAACTGAGAGTTTTTAAAAGACTGGTGGTCTGTAAATTGAACCAAGTTAAAAGATAAAGAAGTTTGGTTGGTGTGTACTTTTAACAATCTCATTGTAAGCACTGAGATTCTGTTGTATATTTACCCGGCCAAAAATTGAATGTCTTCATTCCTCGGCTTGATCACAAAGGGTCCATCTTTTCTCACCATATGTTTAATTGACCAATCTCTGGTTAATTTCTTGGTTTAATTTCCTCTCCCACCTATGACTGTCTATTAAGCATTTGCTTTCTTAATTTGTATGCTGTTTCTCAGACATATGAATAAGTTGAGGTTGCTTACATGACTGCTACAATTGGTATAAGATTTCTATATCCTTTGTCATGCAATATATATGATTCCTTCTGCGAAAATCTGTGTTTGCATCTCAAATGGGATAAAGTATAGGACTGTAGGAAGTGACTGCTGTTTAAATACTTTAAAGCCACCTAATCCAACAATGTGCATAGCATCTTACTAAGTACTTCCTTATTCTTCAACTAATCCTAACAGTCTCCCCCTTCCCCAAAAAGACTTTAGAAGGAAAACATAGGAAAATACAATGTAGCATTGTTGCAGGCCTCTGAGTGAGGACTAGGATCCGCATTCCACAGCATGAGGTTGTTCTAGTTAATTTGTAGATTTGCAAGTTAAATAAACTTTAATTCATCTACGTGAAGCCAAGACCATGTCATTACTTAAATAAACTCATAGCACACTTGGTTTTTTACCGGTTGTTGCTTGCATGTAAGTTGCAATAGGAAATGAAAGTAAACTTGTTCCTTTCATCGACGATAAGAGGATTCGAAAGGCTTTCTCTCACATCGAATAGAATCTTCAGATTGTTATAGTAAAGAGAATCCAAAGGTTGCTCCTTCTGATTCTGTTCCCGTTTTACGTTGATCTGAGTCTGAGTGCCTCATAAATTAGATGCCAGCACCCCAATGAGAACTGGTTATGTTTCTGCTGTATGGACGCCCTGTGCAGCCCTTTTGTGAACAAGCACATGGTTCAGCATTATCAGCAGACAAAGCATTGTCTTGCTCTCAGCTACAGGTACAATTATCAATGCTTTCCACAAATTTTTCCATCTTGAAGTCGTTTGTTGTTTATTGTTCTACAGTGATTGTTTCCAAATTTGTTTTTCTCACTTTCTTATTTCAATCAGTGATCTATCAGTTTGGTGTTTCTCCTGTGATGCATGTTTAGATGCTCAGTAATCCCACAATTGCGGGGTGTGTATGAAACTGCCTACATACTGAAATTTGGAGAGGCCCCATCATTCCGGACGGTTTAATATCCGGCATGGAAAATAAGCACACTGAGAGTTTATAACTGGAGGTGATAAAATAAATCACAGTACACGTTGGAGTTTTTCTTATCAGATGAGGTTCTTTAAAGAGACATTCATACGGTCGTACCATTCGATTGCTAGGTAGCATATTCCGCAGAACTTGATACATTCATGATCTACTGTACTCTATACCGAGGCATAAGTTCTGCAAATGTCTGTTATCCAAATGACATAATAGTACAGTTCAATGGCAAATTTGGATAGTCATGGATCGTATTTATCAAATCCTTTGAACTATTTGGTATTATTCAATGTGTTGTAGTTGAATGAGTTGAGGATAGTTTGCTAATTGTATATATGATATACCTTAACAAATGGTCCTACTTCGGGTTTCAATCTGTCATATGTACCTCATCTATTTCTCTTAACCCTATTATATTCCATATACATATAAGATGCAAAAAAAAATTCCAGTTAAGGGCGTGCGCTCAAGTTTGAATCTTTCTCGAGTATGCTATACTCAAAAGAGCTTGATAAATTGACCCAAAAAATTACATTCAAGATAAAATGATTGAAATCCAGGCCCATTTGAATCCTAAGTTCTTTTTTATTAATATTCTTTGGGTCTGTAAATAAATCCCAAATATTTTATTTTGGATTATTTATTACTTTAGACAATCTCCAACTTTGTTGAGGCTAAACTCAAAATTTCACTCTCTAAAATACAACTATTCATGTATTGTCCAAACTCAAACTGTTTTTTCTCCAACCATACATACTAATATTTTGGGATGCAATTTTATTAAATTATTTAAGAAGAATTAAACTCTAATTTTTTTATCTGTTAATGACAGGACCCGACCCAAATTTCACTTTTGATTCCGAGCTGAACCCTATGCGTGTTTGACACCTGGCGGGTGCCGGACACAAATGACCAAATTGCCCTTCTAACACAAATCCAAAGGATTTCAAGCTCAACTTCTGCCGAAATTTCGATAGTCTCCCCTATAAATTGAACATTTCCCAAAAATTTCCACCTATAAAACAAACATGTATATTTATATATAATTCAACTGCCATCATGTATCGAATTACACTATTCTGCTAACAACATTCAATTCCACTTCTTATAATATCCCCATAACAATGTTAGATTCCATAATAATTTAATTGGTCTACCTTTTTACTACTTAAGCTCGCGGCTGCACCTATAATCTCTAGGTTGCCTACATACCCTTAATAAGGGATCAAGCCACACGTAGTTCTTCCAAATACTCGTATCAATCATATACGGAATATAAATATGTTATACACTGAACTCCTTTTATTTTAGTTTAAGAATATTTCAGAACTGAAATTCTCTCCACCTACGCGTATCCCCATTCCTGATTTGTCAATTCTATTAATACCGTCAACTCCATCCTCGCAGGCCCCAGTGACACCAAGTCTACTCGAGCCGCAATCCTCGCAGGCCTCAGAGATACCACTTCTACTCGGGTTGCAATCCTCGCACCACACGATTCAGGAGTCCCCGAACCACGTGGACATTATTTATAAATGACACTGTTTCGAAGCAACTAGGAGGTACCCTTGTGGTAGGTTTGAAAAACCATATCCCAAACTGATCTCAATACTTTCCCTTTATTACCCAATCCATTTCCCGACCTTTGTACCCACTCTCTGATAAATTGATTCTCAACTATACTTAATATATATACATGCCACAATTTAGCAATTTATAAATAACTATCTATTCAATCCGTAACATGACTTAGATAACTCATTCTCAGCCAGAACTCGTTTACATGGTCATTTTATCACTTCTCAAAGGGTATAACTGCCTCGTAAGACTCACGGTTAACCGAGGGGTCAAAATGCCTATACTTGGTCAACCGGGCCTGCGAGGCCCACGACCTCCTATCCCAAAACTGGGAGTCCCTAAAGGTTCCAATACACCTAGGACACATGTCCTGAGAGTTTGGTCTCGATCGGACAGTCAGATTAATCACGATCGCACGATCGGACGGTTACTGCAAACCTAGCCCTAGGGTTGGCGTTTCTGGAGTATCCGAGACTCCGTTTTACGATCCGTCTTATCCTATACGATCCTAGAATTACATAGATCAACATATATTAAATTGACTACGATCCAACGGTTCAAAAGTATCGAACCCAGAAATCGCACAATATGCGAGATCCGTTCGAGGCTCAAATGGTATCCAAACTGGAATCTGAGCACGCATACGCGCTTGTGACAACTAGGGAATCGCATTGGGACGTAACACCTTATTTCGAACCACTTTTGTTCTAGGACCTACCTCGAAAAATGTCCGGAATCTCAACCCGAAATCATGCCAAAACCTAGTTCCCAAAATCGTTCTCCTACACGCAAAATCAACAAATTCCTACCTAACAGGCAGCTATAACTCAAAGAGTAGATGAGATTTCATACATTTCCCAAAAATTTCCACCTTTTTCTTCTTCTTCTATCTTCTGTCTTCACAACTCAACCCAAAGTGATTGCTGCTGTTTGGAGTTTCAATCAATGGATATGTGATAATTACTACATACATGATAATTACTAGAGTCTCCCTTCCACTCTATAATTCTACATACGGGATATGTGATAATTACTACTCTTACCACTTTACTATTGTTGTCATACAGAACAAGGATTAGGCTTAGGTAACCAATATTCGCATTGTGTTGATCAGAAAAGGAAAAGAGAAAAAGCCTTCATGCCATAGATCAATTGTTTCTTTTTTGTTTTAGTTTTTGGTTTTTCCCAATATCCTTTTATAGGTTTCGATGTATTGCGTTGATCAGAATCTTTTCACATATGTTAAACTGTTTTTCATATCATAGATATATTTTTGCATGTCTACAACAAAAAAAAAAAAAAAAAACAAACTTTTGTTGTAATACGTAGGCTTTACAATTTTACTTCTTTGCAGGTGTCAATAAAAGTGATTGTGAGTATATCTTGTCGAGCACGAAAGCAACGTTTGCAAAGCAATATCATATCCCAAATTAGGTAAGATTCTTAAAATTCAGCTTTCTTAGATATTGAGGTTTTGATATCTTGAATAATATATATATATATATATATATATTTTTTTTAATGTCATGTAGACAAATGGCTCGATTAAGTTTGTCCACAAAGAGGAAACTACGTGTTACCATAAATGCTTTGATTGTCTACCTTCGAATAATATTTGTTGTATGTGCTGCGGGTTATGTCTATGCACGCTTAGCTTATCGAAAAAGTCGTCGACCAAGTCTTCCTTCGGTGATAAGAGTTTACAAACAACTAGAATACCTACATGGACTAGTTTATGAGAGTGATACTACATGTATTGACCAACTAAGGATGGATAGACAATCTTTTCATAAGCTTTGTCAAATTTTGGTCACTAAAGGAGAACTACGATCGACCCGAAACATGTCCACAAAGGAGATGGTTGCAATTTTTTTAAATATTCTTGCACACCATCATAAGAATCAAGTCATAAAATTTAATTTTACTAGATCGGGACGAACTGTTAGTAAGTATTTTCATGAGTGCTTGAAGGCAATGATTCGATGCCAAAAGGATTTCTGGAAATCACCAGAACCTGTACCTGAGAACTCAACAGACTATAGGTGGAAGTGGTTTAAGGTATGCACTATTTATAGCTATGAAATTATTCAAAACAAAAATACTTATTTTCTTTTAAGAACCTTATTAATAATTTTTTATATTTTAATATAGAACTGTTTAGGAGCATTAGATGGAACCTATATTAGAGTGAAGGTACCAGAACGAGAGAAACCAAAGTATAGAACAAGGAAGGGTGAAATAGCAACGAATGTTTTGGCAATTTGCTCTCAAGACTTGCAGTTTATATATGTTTTGGCTGGATGGGAGGGTTCTGCACATGATAGTCGAGTCCTTAAAGATGCTCTGAGTAGGAGAAATGGATTAAAAGTTCCTAATGGTAATATTTAAAAATCAATATTTTAATTTAGTGCATTTTCCATTATGCATAAAATATCACTTTAGGTTTATGTCTCTTACTGTTTTGTTTTTACATTAGGTTATTATTACTTAGTGGATGCTGGTTACACCAACGGAACAAGCTTCCTTGCACCTTTTAGAGGACAACGTTATCATCTTAATGATTGGAAGGATGGCCATCGACCTGAGACACCAAATGAATTTTTCAATATGAAACATTCAAGTGCTAGAAATGTTATTGAGAGGTGTTTCGGTTTATTAAAAATGCGTTGGGCAATTCTTAGGAGTCCATCCTTTTATGATATTATAACACAGCGTCGTATAATTTCTGTGTGTTGTATGCTTCATAACTTTATAAGAAAAGAGATGGCTTTGGATCCTATTGAACATCAAGTGGACAATCAGCTTGTAAATGGAACGTTGGAAACAAATGATTACATTGGTACAGTTGAGTCCTTAGACGATTAGAGTGTATGGAGGCAAAACCTTGCGAATGAAATGTGGAATACATGGAATGGAAATAGCGAATGAAGACATGTGATGAGCACATTATTTGTTTGTTTTTATCGTGTTATTTAATGTACTCAAGACACAAACTCACATGTAGAAATATATCCATCACTTTGACTTAGGCACTCTTTATTTATACTACATATGCTGTCGTTCTTTTCCTTCTTCGTTACGTTCATCTCCTCTCCAATGTCTCGAATCCTCAAAGCTTGGCCTGGTCTTCACAGAGGCTCTGCTGCTGCTTCCCCTTACTTCACTTGTGCAAATCATGTTTACACCGCATTATTGAGAATTATATATGTGTTGTAGTGAAAATGTGTAGGGCATTTTAGTAATCAAATTAATTTGGATTCTGATTCATGAAAATTAGTAAACAATAACAATGGGAATAAACCCCATTCCTTAACTAATTCCGTATGTTTAGTAAACAGCGTAATGGGAATGATTCTTCCCATACCGATTCAGTAGTTCTCCGATTCCTAAATTCTCTGATTCCTTCCCATACCCATTACTGATACGTAAACATGCCCTAAATGGATTGGTATTCCACTTGAGTTTTTGCCTGGATTGGTAATTTAGCATGTTCGGGTCGTTTGGCATGATGGACTGTCATGGGCTGGACTATATTCTAGGATTGTCTCGGATTAACTCGAATTGGCTTAAGCTGGATTAAGTGATGATCTACGTTTGGTAATGTGTCAAACTAAGAAGCTGAATTGTAAAAATAATGAAGACCTATGTTCGGTGTTGTGTCAGACTAAAAAATAATTCTTATAATATTTAAATTTAATTGGGGTTTTTGACCTGAAAGATAAATAAATGCTTTAAAAAAAACCCAATTCAAAGATTTATAACAATGTCTGGCAACAAAAAAAGATTTATAATAAAAAGAAAACAAATAAAATTATGTTTTTTTTTATGAAGAATAAAATTATGATATATTTTTTTTGGCTTCTCAAGATTAATCTTAGTTGGTCGAAATATTGTTAAAGGAGCTAAGCTCACTCTATATAATCTTTTTCAAGGATCAAGTAAAACAATAATTAAAATATACATATATATATATATGTATAATGTTTGTATATTTGACTTTTAACTTCAAACTGAAAAATATAATTTGACAAGGTAAAATTGCTTGCTATAAAGAAAGCATCACATCATGAATTATTAAACTTGTTTCAATATCAAAAAAAATCAAACATTTGTAAATTAATATAGTTTGATTTTCCAATGCAATATCAAAATAATTATTGTAATATTTAAATTTAATTAAGGATTTTTATCTAAAAAAATAAATGTTGCAAAAAAGAAAAAAAATCCATTCAAAAATCTAAAACAATAATTAAAAGAAAACAAATAAAATTATGATATTTTTTAAAGAGAGGCGTCAAACTCACGTGTTCTATTTTGCGAGCGTGCTATTTAGCAAACCACTTTTCAGGCTCACTGTATTAGAAGACGAGTGAGGCCTTTTTTTCACTATTGGACTATACAGTCTCATTTAAGTTAGTCTCATCTTTTACCAAACAATGGTTTCGAGTGCTATTTAACCCAGGTAAGTCTAGTAAGGCGTACCAAACATGGTCGTGTATAAGATTGAAGAAGCATTTTTGGCCAAAATGTCAAAATTTGACTATGGTTGGAGGAATAAACGTGGAGAAGAGTGAAGAGAATAACCTATGGAGAAGTTAGTAGAAAAGAACCCTAGGGAGAAGAAGATGAAAATATGAATTTTCACGTGAACGTGGGTATTCTTTTTCCCTAGCCGTATAATTAAGTGTGTATTATCAAAATCGGGGTGTGTGGGTTGTATTAGTTAGTCAGGTAAGGAGAGTATTAAAAGCCTAACCTGTTTAAAATAGTTAGGTAATTAAATAATACAAGTTGATACCAAATAACTGACATGAACTCATATCCAGAGTCTAATACGGTGTATCAAACGAGCCCTAACCGTCTTCAAAAATTATGAAAATATTCATGGACAACCATCAAGATGCTATATATCTTCCATCTCTAATTGGAATCATGTCAAACTCTATTATGATAATATTTGACAAATTTATACCTTTCTTGACTCATAAGCTAAAAAAAATAACTAAAATCAACATCTTTAGTCAAATTAATTCACAAAACTAAGTAAAAAAGGATATAAAATCATGTGAAATTATGAAATATCAGATGCCTTAGCCTCGAAGTTTCATAAAGAGGAGAAAGCAGTAAAGGAGAGGAGGACCTCAAAGTCACGAAAAAAAGGCGATTCAGCTTTTAGTTTGATTGGTGTATCCAAGTGACATACATAAACAGCGGTTTAGAAACCCAAAGACGCAAAGCAGCAACTTCTCAATGGCAGAGAAAGCTGGCTCTGGCTCTTCTTCTCCTAAGGTAATCTATCTGCGCTTAGTAACTAGTTGCTTTTTCTGAAAGCTTATGACTAAATCTAAATGGTTTGTTTGGTGAAGGCAAAGACATGGTGCGATCACCTGGCTCTTCTGTCCTCTGATCTCACCCGCATTCCCAAATCTGATACTCCATGCAAGAGGTTCGTGTTACTTCTTCAAATGGTTGCTTTAGACTCTGAATTGTTTTTGGTTGCTTTGCTTGGGAGTTGGGAATGATTGATTATTTGGCATCTGGGAAAACAAAGATACACAAATGGAGTAGAAAAGTGTGCATGTTGAATGAACTTTAATTATCTGCTAGACCCAAGACTCAAGTGATTGCCTAGTTGAAAAAGAAAAGGAAAATAAACTCAACCCTATTTTGAATAATTAGCTTTCTTTTTGTAACAATTTACTATCTAGATGACCTTAGTTTCACATATAATATATATCTCCCCAAAGGGCAAGAGCCATCAACTAGAAAGACAACTTCGATGAAAGAAGATTTCAAAGTTCTTCTGGCATCTATCACTTTTACACTATCAAACCCTGAGTGTATGAATCTTGAACCATAACTTGTATTTCTAATATGTGGACCGATTTTGATATACTAGATGCCAGGACCTCAAGGAGAGTTGGGTTTGTTTGTCCTGCAAGGACGTCTTCTGTAGTCGATATGTGAACATGCACTTCGTTGAGCACTATGGGCAGACAAAGCATTGTCTTGCTGCCAGCTGCAGGTACCATTACCAGTGCTTTCCACAAATTGTAACCTTAAATCTTTCATTTTCTTTACTTTTCTAGAGTGATTGTTACGAATATCTCTTGGGCATGTTTAGGATCTATCCTCGTCATCCAAGCTAGAGAACATGGATGCGCTGATGGTTGCTGTTGCTGATCTTATATCTGAGCCAGTTCCTAGTTTTGACTTTCGTCCAGCAGATGTGCAGTCGTTGGTTTGGCATGATGAGCATGAGCTTGCATTGGCCAAGGAGGGACTCCAGAAGATCTTTGATCGTGGGTTAGAAGCTTTAGCTGATCATCAAGTGCAAAAGGAGTTTCTCGCGTACTCAGCCATATTTCTAGCATACCCATGCCCATCAGAGTTGAAGGACCTTTCATCATTCGGGGTTAATCTTTCAGAGGAAACCTCTGCTTTCCTCCAAGCTCAACATAAGTTGAAGGTGGCGTCAAACCTATCAGCCTCAGTTACTCAGAAAAAGTTTGTGCTCCGGCAGCAAGCTTCAAAGTATGCTGAGGTGAAGAAAGAAATTCTTGCCACGGATGAGAAAGTTGCCAACCTTAAGGCCATGATCAAAGAGTTGGAGTCCGAAATAAAGAATTTGGAAGCTAGTTTAGCCACGGCTGAGAGTGATAGGGAGAAGACTCATGAGGTTTTGGATACCATTGATACACAAGTTACTACTGTGAGAGATGGATTAGTCTCAGACTTAGCACAAGCATCTGCCATGGAGGGAATGACACGGGCAGCGAACGAGTTAGTAACTCAGCGGCAGTCAGCTTGGGATAGCCTGAGGACTACTTTTGCAAAGCTTTTCTGATGTATATGGCAGTCTGCATGGAAGGGAAGAACACACTGTCAATGCTGTTGAAATGTCGAAGGATGATCTTCTAGACTATGTTTCATTAACCAAGGCTCATAATTTCGACCCTTCTGTCTTGTTGTAAGCTCACTAGGTCACTCGCTTTTGAATATGGAAGTGATCAAGCTCGGCTAATCTCGCTTTGTCCAACTCTTCCTGCATCATGGCTTGATCATTTTTGGATAGAGTTTGGTTCTGATTTTTGATGGTTATCTCCATTTACAAAATTGCATTGTCGTTGTAGCCTAAGGCAAATGGTATGGTTCCATCAAGCCAAAAGAAAATTGGCATATGGTTCCAGTCTTGAACTTCTTAGATGTTTAATAGGTTCAGGTCTTTAAAGTAGATAGAGCCAAGTCCCTGGGTTTCCTTGACCATAGTTTCTATGAATGTCGTGAATTGTTTGTTACTCAACTCCGTCTACCAATTGATTTAAGTAAAGTCCGTTGTTTCATTGTTCTCTCTCTCTCTCTCTCTCTCTCTCTCTCTCTCTCTCTCTCTCTCTCTCTCTCTCTCTCCCTCCCTCCCTCCCTCCCCTATTTCATCCTCCTATTATCACTTTTTCCTTATTTCTTTAATCTTCTTTTAGCAAAAAAGAAGTACAAGAACCAAAAAGTTAATCAAAATGGTTTGCTTGCGGTTAAACTGGATTAGCCGGGATTCATGATCAGCCGAACTCTATATGGGGACACAATAAACCTCAAGGGTTATGGTAATGTCATAATCAAATTGACAAAATAGAAAATTAAAATTGCTAATTTGGACAACCATGGAATTGATCAATCTAGCCCCTTCAAGTGTAGAAGCTGTTCATGTACAAGCTTTGTCTACTGCTGCACATGCACAGAGGGCAAAGTCCCACAAAATATGCAACGGGGTACTATCGATATGTTTTATTTGTAACTCATGCAATTTTTTATATGAAGTTGATTACAATCAATGCTGTGTACAATATTACCATCAACTCTAATAATTCAACATCTGATCCAGAAAGTACTTAATAAATTTTGTCTTCAAATCCTGAAGTAAGTCCTAGTAGATCGCAAGCACGCTGCTCACACTCTAACTTGCCCCACCTTGCATCAACTCGCTCACAGGGGAAAACCGGTTTGCTAAGGCTGTATCAATAACCCCACATTTTAGCACCCAAAAGAATACAGTTTGTCAAAATGTAAAAATTATCAGGTTTCTCAAAGGGCCACAGCTCAAATAGCATCTCAAATTACAGAACCAGGACAGTTGAGCTGGTGCCTGGTGTCAGCCAGACTACCTTTCAAACACTGCGGTGACTAAATCCAATCTTAGCAGTGCAAATAAACTCTAGTATCTGGTCAGAAAAAGCTAATAGCATTGTGTGGAGATTTCTGCAGAACTTACCTTCTGTTAACTGTATTATGCACGTGACATAGCCATTGGGAGAATTCAGCATGTGATCCAGCCTGTACAGGATTTGATCTGCCAAACATGCAGCAAAGATGCATCTATTGGTTCAAAATTATACGGAAGAAGCATTTGGAGATTGTACGGTAAAGCATTTGAATGTCACATTTAATCATTTGATAGCAAAGGACCTATAACGTAGTTGAGAATTATGGAAAAATAGAGAACAATCATGATGAGCAAAGTTGAAATGAAGATGAAATTGTGCACCTGAGAATTTCTTGAAAGTGATCTGCGCATTCCTTGCAGGGGTACATTCGTGATAATATTGACATCTGCATAATAAATGCACACAAAATGAGTTGCTCCGATTGCATAATCCAATTCTTCCACATTGTGTATATCAGTTTCACACCTAACAATATATTATCACAGTGGCTTCTTGAAAGACAAAGTCCAACATAGAAAAAAGAAAACATGCCCAAAAAATGAATTATTTTTAGAATAAAATAATGAGGTTGCACAAAGTTATGAAGAACAAACATTTTCCTTTCTGGATAATCCTACATTAAGTTCTGATGAGACTCCATCTGAAAGAAATAAGGATTTAAGAAAGGCAGGAATATTGTCACTCCTTTTTACCTTGCACTCCACATTGTGAGTGCATAAAAATCATAAGATAATCAGTTTGGAGTGCCAGAGGTTAATTGAGGAGTGCTAATGAGCTAATGGTGTTACCCTTTAAGAAAAAATGATTTGCAATCATATTTCCGCAGGAGTAGGATTGTGAAACTCTTCTTAGCTCTTCAGAAATGAACAAAGAACAACTAATGAAGTAGATTTATGGTCCATTGCTATCTAATAACTTAATGGAAACCCAACTGAAGCACCAAGTCATGGCATCATTTTTGTTGTGGTACATAGACTAGTTAAAAGAAGAGAGGAGAGAGAGAGAGAGAAGCATATACCAATTCTTTTACATCCTTCTTCTGTTGCCTTGTTGGTTTATCTGGATACTGAAACAAATAAAAGTTATTAAATAATTCAATCTACATGAAATGGTTAATAATTACATGCGCATAATATGTCATTTTGTTGTGATCAAGAGCAGAAGGTGCAGTATACATAAGTAATTTTCTTGCAAATGTCTATTTTTTAGCTGGTAGTCTGCAGTAGTTATCTTTAGGATAATTAAAAAACTATAAGTGTAAAGCAAGGGGAATGAACCAAGGGACTAGTTAGTTTATAGTATACCAACTTTACTTTCAATTTTGTTCTGGATTCGTTAACAACATTATTGCACACTGCAAATAATACTAACACTCACTACTTTGTTTACCTGAGCAGCAAGAGTGTGAAGAAAAGTCCAAGTGGCTCTTCCAAGCTCTTCTTTAGTCAAAGGACTAGCCAAATTTCCCTGAATATAAGGAATTGATTCATCATTATCAACAAAGCAATTCCCTGTTGAAATTCTAAATAAGTTTTCGACAGAATAAAATGGCTTGAAAATGCCATGGAAGCTAACTATGGCTACTGGTACCTACAGGAACTCAACCTGCATACATTTTGTAAAGTGAAAGATACGGCATTAGTATACAACACAACCCGTCTCAGCCAATAAGCCGATCCTGTGTTTCTGCAAACACAATATCTCAGCCGACCCTACATTTACACACAAAACCCACCAAACAAATGCTTCCAACCAAAAAACATATTTCAATGGGATTCCTCTACGTGAATTAGAGAAAAATCCACATGCACTAACACATAAAAATTAGCGCTAGACTCGTTCAGGACTTCTATCAAACAGTTACCGAGTTACCCATCTCTCTAAGACAGAGTACAAACAAGGAGATCCAACAAAGGCTGCAACTTTAGATTTAAAACACTGCAAACGAGTGAGTGTAACGATCATCAATGAGAAAGAGTACCTTTTTCATTGTGATGAGATCGGTGTGCCGGGGATGGGTGGAGACATTTTCTGACGAACGTACTTTGGAGGAGGAAGAGACAGAGAAAAGACGTGTTTGCGTTGTGGGAGAGGAGTGGCGAGGTTGGCCTATGAGATTAGAGAGTTGGGCTTGAATTGAATTTGAGACTTTCGCAACAGTTTCAAACAGCGCCTGCAATGGATGCTCCGACATTTTCAGAGACAGCGAGACGCGAAGGAGATGTGTGGCGGGAAAAAGACAGCTTGTTTGGTGTATGAATTCTAATAAGGAATATTTGCTTACGGGCAAGAGCCCACTTTAGGAAGAAAAAAAACATATTTTAAAGTGAATTTAGAACTCTTGGGCATTATTTTCTTGCGAGCCGACTTTTAAGGGCAATTTCTACTTATAGGTTAGAAAAATCGTTGTAGAATAGTGTATTAGGTGGTTAGGTAACTTGCTAAGTGCAATTTTTATTTTTTTTAGCAGAACTTGTTACATGCATTCGAATGGCACCTCTATCTATTTTATGTCTCTTGTTTCCGACCCCAACTAACATCACATTCACATAATCAACGACCACGTTGGGGAACCAATGGGTCATCATCATCATATCTTCCACATATCCATGCCATGTTCAGTACGCAATCCAACACAAGGGCGTATGGGAGGACAGTGTAGTGACGTCCCAACATTCCACATAAATATTAGCCTCACGTGACTCTACAGCGCGTATGCAACGCATCCCCAGTCAAAGATTAGACTCGCCCACAAATGAAGGATCCATTTTCACCACTTCTGTGGAAGAAAGTGGCTTTAGTTTTCTTCCAAGAAGCAAAATAGAAGAGAGGGTTCATTGATCCAATCCAACACCTCTATTGTGAAATTCATGCCACACCCAGTTTGGCAAATCCTTCAAAACAGGTATTTTCTCTGAACAAAATCACCTGCAGAAACTTCTTTGATTGTTTTTGTTATGGGTTTTGATGGAGCTAGCAGGCTACAGTTAGAGCTTAGCATCATGAAACAATAACCAGATCTAAATTTCAGGCATAACCCAGTTCATTGAATCCATTAGGCTGCTTGGTATTGGAGTTCGTATATTTTTCCCTCTGCTGTCTGTTGATGGCTGAAGAGGGAATAGTCAATGATGACGCAAAGAACACAGCTGCAAAACCAAACCCAAAGTTGACACTTTTGCCTCTTATAGCTCTAATTTTCTATGAGGTTTCTGGGGGTCCTTTTGGTGTAGAGGATTCAGTCAGGGCTGGGGGTGGCCCTCTTTTGTCTTTGCTTGGTTTCTTGGTGTTTCCCTTGTTTTGGAGCATCCCAGAAGCTTTAGTGACAGCTGAGCTTGCCACAAGCTTCCCTGAAAATGGTGGATATGTGCTCTGGATATCAGCAGCTTTTGGGCCTTTCTGGGGTTTCCAAGAGGGCTTTTGGAAATGGTTTAGTGGGGTTATGGACAACGCTCTTTACCCTGTCCTATTCCTGGATTACTTGAAGCATTCATTTCCCATCTTCAACCGGTTGATAGCTCGAATTCCAGCTCTTTTGGGAATAACATTCTCATTGACATACTTGAACTACCGTGGACTACACATTGTCGGGTTCTCTGCTGTTTCCCTTGCGATTTTCTCACTTTGCCCGTTTCTTGTAATGGCGATTCTTTCGATTCCCAGAATAAGGGTTAAGCAGTGGCTAGTTGTAGACTTTAAGAAGGTGGAGTGGAGGGGATACTTCAATAGTATGTTTTGGAATCTGAACTATTGGGATAAGGCAAGTACCCTTGCAGGGGAGGTTGAAAATCCAAGTAAGACATTTCCAAAGGCGCTTCTCGGGGCTGTAGTTGTGGTGGTTTCTTCATATTTGATCCCACTTCTTGCTGGAACAGGAGCTTTAAACTCTGCCTCTAGTGAGTGGACTGATGGGTACTTTGCAGAAGTTGGGATGTTAATAGGTGGCTTTTGGCTTAAGTGGTGGATTCAAGCAGCTGCTGCAATGTCTAACATGGGGTTGTTTGAAGCAGAAATGAGCAGTGATGCCTTTCAACTTCTTGGGATGAGTGAGATGGGAATGCTTCCGGCTATATTTGCTTCAAGGTTTGTAACTTGTATGCTTCATCTCCCTTAGCAACCTCAAGGAATTTAACCTTTGATGCATATTCCATCTATAAACTTAATTAAGTGACAGATTATTTATAATTTATATCCCAAGATTCGATAGGGGATCCTTTCTTCAAAGAAAAGGACCTTTTGCTTCCAAATTGAGTGGGATGCTATCTGACCTTAGGTGCAGTGTTGATGAGCACTTACCTGATTGTTTGTTTAATTCCATCTTGTAGGTCAAAGTATGGAACACCTACTATTAGCATTTTGTGCTCTGCTACCGGAGTTATCTTCTTGTCGTGGATGAGTTTTCAGGAGATCTTGGAATTTCTTAATTTCTTATATGCTATAGGAATGCTTCTTGAATTTGCAGCTTTTATAAAATTGAGAGTAAAGAAGCCAGACCTTCATCGACCTTACAAAGTCCCCTTCCAAACATTTGGGGCAACAATGCTTTGCCTGCCTCCTGCATTGTTGCTTGTTCTTGTTATGTGCTTGGCTTCTCTAAGGACTTACTTTGTAAGTGGTTGTGTAATCATTGTTGGGGTTTTGTTGTACCCTCTTTTAGTTCATGCAAAGGATAGGAAGTGGGCACATTTTGATGCGGAACAACCTGCTGAGCCTCCCCTTAACTGTCCGGCTGGCCATTCATCGGCATCGCAGTTGCATCCAGAAGATGCAGATGAGGCTTCAGTTGGCCTTCTCACAGACTTGTCACCTGGTACAGAACAAGAACCCTCCAAATTGAGGTTAGAAGAAGTCTTGAAATTAGAGTAGCCAGTCCTTTTCATACCAACTTTCACTGGTATGCAAAGCTATAAACGAATGTGTAATTCTTTACCATATAAGCTGTAATTCTAATGCTATGTGTTTGAAGCTGTAATTCTAATGCTATGTGTTTGAAGCTGTAATTCTTTTTGTTATGTGTTTGAAGTTATTTTGATGTATTTGTGTTTGTATAAGTTAGTTTGTGCAAGATGAAAACTGGGTTTGAAAACTGTACATGCTTTCAGAGTTTCGATTGCATTGAAAAGGTTATAAAGTTCTTTTGCAAAGGATAGAAAAATGTGCAATAATCACCAAATGCAGAACCCAGATGGTCCGCTTTGTTGGCATCTCAACTCTTTGTCTATCCATGGCAAAGCCCTAAACCCAATGTCCTCGAAATGAAGTCAATGAACCACAGTAACAATTCTAGGCTCCTACTTTATCCATCCATGGCAAGCTGCTCACCAGCTGCTTGTTTTGTACACAAGCGAATATTTGTTTGAACTTGGCTCGTTTGGGAATGCTTCTCTAGGAAGCACTTATGCTTATAAGCGCTTATAACAAAAGCATTTGTATTATAAAAGTGTTGAAATTTTCATAAGAAATCTAAGTGCTTCTTGAAGAAGTACATACCAAAATGCTTCTCCAGAAAGTGTTTCTATGACCCAAACACTTCTAAATTATTCTGCTAAATACTGTAAAAAACACTTTTGTTTTTCAAAAAACGCTTTTAACTCTTTCAGAAGCACTCCTAAACAAGATCAAGTATAGTGAGTTGGTAGGTTACGAACCAAATGATGAGGCTACATTTGACGTATGAATGTATGAGATTTTGGCCTCCAACTTTATATCACGTACAATTACAATTTGTACCTCAATAAGATTTTGCATTTGATGTGATGATTTATAGATTCCGAGGTAAAGTATACCTAGAGCTATAAAAAATAGTACGAATTTCTGTTTCCCCTCTCTTTAAAAACAAAAAGAAAGATCAAAGCCAAATGTTTGCCCTTAAAATATGAAACATGTTTTTTTATTCTCTCTCTTCACTAGAGGGGAGGTAAAAGGAAGGAAAAACGAAAGAAAGTTACAAAAGAGCGCAAACTAACGGGCCCTAAACAAGTCTTTCACATCTCTCAAACTCAGAAAAACGCACGTGTAGTGTAGCTTTTACAGAAGAAGGTTCGGAAAGCACACAAAGCCCTTCATCTTAGTCCTTGTTTGGTTAACAGAAGTAGCTTCAAGCATTGGCCTCGTTTCACTCAGGTGCGTGTCTCTCTGTACTTTCGTTCTCTGGTCAATTCGCTTTTTGGGTTTTGATTTCTTACCACAATCTCAAATGGGTTTCTGCAAATTGTTTATGAAATCTATCACATTTGTCCGTTTTTGTTTCTGCTACTCTTTCTCTTTTATTTTTGAATGTCGTAAAGACATTGTAATCTTATGTTTTTCTGAACTCATGATATAGTTAATGTTCGAGATGACATTTATATTATTTGAGCAAAATTTGTACATGGGTCTTGTTCATTTTGATTAAGAAATTTAGGAATTTGTTTTCTAATGCCATTTTGGTGAATATACAGATGAATATTTTGCCTGAAATAAGGGTTTTAGGTTTTGAGTTGAAGATCCTGCATTCTGTCATCTGGGTTTTGCTGGAGAATTCGAGGTTTCAATGTGGATCTGATTTTGGTGAATTATAAGACAGAATTGGAGGGAAAAAAGATGTTGCCAAATCAAAGCTATTCTCGTATTGACACTTCAGAGCTAAAATTTACAATTGTTCAAAAAATTGGGCGTCGGAGAGCTGAGAAATACTTTGATCTGACCAGAAGATTGTTTGGTTTGAAGATTAGCAAGTGTGACTTCAACAAATTCTGCATTCGGACTATTGGGAGGGAAAATGTCCATCTTCATAACCAGCTTATTAGGTCAATTATCAAGAATGCTTGCCTTGCAAGAACTCCACCACTGACAGGTATTAGGAAAAGGGGAGGTGCCCTCAATGCTAAAGTTGTAATTGGCTATCAGAAGAGTTGTGCTCAACCGGTTTACGGGGATGCATTTCCTCAATGCCCTCGCAAGGGCCGGTCTGCTGTTAATCGAGATCGTAAGTTTCGGGACCGTCCAAGTCCTTTGGGGCCAAATGGAAAGCCCCAAAATATTGCATATGAGAAATTGATTTCCAAAGCACATGAGCAGCAAAGTCCTACTGAGTTGCTTTCTCTTGACAGCAGGCCTCCCATTGAAGTTGCCTCTGAGGATGGAGAAGAAGTTGAACAGGTTGCAGGGAGCTCAGCTATTCAAAGTAGAAGCCCAGTAACAGCTCCCTTTGGTATATCCATGCATTTGGGTGGATCACGTAAAGCTTTTCCTAATGTATCAGTGTGTGGTGGTACATACCACCGTGAAACTTGTCAAAACTGTGGTGAGCTACCTGATACAAAATCATTAAGAAGTCGTTTGGAGCGTAAGTTGGAGATGGAGGGTATTGGTGTTTCTGTAGACTGTGTTAACCTCTTGAACAATGGGTTAGATACTTTCCTGAAGAGATTACTGGAACCTTGTATTCAATTAGCTGGGACAAGGTATGGGGACGAGCACAACGGTCTGTATATATGTGGTTCAAATGGGACATTGCGTGGGGGACATATGCAAAGAGAAACAAAATCTACTTCTGCATCCATGTTAGATTTTTGTGCAGCAGTGGAGTTAAATCCACAAATACTTGGTGAAAATTGGGCCATACAGCTTGAGAAGATCGTCGTACGTGCTTCTGAAGAGTGAAAAAAAAACCTTTTATACGCACATTCAGCAGTTGATGAGATCAAGGGACGTGAAACTTACACCCTCAATTATTCATAGCTCAGTTTTTTGATCATTTGACCTCACATGGATTTGTAGGCTCTGCCTCTTCAAGGTTTTAAGCTTTGACATAAGAAAAATTTGTGGATTCTGTGGGAAGTTGGGGTAAAGCTCATTAGGTTGCATAGGCTTGATAGTCATTCTTAAGAGGGCATGTTAATACAGTAATATGTTAACGTTTTCATACAAGACCTCACTGTTTGAAGGTTTGGACACTACTTTCAATTAATTTTAGTTTGTTCTCTATTTTCGTATATTCATCGTTCATAATTGGTACAGTGACTTCAGTTATCAATTAGACAGTTACAAATCTTTAGAAAGTTTTAACTTCAAATGGATTTTACTTTTCTTGCTCACCCTATTTTAACTGGACTATTCATTCTTCTCAATTGATGAAACTTGTCAGTGCATTGTGGAGAAGGAAAGAGAAGGTGGGTAAGTTGGTTCTGCTCAGCTTCGTCGGCTATATAATTTCAAAGAAATTTCTATTGATTAAATAGTTTTGAAGAGGTACTCATAATTGGTTGTGAACTGTGGAAGGCGCACAGCCAGATCTGAAGCCTCAGCTTAATATCAAAGACCAGAAGGCATTGTTTGAAGAATGCTGACCTGACTATTAACGTAGTTAGTGGTTAGAATGTTGTTATATTGCATAGGTAGGGTAGTTTGTTCTGAGGCCTGCTTCACTGAGCTCAAGATGAGCTATGTTTTAAATATCAGATTGTAGTACTGAATTTTTTGTTGATTGACGATTGACAGAATCCAATTCATTATAGAATTCTGTTTTTGTTCAATTGCCTCCCTGGTTTGAATCTACACATCCAAAAGCAAATCTGCTGACAAAGCCTTGCAAGATAACCAGGTTAAATGGAAAACTATCTCCCTCAACAGGGAAGAAGAAGAAGTCGAATTGCTTGCGTTGGATGTGTAGAATTATCAGTGAACTAAGCACAAGGACAAATTTCTTCTAGAACTGGAGAAAAAAGAGCTTATAATACAGAACTTGGTTTTCAAGTTCCACAAGCATTTGTTTCCAAGAAAATAGATTTTTAAGTGATACTCTCGTGGTTTGTCTTCAACAACATCAATCAACCCACTACTTTACAAAACCCTGAAAAGTTTGCCAACAAAATAATACGGGAATAGAGATATGCTAGTGTTAGTCGTTCAATGAATTATCAGCACCCTCAAAGGTTAGTATAATAGCAATATGCTATTTTCAATCACTTATGTGCACATGATTAATTGATAAACTGTTGATTGACGTAACACCACAATACAATCTATATTGATCAATAGTGTTCGATCTCCCAACTGAATAAATAAATAAACAATATCAACCAATTTTGGTCGGTAACTTTGTGGGATTTTTTTTTGCTTTTCTGTTTACCACAGGGGAGACAAGGAGGGAAAGGAAAGAAAAACGAAGGACGGTTAAAAAAAAAGCGCAAACAAACGGGCCCTAACCAAAGTCTCCACATCTCAATTCTCAAACTCAGTAAAGCGCACTTGTGTGTTTTCATCTGAAAAGTACACAAAGGCAAAGCCCTCTTCTTCCTAATCCTTGTTTGGCATGTCCTTGTTATAACAGAAACAGCTTCTAAACAAAACACACAAAGCACAATCACCAAATAACAATTGGGAAAAAAGGGAAATAAAAAACACACTCAAACTCAAAGTGTAATCCAACTGTGACCTCGTTCGAGCCAGGTTCGTGTCTCTCTCTCTTTCTTCGTTCTTTGGTCAACGCGCTTTTTGGGTTTTTATTTCATGCCAAAATCTGAATTGGGTTTCTGTCAAATCTGTAAATTGTTACCGAAATCTATCAAATTTGTCCAATTTTTTGCTTCGGCTACTCTTTCTCGTTAATTTTCCAAATTTAGAAAGATATTTTGATATTTATGTCTCTTTGAACTCTTGGTTTAGTCAATGTTTACTTCCCAGTGATATTTATCTTTGTAATTGAAGTAATTTGAGCAGAATTTTAGTACCCATGTTGAATTTGATTAAGAAAATTTGGGAATTTGCTTCTGATGCTTTGGTGAACATGCAGGTTGTCTGAAAATTAGGGTTGTAGGTTTTGGATTGAAGATCATGTATTCTGTCATCTGGGTTTTGCTGCAGAATTCAAGGTTTCAATGAGGATCTTGTTTTGGTGAGTTTTAGCAAGTGGAGGGGAAGAAATGGTGCCCAATCAAAGCTATACTCGTATCGACACTCTAGAGCTGAAAGGTCTGATTATCCAAAGGATTGGGCATCAGAGAGCTGAGAAATACTTTGATCTGATCAGGAGATTGTTTAGTTCAAAGATTAGCAAGTGTGAATTCGACAAGTTTTGCAATCGGACTATTGGGAGGGAAAATGTCCATCTTCATAACCGACTTATCAAATCAATTATCAAGAATGCCTGCCTTGCAAAAGTTCCACCCTTGACAGGTATGAAGAAAGGGGGAAACACCCTGAATGTTAAAGTGGCGAATGGCTATCAGAAGAATGGTTTTCAATCAGTTAATGCGGATGCATTTCCTCAATCTCCTCGCAAGGGCAGGTCTCCAGTTAATCGGGAACGCAAGTTCCGGGACCGCCCAAGCCCTTTGGGGCCAAATGGAAAGCCCCAAAATTTGGCATCTGAGGAGTTCATTTCTAAAGCACAGGAGCAGCAAAGTGCTAGTGAATTGCTTTCTCTTGGAAGCAGACCTCCTGTTGAAGTTGCCTCTGTAGAAGACGGAGAAGAGGTCGAACAGGACGCAGGAAGCCCATCTATTCAAAGTAGAAGCCCAGTAACAGCTCCTCTAGGTATATTTTTGGGTGGATCACGTAAAGCTCTTCCTAATTTATCGTTGTGTAGTACTTACCACCCTGAGACCTGTCAAAACTGTGGCGAGCTACCTGATACAAGATCATTAAGAAGTCGTTTGGAGCGGAAGTTGGAATTGGAGGGCGTTCGTGTCTCTGTAGACTGTGTTAACCTCTTGAATAATGGATTAGATGCTTACCTAAAGAGATTAATAGAACCTTGTATTCAGCTAGCTGGGACAAGGCATGGCAATGAGCACTTAAAACAACTAAGTGGGTCATACCCGTACAAAGAAGGTTTGAATGGGATGTCACTTCCGAGAAATATGCAAAGCGAAAGAAAATCTACTTATGTGACTGTATCGGATTTTTCTGCCTCAGTTGAGCTAAATCCCCAGATACTCGGTGCAGATTGGGCCATACAGCGTGAGAAGATTGTCTTGCGTGCTTCTGAAGAGTGAAATAAATCATTGCACGCATTCAGCAGTTGATGAGATGACGAGACATGAAATTGCACCCTCAATTATTCATAGTTCAGTGTTTTGGATCAATTCTTTAACCTTACACGGATTTTTAGTCTCTGCCTGGTACGGAGTTTTGAAGCATTGTGATAGGGAATAAGTTGCAGATTATTTGAGAAGTTTTGGGTAAAGTTCATTAGGTTGCATTTAGATATAGGCTTGATAATTGTTTTGGAGGGGGCATGTCAATACCAAAACATGTAAACAATTTATACAAGACATCACCAGTGTTTGAACATTGTTCTTCAATGAATATCTGTTTTTGTTCCCATTTTTCTTATTACCAAGTTATGGGAAAACGTCTTGTTCACAATTCAAATTATTGCAGTTAGACAGTTGCATATTATTTAATTTACTTTTCCTGCTTGCCTTATTTTACTTTTAGTGTTACATTCCTCTCAGCTAATGAAACCTATTAGTGATTTGTTATGAAATTTGTCTTATTTTTCCTGAGCCTGTTATTGAAATAGCAGGTTACACAAAATAATTTTGGCAGGATTTCTCCTCTTCCCTCACTTGGAGCACTGATACTTAACTGACATAATGGTGTGTGCAGTTCTTGACGTAATCAATGCCTAGGCTTATGTGAGCAAAGTTCTTGAGAAGGCATCTCTTTGATTGAGGGGTCGCTTCAATTTTCTTTTAGTGAGGAAATGCACATCCAAAGGAGGTTGCAAGCCTGCTGTAAATTATAACAGGTGAGCTTCTGACTACAATGTCAAGCATATAAATTGTTCAAAGTAAGCTACAGCATCACTTTGAGCTCACAATTCATTGTCTTAAATATAAAACATGTATCTGTGTGTGTGTGTGTGTGTTGCTTCAAAACCACGCTTCCCAACTCACTTTATGGAACCTTTCCTTTCTTAGGAATGAATATCTGCTATATACGATGATTAACTAATGTATGAAATATCTTTTGTTTATTTGTATGTTAATCTTCCCCACCGGTGAAGAGCTGCTGTCTGAACTTTGTACATAATGAAGTTAGCAGTTGACAATAAAATACAATGTTCTGTGTAATTCCACTTTCGTATCGGCAATAAACTGTATAGAGGCCGTCAAAATCAAGAACAATGAGTTAGGATCAGTTCAAGTTTGAAGAAAGCCTTAAATGCAAAGTTTGTGTTACATGGGACCTCGCCAGTTGATTGATGGAGCCGGCAAAGAGAAGGTGGGTGGCTTGGTTTGCTCAGCTATACAATTTGGAAGAAATTTTTTGAGCGTCTGCAATATGAACGTTGTAGTTTTACTGTAACTTCTTTTTTGAGATTCTTATCTAGACACCCTGTAATACTTCTCTTGTATGTGATTCCTTGGTTTAATAAAAGTCATATCCACTAACTCAAAGAATCAATGACGTTCTGATGCCAGGTTTATGAGGACCTTGAGATGGTGTTCCTTCAGCACCAGTTATATCAATAATCAGGAACTCGCCAAAGTTGTGCCTTTCCTTATATACTTGTCAACCTGTTCTAAAGAACTTGAATTGCTGAAAAACAGCTCTTCCAGAAAATAAAAAAATAAAAATTTAATATACAAGCAAAATGAAAATCCGGCATGCATTTGTTTCTGAGAAAAGAGATTGTCATTTGTAAGTTTCTTCTTCAACATCAACCTACTGCTTTACATAACATAACGTGTATGCTTGTTTTACAAGTACTGGGAAAAACACGATCTAAAGATAATTACCAATGAATCTAATTCATAAATAATGTAGCTCTGTCTAATTTAAATCAGAGTGAGATTCATAGCTTGCGCTTCAACCATGGTTCGGCATTGGATGTCACATTAGCATTTCTGCTCAGGCACCCAGAAGCTTTACTGTGTAAAGGCATCACGAGCAACTTCCAAGCACGGTTGTGGAGACATGTCTAGATCTTGAAGATGAGACTAATGAAATAAATTGGCACCTACAGTCAATTCAGCTAGGATGTTGTGCCTGCTTTCTCCAGGCCTGCCATGTATGTCATATAAATGGTCCACAGATACGAAAATCCATTGCTCACTAATGGCTGTATAAGAGGAAAAAAACAAAAGTTCCCAAGTTAGTTGCAGGTCATGTCAAATATGTCGGTTGGACAAACAACGAGGTGAACTGATCAAATCAGAAAATTTCCCACTATTATCTGGAGCCAAATCCAAGTTGTGTGTGTGACAGAATAGAACTCAGCAGACAACCCCTTTAAAATTTCAAGTGATTCCCAAATCCAAAAAAATTGAGAAAAACCAAATAAGAGAGAGAGAGAGAGAGAGAGAGAGAGGAGAGAGAGAGAGAGAGAGAGAGAGAAACTTCCACATATACCTGTAATTGGACAGGAATGAATCTGAATGTGATAAATCGCATAGTGGCCAGTACATAACACCACTTAACAATGTCGGGAACAAGTCTCGCTTTAAACGGGCACCAATTTCTGTACCGTTTTCACCTGGATTTGGCAATCATGGAAAATACTTAGACCATATGAACTTTAAATGAAACACCTTGTATACTTAAAACATCTTTCTGCAGACTCAGTTCGGCTCTAATTGTTTACTTAGCAGTTAGCGCTTGAAGAATTAATTCACATAGAGACACGTTATACCATTATTCATAATGCATCAAAGTTATACCATTATTCTTGCATACAAACAGGAAACATTTCCCAAAATTTAAACACAAGGGTCAAGATTAAAACTCAGTACATCTAGACTTTTGTTTATCTGGGCGAACTACAACTACACTCTATACATGTATTTATCCCTTTTCAGCATCCCATTACCAACTCTCTGTAAAACTGATTTTCATCTTTGATTTCAAGTATAAAAATTGGAAAGCCAATTTCCAAGGTAACTTATACAATGAAGTGTGGCAGGCTCAATCATAATTTTCACAAAATAAAACCTAGAACAACCTAATTCACAATCATTGACAAACCAATCTAATTGCCGCTTAATTCGATCCTCACAGGTTTAAAATGCAATCTTTGCTGAACAAATTATAATATGAAAAGAGAAATGCCCAGATTCAAGAATGTAGAACAAATTTTATGTACTACACATGATTGATCTGTGAGACAAATGCAGCATTAATTCAAAAAATCTTTGCAAAATATAAAGTTATACAAAGTTGAGGCAGAGCACATATAATCCTTGGACCTTGACAAACAGTATTCAACATGAAAAATGTGCTATAAAGAAACATGCTTTATGCATACCTTGTAGACATGCATTCAAGGAGAAGAAAACAACAGTCATGGTAGGTCCATAAAGCGTCTGCCCCATAGCCATTTTCATCAATGTAGAGAAAATATCACGTTTTGGGAAGACTCTGGACATGAAATTGAACCAGAAATGCAGGGATGGCCCTAAAACCAGCATTCCATATCCAGCCATGCGCAATGTCCTTACAGCATCATAAGATTCTGAAAATGACGATTTTGCTAATGTCTGATAAATATCATTATTTTCATTAGATACCATATTAAAACAAGAGCCAATTGACAAAATGTACCAGAAAATGCCAAAAGTGATGATTTAATTACGGTTTGACCCACCTGGGAAGACAAATCAGCAGCAGTGTAAATAAGCGCTGCAGTGACACTCTTTGTCAAAATGGGCCGGTGCTGGAGCATACCCAGATACCAACCCACGAACCCAAGCTTAGAAATCGACATCGTTTCAGCAGAGGACTTGGAGGAAGAAAAGGCGGAGGAGAAGACAGAGGGAGAGAGGTCGTAGTCTCTGGTTTTCCGGAAAACTTGGGGGAAGCGGAGGTAGGCTTTGGACTGCGTTTGGGATTGGAGAAGAGTCTGGGCTCCGATCGGGTCGGTGATGGAGTGCTTGTGTAGAAGGCGGGTGATGTTAGTGTTTCTTCTGAAAACGGCCGTCATTGTGGTTGTTGCAGGTCTTCAATGGGGGAAGGGCAGAGGTTTTTATTTTGGTCTCTCTGACGTGGGGTTTTGGGAGAGAGAGAGGGGTTTTAAGTTGAACAAAAGGAAGCGACATGTGAGAGAGAGAGAGAGAGAGAGACGTGTATCGACTTACATAGAGAAAGGGACTTTTCCCTCGTCATAGGTTTTTTAGGTTTTAGACATAAAAAAATTTTCACTTTTGGAAAAAGCCAAAGCTTTTTCAAAAAAGACAAAAAAACCGTTCAACTTTCAAATCAAAGACATGCAAATGTATTGGATTCCTTAGGAAATCTAAAAATAAATAAGGGCATTTTTGTCCATTTTTGCTTCTTTTAAAATTTTTCTCTCTCCTTTTGCTTTTTCTAAAATGTCCCTTTGGTCATTTGGTGGCAAATTTGGGGTTTTTGTTTTAAAATATAGAAATGAATTCAAAATTCAATTGTGTTTTCTCGACTTTAAGTATGAAGTTTGTACTCGCTTCCCTAACCTTTAGAACAATTCTTTCTTTTTTTTTTTTTTTTTTTTTTTTTTTTTTTTTTTTTTTTTTTGCCCTTTTTTAGTGCATTAAGAATAATTCCATGTTTATGTACACTTGCACATTGCGAGTTTTTTTCCCTATAGATATGAGTTTTTCTCCATTGCCACTTGGGAACTATGGGGGAAGTTGTTGGATTTAATATTCAATGGTTGATAACAACCAACTCTATAGCTCTGTATTGAGCCTTGAGTAAGTGGTTGAACTAAGGACATATCATTCGTAAAAATTCTCTATCGTTTACTAATGTTATCATTTTTTTCTCTCTACAAATGTCATATTAACGTACATGAGACTTAAGAATAGATATGAGACATCATTTCAGTATTTAGCAAACAAAAATATATAAAAGAAGGGAATAGTAAATTGATTCTTAGCCTTATGATGTTGAAAAGAGGTGAAGTTATTTGCCATCATGTCTTAATTTTAGCATAGATATGCATGCATATGAACAATTTAATTCTTAACCTTAAGTATATTATATTACGTAATTTTTTAACTATATAATAATACGAGATTAATTTCTCAATGAAGGATATAGAACGCAAACATCACTCTCTAGAGAAGAGCTACAGTTCGGGGGTGCTGGTATCTTCGTAGCACCATTCACATTTATAATATTTTCAAGCTCTTCAGTGTGAATATTGCATTTCCTTCAACAACAAAAAACAGCTCTTGAAATGAGAATCGGTATGCAATACTTTTCACTCGTAGAAAGGAGAAAGGAAAAAGAAACTTCAAAGTGTGATTACACACGTGGAGTAAAGTGCAAGCGAGTATGCCCTTACTCAACACACGGCAAGTAGGAAAAGAGCGTCAAGTATATGTACCGACTTCTTCTTTTTTTTTTTTTTCCTTTTTGAACATAAACCAAACTGTTTCCAGAAAATTAGGTGTACCAATTTAATCGTGTCTAGAAATTTTACACGTTGCCTTTGCATTTGCAGTAATGCCCTCGAACATCTGCCTATATTCATTTGAGTTACTACAGCTGTAGCCTGTAGGTTTTGTTTTGTGTAAAATGCATCTCGTGTCATCATTTGATGTCTAGTCCATGAACATTTGATATTGAGTTTTTGAGGTATGCTGTGTTTTCTCATTTTCAGAACACTTAATATGTCCACGGACATCTGACCAAACAAAAAAGTTGTCCAAGAACAACATTGAGTTTTGAGGTGTTCTACGAACAATAGATCATGTGTGATTTCTGAGTGTCAATGATGCATGTTTGATTTCTTACGATGGATGCATGTGTAATTCATAATGCATAAATTTTCGAAGTTTTCGTAAAGCCTCTTCTTCTGATGATTTTTGGCTGAGATTGAACACAAATTGATTACTTAACGCAAGTACTCGTTAACAAGGGGTTTGAAGCTCAAGTGGTGGAATGGTTAAACGGTAGAGAACATTTATCCTTACAACCGATGTCCCGTCCTCTAAATAAGCTGTCCACAGTACACAATACTGTGGCTTAATACAACAATTGCCCTGATCATATCGAAGGTTCCGATCTCAGAATAATTTTATTTTTGCTATGATAGTGCTTGCTTTCATATCCATACATTAACAGTGTGCCATTGCCAGATGCATAATATTATTAGTGATTGCAATCCTGCTCCTTTATAATACAAGGTTACTATCTTTAAAAGGATGATCAACGAATTCCAGCCTTCTTCTTCAGCAACCAAAGTCGTAGGGTACCAGTCCTTTCAGCTCTGGGCCATTAAGTCTGTTGTTTTCAAAACTGAAACAGAACCAAGACAAATTCAGTAAAAATCTACAATGAGGTAAATAATGAACAGAACCAGGTGGGCAAATTCAGTAAAACTGCAATGAGGTAAATAATGATTATAGGGCATGAGACTTGGAGACCTGTTCAAGGTCTCTAGACTATGGAAAATGACCATCATATGCATACTATGATTTGTAATTAAGGAACTTATTTTATGAAAAGAACTGGTTTAACTTTTGAAACAGCATCCAGAATAAAGTTTGAGATTTAGTTCACGAGTATTCATTCAAATCATCATGCCCTCCAATACTCCAAGCTCCAGAGTGACTTCACTCTCTGAGAGTTAAAACTATCCATCAGCTATACAATGATGAAATTTTTTGTGTGCTGTAACAATTAACCGGAACTTATCCAAACCACCATCTGGTCTCATATTGGGCCTGTATCTTGGTTAACATTTGAAATGCATGATGCACACACCACATATTTCAACGGCCATGTTATGTCGGAACGCTGAAACAATTGCGTCCCCATAACCTATCCTATTAACCTAATAGGAAACTCAAAACTCATTTATAAACTTTTTGTTTCTCTTTAGGCTATGATTGGTTTTAGTGCCATGGCACATACTGCATATGATTGAGAGGATGAAAGAAAGGGGTGTGACAGAAATGGTACCTTTCCATTGAGAAAGTCCCGAATGGGCCATCAACTGGAATTGTTCCGCATAGATCATTGTTGGAAACATCACTGTCACATTAAAATCTCATAAGACTGCTACTAATACAGTAATATACTAGCCAAATAATTTCAGAATGAGAACTAAACTCAGGTTTAAATAGTTCCCAGTTATCTCAAGATTATAACTTACAAAACTTTCAGGTTAGAAAGGCTGACGAGCTCCCTTGGAATAGATCCTGTTAGTTTGTTGTTGTTTAGTCGCCTGCATCATCAATGTAACCATGTCAAATGCAAATTAGCTGCAATTTTGTGAATTGTAAATGTTGAAATATTCTGGCTAATCAGTCTCTGAAAGTACTTACAGAAATCTGAGTGACTTCAATTTGGAGAAAGATTTGGGGATTTTTCCTTCAAATCTGTTGTCATACAAATCCATGCTAACAAGGCTTTTCAATTTCCCCAACTCCTTTGGGATTTTACCACTTATGTCATTCCTATAAAGCTCCCTGAAACACATTCAAAGATTTTCACTCAATCACTTCTTCAGAGAGTTATTTTCATTAATAAATTGTACAAGTACATTGTTATCAAAGTCAGAACATGTATAAGTAAATTGAAATCAAGATTTGATCAATTTTCTTTTTTCCACTTGATAAAGGAACTAGGAGAAAGAAAAAAAAAAAAGAATTCTTCAGTCATGTGGGTCTCTAAATCCACAATCTGTTACTTGAGTGAGCTTTTTCATTTCTAAAGTTGGAAACAGTATAAACATGGAATCTTTTGCTTCCTTGCTTTTCTAAGCAGCCAAAAAAATACAGCCCGTTTCTTTTTTGGGGTCTGAATCAAATACAGCATAAGAGAAAAGGGTGGTATGAGAAAAGGAAACATACAAGTACTGTAGGTGCTTCAGCTCCCCAAGCTCAGGCCCCAAACTCCCAGAAATGTTAGAGTTACCCAAATCCCTGAAATTGAAGACAAGGAAGTTAATCAGGACACATAAATGGCCAACAATTCCAAAAGTGCTTCCATCACTCAAACAAGAAATCCAACAAGCACACAAACCCAATAAAATTTTAGATTAAATTTAAACATAGTAAGAACAAAGAAATTAGAGAATCTTACAAACGGATCACATGGTTATTAGAATCACAGGTTACGTGGAACCAAGTGCAGGGATTGACCAGAGTTGGGTCCCAGCTCTGCAGGACATTGGTGGCATCATTGAGTCTGCTTCTCAAAGCATGCAAAGCATTTCCTGAAATCAAATTAAATCACAAGTCAAAATGACAGAACGACAGAATCTCAAAGCTACCCAACAAAGAGGACATGGAAAAGAAACTGGAAGCTGAAATTGATGTGGGTTTTGAGGAAATTTTCCCTAATTCTCCTCTCTGGTTTCTCAGCAACCAAAAGGAAACTAACCCAGTTGAGGAAAAGAGGGAAAATTTGAAACCCAGAAAGGATCTTGCAAGATGGGTAGGAAGGAAGTACCTTCAGAGTTCGTGGAGAAGGCAGGAGAAATACATAACAGGAAGGTGAGTAAGGAAGATACTATGGAGAGAGGAGCCATTGGAGAGAAAATGGAAGAACTTTGAGAAGTAAACAAAACAAAAAACAACGAAATAGAAGGGAGTGGTGGTTTTGGTTTCGAAAGTGTTAAGTGTTGGTTTGCAAAGTTAGTCAAGTCAAATACGATTTGTCTGGTGTGCGCTATGAGTAGTAATATTCAAATACTACTGTTTACAGTCTTTTAGACTTTAGAGCTCCTCTCTCTCTCCTTCTCCTCTCTCTCTCTCTCCTGCTGATACAGAGAGAGGGTCTTCTCAGACTTCTCAAGGCCAATTGGATTGGAAACAAGTGGGAAATTCATGCGGTGGTCATGACTGACCTGTGAGTTTGTCTGTGGACTTGTGAAAGGGAGCTAAAAGATAGTCTTGCCTTGCCGCGTTGAGTAGGGGCCACTTGAGGGGTGATCTGGGAAATTGGAGAAGACCCAGTCTAAGCTGCTGAGCTGGTGGGTGAGGGGGGTGACTGACTATGGGGAAACACCAAAATATTAGAGCAGAATTCAACCCATTATATATGCTGGGCCCTCTTGTACCATGTTCATGTTCAAGGGATCAAAAGGTTGAACGTCCTGTTTTTTATTTCTCATTTTTTTTATTGGGGAGATGCTATATAATCAAACTATTTTTCTGTTATTTTCCTAACTCTCTTGCTTACAACAAACTTTATTATAAAAAGTAGTGTATGTCATGAGTTTATACTTCCTTCCTGTATTCATCTCTCATCACGTGACTTATCACAACCACTTCAACTTTTCTGTTACGAGGTTATACACTTTATTTGTTTCTCATTATGTGACCTAATACAAACCCTTTGTAACAAAAGTTTAATTTCTTACATAGGTCTTGCTCGGATACAATTTCATGGATTCCACTTCATGTGTGAGAATTTGGATAAAAGTTGAAAAATGAATTGAATTATAAAGCATTTCCCCTTTAGAATGGAAGAATCACAAACTTAGCAACTTGGATGTAAAAAATGTCTTTTTCGAGAGCATGTGGTTTTTAATTATTAGTGTCCTCACAGAAACGACTTTCCACACAAAGAAAGAATTGAGTGGAGTGGAAATTTCCTTCTTTATTTGCTGGTTGGTAAAAGCCAATGGGCCAATATGCTTGAGTAAGTTCTGAGCTGATGCTTAATGAGTGACTTGGAACCTGCCCTGTGAAGCTTCTTTGACCGAAGACATTCATGGTGGGCAATCAGTTCAGTACCAACAATTTTGCCTGACCATATGGGGGAGTGGGGTTACTAAGATTCTTTTTGGCCAATAGGGAAATGAGGCTGGCTAACTATGGTAGATCTGACCAAAAAAGAAAAGAAATTTTAAAGCGAGACCATAACACCGTCACGTGATGTTATCAATCCAAACAATCCAAACATTGTAATATGAACGAACGACATAATTTATATACTATGATATAATAATACACACGTATAACATGGATTGGAAAAAACAACCATGGGACACTCTGATTGTCACACAAAAGATTACTCATAGATCAGAGCAACTTTGTGCAAGACAAATAAGCTTTAGCCAAATCATATATTTTTAATGAAAATACAGTAGATTTATGAGATGCATGCTCCCATCCAGATATCTAAATTGATCTGTGCCTAGTAATTTAACATTCAAAATCCAACTCAACACCATTTTCTTTATTCTTTAACAGACCTTTTTCTTATGGGCATATTGAATGGTTGAATAGACAACTTCATTAACTACAGCCATTCTAAAGCCAGAGTAGCAAGATACATATACATTCTAAAGCCAGTCCCAGTCTGCAAGTTTTGCAGTTTTAAGGATCACTTTTTAAGATGTGGGAAACAAGAATAAACATCAGCCTTAGGGTGCTTTGCTTCAGCATGCTCCCGGCACTTCACCTCTGATGTGGTACATATAAATGTCTGCATGCACACCTTGCACTGCATTTGGTAACCATTACCCGCCAAGATGCATCATTGAGATTTGAGAGAACGAAACGAGTGACAACACCGGTGACAATTATAACAAGAACAAACCGAGTCACAAACTTTGTCAATGAGTTTAAAAACTATTTCTAATGCAATGACATCGAGCAGGTAAAAATAAGTGAATCAAGCACAATATGTCAGTCATAGCTTCTCACAACCTCATCATTATCAAGGTATGGAATTCCACCAAGCTACATTGTAGGAATAATAAACTCACAAGAATGCAGGATGAAAGATTAAAATGTACCATTCTATTTTCTCTACTTGTTGTGAGGTTTTTAAAATAAGTTGTTCTGATCCAAGAATACCTTTGTACAAGTCATGCTTAAGAGAAAAAAGACTTATAAAACCCATAGAGATCACTAGTCCAAAAGCAAAATTAGACATCTCACATGTACATGAACTTGAGGCAACTTATAATCAACAACAAATAAGCAAATTAACAAAGCATCTCCTAAGATTGAAAATTATAACAACGCATGAAACCGATACAAATGGAAAACACAAGTACGAATATCTATAGGAAATTGATTAAAACAATGTCATTCTAAAAGGGTTTTAAAGCACAAAAATATGCATAAGGGATGTCAAGTGAGTAAATTATATTTGAATAAATTTCATTTGTAGATTTTTTACTGCAACTTAGTATCTGCCCATGATCAAGTGCACATGATTCAGTAGGGATGGAATGTATAACAGAAATTGTTGATCAGCAAGGCGTAGGAGGTGCTGAAATCAAAGTGGAGTCATTGGATTAAATAGAAAAGAAAAAACTAATTAGAACAGAGATGTACAGAGTGAAAAACTCAGGCGCGGGAACTCAAGCCGGTAAATTCCACATCAACCATCTTCATATCATTACAATAAGTGTACAGATAAAACACAGATATATATATATAACATATAATTCCTCATTGCCAATCAATCAAGTTACAATACCAAATCACAAAAGCCAATATCTCCAAACCCCAGCAAAGTAAAATTTTAAAGTAAAGTTTCTGTACAAACATTAGACAAGTCACTGGCTCTTAAATCTAATCAAACCATGAAATTCTTCATCAACCAAATGGATAACAAAAAATAAACAAAATTTGAGTGGCACCCTTTTTTTTTGGGTGAATGAAATTTAAGCACCAACAAATGATATATAGCTTAATAAAAAATCAAACAGCAAAACCCATCATAAAGCATAATACTTTGAAACAAATTAAAGCCAAGGCTTGCAAAGGGACTACCTACCTGGATGTTCATGGCCTTCTTGTTGGCCTCAAGCTGGCTTCCTAATAAATAAATAAATGAAGAAAACCCAGATGGATCAGCATCATCACACTCGGGTCTAAGAAAATCTGAGGCTTATGCAATGAAAGTAAGATAGAGAAAGAATTACCCTTGGCGGCTTTTTGCTTCTCCATGTTCCTTTCGCGTGCCGTCTTGGCCTTCTGCCCATTGCCTCCTCCCATGGCTCTGAAATGGAAAACCAGCCTTTGAGTTTTGGGTAGGGTGCTCTTTTTATTTGGGAATGTGGAAGAGAAAGAAGAGGAGATGAGAGGAGGGAGGAGGAGGAGGGTTGGGTTTAAAGGGTGGCAGGAAGGCAATAGAGACAAAAAATTGGACTTAGTGGTTTTCAATTTGGAGGTTGGGAGGTTGGGAGAGTGGGAGGATTTATGTCAGTCGGTCCACTAGGGAAGGGACAAATAAGAGGAGAAAGAGTTCGATGAAACAGGGTAGCAATTTCTGATCAATAATGTTACGACACATGTGATAACACTTTCACGTGACATATAATTATTGATCAGAGATAATAAAATAGTTTTATTTCTGTTGTAACTAATTTTTTCTCAAATAAGAGATCATGCGTTTTTTTATGTGCCCGCCACCCCAAAATATGTCTACAATACCATGTCATATTATATAGGAAATATTTTTGCTCACTTTAACCTAAAGTGTATTCTCATCATCATTCTTAATACTTGATACGTGTTCATAGGCATAATCATTGTCAACTTTTCACTTTGTATTTATTGAATCATGGTTATGCATATGGATACATGTCAAGTATTGAGAAAGATGATGATGATACACCTTGGGTTAAAGTGATGAACGAAAATGCTCTCTATCATATATTGGGTATTTCTTATTTTCTTCTTCATTTTATTCATTAAAAATCATTGTGTTTAAAATTTGTAACTCAAACAAATGTGAGTTAATTCAATTAACCAATGTAATGTGTTTATTTTCTTATACTTAAGTTTGAATCCCCTTCCACTACATTAGAATAATTTATGATATCATCCTTATAAAAAAAAAATTACAAATTTTTGAACTCAAGACAACCTCTGATATAGCACAGATTGAGTTGAATGTGTGTGTGAGTGGAGGCTGATTAACATAATCCAATAAATTTAACAACTTTTGTCATTTCATATCAAGTAATATTAACATTTATCTTCCTAACTTTATTGGGACTCTCCAATTTAGTCACTTTATTTTCAGTTTAGTTCATTTAGTTCTTGTGTTTTACCTTTAATCAATTCCTCTATTTATCGTTAAAAGTGGGTAAATCTTTTTTTTTTAGGTTAATAAAAAACTAAACTGGTTATAAAAATATCAATTTAATAACCAATATATTTTTTTGTATTTTGTATTTTTTTAACGTTTAAATGGAGGTTTAAGTGGTAGAGGGAAATTCTCAGCTAGAGAGAAAAACGGAGAAGAGGGAAAGAAAGAAAACTCAACACTGAATGAGGGAGCGCGCGCGAGAACAAGGAAGGCTGAACTTTCTACACTGAATGAGATTGTTTCGTCATATCAAGCTTTGATTTCAGTCTCACCCAAGGCTAAGGTGACACGAGATTTGTATAATTTGTCTGAAATTGAAAGAGAGAATGCGCATTTGGATATTTCCTAAGCTTTTTTTAGTTAATTTTTATGGATTCAATTCACTCTTCCTTAGTTGTATGATTAATAGATTAGCAAAAGCCTCGCACTTTTAGATATTATTTAGATACTAAGAGCTGTTGAATCTTAGATTGAAAATTTCATGCTGGTTTGGTTATACCCAGATACTTAAATACTTAATTTTCCACCAAATCATCTGTAAATTTTGCATTTTTTCCCTCTTATTCTTCTGGGTTTCTTATCTGCCCATTTGGATAATCGAATTCATACTTCAATTTTATTTCCTATCTATTTTGGTTTTTGGGTATTTTGCAGGTGTTGGTTATCTTTCACATGGCTGAGAGACAAGCGGCAGATCAGCAGCAGCATCAAATTGATGCCCAGATGCAATCCCCACAACCTCAAAAGGAAGACATGGTTGCCTGTGTGATAGCACTGGAGGCTGCTTTGCTTCCATGCTTGCCTGCCAGAGAGCTTCAAGCAATTGACCGGTCTCCCCACCCTTCTCATCAGAGTTAGTACCAATAGCTTTACATGCCATTCAGTGTATGCTTGCTTGCTTGTATGTATGTGAATCCTCTTTGATACAGATGCTTGGTCGCCCACAGATTAACCACTTATCCTGATACTGAGGCTAGGGTTTCTAAGTTTTGATGATAAAACTACAACTTTTTGGATGTGTACACATTCGTTTTAACTGAAAATTTGTAGTTCACTTTTTTGTTGATAAACTTTGAGAGGGTGAACCTCGTGACAGAGCTATGTTACCCATAAAAAACACTGCGATAGGGGTTTCTTGGGTCCACAATAGAAAACATTCTATGTACCTGTCTCTGGCCAAAGCCTAAAGGAAAGAGTAAGGAATATATTAAATTGGTTAAACACACCCAGTTTGGGAGTTCTTGCTTCAGCTTTGGCAAAGGAGTTATATTTCAACAGAGAGTTGTTGTTTGTTTCAAATCAAATCTCAAATAACCAAGTGTTAGCCTTTAATTCTAATAGTGGCTGGAGAAGAAAGAAATTGTAGATTACATAACATATTCATGAGGGGGTAAGAAAATCCATTTTGACCAAAAGTTTGGATTCTGGATGTATAAATGGGGACATAAGGTCTTGCTCTCTATGAATTTTTCCATTGCATATGAAAGTTTTACTTACAAGTGTTAGGATTGTTTTGGAACTCTTGGTTATGTTTTTGGGTAAATCTTGTGTACCCACCTGAAAAATATCATTCTTGTAGTGGCCACAAAAGATCCATGGATCTTTTGTTTTACCTTTGTAACCAGGGTTGACTTGGCCTTTGAGGTTGAGGTTGCATAAGGAGAGTTTGTTTATCAATCGTAACATCGAACCTTATGACTGTCAGTCTTTGTAAAGTAGTAAACGAAATTGCAGAGTCTTCTTTGATCCTGAAGTGCACAATGAACAACAGTGCACCAAGGATGCATTTATCTTTACTTCCTCTGATGGTGTTTATTCTGTCATTGCTTCAGTTGATGTAGAGAGGCATGCCAGAGATTTTATGGAAGCTGCCAAAAAGCTTCAACTATATTTTATTGGTCTACAACGTGAGGATCAGCCAACCAAGGCTGAACAACTTAGAAAGGTTATCTGAAGACCGTGTTGTTCAGCTTGCCCTTAGCTTATTAAGTCTTTGTTTTCTTAATGGTTGTGCGTTTTCATTTTTCCAGGAGATTGATGCGATGGAAGAGGAGTTGAGGATAAAGACTGAGCTTATCAAGAAGCATGAAAGGTTGATCCAAGGGTGGAAAAAGGATCTGAAAGACCAATTGGACAAGCACAACACTGAGCTTGAGAGGGTGTAGTTACTTGAGCCATAAAATTGTATCATTCCATTTGTTGGTAGATCATTTGGTAGCATCCATAACAATTTTGCTTCAACGGTCTCTTGTAAAAATTATGATCTGTTACATCCAAATCGGCTAGGTAATTTACAATGTGGAACCTAAAATTGGTTTTGTTTCCAGTGCTTGTTCGTTGCTTCTCTTAAAGATCAAAGGGCTTTTATGATTGCTTTGGCAGTAATCAATTTTTCTGTCAAAACTTGATCACGGTCAATTCGTTGTCTGATGGGGTTCTTATTGATGTACCCTGTTGAAACTTACATTCCTATTTCCCACTGGCTTGAGGCAACGCAAAATTTAAAATAAAATCCAAACTTAGATTGGAAAACGACTCCAATCTACCAGTCAAAGAATTAACCAAATTGAATTGATTATATTTATAGACAATTATCAATCTCCTGTTACAATGCAATATGGTAAAAAAACATGGGGAAAAAAAAAGCATTGATCGCATTGACCACTGAATAGAAAATGAAGAGAACGATTTCTTCACAAAATTTCACATGTAACTATATTTCCGTCTGTCCATATCTTCCATTCCTTTTATAATCTTCGGCTTCAATCTGAGAAACCAGTACCTTGCCTCTTCTCCTCCTGTTCAGCTTTAATCCAAGCAGCCTACACAAAATGGAAATACCAACAAACCCATTAGGCAAAGGAGAAACCAACAGATAATCAGAATTTCAACAAAGCATTGCAAAAAAATACATTAAGCACAAGAAAAAGAGCATTTACCTTATCTCGTTGAAGTTTCGAGACATGTGGCTTCATGGAGTTTCCTAAGCTTAAACCTCCCCATTGTTCTTGTAGTTCTCTCTCCCTTGCTTCTTTACGTGTTACAGAGAATCTGGTTTGTTCTTCCGGTTGCTGAGCAGCAGCCACCTTTTCTCTTTCAAGCCTTGATTTATGTTTAACCAGAATTTGGTCCAAACCATATGCTTCTTCCATATGTGAAGGCAGTTTTGCATTACTTCTTTTCACTTCAGTTGCTCCGTCTTCTGACTGTTGCTTCATCTTCTCTTTCTCCAGTCTGGAAACATGTTTTACCAAAACTTTGTCCAAGCTCTCACATTGAGTAACACTGCTTTCTCCCTTTTTCTTTTTGACCGTATGATATTCGTAATTGTTTCCCATTGCCAAGGCTTGGATTTTCTCCCTTTCCAACCAGTGGACTGGTTTAACCATAATCTTGTCTAAACCATCTTCAGTCTCTTTAGTTTCAGCCATCATATTCTGAAGTGAGTTTATTTCCTCTGCACTAGGATTCTGCAGTGAAGACCCAACTTCATTTTGCTCCATTCTAGAATGCTCCTCAAAATCCTTGTTTAAGTCTAAATTTTCTTTCCCCTCTGATCCTTCCTCAGAAGAAGAAATAGCCATTTTCTTTTGTTGTGCAACTGATGCAAATGAATCAACTTTCTTCTTCAGATAAGGAAACCTAACTCCTTCATGTACATCAGTCTTCCTTCTGTTCTTTGCTTCTTGGACTTCCTTCTCAAGTCTTGAGACATGTTTCACTAAGAACTTGTCTAGGCTGGGGAGTTCTGAGACATGTTCTTTTTTACGACTGCCCACTACCGATTTTTGGTCACTCGTAGCAGATGTTTTCACAAATTTCGTCTTGGCCTCTTCAACTTCCTTTTCAAGTTTTGAAGAATGTTTAACCAGCATACTTTCCAAGTTAGGAATGGCATCAGAAGATATTTTGTTTCTCTGTGAACTCTTTTGAAGCATTTCAAAATGTCCACCTGAATTTTTCTTTGCCTCTTCAATCTCTTTTTCGAACTTTGAACCATGCTTCAGAAGAATGCTTCCCAAGCCTGGAATGGTTTCAGAGGTATTTCCAATGTTATCTAAATTGGCCTTCTCATCAACAGTTTCAGTTTTTTCCATCAACTTATTCCTTCTATTCTTGGCTTCTTGCACTTCTTTCTCAAGTTTGGTCATGTGCTTAACTAAAAACTTGTCTAGACTTGGGAGTTCTGATATAGTTTGCTTCCTTCTCACCTGCCCATCTCTGAAGTATTCAGGCTTCGCCGCTCCAAATCTGTGTGGAAGGGTCTCAGCAGCAGAGCCTTGATCATGAAGCTTGCTATTTTCAACTTCCGCTAAGGCAGCATTTAAACCACAAGTAGCAACTATAGTGGCAAGAGAGGAGAGTTCATCTTCTTGCAAACATTGAAGCCTCTCAAGCATCATGTCTGCTATCTTTGCCATATTAAGCTTACCAAATGACTGCCTTCTGTTTTTACTCTGTCTTTCCTCAAAACCTGGAATCTTATGATCCAAATCTTGGGAAATGATAGTATCTTTCTGGGATACTACTTCAAGTTCTGATCCAGATTCTGATTCACATTCTGAAGTAAACTCAGACGATTCCTGATTATTTTCACTTGTATCAGGATTCTCACTAATTTTTCGGAGCAGATCTTTGAATTCATCTTTACTAAAAGAAGGAGAATTTCCAAGCCTTACTAATGCAATTTTAACAGCTGCAGCTACTTCTTTATCAACGTCAAATGCAGTCTCAAAAGATGCTGTGACTGTGTGGGTAGTAGACTCTCCTCCATTAACAGTGGATGTTTCTATTTTACATGGCTTCCGAGGGCAATTTGGTTTGTCAAACATGATAACTCCCACAGCTGTTGCCTCTTCAAAAGCTTCAGCTGCAGCCTTGTCTGCTTTCAACAGCTGTGCTTCTGCTTCTTTGCTTTGAATCCTGAAATAAAGATTAAAACAACATTGTAACTAAGAAATTAGCCTTTAAACTTCTTAATCATGATTACGCATCCAAGTTCAAACAACTACCTGGATGCCCTAAGAATGCGACACCAAGATGCTTCCACCAGTGCTGCTTTTCGTGCCTCCATTGCCTTTTGTGCAGCCTCTTTTGCTGCCATTTTTTCCCTTAGGACTTTTGAGTAATGCGGATTAGAATCCCCTAAAGTCTCATCAAGAGTTAAATTCATGCCATCTACTTCCTGATAAAAACCAACAAATTAGTATTTTGGTTAACATGGAAATTAATCAAAAAAACATTAGAGCATAAATTACATGTGTTTATTAGAGAAAGATGCAAAACCTGCAGCATTTTGATCTTCCTCTTCAAATAGGAGTCCCCTTTTTTTCGCGGGAACCAGTTCAGAGGAGAGGTCCTACGATGAGAAGGCTTCTTTATTTGTGATTTGTTAAGAGAATTCAACGTTGATAGGCTAGTCTCTTTCAAATTTTTATTCTGCACTATTCAAAAAGAAAATGGGGATGTCAAACAAAACAATACAGGACTTGACAGAAATTGTTAATTTGGTTCTATATCACAGCATTTCATGCAAATATAGAACACAAAAACGAACCAGAAGAAATGTCAACATTGAAATGTCAAGTTAAATTAAACAAATAAATTCATATTTACAGAAAATTGCCTTCTTTCCAACATCCATGGTATTCTTGCAATGACAAAGATATCTTATCAAGCAAAAGCCAACTGAATTTAAGCAGTGGAAATAAGGCATTTCGAATCTGCTTCTATCAAAATATCAACACAAAAGTGAAGCTAAAACAGAACAACAAGTAGAGGAATTAAGAAAAATTTAACTGATAATTTAGTTTATGGGGCTATTGGAATTTCAATCGGCAGAAATCCCAACAGTAGAGAAAAAATAACAAAGGGTTTAGGGTTCTAAATGAGTAACAACCATCAATTAAGTACCAAATCAAAGCCAATCAATAAACCTAATTTATTCAAGGTCCTAGGGTTTCAACTCCACTAAAACCTAAACAAATCAGGATCCAAACACAAACAGAGAATCCGATTCAAGAAAACGGAACAAATCTAAGGCACACTGATGGAAAAATAGCAGTCTTGAATTGAATCTGAAAAACGAAAGGTCAAAATACTTACCTTTCCGATCTTGGGGCTCGCGGTGGTCGTGGCGTCATTTTCCTTGTTGTGGGAATCAAGAACGGCATCGTTAGTGCCTTGCTTGTCTGACACGGAGATGCAACCCAAGTCCAAGCAGCCGAGGTCCATGGCTAATCTCTGAGACGAAAACGGGGATCAAGAATCGCAGAAGGGAATGATGAAGAGTTCGAAAGGAATTGTGAGATCTGAGGGAAGAATGCGAAGATTTTTGTTCTTTTGGGATTTGGTGATCAGAAGAATGTGAAGATTTTTGGCTGGGATCCAAAGAGGGTTTATTGTTTTTTTCAAATGGTAAGTAGCCGTTACAGTCTGAAGGGCGTGTCTTTTGAGAAATTATACAATAGTACGGTATTACCACGTGGCACTTGTCAGGTGATAGTACGCACCTATAAGACGACGACATATGGACAATAGCTCCAACAAAGATATTTAACGTTTTGTTTTATATCAACGTTAACGTCACCGTCCATGAAATGAAACTTCCCCATCTTTATCCATCACCAACGACTTCCATTTCTGCAAGATTCATTTGACTCCTTGAGGAGCAGCTATGTTGGTGCTGGTGCCATCAGATTTTCATAAACCCTCTTAATTTCTTCTCCGTTTTTTTTATTTCATAAAATTTTAAGAATTTATTCTCTTCCCCCAGTTTGTTCTTGGGTGTTAGTAAAGGAAAACATTGAATTTCTTTTTCTTTCCAGGCAAACGGGGGTTAATTTTAGGATCTTTGCTTCGAATTTGTTCTTGAGTCCATCGTCTTTTGCAATTGCTTGGGTTGGTGTTTGTTAAATGTGTAGGCTCAAACAAATGGGTTGCGATTTTATGGGTGTATAATTAAAAATCTAAAATAAATTTTGATGATTTTTTTTATGTTGAAAGAAATTAGGAGAGTTAATGGCTTTTCGAGAGATCCCAGTGGGTTGAACGAAAAACTCCATAGCCATGGCTTCTCGAGAGATCCAAAGACGGATGAAAGCTATGCAGTATTCGAGGCAAAAAAGACGGACTGTAGAAGCGTTCAGACCAATATTAAACGGACGTTAGTTCCGCTTTTTTTCAGTAGTTGTTATCCAAGTGTCGCCATATTATTGGTGCGTACTACCACCTGGCATGTGCCACGTGGTAATACCGTATTATTGTATAATTTCTCGTGTCTTTTGGCTCCAACGGTCCTTTTAAAATGAAGTTACCTTATTCTGTCATTGTGGTGTGTTTGGATGTGGAAGATACGAGAAAACCACACCTTTGCTTATGTGGCAACTCACTCTTTTTTCCTTTTTTCTTTTATTTTTTAATTACATGAAATTTGAACTTAAGATCTCCGCTCTCTGACACCACTTGTGTTAAGGCTCGTTGACAAAATAACAACTATATTCGATCTCAATTGAGAGATTCCTCAAATACAATCGAATTCCATAAAATATCCTTCATTAAGCTTATTTGATAAAATCCCTGAATAGAAATGGACTCAATACTTAATTGTACCATATATCATTTCCTGACCAATTTTGAATTTTTATTTTGGTAGTCCGAGGGAGTTGTGGATGATGACAATTATGCATGAGAATTCTTAATAAACAAAATGTCGACAACTCAAAATTTCGATTTTGAAGAAAGAATTCTCGAATCAAAATACCATTTTACAGACAAGGTTCTTTCATTATTTAGCAGCAAAGCTACGCAAAAGAATTCTTCTATAGCAAGTGGCATGGTTATCGACCCAAAACAAAAGAAGTTTAGCACCCCATCTTTGGGCTGTACATCCAAGAGTAATTGTTGCACCGCCTACTGCAAGAACATAGTTCATTCAGTTCTATACTTGAAACATGAAAGGAACAGAAACTCCAGTACCACCGTTCGACGTTGACTAGACTGCAGTTGTAAAACCAGTGATCTGTTTTGTTCCACTGTTCCGGAACCACCAGCTCCAGAAAGAACAACATTTGGAATAAAACAACTCTTACTCCAGATCTTCTTGATTTCTAATCCACTTTGTTGCAACCCATTTTTCCCCTTTGATCACTGGGCAGCTTCCATGAAGAGATGTCTGCAAATTGCGCCACAAGAGACTCTTTGTTTAATCACCAGTAAGAAGTGACAGAGGAAGAGAACCGAAATGACAATTCCAAGTTTCAAATAAACTAATTAGTTGCTGATCCTTTATATATAAATACTTAGATGTGATTCAAATAAATTAATTTGATGCCAAAGGAAATAGAAACAAGTTGTCCAACTTCACATCGTTCATAACAACAAGAAAAGCAATTTCTAAGAATTAGATGTGATTTAAGATATGATAAAGTAAACTAACCTGATCAATTGTGCCATTTGGAAGCACTGAATAAAATAAAAGTCCATCCCCTTGCCTGGGCATAACCTTTAAACCAATGCATTTCTTGTAATCATAGCTCATACCCATATGTAAGCCATTCTACTAATAATAAAAAATTAGGATGAGTACGTGCAAATATTTCAAAGTAATAGTAAGATAAACTATCAATTTTCTAACCTACCTCAAAAGGGAACATGGTTTCTCCACCTTCTTCTACATCAGAAAGATACAACAAGAAGGAAGCAAACTGCAAAATTGAGTGTAAAGTTTTGACAGTTAGGTATCAATGGTTAAGGAAAGAAGCAACAGCAATAAATCGTTTACAGAAAGGTGAAATCATGAATTCAAAAAGCAATTTGCAACTTCTGCATACCTATAATTATAAATTAGTTTCAAATATAATTTTAGGCTGAATGTAAAGGGTATGAGAAAAGGATCTATAACTATTTACTAGTTCAGTAAGTATAATGGGCAAAGAATTTATAGGCAAGGCTCATATAAAATAGAACCATGGAATGTTAGAATACAAAAATGGTGATTAGAATAATGGGATTATGCCACAAGTTTTATTTAATCTTTTCTTTTTAAAAAGCTGAAGAAATCAGGACAACTAAAACTGCAGTCATCCTTCTAAGTTACAGAAGTCAATTACAGCTCGATGATGATAAATTGTTCTGAAAAATTAAAGACTAACAATCTTTTGATGTCAGCTTCAAGGTCCTCAACCCAATATTTTTTAAGCAACAAATGTACTCAAATGACATAAACAGAAAAAGGGACTAATGGAAATACCATTTGAAATATATCATTAATAACTGCTGCAACACCAATATTGATTCTTTTTTTTCTTTTCTTTTTTTTGCTCAATACTCAATTTAAAGTATACATTATAGAAGATGAAAAAGGGAAAATCATAAGTTGGAAAGCACAACTGATTTTTTTGGAAGTAAAATGGTCAACCATTGTTGCAAATTTGTTTTTTTAGAAAAGGGTTATGATTGTGATCTAATATTCAAGTAATTCCACAAGTATTGCTTATCAGCATTACATAATAGAGATGCTGATCATTACACAGAAATTATAAGAAATACCGTAGTTCTTTTTTATGTGTTCATTTATTTATTTCTTTGGCTGGTGTTAGGTGCATAAATACGCAAACCATCCCATCAAGTATCAGGGATCTTCTATTTGGCAGGAAGGAATTCCGAAATAAAAACGGAGCAGAAAATGACAGCACATGATGTAGAAGCTAGTTAAGTATATACTCTTTGGCTTTTCTGTTGACCATATTCCGATGGGTTGAATGCATCATAATGAGAATCATACTTCTGGCCAATCTCATACCGCAAAACATTGAATGCCTGCAATACGATGATATCTTCGCATTACTCAGATTAATTTAGAATTTACCTGTAATGAAAGGTTAACATTTTAAAATTGTTGTGAAAGTAGTAACAGTATTGGATACATTATTTTCTGTTTACCAGGAAAAAGAAAGAAACAGTTTTTTTTTATCAGAAAAACTAATAGTAGCATTCAGACCTATATGAAAAATGAAAAACATCTGCTTAACTGCTTTTGAATTCCCCCTCACACTTAAGCCTGCCCCTGAATAATATACAATGATAAAAATACCTCTCCATGGGTCCTTGGTAACATTGTAGCCCTGGCAATCTTTTCCTCAATAATCTCCAGGATTCCAGTTTCATCTTCGGATGCACTAATAAATGTGCCTGAACTATAATAAAGTATAGACTAACAGTTAATGTCACAAGCAGTGAAACATTCTATGTAAAACACCTTCACACTAGCATGTTTAACATTGATAGTCAGCACGAGGACCAACCAGAGGTGATTAATTGTGAGTTATAAGATACATTCCAAAGCAGCATACCACATAAACTTGATGAAAGCAGAGATGACAAGTTTTATGATACAGAAAGGGATATTACAAGGCTCTTTTATAAGTTATCTTCCAAAACTTCCCTGCCAAAAGAATTCTTATGAATGGGTTTCTTGAAACATTTAAACTACTCATTTCACAAATTTCCCAAAGATGCAGGCCCTTTAATAATAGAAAAAGATAAATAAGAAATTAAAATATGTCCAGCATTAAATTCCCATTTACTTGCAAACTATACAATACAGGTCAACAAACTACAGTGCATGAGCTATTCTAGAAGTTTCTAATGGCAGTTTGAAGAAACACGAAATACAAACTCCGCTGATATTGTAGTTCATTTTGCAAGTTGCATAAGAAAACATGTCCTGAGCATGGTAAGGTCAGAATAACAGATGATCTCAACTTATTAAATACAAAAATAATTTTATGTGTGGAACAAGGAATTGCTAGTCAATGCACCCGCATCAAACTGACAAACCCTGATATCATCACCCCGGTACTCACATATCCCAACTTATGATGTCATTTTTTCTTGTACATAATCTAGGTCAGGAGTCAACTATGTTTTAAAAACTTCAGGATGACAAATACGAAAGAAGATGAACAATGCAGGCATTCTTTTCTCCATTTCCTCTACATCAATGTATCTATAAAGTAATGGGACCGATCCACTTATTATGGCAAATCACTGATTTAAAACAAATTTTGAAGAAACTTGATAAGTGAACCCAAGTGCTTGTGCCACAATGGATAAAGAAGCACATAAATAAGAAGTTATCCTTCCCTAGAATGTTACGATTAACAACATATTAACTTTTCCCAATAGCTGGAATTAGTTTGTGCCACTTTATTTCCAAATGAAACACCATGGGTCCCCTTCTTTCTCCTCTCATAAATATCAAACATTCTACTCTCCCCATAGCACGCTAGGCATAATTGCACAATATTACGTTAAACATTTCTGATTGACACAACACATTATTATGGCCCATCTTTCCACTCATATCCATATTCAATTGCTCACCATGTGGAGATGATGAGCAACATTAAAAATGGAAGACAAAGATACCTTGTTCTAGTCCCCTTTGTGCTCTCAGCAGTCTCTCCCTTTCGCAAAGCCAATGCCGACGGCCTGAGCTTAGTCTTCGCCATTTCAATCACGCTTTCGCATTGCTCCGCAGTTGCAAATCTCGGAAAATAAAGAGCCCGCGGTTTCCAACTCAAAACCTGTGGGATTCAACAATGTCAAACAGACCCAAAACCCAAAAACCCAATTGACCGAATTAGCAAAGAAAATCCCAATCAATGCGATTACTGATCAGATTAAACACAAACCTGGAATGGAATCGATTGAATAAAGCTGTCTCCGGTCTCGCCTTGCGGCATTGGACCGTGATCTTCGCCATCTTCCGATTGAAGCGTTCTGGAGACCGAGCGTGGACCGGAGAGAAATTGAGGGAAGGAGACATGAGAGAGGAGGGTGAAGGTGAACAAGCCAGCGAAGAAGAAGAGGGAACAGAGGAGGAAGACTGTGGGTAGCCCAAATTTCGCTTTGGGGCTTTTTGCTTTCACTTTCATTGCGAATTTTTTAATTTGTCTTTCTTTGTTTTGCTTTCTTTCTGTTCATTTGTGAGCTACGACTCTACGAGCATGGGCTCTTCGGTCTTCTTCTTCATTGCTTGGCCGCCAGATGCCCTGAGTTGTCTTCACTCTACAGTCTTCTTTTGTTTTATATAATTTTTTTTTCTTTTTTATTGGTGTCAAATGTCTTATATAGTTTGTAGTTTCTGTAAGAACACTTCCACCGCGAGGTGGGGAAGGCAGGCAAAAGGGGGGGCATAGGCCCAAAAAAACCCTCCAGCGCACAAGGTCCAGTCCGGGCAAGGGATGAGACCCATCAACCCAAATAAGTTCATGGGCAAGAATTGTCTGGGCTGTGGCTCGAAGGATGCTGACATTAGCAGCTGAAATCAATTTTTTCTTTTTAATTGTAAGCCTGTGGAATGCACACTTCATTGATTAAAAAATTTTTTTTGAATTTCTTGCGTTGACGTCAGCGCTGATCCACAGCTGCCATAAACCAACGGTTACAAGCCATATGCCTTCTTCTGGAGCCTCCAGTCCAAAAAGCTTATCCAATCCGAAGGCTGTCCATTTTTTGGCTTAAAAAATTTGTAAAAAATATCAAAAACTTCTAGAATTTTTTTTCTACAAATATTATTCACTTTTCACACCAAATTTTCTACTACACGATTCTATTTGTGTACAAATACAAATGACCTCTTCCATCGAAGCCGGATGGTCGTGGACAAACGTTCGAAGTAGTCAAAATCTTGGCAACGAAGTAAAAAAAAAAATGCTGTTTTATTCAATTTAATGTCTTTTTTATTTATTTTAATATTTCTTGCATTTCCAATTTCATTTTTTTAAATAAATTATTCAAGACAAAACAAAAAAGAGGAAAACCATTTCACTGGGATCCTGAAGTGAACAATGCCCACAGTCGATTCCAGTGGCAGGTTCTATGTTGGAAATAATGACACTATTACATCATCCGAAGAAAAATACTCACCCACGTCGTGATCCAGTGAAACCGCCTCTGCCAATGACTAAGTCATCATTGTACTAGATTGTGTCGGATTATGAGGACCGGGAGTATTTCAATTGTATGATGAGTGAGTAGGTATTTCAATGGTATGATGAGTGAGATGTGAATTTTATAATAAATATGGACACGTGGCAATCGAAAATCTTACCTGAAAATTTTATCTGAAATTTGAGATGTGAATTTTATAATAAAAATGGGCACGTGGCAACCGAAAATCTTATCCCAAAATTTTATCTGAAATTTGATATGATAATTTTTATAATAAATAATGACACCTGGTTATCAAAAAATCTTATCAAAATTAATGGTTTAAGTATAAAAAATAGAAAATAAATTAAAGTGAATAGTAATTGCCCTTGCCCTTGCCATTTGGGATGGAAACAAAAAAGCAAGGGGTTGCCACTATTCATATGAATAGTGACAAACCTTGCCTTGCCTTTGCCTTGCCATTGTCCTTACGGGTGGAAGTGCTCTAAAGTCTAAGAAAATGACCAATTTTGTTTTTAATTTAAAAAAATTAAAATTATAAGGGACTTTTAACCTTTTTCAAATTTAAAAAAAAATCAAATAAGGGGCTTTTAACTTCTTCTTTTTTTAATTTTTAGTACAAGTGATTAAAGGATGATTTATTTTTTTTTTTTTTTTTTTTTTGGTATAAGTAAAATATTGGTGACGGGAGGAATCGAGAATCCTAGAACTAAGGATGCATACTTACAGGGTGGGGATTTACTGTCTACACAATATTTATTAGGTACATTGGGATTTCAAATCCCTACCCACATAGGTGGAAGTGAAAAAACTCAAAAAACTGAGTTATACCGCACTTATAAAAACTTATAACTTTAGTGTTCAATAACAATTATTTTTACACTCTTGCGGTCTTTTATATACTTTTATTTGTAAGATTAATTCAGAAGTATGATATTTGTTTGTTTACCTTTCCTAGCCAATGTAATGTCGTTTGAACTTATGTGTCAAGGACAAGTACTCAAAGGTAATTGGCTTGGCCTTCATAAAAAAGAACGTAATTTTGGCTTGGCTGAAGGGGAAGGTTCCTCTTCTCTCTTTTTTTTTTTTTTTTTTTTTTTTTTTTTTTGCATTTAATTAATTCAAGCAAAGAAGTCACTAGCCATAAAGGTCCAATACAAACTAGTCACAAAGGGCCATTACAATAATAGAGCGATCTAACATCAAAATTAAGATAATATGGGGCTCTACCACTAAAACTCTCACAAAGGAGATATGGAAAACTCTCACAAAGAAAAGATGAAAAACTCTCACAAAAGGAGAGACGAAAACTACACAAAAAAGCCAAAGAGTCTCTACGACTTATTCCAAACATAAAGAAGAAAAAAAATTGATTGTGGTAGAGATCCAACACAGAAACACAAGTGGAGATCCGACGCCGAGACGTATTCGCATGTGATGAATGGAGGAAAATCATTTAAAAAACTAAGATAAATAGGGGAAAACTTCTATCTCTGAAAATTGGGGAAAAAAGGAGAAGGTAGGAAGAGCAATGGTGGAGCCATAAAATTCATCGAGGAGGGTCAACCTCAAAAAATAAAATCATCTCATAACAAGATATTTATCTAATAATACAAAGTCTTTAGTAATAACTCATATGTCATTACAATACATTCACAATCGTCCTCGACGAGTTTTCATCTATCTTTTCATAATCACTTCATTATCAATAATATCAAATGTATCTTTCTCAATGTATATGATCAAGCTGTCATTCATCCATATATCTCCCATTTGGTTGCCTGCTTTAGCTTTTAGGTTAGTAATTCTTTAATTCAGTTATATTTTTTAAAAAAAAAGTAAAGAAAAGAAAAAAGGAAAGCTAAGAAGGGACATATTTTAATAATAAATTATATACAAAGGGTAAATAGTAATGAATGTAGGGTTATTTATGGAATTTCAAAAGGGTCAGCTGACGCTTGTAGGCCTTCATTGGCCCCGCCTTTGAAGAAGAAAGAAGGGCAGAGGGGAGGAAGAATAGTGACTTCCTCCCCCTCAAAGTGAAAACGGTTATAGAGTGTTTTTTAAGAGAGAAGTGACTATGATTTTTTGAAAACTTAACTTATGTGGGAAGGTTCCTCTTTAGAGATCATGTGCGAAAGCAAAAATGTTAGTGTATTCAATTCAATCTTTACCCAAAACAGAAATTTTGATTGCAATATGATTCCTTATGATTTATTCTCTAGGATGGAAAGTGGAAATAGGTGGTTAATTTGTTCAAGTACGAATAAAAAATCATAATTGGTTTGGTGTATATATGTACGACGTATCTTTGAGCATGGAAGGTTAATCAAACTCGCTCAAACTCGCTACCGTATGACACATTTAAGAGACTTGTTTAAAATTTTGAGTTTTTCTTGATACTATTCATGACACTTTCCTAGAATAAGCTTAATGCCTTCTATGATTAATAAAGTTATTCTCATACCGATACCATCAAAGTTTCTAAAAAGAATTCTATCTTAATTAAGCAGCTGATAACATAAATCATAAACGACAGTTACTAAAAGATAAGTTTAACATAGATCATAAACAACAGTTATCGAAAGAAAATAAACTTATATCACTATATTTTTTTTATAGAAAAATGACAGTGATATGAGTTGAGTGTGACTAGTAAGTTAGTCATGGTCATTGATGTGAAGATTTGGGCTATCGCGTTCCACTTCACAAAGATATTCCTAATCATGCACCACCTAGATTAGTTTCCAACAAAGCTAGGGTTATTCATAATCCACCAAAGAGGAACTGACACGTGCAGTACTTGGGCAGCAACCAGATGTCACATCTGCAGAAAAAAAAAAAGTGTACGGTCACGCATGTTTTAAGAACAATATATTCCAACTGTACTTAAACGAAGAGCACCGAGTTATCATTTGAACTTCTTTAGAGCCATACAGTTTCTTGGCACCCAATTCTCCTTTTTTTCTCTTCTTTGAACGCCCTCCGCTGCATAAACCTTCACCCTATAGAACATATTCCTCCGTCTCTTTTATATATATCGCATGCATACAGGCATAAGCCTTTGCATATACAAATTTGTGATAATAGCTAGGTGATTGCTGAGGGACATGACAAGATGCAGCGGGGTGGCAAAATCAAAGATATTTCTGGTTAGGTAATGTTTTTATACATGTGAATTCAAATATAGGGAAATGAAACTATAATTTATGTGAGTGTTTCAAATCTAGTTCAATTTGATTTCTGAAGGAGGATGCCCTCGCGGCTTTTCTTTGTAATTTCGATTTTGTTATATGCACAAAATATGCTAGGGGTACAATGGAAAATAAATAATTTCATCACGATAAGGATCGATCACTCGGATTTTATAGTTATGCACTTACGTATGATGGTATTTAGGATATGAGAGAAATGATGAACGTTAAATGATCAGTTAAGATGGTACAACCGGTTTAGTTTTGCGGGCATAATGATATGCATGTGCGACAGTTCATACTGCAGGGAAGCTAAGAGAGTGGATCATCAACGTCAATTCAGCAAGATGAAGGGAGCTGCAGAGAAAATTTCAAGCAGAAATGAGAGTGACAGTGAGGAGACTGGTAGTGGCAGCCCATCATGGAGGTGCAACTGGGTTCCACATCCAACAACAGGAATATATGTTCCCAAAGGGCATGAAGGGGTGATGGATGATGTCCCCAAGGAAGCTGCTTCTCTCAACAAGACTTTCTGGCTCCGGAACGTCGACGGAGTACTGGAGAAACCCGACCCGGACACTTCTCCGGATCATTACTATCAGTACATGCATATGTGAGATCATTTGAGAAAAAATATTCAAGCATCACTATATCTATAAAACTGAAGTATCTATAATATTATTAGAAAGGGTTTAATCATATGGCCTAATTGTATACTGTGGCCGGACTTACTGTTTAAATAAGATCGGTGCCCTTACGAACAATATCATATATGTAATATATACTAAGCTAGCCCTTGTATAAATTGTACTCTTTGGATATGTATGTACACATGCATGGCTACGTACACGAGTACAAAATTCCCCAGTTCATGCAATATTTGCAAAATTTGACTAACATGTTTACAATATAGTAACACGAATAGTTCGTTAATTAAATAATTGATGTAATAAGTATATAAATCAACTGTTTTATTATACGATCATCGAATCTGATCTAAAAATATGATCCCTTTGACAACATACATTTTAATCTATATATTCACGACCATGTATGAAGTTGTAAATTTTTTTTTGGTAAAAAATTGAAGCCATATTGTGGGAGAAAAACTTGCCTATGCACGTTTCATGACCGCGTAAGACACACGTCATCAATGAAACATGTCAGAGAGGCTGGCTTGCTTCTTCTTTTCTGGGGACAAAGAGGCTGGCTTGCTTTTTTGTATCTACAGCGTTTGTGTTTTGGGCCTAACATCAACTTTCTCCTTTTTTACTTTAACAAGAAAAAGCAAAAGCTCTTTTTTTGTTCAAAGAAAAAAGCAAAAGCTGGATGGATGTCTATTTTCAAGTCACTATCCAATTCAATCCAATCCATCTCATCCAAGATATTTTCTCCGATAAATACTGGTTAAACGCGATAAATAACTTTACCCAAAAATATAAAAAACGCAATGAATATCTTTGACCAAAAAACGCAATAAATATAATCTGAATCCAACGCCTAAAATCCACGAAATTTCTTTTCTCATTGACACGCGTCCTCATCTCAATCCGATCCTTTCCAAATCAGTACAAACGTACCAAAAGAGCCACAAAAAACAAGCCATTTCCAACCAATAAATAAAAAACATTATTATAAAATGCTCTTCAGGCTTCATCTACCGCGTTTTTAAGGTGGAGAGTTTTGCGTACCATTCCTTCTTCTTCCCCAACCGTTTCTGCAAAAAAACACTGTCAATCCATCAACATCAGACAGAAACAAGAAGCGTTTCTAGGAGCGTGAGGTTAAAAAACGCTGATTGTTGTGTGTGTGCATGACGAGCGCATCGGAGCTTTTCTACAACCGGAGGTCTCGCTACAACAGCCGAACCGCCACCCACGATCTAGGGTTCGATTCTCTCCCTCCTCCTCTTCCCGATCGAAACCACAATCACAACCGTCGCCATCACAATCACCATGAATCCGACGGCTGCGATCCTCTCCTCCGCAGAACCCCTCGCCATCTCCGCCACCGATCCTCTCTTCCGGTAACTTTTTTCTTTCTTTTTTTAATTTCAAATTCTGCAATTGAATTTCGTAATTTCTTAAATCCGTGCGCTTTTGGGTTTGGTTGGTCAGGAGCGAGCCGCAATTGGGGCTGAGCAAGGTGGGGGCCACTCGAGTTCGGGAAATGGGGCCGGTGCAAGCAGTCCCGGGTTGAGCGGGAACGAGAGGCTTCCTGGGTCTGTTTTGCTCGCTAGGGAAAGGCTTCTTGAGAGGCTGAGAGGGATGCCTCCTTCACAAACCAGGTCAGTTTCTGCTGCTCTGCATGTTAATGCCTCCAAATTGTACTTCTTTTTGTGGAAATTAGCTAGCTTTGTTTTTGTTTAGCAATTACAATAGCATATTAGCAATTCTAATGGATTATACATGTACTTAGGAGCTGAAATTTGGATGCTGGCTGCAAATTATTGCCCATTTATTGGTAACACTCAAGTTAATTGGGAGATTAAGACTAGACTTCACAATGAATCTTGCTGTGGAATTTTACCGTGCTTAGATATTCTGAGCATTGCATGATCTCAATATATAAAATTATGAGAACTCTCCACCAGTTACCAATTGGTTGTGGGATGCACACCAATTAACCAATTGACGATTGTCAGCCCCTGTCTAAGCCGAGCATTATGATCTATTGTTTGGCGTGTAACTCAGTATCCATCAATTGGTTAAGCACCCATGTAGAGATGATAGCAAAATCCTTGCCTAAATTTAAAAACCTGCCTCTTAGTATTGACTCTGATGAAATTACCTTGTTCTGTTTGGCTTTATTTAGGCATCGTAGAGCATTGAACGTTTATGGAAGTGGGCTAGTGCATGGTGATGAATCAAGTCCCCTTGATGTAAGGGATTGGGGTACTGAAATTTTGACTAGTCGGTCAGCCGGTGTCTATCCTTCCACTAACTTGGGCTCCCAAATTGAAAGGCAGCAACTCTTGCAAGAAGCAAACAAGAAGCCTCCGGGTCTCACTCAAGAGGTCCTTGATTGTCTGAGCCCTGAGCTTTTCAGCAGCTCAGAAATGGATGTTGATGGGTTGGTTTTAAGAGCATCCCGAGATTGTAGTATCTGCCTGGAGAGCTTCCTGGATGGAGATGAGCTTATAAACTTGCCTTGTGCGCATAGATTCCATGCTGTCTGCTTGGGTCCCTGGGTTCGAATTCGAGGGGACTGCCCATATTGCCGAAGAGTTATAGTTGTAAATAGTCACACTGATAAAAGGACCGCATAGTTTCTGTTGAGATGATTTATTGCTTGGGTGCTCATTTGCAGGAAAAGTTTTGGAACTTGACCACCAAATTATGGTGATGCTTTCTAATTAGATGCAACGAATCGTTGTTGTGTTGTCTTGCATACTTGGTGTATACTTTCAATCCATGTTTTGTAACTTAATTTACAATAGTTGTAAAGCAGGTAAAGGTAAGCTAGATTTTACATCTTCCCTGAACTTCTTAAAAAACTAATGAAGCCTTGCAAAGCATGTAAAGGTCAGCTAGTTTTAAATAGAATTTGAAAAGAGCGTGATTTTGGTAGTAAAAAATGTACTGAACTTAGATGAGAACCTTGCATCGCCTATTTATTCTCTCTTCTTCAGCCGACACTCTCTCTCTCCACGCCCTCTATACCTGTCCTCTCTCTTTCTATCTCCGCTGCCGCCACATGGCCAGATCTGGTCCACTCTGCGAATCTCTCTCTCTCTCTCTCTCTCTCTCTCTCTCTCTCTCTCTCTCTCTCTCCTCCTCTGGTTCGGTTCCTCAAACGGAGATTGGACAAGGGTCTGCAAATTTAATTGATATTTTTTATTCAAATCTCACACTTCTCTTAGTTCACCTCATGTTCTAAGTTTATCTCAATTTTAATTTTAATTTTCACAATTTCTAAAAAAACTTCACTATCTTCCCAAACTACCCTTAAATACACCCCAAGCTATAATAAAAAAGAAATTAAAAAGATTTTCTATTTAAACCCCACAATTTTCTTTGTTCACCCTAATATTTAAATAATTAAACAATATTTGTAGTATACATGAGATTTTGTTTGGGGTGAAAGTTTGAAGCAAAAGTATGTGCTAGGCATTAGTTTAAGGAGGGTTTGAAGGCAACAGTTTGAAGCAAAAATACATTAGATTTTCATCTTGTGCTAGGCATCAGTTTGAAGCAAAAGTATTTGTAGTATACATGAGATTTTGTCACGACTGATATTTCTCTTCAAGCCTTGGAAAGAATCTTCTATAGTTGTGGAACCTAATCGTCTAGCCGCACACGATACTTCAATGCATCGGATCTCAAGGATACCAAGAGTGGTGAGGAATTTGCATTTTTCTAAAACTTAATATGTAGAGTGGTGGGGTGTGTAAATAGATGTACTAGAGTTAAGTATTAAGTTGGATGACCTTTTTTGTCTTTTTATACTGTAATAAAACTTACAACTTAATGATTTAAGTATTGGGGTGAACAAAGAGAAGTAGAGAATTTAAATAGAAAATCTCATTTAATTTTGCAAAAGAAAAATTGAAAATCCAATAAATAAAGGAAAAAAGCAACTTTTGGCCAAGATCAGTTACTTTATCACCTCCACTAAGACTTGATGCCCAAGTAATTTCATCCTATAAATTAGCCACAAACAAATCTAATATCTCTCTCTGCCGCAACAGATCTTCCCAGCATTCTCCAATTCTTTCGAAACCCTAAACCCTGCATCTCTCTCTCCATACCCAACTATGGCGGCTCCTGCTCAAGATTCTCTGCTGGGCCCATCGGCTCTCCGCCGGCCTAACCCCTTCCCGGACATCTTCGACCTTACGCTTAAGACAACCTATGAACCAGGCCCTTCAATGGGTAGAGGCCAATCTAGGCAGTCTTCTTCACACCCAACCTCAAACCCGTGCATTACATTTTTCTTCAAAGCCAGCCGATACACTGCTGATCACACCCGGAAAAAGACCCCTCCCGAGTACTGGTACTTCAGGGGGATCCAGCGGGATCTGATTTATTATGAAGAAGAGGCATGGAAGTTTGACCCTCTCACCACTTTCAAGCTCATATTTGCTCTTCGAATGGTGGAGAGGCTTGACACAGATGGGTTCTACAGAGCCTTGTTGTGGGTGCACAAAAACCACCCTTTAACCCTGTCTTTGAATGTCATGGCTTTGGGGGGTAAAGGTTGGTTCAAAGATCTATTGGAGTTTCTCTATTTTGTTTTGGAAGACCCGATAAAGGAAGCAGAAGCAAAAGCAAAATCAAAGAAGAATGGAATAATCAATTATTACTATGCATATTATGATTCTGACGAAGATGACTTTTATCATAGTTATCCGTACAAGGAAGAAACTGGGGTTGAGGAGAAGAACAGAGAAGAGATAACGGGCACAGATACTCGCATTGGCAGGGCTAAAATGGCGGTCGAGAGGTACCAAAGTGACCTGGATTATCGAAACTTGCATGATCGAATCTCGGAGATGTTTGCACATTTTTTGACATCGGATCTCAGGTTTCTGGAGTCTGGTGAGATCGAAAAAATCAGTTTTGCTTACAAATTTTGTCCTTCAGTTAATTCTGGTTATGACAGAGCAACCCTGCTGTGTGAAAACATAGCAAAGAGAATTTTCCCACGCCATGACTATGAAGAGTACAGTGAGCTTGAAGAAGCTCATTACGCTTACAGGGTTCGTGATCGTTTGAGGAAACAAGTACTTGTTCCTCTGCGCAAAGTGCTAGAATCATCATCATCATCAAGGCAGATCAGATATGTTCCTACTGTACCACAGCTATTATCCCAAAACCCTAAGGCCCTGGCTGGTTTGAGAAGATACAGGAGGATCCTAAGCAATGAGAGAGAATATGAACGCACATTGTATTTGATGGAAAATGGGGGCGAAAATGGAAGCAAATCTCAATTTAAGCTTTATATAAACGTTGTTGAATTTTTCGGGGTAAGCATTGGTGATGGGCTAAAACTTCCACACCGAATAGTATTTCCTTTCTTGTACATGAACAAGGAACATAATGAAAGATCAGAGCTTGAATGGCAGACACTAGTCCAAGATTTTTCAAACAAAGGGAAGCTGAGGAATTGTCTTGCCGTATGTGACATCCAAGAGAGCATGAGAGAGACATACGAGGATATGGTTTGCATTGGCATGGGGTTATTGATTTCAGAACTGAGTGAAAATCCATGGAATGGAATGGTTTTTCCCTTTAGCCTTTCTCCCAAGCTTTGCAAGATCGAAGGAGAAAATCTTCAGTCCAAGTGCGAGTTCATGAGGCAGACAGAGTGTTCTGTGAAATTGGACTTCTTAGCAGTTTACAACCAAATCTTGGACACTGCAACCTCACAAAATCTAAGCCCTGAAAAGATGCCCAAGAGGATTTTTGTGTTCACCAACAGGGATTTTCAGAAATCCTTCAAATGCGATTGGCGGGACAATTATAAAGAGGCTTTGAAGAATTACAGAAGAAGAGGGTATCAGACTCTGCCAGATATGGTTTTTTGGAATCTTAAGGGTGGCATGCGTGAGCCAGAGGTTATTAATTGCCCATTGAAGGAGAACCATAAAGTAGGTCTTATTTTAACTGGGTTTTCAAACAATATGCTCACTATGTTCTTGAATGGAGAGTCAGATTCAAGACCATATGCAGCACATCAGATCCAAGCACCTTATGGTATTGATGTACAGAAATGCATTCCTAGAGCAGAGGATGTGATGAAATGTGCAATTTCAGGACCAGAATTCGATAACCTTCTTGTATTTGATTGATGGAAACATGTTTATGTTCCTTGACATAGAATGATGAATGTTTCATTAGATTTTGACTGCTCTGTTCTTCTAAGAATGGTTTGGCTTCTCCTGCATTTGGTTGATTTTCTGTACATAACTGCAGAGGCTGAATTCCAAATTTCTTTTGCAATTCAATTCCATTGCTGTTAGTTTTGCCTTTTGAAAATCTGTTTGTTACCCATATTTTCTCTCACGATGATCTTATTTGGAGGAAGTTCAGAATTGTCACTTTGCTGTGAAAAATCGTAGGTGTTGGTGATTGGCAAATTAGATTAGGATGTAACCATCAAAGGACTGTCAACCTTAATTTGAGGGAAGTGTGATTTGAACGGGGGAAGGGTGATTTGAATTAGGAACTTAGATAAAGCCGACATTGGGACTTGCAAATTCGCGATCAAGGTGGAAATTGCCGAGCAACATCAGACACGCAAGCTTTAGGCGGTGATGATGTTTTTGGTCGAGCTTACAAGGGCGGCATACTTTCCTATAAGTAGGGGAAACATTTTCAGAATTAAGGACCAACAAACACTACCAAAAACAAGTCGAACGCTGCTCATATGCACTTTCAAAGTTTTTTTTGGTTTTTTAATTATTTTTTTAATAAATAAAAAGAGAGAATAAATTTATATTCCTTTCTGCCATGAGCATCTACGATATTCATGCTTCCATTTCATATACTCTGTGTTGTTGATTAGTGTTATACTCGATACGAGAACTACATTCGATCAATGGTTGTTTGTAGTGTGTCAAAACTTATGAATGATTGTCTTATACTCAATACGAGAACTACATTCGATCAATGGTTGTATGTAGTGTGTCAAAACTTATGAATAATTGTCAGCTATTGATTGAGTTGAGACTCTAATTAGAGGCTAGCCGTAGGTGTGGGTGATGGTCAAATGTATTGAGATGTGACTCATTTTGAGAGCTATCATCAACGACTGTCAATCATGTATGTGACTTGGGGTGTTTTCGTATAGGGAGCGCAAGTCTTTATTTTGGTAGGCAAACTCAACTTCGGGATTAGATGGTTAATATTTTGTTTGGTAACTGAATTTTCCCCTTTTTTTATTTTTTATTAAATCAATAAACTAGGGATTTATTTTAATATTGGGAAGAGAAACACCATTAGACTTTGTGAAGAGACCGGAAAAAAGTTAGTAAGATTTTATTATAATCTACCCTCTATACCTATTTTAATTTGACTTGAATTCACCTTCAAATTTCTAGTAGTTTGGTGGCAGCCTGCTAGATTTTACAGGAAGGGTTTGGTTGTGAACATAGTTTGGTGGCAGATTGAAGGGTTTAATCTTGATTTGAATGTAACGTACACTCATGACCTATCTCGACCTATGTTATGATCATCACTAAATGGCTGAATTAGAAATATTATTTAATAGCTTATGATATTTTTCTTTTTGAGGAAATTGCTTATGATATTTTAGTTTAAAGAATTGGTTTCATCACAGATATATGGCTTTAGAGTGTGAGTTAAGAAAAAGTTACAAATTAGTTTATAAATTACTTGATGCCAAGCTCGGTTATGTTATCATCACCTCCAAATACTTGATGCCCAAGAAATTTCATTCTATAAATAAGCCACAAATGAAGCCAACATAACTCACCCAGTCTTTCTGAAAACCAAAACCAATCGATCCAATCCCCTAGTACTCGCTATACCCACCCCATACCCTAATCATGGCTCCTCCAGTTTGTCTTCGGGGCCCACCGGAGCTCCACCTTGACCACCCCATCTCCACCATCATAACCCATGAAGAAAACCCTCCACTGGGTAAAGGCCATTCTTCTTCTTCAACCCCACCCTTAAACCCTTGCCTTGAATTCTTCTCCAAGGCCATCACATACTCTGATAAATCCCAACAAAACCCTCCCATGCATCAGCCGCAGAAGGATCTGACAGAATATGAAGCAGAGTCATGGAAGCATGACCCACGCACAACTCTTAGGCTCATATTTTGCCAGAGAATGGTGGGGAGGCCCAACAAAGAAGCCTTTTATAAATGCCTCTTATGGGTTCACAAAAACCATCCTCGAACATTGGCTTTCAATATGAAGATTTTTGGGGAATTGGGTTGGTTCAAAGATCTATTGGAGGTTCTCTATAGGGTTTTGCAGAAATCCATAGATGAAGCAAAGAAAAAATCCAGAAATGAAGCGAAGAAAAAATCCAGAGATGAAGCAAAGAAAAAGGAAGAAGAGGAGGAGGAGAGACGGAAAGAGTATGGGAAGAAACGTTCGAATGAATGGCAGAAACCTAGGAATAGGTATTGGTCCAACTATGACGAAAGCGATGTGGAGGAAGAGAAGGAAGAGATAAAAACAATCACAGATGTTCGCATTGCCAGGGCTAAAAGCGCGGTTGATAGGTACCAAAACGACCTTGAATATCGGTTCTTGCATGATCGTGTATCAGAGGTGTTTGTGGAGATGCTGACATCAGATGTCTTGTCTTTGGAGTCTGGTGAGATTGAACATATCAGCACTGCTTCCAAATTCTGTCCTTCGATTGATTCATCTTATGACAGAGCAACTTTGATATGTGAAAACATAGCAAGGAGAATGTTTCCACGCCATAATTTTGGAGAGTACAAAGATGTTGAAGAAGCTCATTATGCTTATAGGGTCCGTAATCGACTGAGGAAACAAGTACTTAGCCCCCTACGCAAGGCATTGGAGCGCTTACCGGCTGCAAAACAGAACAAGAAGTCATCATCATTGTTCAAGAACCGCAAGAGGCTGGTTGCTTTGGAAATCTACAGCAAGATCATTGGTTGTGGTGGTGGAGGCCATGATGAAAGAAGATTGCAAATTAAGGGTTACATGAAGCTCGTGGACATACTATTACCAAAGAAAAATATTGTCGACATATGCTTTGGTGATGGGCTAAAGCCTCCTCACCATGTGGTGGCCTTGTTGGAAAAGGAACATGGCGGTGATGATGAGATTGCAGAGGTTCAATGGCGGAGATTAGTCCAAGAGTTTTCGAACAAAGGGAAGCTCAGGAATTGTATTGCAGTGTGTGATGTCCAGGAGAGCATGAGAGGGACATTGAAGGAGAGGGTCTGCATTTCAATGGGGTTGTTGGTTTCGGAGCTCAGTGAAAAACCTTGGCAAGGTTCTGTTATCCCGCTCAGCGATTTTCCAAGGCTGCACAAAGTTGAAGGAGACAATCTCCAGTCGAAATATGAGTTTATGAGGAACATAGAGTGCGCTGAGAAGGTGGATTTTTCAAAGATTTACAATCGAGTTCTGCAGATTGCCATAACAGAGAAGCTGAGCAATGCCAAGATGCCTAAAAGTATTTTTGTGTTCACATACAAGGAATTTGACAAGGCCTCTAAGAACGATTGGGTGTTGGATTATAAGGACGCTTGGAATAATTACAAAAAGAGAGGGTATGCAACTGTGCCGCAGTTGGTGTTTTGGAATCTTAAGGACTCGATTGCTGCGCTTGAGGTCATTGGCAGCCCTGTGAAGAATCACAATGCAGGGATAATTATCACTGGGTTTTCCAACACTCTGCTCAGTCTTTTCTTTAAAGGCGAGACGAATTCGAGAACATATGCAGCTCGGGTAGATCAGGTACATGATGGGATTGATGTACTGTCAGGGCTGAGGCTTACTCCAAATGCTGAGGATGTGATGAAATGGGGGGTTTCAACCGAAGAGCTGAGGAGCCTCTTTATATTGGATTGATGTAAACATGAACCACACGATATAATAAGCTTTGTTTAATCAAAGCATGAATCTGAATTTTATTTTTTTTTCATTTTAACGAAGGATGGATGACACGTACAGATGGGTTTTCACTCAAGAATAAACTTGGGAAAGTGATTTCTATTTTGCTATATTGGGGAGAATGGCAAACCAAAAATGAAACGTAAGATCTTTAACCTACAACAATTTTAGCACATAAATTGTAGTAAAAAAGTTAACAAGAAGATAACTATTAGCCCATTCAGCCTTGCACCCAAATAATTGCAAACGGTTGGTCAAGGTAGTGAGCCCTACTTCTTGCACTTAAATAATTTGAATCTCCTTCTATATAGATTCGATTAATTCTGTTTATATAAAGGGATGTATTCAATCAGGATTTTAAAAGACTATTTAGGGATAAAAAAGTCTTGTGGATTTAAGCAAAATGTAATGACATATAGGATTTTATTAATGGATTTTTTATAATCAAGATTTTTTACTTATGTATTTTAAAAGATTTATATCAAGATTTATAAGATTTAAAAGGACCACATGGATTTAATGGATTATGAGTTTAAAAAATCCGATGACTTAGAATATACCACATCGGCTAATTAAATAAGTTTTGGTTTTATTTTTTTTGAAACTGACAATGCTAACTGCAATTATGCTAGAAACCATTAGCCCCTCTTGAATTGTGGCGAGAATCAAAGATAATAAAAACACAATGTTGGGTTAATTCTTTCTACCATGCACATTGAGCAAAATTCCACAACCAAAAAAAAAAAAGCTGAAATAATTTCTACTTCATATTAAGAAAGAGAAAACCACATATAGTCTTCTCAACATTGAACAAGTTTAGATTTGGGTTACTGCATTTTCAGCTGAATTTTCTACATCTCATTCGACAGAATCAATGGTAGTACCTCCATTAGCAAAACCATCGTCCCTTGCTGCTTGAACACTACCTTCAAGTTCAGTCAAGTTCTGCCGCATCTCAACTTTTTGATCTTCGACTACATCACTACTTGTCATATTGTCACTAATTACCCCATCATCGGGATAATTTACCACTTTGTTTTCAGTTGCAACCAGATTGTCAGAAACATTATCTCCTTTACTAACGAAGTCTTGAGCTGAAACCCCACTGGAGTATATTCCACCTGAGCTAGTGAGCCTCTTTGAGTACTGTTTAGTACTGTTTCAGGTGCAAAAACTTCCTGAATCATTTGATTTGGTTCAGCATTATTTTTCTTCTTATTTATATCCTTTATTGGAAGCAACTCGAGCACAGGTGCAATCAAGTATGGAAACCATTGACAGAGCACCATTTGCTGAAGTTGTTGGTTGTGAAAAATGCAATCCTTATGGCCCTTATGGAGAAAATGTATATGATATCAAGGTTGATTGCTGGAGAAACAGATTCAATGATCGTGGGAAGGAACCATACAAAACTTTGCCTGGGGATCTTTTTGTCTTAGCAGGTGTCAAACCTGAAACGGTTTCTGATTTACAAAGGGTAGGGACAGGGAGGTCCTCTTGGGCTTTTGTTTCAGTCACAAATGGCATATCAGGTAAGTTAACATCCTTGGACAATGGCATATTGGTTCCCAGCTGCTGCTGCCTCTTTGAGGCATTTCGTCGAACAGATGGTGGGAACCAGCTGAAAGCTGAGGATTACAAGAACAGCTGAGAGGAATTAAACAGATGCTGCAACAATACCCAGACTTCGTTGTATACCTCTAAGAGGAATTAAACAAAGCACAGCCCACTGAATTGGTCTCAAGTATTCCTCTAAGAGCTTGCCCACAGCGTAAAGTATAAAAATTGTAAAGGCAAGATCAGCATGAGCCATGGTTATGTAGAGGGCAGATTACCTGGGGATCACTAGAGAGGGTGGTTTTGTGATCTGGATCGATAGGTTTTGGTGGCAGAGCTTGGTGTTCATCTTTTCTAGAGAAATTGAATACCACGTGATTTTAACACCATCTTCTAAAAATCTTAATAATCTTAATGGAATACCACAAGACTTGTTTAGATTATATAAAAGTCTTAATTGAATACCACCAGACTTTTTTATCCTAAAATAATCTTTTAAAATCTTAATTGAATACACCCCCTAAATTTATATGGATTTTTGAATAATAAATTTAAATTGTTTGTTTAAACCATCCAAATGAAGCCTTAATAAGCAATTTAGACTGTCGATTTTATTAATAATATAACAAACCCTTGTTTCACCACAGAACGTAATGGCTTTGAAGTGACTTGAGTAACAAATTAAGATAAATTGAAAATAATAACATATCGTGATGGCCAAGCTGGGTTGTGTTATCATAATCTACAACAATACTTGATGACCAAGCAATGATCCTATAAATAAGCCAGCCGACATAACTCACCCAATCGATCCAATCCAACAGTACTCGCTATACCACCCTAAACCCTAATCATGGCTCCTTCAGTATGTCTTTGTGGCCCACCGGAGCTCCAACTTTACTTCCCCACGACCACCATCAAAATCTGTCAAGGCCAGTCTTCTTCTTCAAACCCCTGCCTTGAATTCTTCAAGGCCACTACATACTCTGATAAACCCCAACAAAACCCTCCCGTGTATCAGCAGCGGAAGGATCTGACAGAATATGAAGCAGAGGCATGGAAGCATGACCCTCTCACAGCTCTCAAGCTCATATTTTGCCTGAGAATGGTGGGGAGGCCCAACAAAGAAGCCTTTTACAAATCCCTCTTGTGGATCCACAAAAACCACCCTCTAACCTTGGCTTTGAATCTCAAGGTTTTTGCGCAATTGGGTTGGTTCAAAGATCTATTGGAAATTCTCTATAGGGTTTTGCAGAAATCCATAGATGAAGCCAAGGAAAAGGAGGAGGAAGAGAGCCAAGAAGAGTATTGGAAGAAACGTACGAATTATTGTCAGAAACCTAGAAAAAGGAATTATTGGTCTGACTCCGAGGAAGGCGAAAGCAATGAGGAGGAGGACAGCGATGAGGAAGAAGACGATGAAAGCATTGAGGAGGAAGAGGAAGGAGAGAAGGAAGAGAGCAAAACAGTCACAGATGTCACAGATGTTCACATTGCCAGGGCTAAAAGTGCGGTTGATAGGTATCAAAACGATTTAGAATATCGATACTTGCACGATCGTGTATCCGAGGTGTTTGTGGAAATGCTGACATCGGATTTATTGTCTTTGAAGTGCTGTGAGATTGAAAAGATCAGCTCTATTTCCAAATTCTGTCCTTCTATTGATTCGTCTTACGACAGAGAAACTTTGATATGTGAAAACATAGCAAGGAGAATGTTTCCACGCCATAATTTTGGAGAGTACAAAGATGTTGAAGAAGCTCATTATGCTTGTAGGGTTCGTGATCGATTGAGGAAACAAGTGCTTAGCCCCTTGCGCAAGGCGTTGGAGTGCTTACCGGTTGTGAAACAGAACAACCAGTCATCATCATTGTTCAAGAAATGCAAGGCGCTGATTGCTTTGGAAATCTACAGCAAGATCATTGGTTGTGGTGATGGTGGAGGCCGCGATGAAAGCAAATTGAAATTCAAGTGTTACATGAAGCTCGTGAACATGCTATTACCAAAGAAATGTATTTTCAACATGTGCTTTGGTGATGGGCTAAAGCTTCCTCACCATGTGGTGGCCTCATTGGAGAAGGATCAGTGCGGTGCTGATGAGATTGCCGAGGTTCAATGGCGGAGACTAGTCCAACAGTTGCGGAACAAAAGGAAGCTCAGGAATTGTATTGCAGTGTGTGATGTCCCGGATAGCAGGAGAGGGTCATTGAAGGAGATGGCTTGCATTTCAATGGGGTTGTGGTGATGGTTTGTATTACAGCAAGATCATTGGTTGTGGTGATGGTGTTGGCTTCGGACCTCAGTGAAAAACCATGGCAAGGTTCTGTTTTCCCATTTAGCGATTTCCCAAGGCTGCACAAAATCAAAGGAGACAATCTCAAGTCCAGATGTGAGTTCATGAGGAACATAGTGTGTGCTGAGAAGGTGGATTTTTCAAAGATTTACAATGGAGTTCTGCATATCGCCACGACGGAGAAGCTGAGCAATGCCGAGATGCCTAAAATTATTTTTGTGTTCACATACAGGGAATTTGACAAGGCCTCTAAGAATGATTGGGTCCTGGATTATAGGGAGGCTGTGAAGAATTACAGTAAGAGAGGGTATGCATATGTGCCACGGTTGGTGTTTTGGAATTTGAAGGGCTCAATTGCTGAGCTTGAGGTCATTGGTAGCCATGTTGTAAAGAATCACAATGCAGGGATGATCATCACTGGGTTTTCCAACACTCTGCTCAGTCTTTTCTGCAACGGAGAATCGAATCCGGGAACATATGCAGCTAGGGTTGCTCAAGGACATGTTGATGGGATTGATCTTGTGTCACTCCAGAGGTTTGCTCCAAAGGTTGAGGATGTAATGGAATGGGCACTTTCAAATGAAGAGTTGACGAGCCTCTTTATATTTGACTGATGTAAATATGATCAACATATTGTAATAAGTTTTGTTCAATCATAATATGAATCTTTTCTTTGGGTTTTGTTTTCAATTTTTACCAAGGATGACATGTACAGATACAGACTTGGTTGATTTTCTGTACCATTAGCTAGCTAACATCTTTCAATACATTTTAATGGTCATTATATTCTGAAATGTGGATTTATATCAGGCATATAATTGATAATGGAAAACAAATTCCACAATGATATGAACTTTTCATCTAAATCTAATTACTTAGGTCTCATTTGATAACCATTTCAATTTTAGTTTTTAGTTTTCATTTTTTCAATCTTATCCTCACTCTCATTCTCACTCTCATTTTCATCTATACTCTAGCACAAAAAATGAAAACTAAAAACTAAAAACTAAAATTAAAACAGTTATCAAATGAGCCCTTAAGTTTTTGGGTTCGATTTAGTATGTATCTCTCTCTTTTCATGACTGATAAGTTGAATTTGGCTCTTCAAAACATTTATTTTACTTTGGAAAAACAAAACTTACCTTGAAAATGTTGAAAACATACATTTTTTTCTTTCCGTATAATAAATACATAGACACTTTTTACATGTTTTCATATTTTTCAATATATTGCATTAATTGAATTGAAAAGTCAATTGGAGCAAAAATTATTCAAGTAGCAAATAAACCTTTTCAAATTGCCACATAAGTCAACAAACTTTAATTTGCTACACTAACATAGAGTGCTGCTATTTCCACCCACCTGTCCTATTTTCCCACCCACTTTATGTTAAAAAAATTTAAAACAAATTTATCCATTTGCAAAATGACTTTTAAGGACAAATTTAAAACTCTCTCTATTTATTTATATAAGCTTGACACATCATTAAAATTCAATATGAGGGTTAGAAAAAAAGGACACATCGCCACTTTTACTTGAGGAAAATAAAACAAAGGGAACCTAATGTCCCGCTTCTTTCTTCAGAAAGGATGAACAGAACCCACCCAAACTCTGAAACTCAAATATCCATTTTTATTGTCTAGTTTCATGCCATATTGAAATCTAATCCCTTTTGTTTACCTTCCGGACTAGAATTAAGAATCTTTAGTTTTTTTCTACTTGGCTAATTTGTTTTCAAATCAGACCTAATATACTTCCTTCTTCCAAAAACAATAGAACCTTCAACCATATCTAGGCGTCAGAACTCAAAAGACAAAAAAGAATTCCTAATTGAGTGAAATAATTGGAAATAAGATAAAATTAATAGTTTATTTTGAAAATCAGAGAGAGAGAGAAGCAAAGGAACCATTCATGATCATGGGAATCAAAATACAATGAGTACAATGGGTTCTATTTGGGTGTTGAGGGTTTATATTTTTTAAGGAAGAGAGGTTTGGGTCGCGGGGGGAGAGAGAGACTTAAGTGGGGATGGGCTAATTGAAGAATTTTTTAATTGTAATGGAAAATATGAAAATACAATTCATGTTTAAAAAAATTAAAATTACTAAGAGAATTTACTAGAATTAATAATTAAAGGGTATTTTAGGAATAATTGTAGGTGGAAAGATAAGTTTGTGTTCTTTCAAATTTACATGGTGGGTGGGAAGATAAGGTGGGTGAGAAAATAGGACAAGGGGGTGGAAATAGCAGCACTCTTAACATATATACTCATGACCTATCTCGTCCAATCTTATGATTATCATTAAATGGCTTAATTAGAAATTATTTCATTGCTTATGTTATTTAAATGGCTTTATTGTTTCAAAATTGACACTAGAGTGGAAAACAAACAAAAAATAAAAAGAAAGAAATCTTTGACTTGCAACAATTTTTGCGTATTAATTGCAATAAAAAAGTTAACAAATTAATTTCAGTAAAATAAATTACAAATTAGCTTGGATAAATTTTAAAAAAAAACAACAGACGATGATGGCCAAGCTCGGTTATGTTATCATAACATACAATATACTTGACGACCAAGTAATTTCATCCTATAAATAAGCCACAAATCTTTCTAAAACCAGAACCCATCAATCCGATCCGACTGTGTAGTCGTTCTACCCACCCTAGACCCTAATCATGGTTCCTCCAGCTTGTCTTCTGGGCCCACCGGAGCTCCACCTTGACCACCCCATTTCCACCATCATCAAACCCCATGAAGAAAACCCCCCACTGGTTAAAGGCCGGTCTTTTTCTTCAAAGCCACCCGTAAACCCCTGCCTTGAATTCTTCTTCAAGGCCACCATATACTCTGGTAAATCCCGAGAAACCCTGATGAAGCAAAGGCATGGGACCATGATCCTCTCACAACTCTCAAGCTCATATTTTGCCTGAGAATGGCGGGAAGGCCCAACAAAGAAGCCTTTTACAAATCCCTCGTGTGGCTCAACAAAAACCACCCTCTAACCTTGGCCTTGAATCTCAAGGTTTTTGTGGAATTGGGTTGGTTCAAAGATCTATTGGAGATTCTTTATAGGGTTTTGCAGATACCCATAGATGAAGCAAAAAAGGAGGAGGAAGAGAGACAAAAACTTAGGAATAGCTATTGCAATTGGCCCCGCTATTGGTCCTGCGATTGGTGCATAGATGAAGCAAAGGAAAAGGAGGAGAAAGAGAAGGAAGAGATCAAACCAGTCACAGATGTCAGAGAAGTTCGCATTGCAAGAGCGAAGAGCGCCGTTGATAGGTACCAAAACGACCCAGAATATCGGTTGTTGCACGATATTGTATCCGAGGTGTTTGTGGAAAAACTGACATCAGATTTATTGTCTTTGGAGTCTGGTGAGATTGAAAAAATCAGCTCTGTTTCCAAATTATGTCCTTCGATTGATTCGTCTTACGACACAGAAACTTTGATATGTGAAAACATAGCAAAGAGAATGTTTCCACGCCATAATTTTGAAGAGTACAAAGATGTTGAAGAAGCTCATTATTCTTATAGGGTTCGTGATCGATTGAGGAAACAAGTACTTAGCCCCTTGCGCAAGGCATTGGAGTGCTCAACGGCTGCGAAACAGAACAACAAGTCATCATCATCATTCAAGAACCGAAAGGCGCTGATTGCTTTGGAAATCTACAGGAAGATCATTGGTTGTGGTGTTGGTGGAGTCTATGATGAAAGCAAATTGTCATTCAAAATTTGCATGAAGCTTGTGGACATGCTATTACGAAAGAAAACTATTTTCAACATGTGCTTTGGTGACCATCTAAATCTTCCTCACCAGGTGGTGGCCTCATTGGAGAAGGAACATGGCGGCTGTGATGATGAGATTGCAAAGCTTCAATGGCGGAGATTAGTCCACGAGTTGCAGAACACAGGGAAGCTCAGGAATTGTATTGCAGTGTGTGATCTCCCGGAGAGCAAGAGAGGGACATTGAAGGAGATGGTTTGCATTTCAATGGGTTGTTGGTTTCGGAGCTCAGCGAAAAACCATGGCAAGGTTATGTTTTCTCGTTCAGCGATTTCCCAAGGCTGCACAAAATTGAAGGAGACGATCTTAAGTCCAAATGTGAGTTCATGAGACAGATAGAGTGTGCTGAGCAGGTGGATTTTTCAAAGATTTTCAATCAAGTTCTGCAGATTGCCATCGCTGAAGGTAATGCCAAGGTTCCTAAAAGGATATTTGTGTTCACATACAGGGATTTTGAGAAGGCCTCTAGGAACAATTGGGTGCGGGATTTTAAGGAGGCCTTGGATAATTACAGAAAGAGAGGGTATTTTAATGTGCCACATTTGATGTTCTGGAATCTTAATAACCCAATTGCTAAGCCTGAGGAGATTGGTAGGCCTGTGAAGAATCACAATGTAGGGACTAAACTCACTGGGTTTTCCAACACTCTGCTCAGTCTTTTCTTCAAAGGCGAGATTGATTCGAGAACATATGCAGGTCAGGTACATGGTGCTTTTGGTGGGATTGATGTACTGTCAGGGCTGAGGCTTGTTCCAAAGGGTGAGGATGTGATGAAATGGGCAGTTTCAACTGAAGAGTTGACGAGCCTCTTTGTATTCGATTGATGTCAATACGATCCACATAATAAGTTTTGTTCAATCATAGTATGAATCTGTTCTTTTGGGATTTCGTTTTCAATTCTAACCAAGCATGACATGTACAGATAGAGACTTCAGTTAATTTTCTGTGCATGGTTTGCCATTAGTCCCACAAGAAATATCACAGAAAATATTCAAACACCAAGAAGAAATTAGTTGCTGAATTCATATGGGTTTTAATCCGGGAACCTGCAGAATATATAATGTGGATGTGATGAAATGATTTGCTCGGGTTCATGCTGTTTTTGAGATTGATTTGCTGTCAGAGCTGAGGTTTGCTCCAAAGGCTTGAGGATGTGATGAAATGGACAGTTTCAACTGTAGAGTTGACCAGCCTTTGTGTATTGAACAATAGCCTGAAAACAGAAGCGCAATGCTTGGGTATTAATGGGAACAAATCTTTAATAGAAGCGGATTTACCTGTGTGTCATTTGCTCCAACTAAAAAAACAAAAACAAAAAATCGGCCGTGTGGGCGCGCCGACCTGGGCGGGTCCTTTTTTTGTTTAGTTTAATATTTGCAATTAATTAATTTCTTATCCTTAATTAGAGTAATTATTTAATAAATAATTAGTATTGAAGATATAACCCACTCAAGAACTAAGTAACATTTGGCCCCCTGATTGGGTTTGACCCGGTGACATGTCATATTTAGCCACTTGTTGGAGATGGGCTTTAGGTGTAAAAGGGCTAAATTTGAGGATTTAGCCCACTATTAAAGATGGCCTTAAATTTTCGAGTTCGACTTGGTACTTGCTTGACGTAGTTAGTATGCAATTAACTACTTATATTATCTTAAATTTCGTCTCAACTCAATCTCCGTCGTCATCTCTTTAAGCATTTGGAAGTCGCTAATCATCAAGTTTGTTCATCAAATTTCAACCTCAAATTTTACAGCAATAGGGTTATTGATTCTACTAATCCCATGAATAAAGACTTCATATATTCCAGCGTAGACGACTCTGTGCATACAATTCATCACCCTACAGTTAAGGAGCTTAATTAGTTCTCAATTTAGTTCAACCCAACACGCACATTCATCAGACTTAGTCAAGGAATTCGATTCAACTTGATTACAATTTTGTACGAAGCTTCTTTTTAGTTAATTTTCCAAGCAACCTTGTCAATGAACTTAACCATTGAAAATTAATCTTGAGAGGTACAAAACCACTGCCATTTTCCTTTTCCTAGATTTGGCGAGTGATTGTGCCTATAGAACAAATTCCACTGATATTTACATTGTCACTGTCACACTAACACGTCGTGTTATCTACTCATCATACCTAGATAATGAAATTTCAACACCATGTGAGATAGTGTTAACAAGGTCACCGTCACACTTCACATCGCACCCAAGAAATTTTTTTCTTCTTCTTATATTTCTTGTGCATCTAAACCTTTTTTCTCCAACAAGTTTGGCTTTTACAAAAGTTGAGGGCCAATTGACTGTTGTGCATGCTACAGTACAAGGTGCCACTGATTGTGGTTAGCCATTTGGATGTTAAGTCTGGTCTAATTCACCTTATGTTATTTTTTTTTGGTAACAATCTCAAAAGTTTGGTACCAAAACAATAAGATTATTGTTAGAAGAAAGATATATGTGCCAGTTAAAAGATAATAAAGATTTAGTAAAAGTTACAGCTGGACGCTTCACCTGAATTTGGTTTTCAAATTAATTACAACTGGACGTCTGGTTTCAATTCAAGGACTGTTTGCAGTTAAAAAGAATTTTATATTTTATCTGAACATAACATTACCAGGAAAAAAAAATACTTTTGTATTAAGCTCTCAAATTATTTAACAGAATATAAAGCAGAATCTAAAATAATTTAAATAGAGAAACTAACTTAGTCTCATCAATTTAATCGAAATAAGTTGTAGTTCGACTCAAATAGATGCAATGTAGATATATATATTTGTGATGAGTTTAATATCTTATTGCGTAACTTTAATTGTAGACGTGTGTTGGAAAAAATATTCTATCATTTGTACAAAAAATTTAAAGTCAATTCCATTCTTCTCCATTTTAAAGCATATTGAGTTGCTTCAACGTGTAGGTTGGTATACATACACTTTAAGTTCATTACAATTATAATAAGCAGCCTCAAGAACAAGGAATCTAACACGCACACAAAAGTATTTTTTAAATAAATTATATTGAGGCGGTAATCGTAATTTACCTCCTTTTTAATTCTATATTCTGATTGAGGTAAATATAAATTGTTAAAGGTAAAAAGTTAGGGAATAAAGATAAGTGGCCCCAAGTCATGCATCAAGTTACCCTTTTTATTTTATTTTTTGTCAAAAAGTTGCCCTTTTTATTTAAGTGACTTAAAATGTCACAATCATAATTTTCTTACTCATCATTGTAAATGAATCCCAAAAATTTTGTGCAAAAGAAACAAAATCAAATACCAAATTAAAAAAAGCAAAGAACATACACGAGTAATCTCGAGATTCATTCACTAGTAAAAGAGCGAGTATGAAGCGAGCTGTAAAGTCAAAACGTGTTGATTTGTTATTGTACAGTATAAAAATATTTGAATCTAACTAATACGTGTGACTCGCGTGTAATTGTAAATGTTAGTTTTTTTACCACGGAATGAGTAGTAAATGACAGAGTAAAATATGAGATTTTATTTTGACCGAAAAATAAGGAAAAAGAAAAAGCACTTTCATTTTTCTGACGCGGTAGAGGGGAGTGTATAAAAGGAAGGATTCGTTGAAGCATACGCTGTTTCATATTCACTAGTCTCTGCTTTCCCTCTTCACGCGTCTTCCCCACGACTTTGCCTCTGCCTCTACGATCATCGTTCTCTCTCAATCTCAATCTCTCTTTCTCTCTGTATTTTCTGTCGCCGAACCACCAAATTCTACACGAAAAAACGACTACAGGCAAAATCCAAAACGCAGAACCCACAATCGGAGACGGGAGTGAAACACAATGCTGCGCTCGTGCTACAGGCCGCTTGAGCGCTGCTTCGGATTGCGATGTGGTGGAGGAGGTGGCGATGGGCTTTGGCACATGGACTTGAAGCCCCACGCCTCCGGTGACTACTCGATCGCTGTGGTTCAGGCCAATTCGAATTTGGAAGATCAGGGTCAGGTCTTCACCTCTCCCTCTGCGACCTATGTTGGTGTTTATGACGGCCATGGCGGCCCTGAAGCTTCTAGATTCGTCAACAACCACCTCTTTCCTTATTTACACAGTATGTCTCACTCTTCTTTCTTATTCGATTTAATTTTGTATTGGGGTTTAAGCAAAAATACTTGAATTTGAATATTTTGAATTGGGTTTAAGGGCATATAAGAAAATTGGGTTTAGGAGTAGTGAAAGGACTTGAATTTGATTGCTTTTGTGGTTAGAGATTCTGAGATTTTATGTGGGTTTTGTAGAATTTGCCACGGAGCAAGGTGGGTTGTCGCCGGATGTGATTAAGAAGGCGTTCAGCGCCACTGAGGATGAGTTTTTGCGTCTGGTGAAGCGATCTTTGCCGGTGATGCCGCAAATTGCTTCGGTAGGGTCGTGTTGCCTTGTGGGTGCGATATCGGATGATGTTTTGTATGTGGCCAATCTCGGGGACTCCAGAGCAGTCCTTGGCCGGAGGGTTTCGGAGAGTAAGAGGAGTGCGGTGGTGGCAGAACGCTTGTCCACTGACCACAATGTAGGAGATGAGCAGGTCAGGAAGGAGGTCGAAGCACTCCATCCAGATGATGCGCATGTGGTGGTGTATACTCGTGGGGTTTGGAGAATAAAGGGCATAATTCAGGTACATCCGCATTCTTTTCATGAAACAATTCGTTCGTTGTTTGTTGCTGCCTAAAGTATGAGTTCTTATGAGGTGACTTGCACGTTGGCAATCCTAGGAGTAAGCAGTATGGTTTTAGATGATCCGTTTTTTATGTATGTGCTGTATAATTTTGTCAGGCTTAGAATCAAGACTCTTGTTTTAAGTCATTGGTTTTTTCATTGATCAACATTTTGGTGCAAGATATATGAATTTGAGGCATTATCTGTTTCCCATGTCTTTATTCAGAAAAACTTGTTGAACTTGTTCCTTGTATTCTTAGTTGTCTAAAGAGAGTTGTATGTTCCAGGACTCTTATGCCCCACCTCCTGATCCAGCATCTCATGCAGGTTAGTTAGAAGTGTTTGTTTTCCATGCATGAGATGTACACGAGACCCCCAGAAACATAGGAATGAAGCTTATGTAACTATCATGCAACTTTGTTGAGCTTGTGAATATTTGGTTTCTTATTTCAAGTGTAAAGTATTGCAGTTTAGTGTCTCAGTTTTGCTGTTTGTACCTCTAGAGATAGTATTAGATGAATTATATGTAATGGAGTATGTGGTCTAAAAGGTTATTTTTTTATTTTTTTATTTTCAGGTGTCAAGATCTATTGGGGATGTTTATCTAAAGAAGCCTGAGTTCAACAGAGACCCAATATACCAGCAATTTCTGAATCCCGTTCCTATGAAGCGGCCAGTGATGACAGCAGAGCCGTCAATCATTACTAGGAACCTTAAGCCACAGGATTCATTTTTGATATTTGCATCAGATGGCCTCTGGGAACAGTTGAGTGATGAAGCAGCAGTAGAAATTGTTTTCAAAAACCCTAGAGCTGTAAGTTCCCATCCTTCACCTATTTTTTACAGAAATATACCCAGAGGACCTTAGGTTATCACCTTGTTATTGTCATTATCTTTGTCAATTTGTTCGGTACTTGAGCATATGCGCGTTTCCCTTCCATTTATTCGCTCTTTATTCTTTCCCCTTCTAATAGATTCAAATGTTTTGAAATAATAATAGCAGTAGGATTAAATTATTCAAATTTGTATTTGAGTGTGTTCTGGACATCTCTGTGACAGAATTCCATTCGTTGGTTTAATATTTGCAGGGTATTGCAAAGAGATTAGTAAGGGCTGCTCTTCATGAGGCTGCAAAGAAGAGGGAGATGAGATATGATGACATAAAGAAAATTGAAAAGGGAGTAAGGCGTCACTTCCATGATGACATCACTGTTATTGTAGTCTATCTTGATCACCATAAAAGCTCCTCGAAGCATAAAATTAAGCACAGTACTCTTGGTTCTACCAGAGCACCTGTTGATATTTTCTCGGTTAGTGCAGATGATGCAGAACAGGGTCTGCATCACATCGTTTAGTGAACGAAAGAAAACCCTTGAATGGTTGATACCCTAGCATAGTGTAGTTCAGTAGTTGAAATAATCAAAAAACATGTGAATAAGGTTTTTTTTTTTTTGTTTTTTTTTTTTTTTGTTGTGGTATGTTGGATGTAGATTTTATTAGCATTTAGGTATACAAGCACTTCTTAATGCAGACTGGGAGTAAATTTCTGCAACTGAAGGTTTTCTTTTTTTTTTTTTTTTTCTTTTTTTTTTTTTTTTTTTTTTTTTTTTTATTTCTTTCATTGCTTTGGCTCAGACAGCCTGCAACACTCCAGAGAAGTTGTAGCACCAATTTTGTGATCTTCTTCCCCTCCCCCCCAAATATTCTAATGACAGGTTCTGTTCTATTGATTTCTCATTGTGGTTTCTTCATGTTCATGGTTTCCATCATAAGCAACAAATTGGGTTTGATCAAACCGGCTGTTCTTTTCTTTTTCATTTTATTTTATTATTATTATTTTTTTTTTGTGTTGAACATTTGGGAAAAGAAGTATTACTATACTAAGAGCTACTACAGTAGATATGTAGTTGGATTTTAAATTAGTTAATGTGAATGGACAAAATATAATTCAGGGGGTTAAGTTCGATGGATAGTACTGCTTAAAATTCTTTAAGACAATGACTGATATAATTATTTAATTAAGAAAACGAACTAATTAAACCTCGGTCCACATTCTCATCTTCAGTCTAAACATCATACCATCCAGAACACGTTGGGTTATTGTTCAACCAAGTCATTTTCTTTTTCACATTTTCGTGGAAGTTATGAAACACGATATATTATGTTGACCAGTATAGTCAAAGCATGTAGCTTACTTCTTGGAGCAAGACTAGCAGACAGAGACCATTGACGTGGTCCTTGGAAAATAAGGCAATTTGAAACTTGTTGCAAAATGTTATGCAGGTTCTTACTTCCGGTCTGATATGAAATAAAACTGGCCAATTTGATTTCACCATCTCAACCCATCTATCTCTCTCTAGTTACCCAATTCAAAATGGGGGTTTTGGTTTTGAGACTTATCTTAATATACTCATTCTTCAGCACGCTAGTCTACTGTGGGAGCTCATTGCCAGGAAATGAGACAGATAGGTTGGCATTGCAAGCCATGAAAGCTCAAATACTGCAAGACCCCCATAGGGTCTTGAGCTCATGGAAAGACTCCATTCACTTTTGCCTATGGCAGGGTGTCAACTGCAGTCTACAGCATCATCAGAGGGTCATTCGGCTAGATCTCCAGTCTCACAATTTAGTGGGAACCATATCCCCACACATAGGCAATCTAAGCTTCTTAAGGGAGCTACATCTCCAAAACAACAGCTTCAGTCATGAAATCCCTCCGGAAATCGGGCATTTACGCAGATTGCAGGTACTTCGTCTAGACCATAACTCACTTAGTGGCTCTCTTCCTGTCAATGTTTCTAATTGCCTCAGCCTCATCAATCTCAATGTTGGCTACAACAACTTGGTGGGTAAAATATCGCCAGAAATCAGCACCTTGTCAAAGCTTCAAAGCCTTGTTCTGCAAGCTAATCACTTAACAGGAGAAATCCCTCCTTCCCTTGGTAATCTTTCATCTCTGATGATACTTGGTGCAAATGATAACAACTTGAAAGGAAGCATTCCTAGTTCTTTAGGTCAATTGAGAAATTTAACTAATATCTCATTGGCCTCAAATACATTGTCTGGTAGTGTCCCTCCCTCCATCTACAACCTCTCTGATCTCATTGCTTTTTCCTTGTCACAAAACCAAATTCAAGGGAGCATTCTCTCAGACTTAGGAAACACTCTTCCTAATCTCCAATACTTTCACATTTATGGGAACCAATTTACTGGGTCCATTCCTATGTCAATATCCAATGCCACAAGTCTAGTGGAATTGGATATTTCAGAGAACAAACTAACTGGGCAAGTGAAAATTTTGCAGAACCTGGTTAATTTAGAATTATTGAGCATGGGGAATAACAACTTCAAAGGCCATATCCCCAACGACATTGTGAAACTTTCAAGGCTTAGGAGATTGAGTCTTCAAAACAATGCATTATCAGGAGAACTTCCCACTAGCCTTGGTAGCTGTTTGAGCTTAGAAGTCCTACACTTGCAAGGCAACTTTTTCAAGGGGCCTATTCCTTCTTCTATGATTTCACTGAAACGGATTCGAGATTTGGATCTTTCTTGCAACAATCTGTGGGGTGAAATTCCACGATTTTTACAGGGGTTTTCGTTCTTGAAAAATCTGAACCTATCTTACAATGAATTTCGGGGAGCTGTACCAGTTGAAGGTGTTTTTAACACTCTTAGTGCGACTTCAATTGTTGGAAACACCAGGCTCTGCGGCGGCATTGCTGAGCTTCAGCTGCCCAAATGCAAACATTCTAAGGCGTCCAAGGAGTCCAAGGAGTCCAAGGGTGGAGGATTGTCTCATAGCTTCATTTTAGTAATCTCTCTATTCGGGTTTCTAGGAATAGCTATGCTGCTGTCTCTTATATTTCTTCATCGGCTAAGAAAGAAGAAAAGCAAAGAAACTGAAATGACAAGTTTGGAAAACTCTATATTGCAACTGTCATACTCTGCTCTCCTAAAAGCAACTGATGGGTTCTCTTCCATTAATTTGATTGGTGTTGGAAGTTTTGGGTCTGTGTACAAAGGCCTACTTCTTGATGATGATAGAGCTCAGCTTGTTGCAGTGAAAGTGCTCAACCTGTTACGCCGGGGAGCTTCTAAGAGTTTCATAGCTGAATGTGAGGCCTTGAGAAATATCAGGCATCGAAATCTTGTCAAGATTTTAACTGTATGTTCGAGTGTTGATTTTCGTGGCAACGATTTCAAGGCCCTGGTTTACGAGTTCATGGACAATGGGAGCTTAGAGGAGTGGTTGCATCCAACTACTCCAACAGAGGAGGTAAGAGATGCACCTAAGAACTTAAATCTTGCTCAGAGGCTAGACATTGCCATTGATATTGCTTGTGCTCTGGATTATCTTCATAACCATTGTGGAACTCCAATAGTTCATTGCGATCTCAAGCCAAGCAATGTTCTTTTGGACGACGGATTGACCGGACATGTATCTGACTTCGGACTAGCAAGATTTCTCCCTAAAGAAACTAGTAACGTTTCTGCAAATCAAATAAGTTCCACTGGCATAAGAGGATCAGTTGGTTATGTAGCTCCAGGTAATGTTCACAGTTTCCTTTATCCTTTCTTATACAAATATAATGAGAAGAGAGTAATTTAATTCACATTTGTAGTGATAATTTGTGATGTTTTGAACTGTAGAGTATGGCATGGGAAGTAAGGTGACAACATATGGGGATGTCTACAGCTTTGGCATTCTCTTGCTAGAGATGTTTACAGGCAAGAGACCCACTGACCACATGTTTAGTGAAGGCTTGAACCTTCATAATTTTGTCAAGGTGGCTTTTCCTGAGGGAGTTACAGAAATTGCAGATCCACTACTTCTTCAAGGAGATCACACCGGAAGGAGAACCAATGACACTCAAAAAAAGCTGAAGTGCTTGTGTTCGATCTTTCAAATTGGAATTGCTTGTTCTGTTGAATCCCCAAGAGACCGAAAGGGTATTAGTCATGTTGCCTCTGAATTGCAATCCCTTTGGGACATTCTTCTTAGGTAGGCCTGTAAACTTTCTCTGCTCTCTTGTGAAGGCTTTAGAGGTTATCTAAATCTTATACATCAAGAAAAGAATCTATGGTGACAAATAGGGCTTTGACTTACAGAACAGTAGTCTCATGTTCAAATCCATGTGTCACCTCGCTTGTATTTAAAAAATAATAATCAATGGCAAAATTGTATGAAGAGTAAAAATTATTCACCACTGAGATACTTTGTGTGAAGAGTTCTGCCACATGTTGTAGTTCTAGTTCTATTGAAAATCAATCACTATGGTGTGTACTTTTACTCCCCCAAAATGGAATTTGGGTGTGCTCTTATTATGTAATTTCTAAGTCGTTTGCAGAAATTTAAGAGCTCTCCTCTCTTGTTGTTATGTAATTCCTAAAGTTTAGTTTAGTTTTTTTTTTAATTTTCAAAATATCACTTTGTCATTTTTAATATTTGCTATGTAGTGTAAATTCATATTAATAATCTCAGGTTAGAACGTTTTTGACATTTTTAATTTTTCAAAACACAAATAGCATCGCAACGACTCATATCAAATTAAGCGAACATATTAGCTTTTTGAAATGTTTTTCTTCTTTTATTACAAAAATTCTAAATTAAAATTTTTCTAAATAAAAATAAAAATTACAACCAAACGGTCTCAATTCTCAAAATTTAGTGGAAAGGTTCATTCCCGTGAGAAAGATGCTTCATCTCTGCAGAAGCTATTGTCAAACAGCTTGGGAACCCAATCAGATTCTAGAATTGGAGCCCTGTTTATTGAATTTCCCCAAGCTCTATCATCAAACCCATCTTTTATAGGGCGTGGCAAAGTGAGAATATGAGTGCAAGTAGCTTGGTTGCAGAGGCAGTTTGGAATGCCATTGAATCAACTGGTTCAGGTCCTTCCTCATTTCCTTCTTTTCTCTTCCTAATTTGTTTGTTTTTTGTTTTCTTGTTCTTCTTTTTCGTTTTTGAGAATTTCCCACTTAAAAGACATAACCTTTGCTTTCATTTTTTATAAATATAATGTCGACATTGATGAGAAGGACCTAATTGAAATGGCTGAAATGGGACAGTGACCGATGATCAGCTCTCCATGTTAGTCGCATCTCATTCCAAATTCTTTGTTAAACCCTTTGAGAAAAGATGACAAATTTGTTCCAATAATGTCTGTTGCGGTCAAAATTCAGCTTGCATTTCTTGTTCGGTAAGAACTTGGAGAGGGCAACAAGGATAGTGGATCAAAGAGGTGTCAAGAGGGTTTTGGGTGAGCCCAGTGGACGTTCCATCTTTCAGGTTTGACTTTTATTCATATCACTTTCTGGGTTTCAAATGAATTTAGTATTTCAGGTATGCACATTGAAGCAGTTTGGACAGAATTTTGAATGTAGATTACTTGAAATTTGAGCAACAAGTTTATCTTTATGGCTGGAACTGCCAAGAAATCTCTTGGAATTTGTTTAGTTGTTTAATGTTCATGTTCAGCCAAAAAGAAAAGAAATTTGGTAACTCTTTTCAAAAATAAGAAATTTGGTAACTTATGCAGATCAATTCAGGGGAAAGAATCATGTTTGTTTGGGCCAAATAATTATAAATTTATGTTGACTTCTTAAGTAGAAAGAAAACTTAAATCCCAGTTCTCATTTTATGTTGTCTGGTTAGGTCGTAGGAGAATCCCGGAGGAAGGAGGAGTACTTCTGTTTTGCTGAGCACTATTGTGCTTGTTATTCATTCTTCTATGACATTGTAAACAGAGGAGAGCAGCTTTGTGTGAGATTCCTCATTTGCTTATCATTATTTGGTTCCCTGAAACTAAAGAAAATAACAAGTTTGTTCATTTTTTACTTTGTTTCTTCTTGTCCAGTGTAAGCATCAACTAGCTGCAAGGCTTGCTGCATCATTGGGAGCATGCGTTGAAGTTAAGGTGTCTGATGAACAGTTGGCTCTACTGCTTTCTAAACTCTGACATACGTGGATGGCCGAAATTTAGACTTAGGAGTTGAAGAGTACCGCAAGAGCAGGTCACATGATCTGAATTTTAACATAATCAGTGGAAGAAATATAGAGGTAGTGCCTCCAATATAGGTTATGGAAATGTTGATGGACTAGTTTCTAAACATTGCATGTATTCTGTGCTTGGAACTGCTACCAGCATGATCTGAAATCACCTCATTCTTCTTCTAATTGAAGCATTTACTTTATAAAACCTTCTTGGTTCGTTTGCATTTTGTGAATTCTCCAACTTTCCCTACTAGCCATCTAGAAAACAGTTGTCATGTTTCAGAAATGGCTCTTCCCTTTAATTTTTTGTTTATGTCATGTCTCCAGGAACTGCTCATGAGATGCAGGTGGTGATGATATTGTAGACAAGTTTGTAATTCAGACCCTCCATGTGGTTCTTTGGGGAAATCATATAGGATTTGCTAACCAGCTTTCACATCACATTTTCCATTTTGTTGTAGAAAAAATGGTTGATTGTATATGTGAATCAGTAAAATCCCTATTTGCTGCTTTTGTGAATTGATCTTCCAGGTTGATAATTGACAAATACATTTGGCCATAACAAAATCTTTGGATGGTAGATTTGTAATTTACAGTAGTCGATTTATATGGTTGGGTTAAACAGTTTTCTAGTCCAATAATTTATATCCTGATGCTTCAGTTGTGCTCAAGGTGGCCAATTCAAATTTGTACTAATTTGGTCTTGATTTGTTGGATAACTGATGTAGGATATGGGTGAATTGAGTATTAGTTTAGTGGAAGCGAAAACAATGGAAAACAAAAAATATAACGAATAAGGATAGGTCTGGAATCACTCCAGGGGTTTGGCTTCACACCAAGGAATCTCTGGAAAATAAACTTTTCTTAATATCTCAACAACTTAACTCCCTAATGGATTACATGAGAGGGGTATTTATAGCAAATTAAAACCCAGAGACAATGGAATTAAAAAAATCCATTGCTAAAACAGAAATTCTAACCTAAATAAAATAGGAAATTTAGAAATCGTACTGAAACCTGGAAAACTTAGAGAACAAGTTAGAAACTAACTGCAGGAATCAAAATTTGCCAGATTTAAAGACCAAATTAAATAACTTCCTCTTTCATCTCTTTCTTTTGTAAACCCAAATGGGTTCGGCAAAGATGCCCTCATCAATAACCCCACAAATACATTTGGATTGTTTGTACTGATTTGTCCTTAAGTGATGCATCTAGCTGAATTACCAAAATAAAGGGACTTGAAATCATTGTAATGTAAGACAAAAATTCATGGACTTAATTCATAATTCACACAAAATTACAAAGCCAATAAACCCTAACCACCAAGATTTTGTATTACAACCTTAACTAAACAATTATAACAGCAGCATAAGAAAACCAAACCAACAAGACAAAGGAACAAAAACAAGAAAAACAAAAAAAGAACTTGGGCACCACCACCACCACATCAAGGAACAAGTCTGTAAGATTTCATCTTATCAATCCAAGTTACAAATGATGTCCTTGAGTTCCTGAACCCCACAAAGCCATGATCTTTGCTCTTATTCATACTGTCCACACTTGACTCTACCCCAAATATGACATCCACAAACCACCAATTCCCAATCTCTTCCAATTTTGTAGGCACCAGACCATTCTCTCTCACAATCTCATCCCACACTGGCCCCTTATCTTTCATCATCTCCTCCATGCTTGGCCTCGATTCGCCCTCGTCATCATCATCAAAGTCCTCAAACTCCATGTCAAACTGTTCTGCCAAAACCCGCCACAAATGCTTCCACTTATACACATCCCCATTGCTGCAATTGAAAGCCTCATTCTTTGCATAAGGATCAACTACTGCCCATATCTCATGCTCAGCAATCAGGTCAGCATCTGAGGCATCCCAGTACCCGTTCCACGCTCCTCTGCTCCCCGAAAACCTCAGTTTCTTCCCTACGTGCTTACAAATCGCAGCGTAAACACACAAACTCCCCACTATGTTCATCAAGCTATAAGGCGAAAACCCGAAAATCACACTAGGCCTGTGAACTGACCATGTCAACCCCTCCTTCTTCTTCACTTCCTCAAACAAAATGTCCTCCAATGTAAAGTAAAAGTTGGGCACGTTGAGCCTTGGGAGGTCCTCATGAAACGGAGGCTCAGGAGGCTCAAATTTTCCCCACATTTCAAATGGACCAATATAATGCTTGCGACCTGTTTGCAAGCATATGTGCTGCAAATTTGGTGCATTTGGGATCACAGCATCCAACAAGTTTCGAAACATGTTGCCATTGGCCTCGCAGTTCTCTGCTTCCGTGGGCTTGCTGGCCCAAGTGACGTAAAAGATGTGTGTGACATCGGTCAGTTGGGAGAGTTCAGAATGTGTTTGATGAGGGTCTGAGAGATCACATTGGATGTACTCGATGGGATGATCAGCGTTCCACTCCGGGCGGGCCCTGCGGGCAACCCCGTAGACCTTCCAGGGCCCACCGGGGGTGTCGGGGAGCGGCAGGATCTCGGCAAGGCTATTGCCCACTATCCCCGTGACCCCGGCCACCAGTGCCACGCTCTGGTACTTGGGTGGTGCATCGTTGGGATCAAACTTTTTCTGGTTGTTGATGGTTTTTGCGGGAGAATTGTTAGCAGATGATCATGGAGATTGGAACTCAAACAATTGAAGAAAAAAAAATTTGATGGGTTTGTGGAGAAAGTGCTTACCTTTGCAGCTCCTATGGCTCCTGCCCACCACCAGCTCATTGTTGTGCTGTTTTGGTTGCACCCAAATTGACCAAGTGTCTCAAAGTCTCAATGCTTCCAGTGTCTTCTACACTACTAGTTTCTGAGTTTATTATGTTGTTGGTTCATGGTCGGATTGTGTGTTGGTCTCTTATATTTGGGAGATGGGAAAATCTTATCCTTAATTGTTGGCCGGTGATTATCCTTTTTTTTCCAAATTTGTCGGTTATATGTCTGAGTCACAGTTGTAATAATGTGATAAACTTGTTAAGGAAACATTTTTGTTTGAGTTTTTATATTTAAACTCCGGACTTTTTTTTGTTTATCTCAATACTTAAATTATTAAATTTTAAATTTTATTACTGTGTAAAAGGACAAAAAAGGTCATCCAACTTTGTTGATTCCAAGAATGTTTAGTATGGATAACACTATTTCTATTTTTGCGTGGGAGCTGACCTCCTCGGTCAGGCCCCCCCCCCCCCCCCCCCCCCCCCCCCCCCTCCCTATTTTGGTGGGGGGGCTTTAAAAACATTAACAAGTTGGGAGCCTCGGCTCGGAGCCGAGCCGTCGCGTCCCATCAGTTCCATCAGTGAGTGGTTTTTGATGGGACCTAGCAGCGCACAACTCATGATGGTCTGGGTGCTCTGTCCCTGCAACGGAGAGGGGCGGCGTGTTGCAGACAGAGTGGGTTTCCAGTCTGCAGGTATGACGATGGTCTTGTCTTGATGGGACAGGGTTTGGTTACAGACGGTATGGGCAGCTCCGCAAAACGCGGGTCTTGTCGGCCAGGGGGTCCCCTAGGAGCCGACATCGGGCTTCCTCGCTAGTGTATGCATCTCATATGGCAGCTCGGCTCGGTATTTACCGAGCGTCAACAAACTTAATACTTAACCTTATTACATCTATACACACACCTCATACACCTCACCACTCTTCATATTAAGTTTTACAAAAACACAAACTCTTCTACATTCTATTACTAGATTACTCTTCTCTTTCAATCTAAGAAACATATTACACTCTCATCTTCTCTTTACAAATCCTAAATAAGACAAATCATAATCAATCAAACAAATCAAAATTATTAATAATAATAATCAAAATCAAAATTAAAGAAACGAAACTGGAGGGTAAAAAAAAACAGACCGCGACTGCGAAGCAAAAAAACAATGCCTGCCTAAGCCTTTGATTGATATGTAATCTGGAAATTGCCACATGGGTTTGCTTTGTTGAACAAGAAAATTAATAATAAAATAATGATGCTACACATTTGACAAAATTGTTTTTATCTCTTTTAAGTAATGTGATGTTGAGGTCAACTTAGATTGGTGATGGGCAAGATCGCGGGGTGTAGAGTGTGAGGTTGAGGAGTTTTTTATTTATTTTTTCTGCTGAGTGTGTATTTAACGGTAGTTTGGAAAGATAGTGGGATTTTCTTAGAAATTGTAAAAATTTGAATTAGAATTTGGGGTGATCACTTAGAATATAGGGTGAACAAAAAGAAGTATCTTCTATGACATTGTAAACAGAGGAGAGCAGCTTTCTGTGAGATTCTCTCTTTTTTTTTTACTTTTTTTTTTTTTTTTTTTTTTTTTTTTTCATAAACATCAACTAGCTGCATCATTGGGAGCGTGCATTGAAGTTAAGGTGTCCGATGAAGAGTTGGCTCTACTGCTTTCCGAACTCCAACAAACATGGACAGTCGAAACGTAGCATTAGGAGTTGAAGATGAAGCAACGGCAGGTGACAATTGAACTGGTTTTACATGAACTGCAAGCATGATCTGAATTTTAACATTCTCAGTGGAAGAAATATAGAGGTGGTGCCTCCAATATAGGTTATGGAAATGTTGATGGACTAGTTTCTAAACGTTACATGTATTCTGTGCTTGGAACTGCTACCAGCATGATCTGAAATCGCCTCATTCTTCTTCTTATTGAAGCATTTACTTTATAAAACCTTCTCGGTTCGTTTGCATTTTGTGAGTTCTCCAAGTTGCCTACTAGGCTGGCTACTAGGCATCTAGAAATAGTTCTTCCCTTTAATTGTTTATTTATGTCAGACAACAGCAACAAATGAAACTATGAAATAGCATTTCCACAAGTAGATTAGATCTTTCCTCGGGTTTAAAAACGGTTCTCTGGCATCTCTAATCGGAAATTTACTTTAACTACTTTGCCATAAGCATGGCAGCTAGTTCAAGTGCGATTGACGAAGGAACTAAAATTTGCATCCAAGAACTGCTCATGAGCTGCAGGTTGGTGATGATATTGTAGACAAGTTCAGGCTTCTAATTCAGACCATCCATGCGGTTCACCCTCCTGGTGTTTTGGGGCCATTATATAGGATTTGCTAATCAACTTTCGCATCATATTTTCCATTTTCTTGAAGAAAAAAACTACACAAAATTACAAACCCAATAATACATCATCACCAAGATTTGGTAATTACAATTACAAGTAAAAAATTACAACAGCATAAGTAAACCAAGCCAACAAGACTAAGGAACAAAAACAAGAAGAAAAAAACTTGGGCACCACCACATCAAGGAACAAGTCTGTAAGATTTCATCTTATCAATCCAAGTTACAAAAGATGTCTTCGAATTCCTGAACCCCACAAAGTCATGCTCTTTTCTCTTGTTCATAGTGTCCACAGTTGAATCAACCCCAAACATAGCATTCGCAAGCCACCAATTCCCAACATCTTCCAATTTGTAGGCACCAGACCATTCTCTCTCACAATCTCATCCCACACTGGCCCCTTATCTTTCATCATCTCCTCCATGCTTGGTCTCGATCAGCCCTCGTCGTCATAATTGAAGTCCTCAAACTCCATGTCAAACTGTTCTGCCAAAACCCTCCACAAATGCTTCCACTTATACACATCCCCATTGCTGCAATTGAAAGCCTCATTCTTGGCATAAGGATCAACTGCTGCCCATATCTCATGCTCAGCAATCAGATCAGCATCTGAGGCATCCCAGACCCGTTCCAAAATCCTCTGCTCCCAGGAAACGTCAGTATCTTCTTCCCCTCGTGCTTACAAATCGAGGCATAAACGCAAAAAGTCCCCACTATGTTCACCAAGCTATACAGCGAAAACCCGAAAATCACACTAGGCCTGTGCACTGACCATGTCAACCCCTCCTTCTTCTTCACTTCTTCAAACAAAATGTCCTCCAACGTATAGTAAAAGCAGGGCACGTTGGGCCTTGGGAGGTCCTCATGAAACGGAGGCTCATGAGGCTCAAATTTTCCCCACATTTCAAATGGACCAATATAATGCTTGCGACCTGTTTGCAAGCAGATGTGCTGCAAATTTGGTGCGTTTGGGATCACAGCATCCAAACAAGTTTCGAAACATGTTGCCATTGGCCTCGCAGCTTTCTACTTCCGTGGGCTTGCTGGCCCAAGTGACGTAAAAGATATGTGTGACATCGGTCAGTTGGGAGAGTTCTGAATGTGTTTGATGAGGGTCTGAGAGATCACATTGGATGCATTCGATGGGATGATCAACGTTCCAATCCGGGCGGGGCCTACGGGCCTCCCCGTAAACCTTCCAGAATGGATTTATTATCAATAAAAGAAGGCAGATACGAAGGCATAAGGAAGAATCAGAAATGGATGTATTACACCATTTATCTATAACCTTCGATGAAACTCCAAAATCAGAAATGGAAATGTTCAACTATTAATCATACAATGGTCATGCCGTGATTTGTTACAAGCTTACGGCGACGAGATTTTCACAATTTTTACCGTCATAATACAGACATTGGCAATCTGTGGTTGTTGAAGAGTTATGTACCTTGAAATTACTCAGCATGCCACTACTTTTCATCTCAGCTGATCTATACAATATCTGCCGCAGACCATGTATATTGAGTTGAACAAACATATAATCCCTCAGATACAAAATATTCACAATATCCTGCTGCTAGCCTTCCATAGAAACAACAAAATCATGTACAACAACAACATTACATCCTTCTCGTATCAATGCCCGAACAAAATATATGTAACATGAGCATAGAAAGAGGTCATGGAGGACTTGATGCATTAAAGTGTTCGAGGCTAATAATAAGCCAATCAAGCTGCAACCCCATTCATAGAGGAAAAACTAACTATGACCATTTATTTTTAATACGGTCTAATAATCTGGATTCCTCCCCATCGGAAATATGCGGATCAAGATTGCGAAGGTTATTGACAAACTTAACTCCATCATCCCGTCGATTATGTTTACAGTACCAATCTACAATGGAGTTGTATGTGTTCTTGTTTGGCTTACAGCCATTCTTAATCATGTAGCAGACCACATCAATAGCTTCAACAAACAAAGAATCAGCTGCATAACTTGCCACAAAGGTGTTATAAGTGATTACATCTGGAGCAATCCCAGCATCCCTCATTTCTGAGAATATCCGTGAAGCGTCTCTCATACGACCATTTCTACAATAGCCAAAAATGACAGTGTTGTATGAAATTATATCAGGCTTTATTCCCTTCTCCATAATCTCCCTTAGAAACTTTTCTGATTTCTCAAAATCCTCTGAGCGACTGTACATATACATCAAACTATTGTAAGTTGTCAAGCTAGGAGTATACCCCATCTCATTCATAAATTTCAAAATCTCACTTGTCTTCATAAACATCTGCCTCCGGCCATATATTGATAGCATCGCATTCAGGGTAGTTATGTCAGGTGAAAACCCTTTTCTTCTCAGCTCCAAGAAGGCATGTTCTGTTTCCATCAAAAGGTCGCTTTTACTAAAAACTAGAACAAGTGTCTTTAAGAGCACAACATGGGGTTCAATCACACCAGAGTATATTTCTTCTGCAAGAACATGCATGAGCTCCATTTCTTTGCCATTGGCATAAGCATGGAGCAGAGAACTATATGTAAGCTCATTGGGTTTGCACTGACTATTCTGCATTTCAGCAAGTATTTTCTCAGACTGTTGCCAAAGCCCACCTCGAGCCAGTGCTGCCAAAACAGCATTATAGGTAGAAAGGTCTGGAGTAACACCAGCTTCTAGCATTCTCTTATACACAGCCATGGCTTGATCAAATGAACCGCACCGGCTGTATGAACTGATTAGAGTGTTGAAAGTATCCCTCTCAGGTACAAACCCTGCCCTCTTCATCTCCCTGAACACTCCCGACACTTCCAAGTCCATCCCATTTTGGCCAAACACTGCCAAAAGTGTGTTCCACGTGACAATATCGGGGGTGCACTTACATATCTTGATCTCTTCAAAAACTTTCATCATTTCTGCAAAATTTCCCCTGTTGCCATGCATCTTAATCAGGGCATTGAAGGTACAGATGTTTGGTTTGCAACCAGAACTTTTCATCTCCTCAAAAACCCTCATTGCAGGCTCATCCTTCCCAGCCTTCTCGAATCCTGAAAAAAGGGTGGTGTAGGTAAAAACATCAGGTTTAATCCCTTTCTCCACCATCTGGGTTTTCAAGGCTGTTGCCTCCTCCAATAAACCATCTCTTGCATAAGCTGATATCAGTGAATTGTAAGACACAATGCTTGGAGAAAACCCATTAAACTCCATGTCTTTCAATACCTCCATTGCTTCCTTAGTCCGCCTAGACTTTCCATACACATCCAACAACGCATTATACGTAACCTTATCGGGTACAAACCCTGCTGATTTCATCTCCTGAAAAACGTCAGCTGCCTCCACATGCAAAGAGCCGCGGCGACAACAAGTTATAAGTGTATTATAAGTATAAGAATCCGGGGCAATCCCAGCACTCTTCATACACTCAACAAGCGCTCTAATCTTATTCCAAGGCATACCCATTTTCCCATACACATTCAAAATCACATTGTAAGTTATCAATGTGGGCATACAACCCTCTTCCTCCATTTTCTTAAAAACAGTAACAGCCTCCCTATACCTCCCATTACTGGCACAAGCAGTAATCAGAGAAGTGTAAGCATAAACATCAAGCGCAAACCCATCCTTATGCAAACTCTGAAACAAAGAAGTTGCAGAAGAAACCCTGCCCACTTTTCCCAGAATACTAATAATCACAGCAACAACAGAACCACTCAAAATTGAATCACAATCTTCACGTTTCTTAAACCACTCAAACACATCTATTGCCAAGTCGAATTTCTTGTGAAAGCCTAAACCTTTAACAATACCCAGGACGTCCAGAGACAGAGAGTCCAAGCTAGAACCAAATTCATCTCTATGCAAATCAACTAAACCCAGAAGCTGCTCATCTAGTTTAGAAGAATCAAATTGTGGGTCGAGAAAGGAGTGGAGGATATGCTGACCTTGAGAGGAGAGGCGGTGGTGGGACCAGGGCTTGCCGCGGTTGGAGTCACGTGACTTGCCGATGCGAGTGCGTGCTCTGGGGAGGGTGGGAGGGGAGGTGGGGTTTTGGGTTTGTGGGGTTGAGGGGTTTGGGTGGAGGAGGAGCTCTTGGAGAAGAGGGGTTACTGGCATCGGTGGAGGTGGAGGCAGTGGCGGTGGTGTTGGTGTGGCTGGGTTTTGATTTTGGTGGTGGTTTTGGAAGAAGGGTCTTGAAGACGGTGGTGGGTTGTGAAGGAGCAGAGGGAGAGCTATTTGCTCTGCCATTAGAGATAGAGTGAGAAAATTGGAGTTCAGTGGCTGGGGGTGAGGCTTTGGTACTACAAGCAACTTCTCTTCGAAGGCGAATATCTTCGAGGGAAATTGTGACTTTGAGAGCAATCTGATATTTTCTTTTTTTTATCTTTTTTTTTTATATGGGAGTTTTTTAAATTTTATTTTGAGGACCTTGATATTTTATTTTATTTATCTATTATTTTCCCGGTATTTTAATTTTTTCTTTTCTTTTTTTCACTAGAAATTTAAAAACTCTTTCATATCCTTTTAAAACATATTAATATTTAAAGAGTATAGCCTTGCGGCTCATATATTTTAAGCGTATAGATGAACGGCTATACTCTTTAAATATATAGGAATATTTTAATAGTATAGCCGCGCGGCTATACCCTATAGGGAGTTTCACTAAAACACCCAAAATGGGGGCTGAAATTATAAAAAAACCCAACATTCAAAACACTTTATAAACACACCCAAAACCTATCATTACACACACTCAAAACCCATTTATAAACACACCCAAAAAATATACAATTGTTGATTTTGGATGTGTTTCTATGTTTAAATAGTGCTTGGGTTTTTTTATAAATACATGTGTATGATTGGGTTTATTTATAAATTTGTATAAAAGGTATTCAAATATTTTAAAGCAGATGTACTGCACAAAATGATTTTCTTTTTTTTAATTAAGTAATATCATAGCCTTTTTTAATTACTTTAATTAGTAATTATGTTTAATTATTATTTATTTTGTGAATAATTAGTATTTAAATATTTTACTAATTTCATAAATTACTTAATAAATAGTTCTTAAGTCTTTTAAATCATTTTGTGGACTATTTTTTTATTTTTTTATACAAAATTAGTTTGTTTAGTTTAATATTTTCAATTAAGTAATATCTTAGTGTTATTTAATTATATTATTTATTTATTTTTTTTTAATTAGTAATTAGTATTTAAGTATTTTAATTAATTTCATAAATTACTTAGTAAATACTAATTAATTATATTTATTTATCTTAAATAATTTTGTGGACTTAAAAATTATTTTTAATTTCTGAATACATTTTTTAAATAGTTTCAATTATTATAAAATTATTTTAGTATTCAAAAAATGTATTTGAGCCTCCAAACCCTAAATCCAAGTCTTAAACCTTTCTAAAGCCTCGAACCCTAACCACTAGACTATTATGGGGCACTTATGACTCGATTAGTCTTGGATACTCACGTAACTCGACCTAGACCTAACCCTAGTTAGTTGATTGCGCCTTGAGGTAGATTTTAACAAGTGGTTTGTTGTCCCGAAAAAATTCACTGAGACGTGTCTAGGTTAGATCCGATTACATCGTACTAACACAAGACTCAGTCTATGATTATTAAATATTAGTTATTATGCATACATAATTGAAGCCCAATCAAAAGGTAAGGCCCAAGTTCCACTCCACCAATCCCACCTTCCATATAGGGATGGCAATTTTCCCCGCGGATAAGGGTCTTCATGGGGATTTGGTCCTAATAGGTCAAGTATGAAGAATAAAAAATGGGTACAGAGATGGATACGGGGAATTTTTGGGCATGGTGTTCGGGAAAGGGCGAAGATGGTATTTTAATCCCCAACCCGAACCCTCCCCGTTTAGAATATATATATATATATATATATATTTGATATTAAAGTGATTGTGCCGACTAAATTTTATATTTCCTATTGTTATATTATTTGTTTATATAATTTATACAAATCTTAAGTCACACTACTTATATATATAGTTAAGTTCTAGTCAATATACTTATATTGTCTTATACGTATATATTATATATATATTCATTATCTTGCCCTAATCCTATTTTGTTTCTTTCAACAAAGTAATTTTATATTGGTTTTTTTCTTCCATAATGAAGCGGGTTTGGGAACCCATTCCCCAACAAATGTGGGAAAGGGGAATTCGCGATATGAATATTACGGGTATGAAGGCAGGGATGAGGATAAGAATGACATACCCACCCCCGATTCGACCCATTGCCATCCCTACTTCCATATAGCATGTGTGGGAAAACTTTCACTTATAAGGAGTAGAGATTTTCTCTTCTTTTCCAATGTGAGACTCAAGTTCTTGTATTTCATTCAAACTCCAACAAATAGTTGATATATTGTCGAATCACGCTATGACTTGGATTTTAGGCTTTGGAGGCTAAAATCCATTTTTGAAATACTAAGGACTCAAGGACAGACTTATGCCTAGGCTAGAGTGGGCTCCAGCCGAGGGGAAGATTTATAAAATATGAAATATAGTTTCAATTTTATAAGCTTATTCCTACTCCAATAAATATTAGCTCATACATGCATTGTTTTTTGTTTTTTATTGCTAAGTAAGTAATAGCTCAGTCCTCTATTTAAAATAAGCCCACTCCTCCTGAAACATATAGAAAATAATAAACATCAATCCAAAGCAAAACTCACACTAAGGGTCTACCAACTCGAGCTATTCTAATCATATTGATATTGGGCTACACCCACAAAGAGTTTACATAATAAAAAATTCTTCTAGCCACCCAAAACGCCATATTTGAACCTTGAGAGCCTAGAGGAAATAGCTCTCCTCCTCTAAAAAATTGTACCAACCTATCTTCGGTGGGTTCTTCAATCTTGGTAAGTTTTTCTCTTTTTATATATATTCAATTTTCAATTTTAATTGTTGTTAAGTTTTTATTATTTAGGGTTTGGGTGAAAACTTTTGGAGATTGTTGATATATGTTTTATTTTTGCAACTTGAATTATTAATTGGCATATATAATTTTTGGTGTCTAGTATTTCTTGTTAAGATATGATGTCACATGATGATAATAGACCGGCAAAAAGAGGAAAAATTATTTATTCATTCTTCAAAAAAAGTGGATTTTATTTCTAATTTGTACTTCTTTGTGTTATATTTGCTTGTAATGTGACTTTGTTTGATTTATAAAATTTTATTTACATTTTTGTTTTAAGAGATAAAAGGCTTATAATATATCTCCTCTTAAAAAAAATTATTTAGCCTACCCCAATAAAAATTCATGGGTCCGTTATTGTAAGGACTCGATTAGACTAGGACATGTAAATATTAAAAGTCAAGCATATCCTAACAAAGCAAAGGATCCGAACCCATAAAAAATTGCACAACATTAAAGTCAGTTTGAAATGTCAGGTTCAAAAATAACCAAATTTCGACCCAAATACCAAGAAGTTTCTGAGAAATATAACACCATTTATGACTTGACAGATGAAATATAATACCATTTAAAAACTCTTGGATCCAAAGTTCCACAAAACTTAAAAACCCTTGAGCAATGCAGACCCAGCAGTAACCAGTAATATTGCATATAGAAAGCCTACCACCATTTAACAAGGAATCCAAGAGCAAAATCTCTAACTAAAGCTAGTTGTTCCTTAAGTACAAAAACTAAACACTTAGAGAAGCATAATGCAGCAGCATGGCTTTTTCACCGGTACCAAAACACAACCCCCACATTCAAAAACATTTGCTTCTTAAATGATCCGCAGTTCCAAATTTGTTCTCCTACATAGGTTGGGCTCCATCAAAGGAAATGAGGAGTGATCAACCCAGCAACCTCCAGAAATCCAACTTGGTCCTTCCCTGCAAAAATCTTCTTCAGCTTCTCATCACAAACTATAATCCTCTTGTTTTGAGGGTCCTGGAAGAATGAAGCCCAAGGACCAAGTCAGAAAGATTAGAGACAGTTAACATAAACATAGAAATGTTAACAAGAACTCAGGGAGATAATAAGATACATTATCATTAACTAAATAGACTACAACCCCCAATCATAATGGGAAACTAAACCACAATCAAGTATCCTATCTTTATCAAACCCTAAACAAACCGAGGAAAACCCAATATTCCTTGAATCCTAATTACAATATTATATTTATTATCCAATAGAATCTTTAGATAGTCACAAGAAAGGAATTATGATATAATAAGATTCGAAGATAAGCATACAGAACCCAAAAGCTAAAGTACATGATACACCAGATTCAGAGAAAAAGGAAACGTGAGAAAAATAAAAAATTAAAGTACAAAAGTATCAACCACATGGTTTTTGCTGAGTTCACATCAGCAAAGAACAAGTGAATCAATTTAAATTGCAAACGTGTGAAAAAACTGCAATCCCATTGGCAGATGAGAGACGTGCTCGAAAACGCTACAAGCCAGTAACTTTAGCAACAAGCTGGAATGCTAAAACTTGGTAGTCCTGAATTTAAAAGTTGTGTGCACATATACTGTGCAGATATATTTACTATTGTTTGAGATAACAGTTGACCTGCCACCATATCCAAAATCGCATAAGAAATAAGTTTAACAAAATCCAGAAACTGCCAAATAAGAATATGCAAGAACCAAAAAATCATTTGACCTCCTTTTACATGTAGGTACCAAACTGGAGCAACAATGCCATCTTACTACTACGAAGGAAGACAAACCTCAAATATGAGAATATAGTATGGAAAGAAAAATTAAAGGTAGTACATAACTCCACTCACTCAAAACAGTTTCTACAATTCCCTTATACTGCAAATTAGGTTGCTTTTCATGCCACACATCTTAATTACGAAACCACAAGCCCTAAGTATGCAACTATCAGTCCGTAACAGCCAGAATTGCATAGCCAGATCCAGAATCCCCCAAAATGATCATAAAGCACATAAGATAATCCCATAGGAACCTTTTAGGAGATAGCAATTGGTAATAACAAAGCCATTATTCAACCATAAGACAATCCTTTGAAATGGTATGAGTAATACATTTTAAATAATTCTACATATACTAGAAACATCCAACTTTAACAGATGAAAAAGCATCCAGAAAACAACATACAGACAATTTAAGGATCAACTTCACTCATATAAAGACAGCCCAGCCCTAGTATGTCCAATCTAACCAGGATAACAAACTAGAGAATCCCAAAGTAAGATCTAACACAGTATATACCACTACTCATTTTTCAATCCAAGCATGGCCTGAACCAATACATAACCACATAATAGCAGCAGATAAAACTATCTAAATACACGACATAAATGAACTCTCAACTATAGAAATAACGAAACCCAACTCTTATATACATCGAAATTGTCGATTTCAACATACAAAAAACATATCAACCAGTTAAAAACACATTAAGAACCAAACTCAGGTGCAGTAACAACAAAAACCCCACCTTTCATCCATGGCCCCAAAACCTTATCCAAGCAAAAAGACACTCACATTCATAATATCAACCAATTTCAGCACAGTAGCAACAAAACCTAACACTTCCATATACACCAATATAACCTTATCCAGACTCTTTTTTTCCATAAAATAAAAAAAGAAAATACCATTTAAACCCCAAAAAGCCAAAGGGTTTTCGAAAAAGCAAGTACCACCATGAAAAAGTGATAAAAATGAAAACTTTAAAATAAACATAAAAGAACAGAGCAAACCTGAAGATTATTTTGCTTAATGTGAGCCCAAATCAGTTTCAGAGCTTGGGTGCGAGAAATCTCAGGGGTACCCACAAGGGCTTGCATCTCGGGCGAGACTTTTCGAGGTTTCATGATGCCGCGGGGCTGGCGGGGGGTGGTGGCTGGCTTCGAGGCAGTGGCGAGGGTTGGGATACGCACCATGCGCAGGTTAGCAGGGAAGTTAGGGTGGGGAAACCTTAGAGAGGAGGATGAGGAGGAGAAAGATGTGTTGGGAAACGACGATGTCTCGCCGGAGAGGAAGGTGGAGGAGATGAGGCCTGTTGTTGCCGCCATGTCGTTTAGTCTGCTAAAGGGATAGCGTTGAGAGAGAGTTGGAGAATTGACGATTTGAGGGTGTTAGTGAGAGTGAGAGAGTAGCTGAGCCCGCCTTAATCCTTTATGTTGGGTTGTTTTTATTTTTACCTTCAATTTGAACCATTTTTCTTTTTACAGTTAGCCACTCAAAAACAACATTAATTCTTTACAAATGTCCCCATGGGCATGGCTCATTATCCATATCAAATATGATCCATTTATTTATAAACCCAACCCAACAATGACATGGGTCAGCAGAACTGATCATCTCAAATTCACGCAAAAGGTCCAGCTCTCAAGCTGTCAAGTGTCGGGCTTTGGACTAGGTTTTGGTGTGATTGATTTGAACTGTTCACCTCAGGTTATTAGGTTCTTGGGCGTAAGGCGCTCCAAAGATATCAAACTTTGCTACATCTTGGATTCTTGGGGGAGCTTCTACAATGAAGAATTTAGGCAAAATTCTATAGTGAGGGTGTCATGTATGGACTCCTCATGTGGACCTTTGTATTAGTCATAAGATCATTTCATTAAACTTAAGTGAAGTTGCTATTTAGATGAATCATGTGGCTAATATAAATATGTCCATATCTACGGTCCATATATGACACCCTCACTCAAGGGCGGAGCTATTCACAGGCCTGAGATGGTCTAGACCCCCCCACCATTAATTTCCTTACATTTGTTGATGGTGGGATTGAACCTCTCAAATAAGCTCATCACTCTAAACTCCTCCTTATAACCTTTCCGCCTCTCGGGCTACCTTATTATCCAAGTTACAAGCTAGAATTTCCAAGCTGGAAGAATCAGGGGTTAGAAGTTGAAACTTGATAGGGGCCCAACAGATAATATAAAGTGGTTGTCAATTGATTTGTGAAGTTTTCTAATAAATGGAGCCGTATGAAAGTAATAAAATATAATAATTGTAGTTGATGTATTGGGTCACGTTTGATATGGAGCATTAAACTGGATTAGTTTGGATTGGATTAGTAAAATGACTGGATTTTATGTGCAATCAAGGAAGAATATGGGTATTATTTTCTAATTTGAAGGATTAGAGAGAATATAAGACTAGTTCAATCCAATCCTCCATATCAAACATGGCTCCCGTGGAAATAGGAAGTTTGGAAAGATGTCAAATTGACACAAAGGTCATCAAATTGACATCTCTCTTGGAGATGATGTTAGAAAATTAATAAAACATTCTCATTGCTTCTGGAATGCATGGAAGTTAGGCAAAAGCAATGAAGCTGTTCTCTACTGATTGGTCATATATATATATATATATATATATTTGGCATTAATTGAAAGCAATCAACCCCTTGAAAGGGAAGTGAGAAAATGAGAGCTCTTGTATTCCTTGCTCCACAATTTAGTCTGAAGACTCTAAACCCTAATTTTATTTGGAAATGTATGACCACCACAGCTATATACAGCCTTCATGCAGCTAGCAAGCAATAGCAACTTCGATCATGCCAGTGATTGAATTTGAAAATAGTGGGGCAAAACCTAATTAACCCCAAAAAGAAAAAGTTATATAAAGTGATAAAACGATCCACAGATTCAAATGATCGACACTTTCCATTGACGCAGCTTGTGGAGCATTGTAGCATCAACGTGTCACTTCTGAGTTGGTTGAGAAAAACCCTAAAAAGTCAGCTGAATCACTAGGAATGAAGGAGACGACAGAAGCCGAGCTTTATGAGTTGTGGAAGGGAAAGAAATGGACCAACAAGAGGAGGCTGGAAAGTTTACATCAAACCCAAAAAAAACACAAACACAAACTATTACAATTAAGAAAACCCAGCTAGGTCCCTAACTATCACATTACCATGACAACTAAGCAATCATATGGCTAGGTCCCATCACGTACGTTCTACTCCACAACATTAGATGTCTATGTGCATGGCTAAATTATGAGCAATTAATTTCTCCTATTAAAATACATCTTCTTTTTTCGTAAAAGTTAGGAAGGAGAGAGAGGTTTTTTCACATACAACTTAGCAGTTCGAACCTAAGAACACTGTCCTTTTTTTACTCGGTTAAACCCAGTTGACACTTACTAAAATAGTTTGAATGCGTTTTATTCATAATCAGCGTTTAGTATTCATTAATACATGGTTTAAATGACTTGTTCTTTAAACAATGTGCTTCCTAGCAAAACTAAAAACATAAACATAGAAAGAAAGTTCTCTTCCGCAGTTCTTAGTACCTATCATATCAGAGTTTTGTTCTTTTGGGTTTCCGGAGCTAAAAGTTTTGTTCAATCTTGGATGGTTTATAAGCAAAGTCTTTTGCCCTTTTCTCCTCCCTCGTAACGTTCTTTTCTTCATCAAACAATCAAGAAAAGTCTATAGTTTCTCTTTCTCTCTCTCTCTCATCCCATTTCTTCTTCTTCTTCTTTTTTTCCTTTTATTAATGTTTCGGAGTGGACCCAATTAATCATATTTCCTTTGTATTTATCAAAATTTCCCTTTCAAAATTATGAGTCTCTTAATAATGTGTGGCTAGCTGTAAGAAGTAGGATTTTGGTTGAAGGCACTGATCACGGCGTGACAGAGCATAGCCCCAGGGCCCACCCCTTGGTGGTGATTTGGAGTCCGGAGGACTTCGGCTCATACATGCATATATACTTACTTAGCTTACAAATCACACCACAACCGCCATGTAGTGGTGCGTGGGTCCCACAACACATAAAGATAGAGATTAATCCCCGGGCCCACTGATCATAATCCTGATTCCTGATTGATGCTTCTTAACCGTAAGTGATAAAGGATAATCATGCTTCCACCTTAACTACCTGTCCTCCTTCTCTCTATGCGTGTTATCTTGTGTGCACAAAACAATGATTCAAGCACATGGTGGTCACTTCTTTCACTATTCATCAGGAGGCATGCATGTTATGGTAGGGAACATAGCAAAATGTTTACTAATACAGAAATATGGCATAAATGTATGGTTATAATTTAATAAGATTGTATCCAATGTGCAAAGAAGAACTCACTCTAACAAGTCTTTGTCAAAACATCGCAAGCACTTAGTGCTCATCATATATATTTGTGATAGCATTATGAGGGCAAGTCGAGCTGCGGTGGTGACGGATTCATAAATTTTTCTTTTGAGGGCAAGATGAAGTTTGTATTCTACTTTTTTAAGTTGCTTTTGGGTCCCTAAATTGACACAATATCTATTTTTGAGGCACTTTATCGAACAATTTGCCCTCATGACAGGCATGCTCTTAAACAACATCAAATAAACACCGAGTGATTTAGTGATTTCATATGTAATAATAATAGGGGTTATGTTGTAGATGTGGATCCGCCAATGGTTAAAAAATTAATATGAGCTCAACTAGATACGGTAGTATCAATCAATGATTCTATGTATGCATATGAGAAAGAAGAGTTTTAAAGTTAATCACACATAGTCGCGGATCATGAATGTATGTGAGTGAATTTCATAATAGAATTTACATTCAGTTAAGTTATGAATTTGCACACACACTCATACACACGAACGACTCTAGTACAATCGGTATGAGGAAATATGCAAAACAAGGATAGTTAGGTTGTCATATCACACCTTGTGGGTGCAGAAGATACATCACAACTACCATATCTTCTTTCTTGTATATTCCCAACAGAGACACGAAATGAGAAAGGAAGGTGCAACATTATATCAATGTATTAATATGTGATGCATCATACAACCTTTTGTTGTATTAACATGTGTCATGTGGTATTTGCACATATAATATTAATAATACGCAAATGAACAAAGAAATAAAAAGAGCTCGAGCAAGAATTAGCATTTAAGCAAACATGTCTGGTCCCACACCACGAGCCATGAGTGAGTGGGTCTGTTTTTCACCTCTACCAAACTGGGGAGGAAGTGGAAATATAGGAAGGTAAAAACGCACCGTGTCGAAACCAAAATTAATCCCACCCAACCTTGACACGCGTCAATCGCATAATGTAATCACGTTGGCGATCGTTGGTTGCTCCTGGGCTTAATAGTAATAACAAGAGGGGGGCCTATTTAACCAGTGCCATTTGCTCTCTGTCTCCCTCACTCACTCTCTCAGCTTCTCTCTGTTAATTACTCAGGCGGAGAGAGAGAAACTGAGATCAGACATGGATCGCAAAGTTTTGTTATTCGCGGGCTTCATCTGCATTGTCTTCGCCGGTGTCGGAGGCCAATCTCCTGCCACGTCACCCACCACCAGCACCCCTGCTCCACCGGCGACCCCCACAACTCCACCGGCAACCCCCACAACTCCACCACCCAACAACAACCCACCACCCTCTCCACCAACCACCCCTCCTCCCACCTCTGCACCACCCCCCGTAACCGCGGCACCACCCCCAGTTTCAACTCCTCCTCCCGTATCATCTCCCCCTCCCGCCACCCCACCTCCGGCAACTCCCCCACCAGCCTCCCCACCACCGGCATCTCCTCCTCCGGCTTCTCCACCACCGGCCACACCACCACCCGCAACTCCACCTCCTGCCGTTCCACCCCCGGCGCCGCTTGCATCTCCACCAGCTCTGGTTCCAGCTCCTGCTCCCGCCACGAAGTCTCCGTCTTTGGCGCCGTCTCCAACCGCACTTGCTCCGGGCCCACCCTCTCCGCCAGTAGGAGCCCCTGCGCCGAGCCTCGAGTCCGGCGCCCCTGGACCGTCTCAGGATCAGGTACGTACTCTCGCGCTTCTCATTAGTTATTTTCTGTCTTTAGACAATGGCCACTCTCTAACGTACGCCGCCTGTATATTGCCACTCTAGCCTTAACGGTTTTTTATCAATGGGTTAAAACCAGCACGGCGTATTGTAGTTAAAACCAGCGGATTTCTCTAACATGAGCCGGGAGTTGCCGTTTCATATTATTGGAAAGATATATTTTTTACTTTGACTTTTTTGTAAAAACTTGACTATGGGTTGCTGCCACGTGGCAACACAAGTCAGCGATTGGCTCGGTGACATGTCCTTAATGCTCTGGGCAGGCATAGGGTACCACTCCGTACTGGTTTACCCAACAATAGGGTTAAAGGATCTAATATTTTTCAAAGCATTAACATTGACTTTGGTCGCAAGTTTTAGATATTAAACAAGCCAAATTTTTTTATCAAACTTGATTTCGGCATAAACGAGTGATTGTCAGTTGTTGATGTATGTGAAAATCGGGTGTTAGATCTCACAAACGTCACCGACTAACAATGATTCGCTACGTCTACCATGTTAGAATTTGTTTTGTATCACAAAATGTTGAGCCTATTTTGTATGGTTAATTTGGTTGCAAATAATCTTTGATGTACAGAGTGGAGCAGAGAAGATGTGTTCTATGCAGAAGATGGTTGGAAGCTTGCTCTTTGGATGGGCTCTTCTCAGCTTGATGCTTTAGATCAGGAGGAGATCTCTTCATGATCTCTGTGTCAGTGCCAGGCCTCCATGTTCAATTCTTTATCTTTTTTGTATTCATCTCTCTGTTGTTATTTCTTTGATATATTAAATATTGGTTGCCATTTTAATTAGCCCATTTCTGAATGGGGAAGACTTGATCATCACCACCACCACCATTTGTATTTGAACTATTACACACTCTGTTGAATTCTTTGGGAGATTTTTGAAGGGAGCTTTGTATTTTCACTGTTGAGAGGGGAGCTGTTTTATATTTGGATTATCTGTAGTTTAATTTCCTTTTTATATATTTCTCTCAGACCTTCAATTCTTTCCTTACATTCTTCTCTGCTGGCTAATTCACTTTCAGATCTTTTCAGTTTTGTCATCAGCTTCAGTTGGCTCACAGAGCTCATTGTTTTAATTGTCATACAAAATGAAAAGGAGGGCAATCAACTATATAAACTGTGGAGACACTTTTTCATCCCAAGTGCTATACATTTTTGTCTCCTGTATCATAATACGTGAATTAATAATATCACTTGACGATATTAAGTTAATTAAGGGCTCGTTTGGAACTGCTTATGTAGAAATCACTTTTATTATAAAAATGTTGAAATTTTCATAAGAAATCGAAGTGCTTCTTGGAAAAGCACTTGGGCGTGCTTCTCCAGAAAGAGATTCAACGTCCCAGAAGCAATTCTAAACTTTTCTACTAAACAATGTCAGAAACACTTTTAGTTGTCAGAAAACGCTTTTAGCCTTTTCAGAAACCCTCGTAAACAGACCCTAAATAAGAACAGTAGTTTTTAAGATTCAAACTTAAGATGTGTAAACCACCAATAAGCCCAAGATCGGTTGTTATTAATGGATTCAAACTAGAAAAAAAGTTATTGGGCTGAAAAAAGAAAGAAAGGAGAAAAAGCCAGAAGAAGTTATAATCCACTGCCCATATATAATTTGGACCTCTAAATAGAAATGAAAGACTTGACATTAGCCCATGTTCAAGTATCACTTTAGCTGTAACAGGCTAAAAGCCCACTGAAATGCAACATCGCAGAATACTGCAACTTTAAAATTCCGATTCCAATTCCAATTCCAATTCATTCTCTCTCGTATTCGTACAAAGTTGTAATGCTCAATTCTACGATTTGTTCAAAACAATAGAGTTTATGATTTGTGTCATTCTCTAAGTTCTAGATACATGACATCCGAACAATAAAATTTGCAAAAAATGAAAATTTAAACGATGGAGTTCTAAATTAAAATTTTCAGAATCACTACAGAAATGGTAAAACTAGAACCAACTTCGTGACTTTGTCATACAATTATAAAACTTGGGCTCCTTATCAAAGTAATGGGTATTTCTCAGAGCTGCATTTACGGCAAAGCAATGAAGGGCCATCAACTGGGCTCATATTCTTTAGTTGGGGGGGTTAAGGCTTTTATGGATTGATGAATAAATATGGGGCTTCCTTTTCGGAGTTAGGGTCCAGAAGCGCTATTGATATAACTTTCTGTGAAGTAATGCTTTTTCTAGTGGCAAAAACATTTTCTATAACATAGTTTTTGTGTAATCCTAGATCTTCTGCTGATGTTTCTGTGATGATATCGTGTTTAGGCCGAAAACTATGTTGTTTAGTAGGGATGAGAAATGGGTAACTATCGGGCATTTGGTACCATTAGGTGTAAGAATTTGGTGGTAGTATTATTAACACCGGTGGTGTTAGGTACACATTGAAGTATCCATTACTCATGCATTCGTTTAGACATACATTTAATATAACCTAAAACGAAAATAAAAAACTCAAAACGACATCATTTTAGACACTAAAAACCAGATAACCATAGAAAACATCGGTAGAAGATCCTATTTTGAGTTTCTAATGAAACTTTAATCTGCTTCTAACAAAAAAAGTACTTCATTCCAAGGCTTGCTCACATCTTTTCTTCTTTCTTTCTTTTATAATTTTGAATGGGAATAAAAATTTGGAATCTATCCTTCACCAAACGTATTCGGTTATTTTAATGTCATCCCAAATCAATGCCCATTGCTGCAGGCAATCTTTAGGTATGTACACGACTGCCCAATAAATGGAGGGCAATGGCATTGGTACACACACACCACAATAAATTCCAGTCCATGTATATTTATATATACATATTTATTTTCTCCAACAAGAAGGAGAAGCTTCCTTTGCCGACACTGGCTTTGATTTTTTTTTCTTTTCTCAGTTGAATCTCATCACATACCTCCCATTCAATTCACACATGTTATTGAAGTTCTCTACATGTCAACCAAATTGAAGACACCTCCCTAAATTCTGCTACACTGCAGGGTCGCATCCCATATTAAATCAAAGTCAATCAAGAGAGAAAGAAACACAAAAGTAAATAGGTCATTCCATTTACCTAGATTATTATTCCACTTTAAAAAATAATAAGGTCAAAATTCTAACCCTTTTATATTTAAGCTCTGGCTTTTCCCCCTGGATTTATTGAGTTTTTGCTTAATTACAGTGTTAATGGACAGATATGAGATGGTTAATCACTTGAATATTAGCTTATAATCATAACTGAAAAGTAGGAAAGAGCATCTCATCCGAATTATCGGCATATTGACCATACTGTACTTTTTGTTAGTGCCACCAAAATTGGGGCACAGCTTTAAAACTTGCAAGCTGATAATTATATGTGACAATAACTTCATCTCATAAAGTTGTTGAGAAGTGATCAGGGTGCGTGTTTTTGAGGTTCCAAACCTGAGGTATGAGAAAATGTATGTTGAGAAGTACTAAGTGTTGGAATAAATGAATATATGATTCCTCATAAATAAGCTTTGGGAAAAATATGTTTCCTCGTAAATCTTGGAAAATTCAAAGGAAAGCGGATCAATCCAGCATTGTGTCAGGATATTTCACCTTATTTTATTTGTTTCTTTATTTTTATTTTAAGGACGGTATATAAATAATATTAATATGGATGCAGTGTGTTCGCCTCTTTACATTTGAGTTCGATTCTTTTTATATACATTAAAGTAATTTAGAATATCGCTTAGGAAAGTAAATAAATAAAACTTGGAAGAGAACTCAGACTCCACATAAGCTGGTCCAAGCCTGGTGGGTTTGAAAGTCAAAAGTTCAAACCATCTATACAATCGAAACTTGGGCTTTGCACTAGTTTCATTGCTTGCTCTAGCCTTCCTCAGCACATGGTTGTTGGAATTTGAATCTAAATTCCATTTCCTCCATAAAATATTCTGCGTCTGTGCGTTAATGTGCTTCTTGAGAATGATAGGTGAGCAAATGTGAGTTTGAAACTAATCACATTTTAAAGTCAAATTTAGTAAGTGACATCCTGGGAAAGGAGATGGGAACATAAGCTTGTATTAAAAAAATGATTAGATTCCATTCCCTATAAAAAAATTTGGAGGCATATATATTTAATTTTGTGGAACAAAATTGTATACTCCTAAGTTTCACCAAACTCCATAGAACCCTAATTCCCAGTTCCCAGAAAGCTTGGACTAGCCTTAACGTGGTTTTGACTCATGGTATTAACACCTCCATCAATATAATAATTGAACACCAAACCAGGCAATAAACTCTGACCTAGTAAAGGGCCGAATTAAATTCGGTTTGGTGGTATTTAGTCTTCACTTTATTTGCGAAAAGTTTGGTGATGTTCAGAATGTTAGGAATGATAGTCGTTGAATTAAAAATAAAAACCATAACATCTTTAGTTTGGTTATATCTTAATTTGGATAACCATCTTTTGAGGAAGTTTGTTGCATTAGATCTTTCAAGCTAATCAAAGATAGAGAAAGTGACTAGTAAGAGTTAGCAACAACGAACTTAGTTGGTTGGTCCTAATCAGTTAGTTAAATAAGAACGTATCTTAATTATCACCCGTAATAATAGAGCAAATTTTTCAATGTAAATCTGCAGGTACAAATAATAATAGAAGGAGACAATTAAGAGGATGGTTAAATGTTTGGTCCAGCTACCTATTGGAGATTATTGATGGCCAGCTCCAACATCCCCAAGCTATAGAAATCAAAACAAATGTGAGAAAAAGAACCCCCAAAAAAAAAAATAGTTAGATTTTTTTGTTGTCGTCAAAGTTAGGAAAGATGAGGAGGGAAAACTGACACACGGGTGCCACGAGGACTTAAACCCATGACCATTTGGAAGCACACCAAAAACATGTGCCAATCCAACCAACACCCCATTAGCTTCGTAATAAAATAGAACCCGGAACCCTATTATTGTTCGGTTCATATGGAACTATCAGAAATTATCAATATAAAAAGCTTCAAAAAATTACCTGGTTTACAAGAAAGTTCTTTGCGACAAAAAGTTAGGGTAGAATTTGGTGTCAACAAACTTTTTTAGGTGAAGATTTGACATGCAACTTCCTTGTGGATGTGTATATGACCAGTTTTTGACTTCACAACCCAAAGTTGCATAACGGCCAAATAGATGAGATTCATCAGATGCTGCTAAAATAGAGTAAATTCCATTTGCCAAAGGAAGAAAAAGTGTGAATTCAAGGCTCTAGCTCTAGGTACTTGTCCCATAGGTTGGTTTTTCTTCTTGTATGTAATGTAACTGTAGCTGATAACGGTATTATAGATCCACACGTGTCATTCTAAAATGATATCATCTTTCTTATTAGACTTCTAAAATGATATTAAACTTACCGTATAAGACTCACGTACATACAGAATCTTGTAACTACAATACTTAAAAGCATCCGCAATGACCTTGCATTCAGAGTCTATATTTTCATTTCCGTCATCTCTCAATATCGTTCGTATAAAGAAAGATAAACACTTTTTTAAATTGAAATAGGTTGCAATTTCTCATATATTTTTTAACTGTACATATAAAAAAAAACTCCTTTCTATTAGGATTTATAACTATAATGTTTCAACTTAATAGGCTTTAACCCATTATAGACTCATAGTCGACCATTATGCAAATAGGTAAAAAAATAGTCTATATTAACGTTGGTTCTTATATATAAACTTATATGTAATGAGAATATCATTGTTTTGCTATCTTCAACCAATAATGTTACGTTATATCATATAAAAGTGTTATCACACATGTAATAGCGTTATTGGTCAAAAATAGTAACATAGTGTTATTTCCGTTTCACTAAAGTCTTTCTCCATATTGACATTGGTGCATGTATGTATATTTATAATGTATGTGCCCTATCCTGAAAATGGCCAGTGATACTAATGCAGGTCCTCCACTATCCCAACCCACCAAACAAATTTAACAACAACCAAAAACAAAAGACAAAAAAATAGTTAAATCTCATCAATTGGGACTTTGACCATTCAGGAGCATCATGATGAGGTGGAACCTTCCCCAAAGAAAAACCCTAATAAATGATTTTTGAAGAACCCTCCAGTGGGGCAACTGGGAAAGCCCATCAGGCAAAGCAAGCTAAAGACAATGTCTGCAAAAAGAAATTTAAGGAGAGAGAGAGAGAGAGAGAGAGAGAGAGAGAGAGAGGCAGCTGTGTAAGGAAAGAGAAGGGGAAATAAAAAAAAAGGAAGAAGGAAGGTTTAGGGTATCACGTGGGGTTAGGAGGACTTTTTACCCCGTGCCTTGCTGTAATGATATTCTACACACGCAGCAGCAGCAAGCATTGTACCAAACGATGCAAACCCAACTGGGTATAAAAAAATAACCCAGCCAGTGTTAGTTTAATTTGTTGTGTTTGGACCAACGGTCAAAGAAGGGTTTAAAAAAATAATATTCTTCAATAAAGTTGCAGAGACCCCACAAGAGAAGCCTTCTTCATCACCTGGGGCTTTGGGGCCCTGAAGAAGAAAGTGCCAAGCACCAAGTGACCAACCAACCCTAGATGCTGTCAAGCACCAAAGAGAGAAAAGATGAAGAATAGAAGATATTCATGGAGATGGGGAAGATTGTACCAGTCACAAGTAAATCAGAGAAATAAATACTGGTAAAAATACTCATGGCATTTGCCAAAAATGCTCATTTCTAAAAATAATAAGCATAAAAAAGAATAGAAAAATATATAAAACTTTGAAGAAAGTTAAATTGCAGAATGGATGTAGAGATTCAAGAAAGAGAAGGATTCTGATTACTATATTCATGAACATTCAAGACTTGATGACTGACAAAATGCCAGAATACAACAAGAGACCCCCCATATTCAAAGATATGTTGGTTACACCAGTTTAAGAATAAAAATTCAGTACAACCCCCTTTTTTTTCCCCCATGCCTTCTAATATCTGTCTGCCTTACAAACCCAGAAACAACTTTTGCATCAATCAAACAACAACAAAGATTAGCACACACCCAAAAACAGTAAGAACTACCAAACTAAGGCATTAGGCTCAAACTCACGCCAGAAAGTGGCGATTTCCTTAATACCGCCACTCCTGAATTTGTGAAAAATAATTAGTGGAATTATCAAAAGGTTAATGGTTCCGCTGTACTGAAGCTTCGCCACCTTCCCTCATGCACCGAAGGTAAACTAAAACTGAACCTCCATTTGCTCTATCCCCAGCTGGAAAAATCGAGCTCCAACACCTTTGTTGGATTCTGCACTGAGAGTATAAAGATTCATTCAGGCCCAGGTGAGACCTGTGAATGATTATGCTCTCTATTTACAGATTATGAGGCATAAACCAACGTCCAAAAACGCGACGCAACTCCTACTTTGTAAACTTCTAAGGTGTTAGCTGATTTAAACCTGCTACCAGTATAAACAATTGCCCTAATTCAGTGCAGGTCCCATGTTAGATTTCCATCTTCCAGGTCAGGCTTTCAACACTAGCATTATGCTCTTTCTCAAGTGCAGCAACTTTGGCCCGATGCGCTGCTATTGCAATCCCACCACCCTTTCCTCTTTCATCATGAGGAAGCTCGCATGTTTCACTGATTGTCCCCGATCTTAAGTCAGCCGGGGGGATGAAGCAGTCCACTGACAAGCCTGGAACATTAAATGCAACCTCCTCAATTGTCCAAGCTTCTTCCATTCTTGTTTTGGTATGGCTCATTGCCATGTCACCAAACCTGAAAAGGGTCACCACGGAACGCCCTGAGTGTGCAATCATGATTCCTTCAACAGGCCTGTAATCATCAAGGAATGAATTGATTGTGGTTTCCCAGTAAATTGCATCACCACCATTGGATTGGATGCGGGTCAAATGGGAATCCTCCATATGAACAAGAAGCCCTGTCCTCTGGCTGAAGTAGCCAAACAACACATGTCTTATGATCTCTGCAGGGCCTTCACTCCTGGCTTTCAGAGTCTGAGGATCAGCACAAAGCTTGAGGATGAAGCAATCCTCACCATTGATCTTTCTCTCTCCTATACATCTTGCATCCGTAAACATACTAGCTGTAGATCTTGGATCTAGACCCTGAAAAAGAAAAGCCAAAGAAATTTGTGAATAAGCTGGATGACTAACCGTATGGCCAACAGAAAGAAGCACAAACTAGCACACAAAACTTCACCTGAAGTGCACGTCGCAATGGTCTCACTGGTCCTTTTGCAGTATGAGCACCAAGCCACGGTGTGTGCCTCCAGACAAGCTTTCCATTGCAGCCAGCATGAACCTTGCTGCCCCCTACCGCAAGCTCCACATACCACATGTCCGGATTCATCTGCCAGAGCACAAACCCACCTGACTCTGCACATTTAGAGGCATTTCTGGTCTTCGTCACCTTTGTGGCAGTTTCAAACTCAGAAGCTACCATCCGAACTTTTCCCATTGCATAAGCATTTTTTATTGAGTTCTGCAGCTTCTGCCCACCAGACGCCGCTGTGTACTGCTGCAATATGTACTGGGCAGAGGAAGTTTCCTGCAAAGATTAACATCCATTAACACCAACTCTACAGTTGTTACATCCAATTTGGAGTAATTTTTAACAAATGATTCCCAATCCAAAGTTCAATGCAATCTAAAGAAAAATCTTCTGCCATAAATTACTAGCTGTCATGATCTGTTATTTTGGCGAGAAAATGCAAGAAAACAAGTAAGCTTTAAATATCATGGTTTTATCAGTATCTGGAAGCTTAGAAATTAAATTCAACCAGCCAGTTAAGCTCATTGGCCTGCTGTGCTGAACTTTCCACAACATGTAACGTCTGATTAAGATTCCCTTACATATCAGCCTTTGCTCTGATTTCTCGGTTACTTTCTCGCATGCCAAACAAGGAAGAGACCAAACCACCAAAATGACAATAATCAGAAAAGTCTAAATCCCAAGTGAAGAAGTTGCAGAAAAAAAGTTTAAAATAAAACACTAAAAAAACCAATGACCCCGGATTAAATCATCGAATGATCTTCAAATTTACGCAAAACATGGAGAAATAAATTATCAGTGCAAATCTAATCAACTATATACCGTAAGAAGCAATTCATACCCCATCTCCACGAACCCAATTGGTTCAAGAAGAAAAAGGTAAAAGAATCCAACCATTTTTGTAAATAACTCCAAAGTCCAAAACCAGTTCTTGTAATTTTGTTCCAGTTCAAAATTTTGAAATACCACCACCACAGCAGCATAACAACAAACCAAAACAAAGCCATAATGCATGAAAGCAATTGTTTTTCAGAAAACAAAAACCCAACCCACAAGGTTTTTTTGTTGTTATTCCCCGGTTAGAGTTACCATCCCAGAAATAAAGAAAACGTTAGAAAAAAAAATATTGCCATAAGCCCCAAATAAGGTAGCACAGCGAGAGAGAGAGAGAGAGAGAGAGAGAGAGAGACTGACGATGGGAGTGTTTTTTATGCTCAGATGAGGCAGAGGGTCGGAGGAGCTGACGTGTAGGGGGCCGAGAGGAGCCCCCATGACTCCAAGCAACAGTCTCAGATCAGACCTCCTGCTGTTGCTTTGCGCCACAGAGCTCACCGAGGGGGTCCGCGAGAGCTGCCCACGCATCCACTGACCCAAACCCGACCCGACCCGCTTCGATTCCCCGAGTTCCCCTCCGTCCGGATCCGGACCTTCCATCACCGGCCTCAGGCTCCCGGATCTTCCAATCAACGGTTCCGGCTGCGCCACCAGCTGGCCACCGTGCCCGTGGCTGTGATGATGGTTCTGCTTCTTCCTCCGGAGCAGACCCGACATGGGCGACCCGGACCGGGCCGGGCTGCTGGCCCGAGACCGAGACGGGCTGAGACCCCGAACCACCTCGTCTTTGAGAGCAGAGAAGAAGCCTTGTTTCTTCTCCATTTCTTGGTTCGGTTTCAGAGTATTCTTACTGACCCGGTTTTTTCTCGACCCGAGAAAGTCGTGTGGAGTGTGGTTTGTGAAATCAAGCTGTGACGGGTTGTGAGGAGTGAGCAGAGAGAAGAGGTTGCAGAGGGCTAGAGAGAGCAGAGAGCGTTGTTCTTGTTGGTGGTGGTTAAAGAAGGAGAAGAGTGTGAAGAGTGAGACTTGTTCTTCATTTCATAAGGAGAGAGAGACAGAGAGAGGTGGAAAAGGAATAGTGGGAAACTGAAGATTTTGGGAGCAAAAACGCTTTCAAGAGTGTGACCTTTGGTGGGACTGTGTGAGAGAGAGAGAAGGGGCCTTCCTTAGTGCGTGACCTTTGAGGCTCGAGAGGGAGAGAGAAAGAGGAGATCCACAGTGTTTTTACTATTTTAATTGGGGAAATTAAAAAAAGCAAAAGTGAATATTCCATTTTTCCATTTCATTTTTTCAGTCTTAATTTGTGACATTTTCTCACATTTTTAAAATGCCATAATTTTTTGGTCCCCTCATTCTGCCAGAAAATAAAACTACAATAATTTCCATTCATTAAATCAATTTGTTAATGTCTGTTGAGCAATAAAAAATAATAATACAATACATTATTATACTATACTTTCACGTCATGAGAATGTATATATATACGTATGTGTCACAAATACATCATCATTAGATAATACAATCGTTTTTTTTATATACAATATGGTATAATTTTATTTAGGATGTCTTTGACTACTGATTATTTGGTTCAGTCACAAACAATTAATCTGATTTTAATAAAGGACGTGGATTCATAACTTATATATTTACATCCAACGGTGAGTGATCACAAATCTCTTGGACTCATATAGTTCAAGATATCATGACTATATATATGTTCTTGATCTTTTTATAATATAAAAAAAAATTCTAATTAAGTGGTAGGGAAGGATAGAACTTTAGTTCATGCCTTATTGTAAGCAATAATAAGCAAAAAAATGTGTATGTCATATTGTATTTTTAGTGATGAAGAGTAATGAAAATACCGATTTATGTGGAAATATTGGTACTCAAATTTATGAAAATATTAATATTGACTACAACTTTGAAAAAAAATCTAAAACTATATAAACTATGTATCAAAATTTAGGAAATACTAAATTAACATCATGTAGCATATTCATGACGAATTTATTTTTTTTTTTTTTTTTTTTTTTTTTTTTTGGTTTTAGGTCGTCAACAATGTTACATGAAACTCTAAATATGCAAAAATTTATTGAATTTAAGAAGCATATTTGAGGTGTATCACTCAAGCGAGTAATCAAATTCATCAATATCATGAGGATGTATTGTTATAATATCGGTAATATTTGTCATCCCCTATATTTTTATATTAAAAATATGAGTATATCGATGAATATTTTCATCATAGTCTCTATGTTAAGTTTTCCCTCTCCTAATATAGTTTAAGAAAAAAAAAAGTAAATTTAGGTTTTAGCAACAAAAAAAAAAATCACTTTTGGAAAAAGTCAAAGCTTTTTCGAAAATGACAGAAAAACCTCTCAACTTTCAAATCAAAGACATGCAAATGTAAAGGATTCCTTAGGAAATTCAAAAATAAATAAGGGCAATTTTGTCCATTTTGGCTTCTTTTACAAAATTTCTCTCTCCTTTGTGTTTTTCCAAAGTCTCTCAAAAAAAAATTGCATCATTTCAATTAGAAGGAAGAAAAAAAACCATATATAGTTTCTATAATGGTTTTGTTTAAAAGAAGAAAACCTTATCAAATATATATTGTACCTAGTAAATAGATTTATGAGTAATGAACTGTTATTTGCAGATCAAAATTTAGCTTATTTGCAAGTTTCATGTTAAGTAAGTTATTTTGGAGTGCGTATATTAGTTTTGTTAGAGTGCAATAAATTCTCGAATTAGTGTCATTTTTGTCCGATAATGAAAGATGTCTCGAATTCAAATGCTCTATCCAGATTAACTAAAAAGATATCTAAATTTGCTAATGACACGTAGGTTTGGAGTTTTGGAGGTACATATGTATTATCCCAATTTTTAAGGTATAAGGATAAGATAGTCGACATATTGACTGAAAAAAGAGAGGATAAGATAGTCGAACCTCGAGATGCATGGGGGCATGATAGTCAAAAAAGCAACATCAGTTAGTCAACAATATCTAACAATGATAGTCAAAAAATTGAAATCTTGCTACAAAATTTAAAGGAAACTTGCCTAGAATGGTTAATCTCTCATTTAATCACATTTTCCCTTAACTACGTAAACAAGAGGTTTGGTCCCCGGAATAATTTATAAACTAATAGGAACAAACATAATTGTCAAACAAAAAAGGGAAAAAATAATTTTAGAATCCAACAATAGAGTGAGTTGCCCCCGCGATTGTGCAAGACGGCCTTTTGGAAGATTTCTTGGGTCAAGGTTAGGTTTTACGCCATCCCGATTGTATTAGTTTGCTTAGTCAAATAAAGTTTTTTCTCGTACCGTCGAATATATATATATATATTCAACTATCAAAATAGTTTATCACTTATTAAACGAAGTCATTTGTATTGTTATGATTTGATTTTTTCAAGCTTTATCTTTTTTTAATTATTCCAAGTTTGTAATCTTAGAACGCTATGTTATTACGATAGTCCTTTTGTGATTAGTAGCTTTTTCGTTGAATTAAGACTATCAAATGACTCCCTTTTTGTTTTTGTTTTTGTTTTTGTTTTTTCTTTGTGGTCAGGTTCCGAATTCATTCATGTTTTTGGCTTCAATGTATATCCTCTAATGTAAACCACTCAACACATATTTATCACAAATATTATACAATTCAAACCGAAAACACAAATATTAAACAATTTTAAAATTATTTAATAAATAAATAAATTTTGGGTGCAGTTTTCTTCGAATCTTCCCAAGCAATTTCGAAAGACAAACCACAGACAATAACGATGGAATTTTCTTTTGATGACTTTTCTGAGTTAGGAAATTGCTATCTCACTAGATGCCAAGTATTGAACTTACTTTTCTAACATGTGGAATTGTGAACCGTTTACTTTTGTTCCTGCTTTTCAACTTTAAATTTTCAGAAGACTTAGCCAAAGTGAAAAGTAATTACACAAGGGAAAACGTGGCCATGCGATCGCTTTCCACCACCTTTTGGGTTTTTGGCTGCACTGAAGATCGCTCCTCACACAAGGGTTTCAATTTCATGCGTACGGGTAAATGCCCATTGACACCTTCTGGACCCCGCATTTAAGAAAATAATACCTAGCTAAGTCATGGTTGGCTCATGAAGAAATAGAGAGGCCGGTTTGTAGGCATTCTTTTATGTCAAAGTTCCGTCCAAAGTTACACAAGAAAAAACCAGCGGTATTAAATAACATATGTATGGAGTAATTTCCAACTTTTTAAGTCAAAAGGAAGATTCTTTACGTATATTAAATAGCTGAATTTACATGATACGCGTTGTTTATAAATGACGACTTATGCACGTATCGAAGTATATTTTAAGAGCTTGCATCCACTGGCGGACGTAGCAAGGCGCAATGAGGTGCAGCTGCACCTCCCATTGCCGGAAAAACCATTGTGGGTGCTTCAAATTGCCCCTTTGCTCAACTGGTGTACAGATTACCTTATTTCCATTTTCAACATTTAAGTAAATCTCTTTGTCCTTTTACTTTTATTTATTTTTATATTACTCAATTTACTTAAGTTTACAATGTAAATAAGGTAGTACCCCCCATTTGGATTCAAATAAAAATACTAGAAAATCAAATTCTCACCAAATCAAAATATGAAAATTCGGTTTTAGTGCAAAATATGATTTAGGTTAAAAATGACGGCTCATTAAGTCAATATATACTTCATATTAAAATCCCATAAAATCAAGTTTTCTTATTTGATGTGTAAGGAATAAAAGCCTCAAAAAATTATCTTGAGAAAATGATTATTCTAAAAAAACATTTTTCATATTTAGTCAATATTGCACCTCTGCTAAAAAATTTCTGGATCCGCCAGTGCTTGCATCCAACCGGTAATTATGGGATGTTTTATCTGTTACTTACTATAAAAAGAAAAAAAAATATAGATCAACAAGATTTTTCATGTCACCAAAATGCATTTTTGTTGTTGACCATTATATGAAATTGAGGGTTTGGTAGATATGGATGAGCTGCTGGACATAGAATTTAAGCATGAATTATAATTAATATACTAGTATATGAAAGAGAAGAGGCAACCTTTGACTGTGGTTGACAAAAGCATCCATGCTTTGACCAAGTGAGATGCTCAACTTGTGTCAATGGATGAGGTGACATAGAGGATGACCCCTTACTATAAATGCATATGCTTTTTCCCCCCTTTTAAATTTAAAGCTTAGTGTTATTGGAGGCTCGTCTCAAATTTCAAATCTCTAAATGTATCAATCGATTAATCATGTGTATCACAAAAGCAACTTATTAATGGATAATTATCTTTAGATAGAAAAAGGACTAGTCTCTTTCTCTCTCTCTCTCTCTCTCTCTCTAGTGGATGCCAATTAGTCATGTGAAAAAAGGCTTAAAGTTTCCTGTGTTTATGGACCCAAGAAAAAAACGCGTTTTAAACTTTATCATTTTCTTTGTATAGTGCATATATATATGGATACAGCTAATAAGAGGACATGATAAATATTTACCTCTACGGTATCATCATCAAGAACCAAAACAATAATTCTTTACGTCCCTGAAAAAATAATAATAATAACTTTGAAATGCATTTTAATTTAATCCATGTTTTAACAGCTTATCGTTAATATGTTACTTAGCAACTAAGTTTTGATGTCCTCCAAAATATATATTTATATATAAGGCTTAATTACACTAGTGCCTACTGAAAATATGATTAAATTTTACACCATCTTTCGGAAGTTAAAGTGACCCATTTTGCCCCCTGGACTGTTGTTTTGCGTCTTATTTTGCCACCCACTGTCAAATCCGTTAAATCATCAGTTAAAAATAATGAAGTGGCATGAGTAGAACCTAATTTTTTGCTGAAATGGATGACACGTGTGAGAATTCTAATAATTTAACAATTAAACTTTATTTTATTTTATTTTTATTTTATGTCTCTTCCTCCCTCTCAATCTTTCCTTGTGCAGCCCCAGCTGATATCACCATATAATCCCCTCACCCTTGCAAAGATCTCGTTGTCCCCTTCTACCTTGTTGAAGTTCATAAAAATAAAATTTTAGAAATTCCTAGTGAACAATTGATCTCCTCTAAATGGCTTTGATCTTAGTGTTGAGTGATATAATTCTTGGGTCTAGGGCTGAGGGGATATCTGCTGGGACTGGGAAAGGATGGGGAAAGAGAAGGATGGAGAGGGTGGAAGAGACAGAAAATATATATAAAAAAAAGTTAAATTATTATAATTTTCCACACATGTCATCTATTTCAACAACAAAATGGATCCTACTCGTGCCATGTCATAGTTTTTAACTGATGATTTAACAGACTTTATGGGAGAGGGTAAAGTAAGACTCAAAACAATGGTAAAGGAGGCAAAGTGAGTTACTTTAACTTCCCAATGGGCAATGTGAGATTTGACAATACTTTCAGGAACACAGTATAATTAAGCCTATATATTATTGTATCGTATTTCCGTTTTATTTTTCTGAAAGTTTGAGTTTTCGGAATTAAATAATTGTTGTAATTCGTTGTTTATGATTTATTTCGGAGACATTTTTTTGCAGGAAAAGAATTGGTTGAAATTTCCTTATCCTTTCTGATCAATGTCATTGAATGGTTTCTCAATCAGGTTGGTGATCATGCAAGTGTAGCCATGTCCATAATCTGTTTGGTTGGTCAAGACCAAACTTTGCAATCCATGCTCTTCTGTTGGGTTGGGGTGGGTCATCCGACATTCTACATCTTCCACGAGTGCAATTATTGGTGATTATTATTTATTTATTAAATTTGGCCGTTGATAAAATTAAAGTATTAAATTTGGCCTTTATAATTTGTTCTTACGAAATAATTAACTGTACATATATATATATATATATATATATTTTACCAGACTGTTTTTGGTGTACCTTAAAGAGGAACGAGTTGATGCGATTGGTGTCCTATAAAAAAGAAAAAAAAAGAGTTGCTGCTTCAAAGTTCAATGATGAAAAAATCAGAAAAAAAGAAAGAAAAAAAAACCTAACAGAAGAGGAAAAAGATCAAATTCAAAACATGCTTTAGTCATATTGAGACTGGAGAATCTTAGACTCCCAGTCAACATATGCTTAATTTCGTTAGGGTAGGTGGATCAGACTGTGCTTCCAACTGGTTCAGTGAATTAAAGGGAATTATTTGTTCACAGCTTCACATGATCAAGGAGCACTTTTCAAAAAAATAAAATAAATAAAAAATAAACGAAAAAAAAAGGGAAGATGAGGGAGGGTTATAATTCTTATTATGGATGTGGGATAAATTTTGCTTTATCATTGAAGCAAATTGGGCTGCTTAATAGAGTTGAGAAGCTTGACACTAATTGGAAGCAAGTTTAAAATACTTTTCAATGAACTGCATTGTACTCTAATAATAATATGGTGAAGTCTAATATATAATAATGGAGTCGTACACTTTTCTACTCAAACTCTTACATCGCTCGTGTATTCAATAATTATTACAATAATTTTGCCAGATTCGGATGGAGATGAAGGCTAGGAGATATTAAAATGGTAAGAACTAACTGCTAATCTTTGACATGAAAATCTTCACGAGAATGACAACACAAAGTATCTTGTTTGGTATATGTTTTGGTTCAACACCACCATTGATGTCTAAGGTACCTCACGAAATCTGCATTATCAGGATTGTGTTTGGTATGTGGTGACATCTCATGTGTGACATTGATTTACACCTCAAATTTACTTTTGGACTCTAATTGCCCATCGTCCACCATAAATATCTGAAACTTTTTTTTTCTCTTGGCCAAAAACCCTTTGTCACAAGATCAGGAGAAAAACCCTCTTGACTGAGGGGTTTACCTCGGTGGTGAGGTCCCTCTCCCTTCCCCCCGGGTCACTCGTTCGAATCTCAGGATAAGTGTTCCCCTTCTCAATGCAATGTATCTATCGCTAATTCTAAAAAATAAATCAGTTAAAAAAAATACAGTCCAATTAAAAAGTGGGCCAGTTGAAAGATCATGGGAATATTGGGCCTTATTTATTTATTTATGGTAAAATGTGGGTCATGTTTGTTATTCTGTAAAAGGCAGGTGCAGCTAGCTGCATGCAGTGGACAAAATTGTTGTTGCTTATAGACAAAGGCTTCCATATCTTCATTGTACCTGAATATGATAATGTAATAAAAAGGATATTCTCATCATTCTCTACTTTATTATCAATTTTAGTAATATTTTCAGTTTATTTTCTAAAAGCCACAACACTCGATTAGACATATGAATTTAAAAAAACAATATTCTGGAACATAATAAATTATGCTCGTGTTTTTGTAGAAGAGGTAATTATGAAGATTTGTAAAGTTTTCACTGGCTAGTTCATAATGTTCATTCATGAGAATAATTGTTATTTTTATTGTCATAATTAGCGAGATTTACAATTTATAATGCTTTTACTTGTTTCATCTTTATTGGATCAGAGCGGGAAACAATCATGTTCTAATGCATGTGTAGTTATTAATCTACATAGCCTATTATGATCGTTAGTGGAGGAGCTCTAAATTTTCTTAATTTTGATGGGGAGCTTTAGTTTTAAAGCATAATATAGTTTACTAATTTAGTAGAAGGAAATACAATTTAGTATAATTAGCAAAAGGAAAAAAACCAAAATGTAACAAAAATACCATTACAAAATATGAAAATTACAACATATGCCATTTTCAGTATTTAGTTTTAAACAAAAACTGAAAAACGACATCAAACCAAAACTGAACCAAAACGACATCAACCGAAACCAAAATTGAATCACAACTCCTTCGCGCGACGTTTCAACTTCACCTCCAGAAACCTCTTCAACTTCAACTCCAGAAACCTCCAGACCACCAACGATCATCGAAGACCACCAACGATCATCGAAGACCACCAACCCATTCGTGCGACCATCATCGAAGACCACCAACGATCGAAGCCGATTCTTCATTCTCTCTTTCAGCAGTTCCAACCTATTCCCCCAAAATCTGAAACGGCGACGAGCGACGAGCGACGAGCGACGACCAGAAGCGACGACCAGCAACGACGACGATTGAAGGGTTTAGCACTCTCTTGGGGAAAAAATCGTAAGAAAATGACCCCTACCACAAATTTGCCTTTGATTTTAGGGTTCTGAAATTTTACTTACTGTCATTCTGCAATGTAGTTTAGGTTTTGGGTTTAGTTTTGGTTTGAAAACCTCTAGAAACCGAAAAATCACAAAAGAGCATCAAAACTGTTTTCTGCACTGAAGAAAACAGAAACTGCATTGTAGTTTCTGCGAAATTATTTATACTTCTTTCCATTTCACGCCATGTTGTTATGTAGTTTCTGTTGTGTTTTGTAATTCTTGTTTTGACTATGCTGATCTTTCAATTTCATGTCAAGTTGATGTATATTTTCTGGTATATTCTGTTTTTTGCATTGCAGTGAACCACAAACTGCATTGCAGTTTCTGTGTATTTCACGCCATGTTGTTATGTAGTTTCTGTTGTGTTTTGTAGTTCTTGTTTTGGCTATGCTGATCTTTCAATTTCATGTCAAGTTGATGCATATTTTCTGGTATATTCTGTTTTTTGCATTTTAGTGAAAGACAAACTGCATTGCAGTGAACCACAAACTGCATTGCAGTTTCTGTGAACTGCATTGCAGTGAACCACAAACTGCATTGCAGTTTCTGTGCTTCTTGAATGTTGCTCATTTCACGCCATGTTGTTATGTAGTTTCTGTTGTGTTTTGTAGTTCTTGTTTTGGCTTTGCTGATCTTTCAAATTCATGTCAAGTTGATGCATATTTTCTGGTATATGCTGTTTTTTGCATTGCAGTGAACACAAACTGCATTGCAGTGAACCACAAACTGCATTGCAGTTTCTGTTTGCTTGTAGTTTATCTCTACTTGTCCTAATAATATTTTCATCCCTTCTTGTTGCAGATCACAAATGGCACAAGAAATGTCACCACAAAAGGAGGAAGCTCAAAACCAACCAAAGCGAAGATTCAAAATGATGGCTCAAAAGAGTAAATCAAAGCCAAAGCCAAAGCCAAACTATGATCGGAAAGCAAAGCACCCAGATTATGTCCAATTTCGGTGCAATGTCAACGCTTTCAACAGCATCATTACGGATGTAAAAGACAAGCTGAATGAAAGGCAGAAGAAGCTTCTCAAGAACACCCCATTTTGGAACTTGATTGAGGTGTTTTACAACCGAAGGATTGACATGAATAACATGAATAAGTCAGACCTTGACTTAGTTCAGCTGCTCAAGAAGTTTGATCCGGATACAAAGTCCTTCAAATTTGGCACCGAAGCATTCAAGATCACAGGCAATGCAGTGACTCAGATTCTAGGACTGCCAAATGAAGGAAAATCTGTCAAACTTGTCAATGATAGGTACACTTCTACCTTCAGAATAAGGCACTTTGGAGAAAAGGGAAAACCATCAAAAAATCTGGTAGAAGCAGAATTACTGAAGACAATTTCATTGGCAAACCAACCGAAGAAAGAAAAGGCCAAGGCAGAGCAAAAGAAAGAAGCTGAAGAAGAAGAAGAAGAAGAAGTTGACTACGACAAGGAGGTGGTCAGCATAATATTGATTCACCTATGCATGACATTCCTTTTTGCCAACGCTTCGTCTACTTTGCATTGGAAAGTATTTGAGCACTGTGTGAATCTGGACACACTTTCAAGCTATTCTTGGGCAAGTGCTGTTTCAGCCTACATGAATGAATCCTTGGTCGCAAAAGCAAAAGCAAAAGCAAAGAAGGGAGGAGAAGGCTCTATAGGAGCTGTTTCGGGTTGCATTATCCTAATATTGGTATGCATTTTGAGTTTTAGGCAATGCAGTTTCCCTTTAGTGCAATGCAGTTTCTGTTTTATCCTAAGCAGTTTCCAACCTAATTTATGATATATCTTGTTTTTGAACTGTGCAGTTTCTACTGTGTGAGAGGACAAACATAATACAACCAATCCTGGGCAAAGAGAAAGAAACTCCTGCCATTCTTAAATGGAGTCTTGTGGAACTCCACACAAGATTCAACCAAATAACGGACTTGAATGACATCGAGGTATGCAATTTATCGCATGTTGTTCTACTTTAATGTATCTTGAATGTGAATTCATGCTAAATCATTCTCATTGTACAGGGTATTTTCAAAACTCCTAAAAAGCGAAAAACTACCAGGGAAGAGGAAGACACTGTTGACAAGGTATTTGAGTGAACCAGAAACTGCATTGCAGTTTCTGTGAACTGCATTGCAGTGAACCACAAACTGCATTGCAAACTGCATTGCAGTTTCTGTGCTTCTTGAATGTTGCTCATTTCACGCCATGTTGTTATGTAGTTTCTGTTGTGTTTTGTAGTTCTTGTTTTGGCTATGCTGATCTTTCAATTTCATGTCAAGTTGATGCATATTTTCTGGTATATGCTGTTTTTTGCATTGCAGTGAACCACAAACTGCATTGCAGTGAACCACAAACTGCATTGCAGTTTCTGTGCTTCTTGAATGTTGCTCATTTCACGCCATGTTGTTATGTAGTTTCTGTTGTGTTTTGTAGTTCTTGTTTTGGCTATGCTGATCTTTCAATTTCATGTCAAGTAGATGCATATTTTCTGGTATATTCTGTTTTTTGCATTTTAGTGAAAGCAAAACTGCATTGCAGTTTGTATTTTATCCAATGCAGTTTTTGAATCATTCAATCTCATTGTACAGGGTATTTTGAAAGCATATAAAAAGAGAAAAACTACCAGAGAAGAGGGAGACCCTCTTGACAAGAAAAAGAAGATGCAGAAAAAAGAAAAAGAAGATGAAGGACAACAAAGAGAAGCAGAGGAAGCAGAAGACCAAGGAAAATGCATTGCAATTCAAGACCTCTTGGTGAAGTCCATGACAGACCAAATCAACTATCACCAACGTCAAGATCCTAGCTTCATTTGCCCAGAAAGATTACAACTGTGGAAGGATGAAAAAAATGAAGACAGTGAGAAGAAAATGAAGGAATTGTGGGATATATTTATCCAGGGAGAAAAGAGATCAAAGGAGCTGGAAGAGAAATTAGATAATGAAGAATATGTGACTGCCACCATGACAGTGGAATCTACAGTTCAGCTTCAGGAAATAGAAAATCTAAAAAGGAGGATTGCAGAATTGGAAGGCAAGGAAACTCGGATTGACATGGAGAAGATTGCCAAGAAAAAGGAGATTGAAGAAGAAGAAGAGAAAGAAGAAGACAAGAAAGAAGAAGAGAAGCAACAAGAAGAGAAAGAAGAAGAGAAGAAGCAAGACGCTCCAACACCTGATGTTCCTTCAAGAGTAATAAGACTGAAGAATAGAGAAAGAAAGAGGCTTCAAGCATCTTGCTATGTGTACGAAAAAAATAAGAAACCAAAAAAGAAGGCAAAAAAGGATGATGAAGAACTACCACAATTCAAGATTATCTCTTCCGAGGAGCAATCAACACAAGAGGATCCTCAAAATCAGAAGGTGGTATGCAATTACTGCAGTTCAAGCTGCTGCTTTTCTGTTTTCTGCTGCTTTACAGAAACGGAAACTGCATTGCAGTTTCTGCTGCTTTACAGAAACGGAAACTGCATTGCAGTTTCTGCTGCTTTACAGAAACGGAAACTGCATTGCAGTTTCTGCTGCTTTACAGAAACGGAAACTGCATTGCAGTTTCTGCTGCTTTACAAAAACGGAAACTGCATTGCAGTTTCTGTTTTATCAAATGGAGTTTCTAATTAGTTTCCTTTCAATCTGCAGTTAACACAAGAGGCATCTCAGCCCGATGCCACAAATCCAATTCCTGATCCCCCAAAAGGAACGAGCCTTCATGATTCAATACTTGTAGGTATGCAAGAATCAAATGATGAAGATGAAGGACAAAAAAAGCCAACAAAGAAAAAACTAGGATGGGGTCAAAAGAAGGTTTGGCAGAAAATTCCAAAGGAGGACAGGGACAGAATTGAAGAATACTACTTAAGTACTCAACCTAGGTAATATCTCTATTCCAAAAGAACAACTCTTTCATCTTTTAATTACAATTAAACTAAAACTAATCTTGTGAATTTCATGTATTTGAATCCGCAGTGATAACTTTTGGGCAGGACTCGATAGTGAGAAAGTGACAAACCATGATATCAAAGATATTGTATGGGACCTGGAACTGTCACAAAACGTAAGTATAAAATACTAATTCTATAACACACACTGCACTGCATATTACCCGTTAATAATTCCATTTTTCTCCAATCAATGTGAAACAGGTTATTGAGGCCTATATCCAAATAGAGGAGGAGAAAATAGGGCCCATGCAGACAGATAGTCCACAGTACATGTCTACATGGACTTGGGTAAGAATTATTTTGAAAATTCAAAGTTGTTTAAACAGACACGGCACTGCAGTTTTCGAAAAATATATACTAACAAATTGCCATTCAATGATATCAGGCTTACATGCAAACCTTTCTAGAACCAAGTTGGCATAGGGCCCTGTATGAACACTTACTTGAAAAACTCGGGAAATGCAATGTTCTCTTCTTCCCGATCATTTCAAGTTCTGAGTTCCACTTTACACTTCTCACATTTCACAAAATTGAACGAAAGTGGAGACACTACAATCCACTTAGATCGTTGGGATCTAGAAAAGAAGAAAAGTGTATTGACATTGCTCACAATTTTGTAAGTGGAATGAAACTGTCTTAATTTCTCAGCACAAACACAAACAGAAACTGCAATGCAGTTTCTGTATTATATGTACTGCTTAATTTCGGGCCAAAACTATAATATGCAATGCACTGATTACCATTTCTTTTTCTCTTTTTTTCTTCTTCTTTAAACAGGTTAATATTGTGGAAGGGTGGCTAGAATATATCAGACCACAAGCACAAGAGTTCTTAGAAACTAAAAAAATACCAAAACTTGTGAAGCAAAAAGAAGGGCCCCCTACACCTGCACAGGTTGATTTGTCCCCAAATGAAGAACTCACTCTAAATTGGATTCTGCAAAATCCATATCAGTTTCCATTTGAGGATGACACAGAATGTGCTCAACAAAATTCATCTTCGTAAGAATTGTGTCTACTCAACCATTCATTACAATTTGAAATCATTCAAAACCAAAAGCTAATCTCGTATTCATTTGCAGGTTGGATTGCGGCATGTTCGTCATGTTCTACATGGATAAAATAGCACAAGGACAGCCCATTCCAAAAAGTGTGGACAAGAAATTCATGAATGAATATCGAGCACAATATGTCACAAAACTCCTACACCACAAACACTGTGTAATTAATCGTCTCTAGTGATTTGCCTTTTGTTAACTCAAGACAATATGTATCTTAATTCTTGTGGATGTTTGTAAATATTTCTAGTTATGGTATATGAGAACATACTTGCAAAAATTATTCTGAAATTGAATTATCGAACAAGAAACTGCACTGCAGTTTCTGGTCTCGAACAAGAAACTGCGCTGCAGTTTCTGGTCAAAATCTGCACTGCTGCTCAAAAGGTAAAGGCATAATCAAAGTACTAAAACTAATATCAAAACACATTTAAGTAGGTCAGCAGTTGTAACATTCCAATATACTTGCAAAAATTATTCTGAAATTGAATTATCGAACAAGAAACTGCGCTGCAGTTTCTGGTCTCGAACAAGAAACTGCGCTGCAGTTTCTGGTCAAAATCTGCACTGCTGCTCAAAAGGTAAAGGCATAATCAAAGTACTAAAACTAATATCAAAACACATTTAACTCCATGAGCAGTTATAACATTCCCATAGACTAGCAAAAAGTATTCTGAAATTGAATTATGGGACAAGTTCTGTTCAAAATCTGCAACAAATAAACAGAAACTGCAGTGCAGTTTCTGCAACAAAATCTGCTCAAATCTGAAAACAAGCATTCAATGGCAGTCAAAAACGAATATCCACTCATGAAACAATTGTATAATTTTCATTAACTTCAAAAAAGAATCATAATATCCAATTAGAAGCTGTGTAGCCAATTAAAAGCAACTAAAACTGCAATGCAGGTTTTGCAAAAAGTGCAATGCAGAAACTGACTATACATTCACTAAACCATATCTAACGTAAGCAATCGTCAACTGAGAAGGAATGTTCATATCACAGCCTTGCAAGTCTTCCTATTATGCCCAGTAACACTACACCGACTGCATTTCAATGGCCTTTTAAATTCACCAAAAGCTTTGATCCTCTTTGTTGGTGGTCTTCCGGCTGGCCTCTTTGTAATTGGCGGAAGCACAACTCCAGCTGCAAAACTGTTGCTGCCCAAGCCTTTCCCAATATCTGGAATAGGAAAAATAGGACTCTCATAGGCTTTTCGAAAGAAGTCAGTCCTATAGTAACACTCCACGTAATCATAAATTGAATCTTTCTTTGCTAGAATTGCAGCTACCGCATGCGTGCAAGGAAAACCGTCAATTTGCCAAAGACGGCAAGAACAAGTCCTTTGCTCAAGATCAACCATCACAGAATAATCAGCAAATACTTCAAAAACAGTGAAACTAGAACGACGAACTACCCAAGTCCTACCGGCCTCCGCATTTTCCCACAGTCTAGTTTCCATCTCCGGACACAAAATTGTTGTCCACTTCTCCGCTTCAATTAGTCGTTGAGAATTCAATACCATCAATTTCTGTCGAATCCCTTCTATCAAAGGTAGCACCGGCAAATCTCGAAACACACCAACCCAATTATTAAATGACTCCGCTAAACTATTTGCCATCTCCCCATACCGCATTCCTTTGAAATATGCGTTCGCATAGTGATCTCTAGACAAATCAGATATAAATGTCTTCACTTTCGAACTCCCAACAATCACCAACTCCTCCATTGCTACCGTAAACTCTTCCTCTGTAACAGCATATGCGCACCTACTAAATAAATTGATAACACGGTCTTGGAGCGATTTCCCATAACCTGACTTCGGGTACTTCGATATCAAATTCTGTTTGAGGTGATAGTAACAGTAAGAATGAGGCCATCCAGGAAACACAAACCCCATTGCATTTAACAAACCTTGATTGCGATCCGAGAAAAAGGTCACCACTCTCCCCATCGGTAGCAAAATAGAAGCCAAATGTTGAAGAAACCAAGTCCAATTCTCCTCCGTCTCAGAATCAACAACTCCAAAAGCTAGAGGATAAAACCCTGCAAAACAAAACCAAAAGCACAAGTATAAGCAAAAAAGGGAAATTGCAGTGCAGTTTTTGAAAACAAATCTGCTCAAATTTGAAAGGAAACCAAAAGGCAAATCCATGATTCAAGTACTAAAACTAAGTTTAAAACACATTTAAGTTCATGAGCAGTTGCAACATTCCCACAGACATACAAAAATTATTAAGAAAATCGAATTATGAAACAAGAAACTGCAATGCAGTTTCTGCTAAAAAATTGCAACAAATGGAAACTGCAATGCAGTTTCTGCTAAAAAATTGCAACAAATGGAATCTGCAATACATTACAGTAACCATACCTTGATTTCCAAAGCACAGAGAAGCTGCCCCTTGTACTTGCTCTTCAAAAACGTAGCATCAACGAACAACAAGGGTATGCAATATTGAAATCCAGCAATGCAACCGCCAAACGACACAAAAAACCGTCTAAAGCGATTAATTCCAGCTTCACATTCAAGAGTGCAGAGAGAACCAGGGTTAGTTTCCTTTACGGCGTCCGCATACCACACTAACTCGTTGAAGGACTTCGACTCATCACCGTGAACGTTCAATTTAGCTAACTCTTTGCCAAACCATGCATGGTAGTATGAAATGTCTATACCATAATAATCTTTGAACTCGTGTATAATCTCAACTGGCTTCAGCTCTGGTTTTACACGAATTCTGTCCACAATGAGGGAGGACACCACACGAGACTTCATCATCTTACTCTTTGATTCCCGTATCCGACCCACACATGTATGCACATTATTTAATGTCCGAATTACAAAACAGCCAGTAGCTTCACAACGAGAAGCATAAACACGCCAGCTACAACCCTCCAATTTCTTATTCGAACAAATAGCAACCACCCGCTTCTTGTCATTGCCGGCATATAAAAAATTAAATCCTACTTCAAGAGCGTACTTGCACAATTTCAAACGGAACTCCTCTGCACCACCGTCAAACTTCTGCCCTACATGATGTATGTATGTCTCCCACTCATTCGACAACAAAGGCTTAGCACTTGCTCTCTTCGACCTGCCCAAAAATTCATTTCTGTCTTCGACAGTACTAGAACACGACGACTCGCCCTTTTCACATGCAATCAACTCCTTATTTACACAAAAATCACCACTATATTCACTGCTTCCGCATAAATCCTTCACTAAAATATCAACACTCTTCTCATTTGATACAAACAAAAATGTCCTCATCATGTCCAAATCGCTATCCGTTTCTAGAAAACAACTCGGATAACTGGGCAGCGAATACCGTAACGTAAAACAACCCAACTGCAAACCCTTAAACCTTAGACACAAAGTCTTCAAAATATCAACCATGGATGACTCTGATGAAACTGAAAACATCATGGTTTCCGACTTATATGTGCACTTGGCAATGACACACACCTCCATTAGCCTTGAAAATGCAAACAAAACAACAAACAAAAACAGAAAACAATTTAAATCAGTAAATAATGTACATGAACAGTTGTAAAATTCCAATAGACTTCCAAATATTAGTCTGAAATCGAATTATGAAACAGAAACTGCAATGCAGTTTCTACCAAAACTACAAAACTGCAATGCAGTTTCTACCAAAACTACAACAAACAGATGTAGTTTATGACAGAAAATCAAAACAATTCGAATAGAAACCAAAAGGAAACCACGATAAAAGTACTAAAACTAAATTCCATAAACATACAAGTCGATATAAACGAAAACAGGTTCTAAAGTACTCATACCTCAAAACTTAGGACTGCCAAAAATCTCCACAACCAAACAGCAGCTTAAAATCAAAATCTGATCACGAAACGAAGAATATAGGGTTTAGCATTGAACGCCACAAGATCGCGCCGCAAAATCGAGCCACAAAACTGAGCTCGAAATACCCGAACTAAGGAGAACAGAAATCACCCAAAACTGACAGTCATTCAGCATGCAAATCGAACGAAAACGTAGCAGAAAAAAGAAGACAGAAAAACGAAGAAAATAAAAGCAAAACCTACCAGAAAATTGAGCTCCAATGGCAGAACCCAGCTCTGAAACGAAGAAGAAAACGAACGAAAACGAACGAAGAAGAAACTCGCGCGTCGTTTAAACGTTCAGAGGCAAAAGCGTCATTTAATTTGTAGGTTTACAGATGGGCCAGGCTTTTTAAGAGAAAAGGGTAGAATTGTCTTTTTATTTGTTATTTTTAAGCTGGCCCAACGAATCTGGGCCAGCCTTTGGCCTAATCTAAAATAGCTATTTTTTTTAAGTATTAAAACCCAAACTAAAATACCTAATATCTCACTTACTAATTAGTAAACTTAATAATGTCTAATACCTAATTTTCCTAAAAAATTCGACATAGTTGTTGATGTTGGAAATTTTGTGAGTGTTTCAAAATACAAAATTATTATTAAATTTATATTTGTTCACTTTCAGTACCTTTTCACTTTCGGTTCGTAGAGTAACTTAATGGTTTTTAAAAACATCTTTTCGGAAAAGCGGATAGTATTTCATGTCCAATTAAGACATTATCATAAATTAACGTCATTTGTAATACAAGGATCCAAATTCTAGTATTGTGGATTTGATTATTATGCCAAGTAAAGAACCATCCTGAGGAAGGGACCACTTTCAAAGCTGTAAAATTAACAAAATTCCGAAACCACTACTGAATTATGTAGTCTCGAAGAAACACCCTTCCTGTCATTAGGTTGTATAATACGGTTAAAGTCTAAAAAAGGAGACCTGGCATTTTCCAAACAATTCCACAAAACACATACTATCAAATTATACAACCCATGGAAAGTCTTAACATATTTTGAGTTATGCCTTCAGTCCTTGCTCCTTGCTCGACATGAGCAATAATAGTACATCAAGCTTCCCACTCGCCTTCCAAAGAATCTCGAACAGCTCCAGATTGCCAATTTCACAGTCAGTCGGTGGCTCCTGCGAAGGAGGGGAAAGCGATTTCCTGCCTGCCATAATCGAGACAAGCTTATCCAGCTTCTTGTGTATATCGAAAGCAACCTCAGCGAGTCCCTAATGCCACAACAATTATTGGAAAATCAGACAATATTAATGAGAATTACAAAATGCTATGTTGATGCTCTTTTTCGGAGAGGGTCAACTTAGAGAAAAGGGGTTTGCCTTCAGCAGGGAAAGGGTCTGGGCCTTCAATAAAGGCTAGCCTGCAGAAGACAAAAATAGGGGAAAGCAGTCGTCAAGCTCCGGGCACCGGTGTGGTGCCGGCCGAAGGCTCTCCGATGCTTAAGTCAGCTAAGAAGGGTAACTTTTGCAGAGTAATAGTAAAAGGCAGAAAAGTAGTTACCCCTCTTACTAGGGTACTGTTCCCTTTTTATAGGGAAGTGAAAGTGGGAGGTTGGTGTAGATTTCCGATGTGGGACTCTGTGCAAGTTGCCGCGGTGGTGACACGTGTCATGAGAATTAGGTTTAACAGTTTGTGAGCTTTGGCAGTCGGGAGTTTCGGCAGGTGCTTGGCACCTCGGAAGAGTGTCTTCCTTCGGCAAGAGAGAAGGCGTGTCTGCCTTGGTGCTAGTTGTTTTGAGACTGGATATGCTCGGTTGATTATGGTGTAAACAGTAGTCCCCCAAGTTCGCGGTCAAGAAGTGACTTCTGGGTTGGGAACTTGTAAGCTTTTGTGTGATCATGACCGAGCATTCCAGGTTCAGTGGGAGCCGTAGGGCAGTCCCTAGTCCCCCAAGTTGTCAAGCTAGAAGTGGCGTTAACACTTGGAAGGTATAAGAAAAGCTGTGTTAGCCTTAGTGTTTGTTGGTAGCTGGGTACCTTTTAAAAGAAAAGTAAACTTGGGTTTTTGAAGCTTCAGTAAGAGAATCTGTGGGCCCTAGTGTTTATGACCCGGGTCCTGCGTTGGTAACCAAAGTGATAGGTGGTGAGGAAAGGGACTGGGCCACAAATTACAGCAAAAGAAAACCCAAAAAGGGGCCTTGGAATTTTAAGAGAAAAGGGGCTATTTTGGGCCAGGTTGGGCGCAAGAGATTATTGGGCCTTGGCCTTCCTTATAAAAAAAAAATGAATGCACCCTTTTGCAAAAACCCCCAACCCCCCTTTTTTTTTTTTTTTTTTTTTTTTTTTTTTTTTTTTTTTTTTTTTTTTTTTTTTTTTTTTTTTTTTTTTTTTAGGGGGACTTTGGCTGACTTGTGGATTTTGGTTGCCAAGGCAAAAGAAGTGGTGTGTGTGATAGCCGGGGCATGGGCCACACAGATTCCTTTTTGCAAGGGGAGTGAGCTGGGACCATTTGGGTAGGCTGGGCTTCGGCAAGGTCTGGAGCTGCTTAGAGTGCCCAAAGCTTGCACGTGAGCCTCCATATGTTTGAATGCCCTTGCCGTTCGGCAAGGAGTCAAGAAGACCTGAGGCTTGGCTTTTAGATGTATGTGTCTTGGCCAAAACAAGGGGCTGGGCTGTCAATTTTAGCCTAGGTAAGACTCGGGTAGGTGTTAGGGTATTGAGGGGAGTATAAAAACAATCCCACGATGCTTGCCGTTCGGCAAGCAATAGCTAGGACTCTCGTTTTGACAAGGTAGCTGGGTCTTCGGCAGGGTGTTTGGTTTTGAGAAGCTAGGAACATTTGGCAAGATTTTTTGGTGTTGCCCCCAATTAGCTGAAGCTCGACCCTTGCCGTTCGGCAAGGGTTCATTGGGATTTTTGAGGGAGGTTCAATGAGATCTTCTGCACCTGGTCCCTCGGCAAGGCAGATTCCTGTCCTTTTAGGATTTGAACGGAGCTGCCGTGATCTGGGAAAGGGATTGGAGCTGGGCCCTCCGTACTTTGGTGACCTTGGCTCCATAGATCGGTTCCGCAAGGGTGTGCAAGCTTTTGGAAGGGGAGCTGTGAGGGCTAGTTCCAGAGCGGGGCTGGGCTCGGGAGGCTAGGTGCTAGAGGTCCAGTGTGGATTTTTTTGTGGAGCTGGGTTTTTGCCTTGTAGCCGGGCTGAAGTAAGCTTTTTGTTTTTTTTAACTTTTAAACTTGTGTTTAGTGTTTGAATCCTTGTAGAAATAGGCTGAGCTGTTGGTGTTTTCTTTGGCAGATTTGCCGTGACTTTTGGAGCCGAAATGTAGAGCCGGGTCTGTGGTAGAAAAGAGCCGGGTGCCTGGCCATTAGGGGCTAGACCTTCGGCAAGGCTGGGCAAGGTGAGAGCTGGGCTCCCATGTTATTTTTACGGTCCTTGCCGTTCGGCAAGGGACCTAAGACTTGTTTTTGAATTGATGGCAATCTGTCATTGTTGTGTAGTTAGCTTCCGTGTAGCTGGGTATCAAGGTTTGGAGCTTGGAGTTGGAGGTTGCAGATCTTGACAAGAAGGAACTTCGTGAGTCCTTCAATTTTTTCTCTGCATTTCGTGAGCTGGGATATTTCCAGCTTTGGCAAGATGGAAGCTAGGTGAGCGAAGCAATTAGTGTGAGCTGGGCTGTTTGGCAGAGTTGGTAAGTGGGTGTCCTGATCAGTGTCGGATTTTGGCAAGGGGTTTGGATCTTTGAGTCCGTGCACCCAAGCCTTGGCAAGGAAAGAAAGGGCACGGATTGGGCTCTCCTTCCGAGTTGGGTGTCTAGAGCAAATTCAGCGGGTGGGTATAAACTTTGGTTGAGCTGGGTGCCTTGGAGCCGGTCCAATCAAGAGTTTGTCAAGGCAAAGATTGGAGCCTGGGCCTTCGGCATCTTGTGATTTGGATCAAGACTAGGTGGGGGAGAATTGAGCTGTGGCCTGTGACAGCCGAGGGAGGTATCCGTGAAAGCTTGGCTGCTGGGCAGGTTCGGCAAGGAGCCTGGATTTTGAGGCCTTGAGTGCACGGGCTGGGTCTTGTTTTCTTATTTTTGGCAGGGCTGGGCCTCCTAATTGGAGCCAGGCTCGTGGGTTGGAGCTGGGGTCCTGAAGCTGGGTACCTGAGTCCCTGCTGTGTTGGCAGCTTTGGTTTGGTGTTGTGCCCCTTGTGCAGAAGACTTGTGAGCTTATATTCGGCAGGTAGGTGTTCGTGACCCCCCTTTTGAATTTCATGGGCCTCCTTTTCGCATGTTGCTTGCCGTTCAGCAATTTGGTTGATTTTGGTGAGCCGGTCCTTTGGCAAGTTGGCTGATCCCTTCGGTGTTGCAGGTGTTAGCGGGGTGTGAAAGCTGGGCTTCTGCTGTTGTCAGTCCTTGGAGCCGACGCTTGGATTGCGGCAAGAATTGGAACCGGGGTCGCCATAGCTTCGGCAAGAGATCCAATTCGACTTGGGTCTTTTGTCATTGTTGTCAGTGAATCGAGGGTTTTCACGTTTCAGCAAGCTTTGGAGTTGGGCTTGTGGCAACAAGGTATTATTTTGAGGCCAAGCTAGGCTGAGCAAGGAGGCCTAGGTCCGTGAGTTGTTGAAACGTTGGTGCGGGTGTCTTGATCAATTTTTTGCAGGCTCGAGAATTGTTCACGGTAAGAGCTTGGGCTGTGTTGTTGTTTCGGCAAGAACTTGGAATTGAATCACCGGTTTCTGGGAGCTAGGTCCGCTTGAAATTTGGTCGGTGGTTTGAGCAAAGTTAGGATTTTGTGAGCCCCCATATTGCCTTTTCATGGGTCTTGCCGTTCGGCAAGTGGCCTAGGATTCGGCATGGTGCTTTGGGAAAAAGGGCTGGGCCTTTTCTACATTTTTTGTTTTGAAAATAGGGGCTGGGAGCTAAGGCCTTTGGCAAGGCTGGGCTTAGGGAGCTGGGCTATCCGTAGCTGGGGTCCTTGGCAGAGCTGATCTGGAACAAATTTGGGGCTGGGACCTTGCAAAAGTAGGCGGAGCCGGGCTTTTGTGAAGAGCTAGGCTATTTGGGGATTTCGACAAGGACTTGGGCAAGGTGAGAGCTGTGCTCTTCGGCAAGGGGGCCTAGGCCTTCGGTGACCTTTAGGTAAGACAATTTCGCCAGCCCCTCAATTTGTTGCCACATAACCCTTGCCGTTCGGCAAGGGTGTTCGTGAATTCTCGCTGGCTGACCCGATTAGAGCTGGGTCTTTCAGGGTTTGGAGCTGGCCCAGATTGTAGCTATTTGGTTGGGCAAATGTGGGGGTTGGGCCCGTGACTTTGGGCCGGGACTAGACCGGTTTGGGCTTTTATCCAAGGCAGATTTGGGCTTAGCCATGTACTGGGCTGGGCTTAGAAAGTAGTTTAGCAAAATTGAATTGTGAGCTAAACCTTTAGCTGGTCCCTTCAACTCCTCCTTCCTTTTGTTTTTTGACTAATTTGAAATTGCAAATGCTGTGTAGGTACTCTTGTAACCCTAGGGCCTAGGGTTTGGGAGGGAAGGTGGAAGGGTGCTAGGGTTTCTCTTGTAACCCTAGGGCCTTATAAATAGGAACTTGGAGTGACGTAGGCATCATACTTGGAGATTTTTTGAGAAAGATTGTCAGAAAGTGAGAAGGAGAAAAGATTTCTGGTGAGATTTTGGTGGTGGTGCAAACAAGGTTAGACCTCATTTCCCTTGAATTCCTGAAATGAAATTCAACTTTTTGTATGAACATGTTGAAGAGTATGATGAACACCTTGAGCATGAGTATGAACATGTTGAATGTATGCATCTAGATCAAAAAGCATGTAGAGGCTGTCCAATTTTGTGTTTTTGTGCTTAGATCCTCTTTGCATGTGCATTAGTTCCTTTTTCTTGTTTCTGCATGTTGTAGATGTCTGAGAGTGAAGAGGCCAGTGAGTATGTTTGTTCTGAAGAGGAGAGTTCCCAGACAGATAGTTTTGTAGAAGGGCTTATAGAAGCTAGGATGGGAGTGCATGAGGGTGAGATGGCTGGGCCATCAGTAGAGTCTGGGTCAGAGGCATATAGGAAGATGCAGAAGAAGTATAAAGTGTTAGAAGCCAGTGTTGATCGGGTTCTAGCCTTGGCACATACACCGGAGGTGGGCTCGAGCAATCAGACATCACCATCAGAGTCTGTGGGTATAGCCATGGTTTCAGCTTCAGAGGGGGTGGACATCCGGGTTGGTGTTCCGTTGGGGAATCGGAATACACTCACAGAAGCCAAGTTGGTTGAGCTTCGGACAGATTATAGTGTGCCATCCTATGTGGGCCTGAGGTTACCTAGTGCTGCGGATGTAGTGAGATATCCTCCGGAGGGTTCAGTGATGATATTCACCGATATGTACCAGCATGGTCTCAGACTACCGTTTCATCCCTGGGTACAGATGATGCTGGCCAAGTTGGGGTATGCGCCGGGGCAATACAATCCCAACTTTTGGCTACTTCTTCATGGAGTTTACATTGCTTGGTGGTTGGTTGGGTTGGGGGAGCCAACATTTGAGCAGTTTATGTATTTGTATTCGATCTCCAAGCAACAGGGGACCTTTGGCTGGGTACAAGCCAATTGCCGGAAGGCAAAGGAGAGAGGTTACTTTATTGGGCATAAGCCGAGTACGCAGAAGTCTTGGCGGAACAGGTGGTGCTTGGCCTATGGTGATTGGGAGTGTCCTCCAGGGAAGACCGTCTCCAGACATATTCCAACCCACTTCCAGTCGATAGGTCCTTAGCCCCATCCCTTAAGACTAGTTGTGTTGTAGTGTTTTGACGCTTGGGTCCTTATTTGTGTTTTATTGTTTTGCTTGTGCAAGCATAAATGGCTAAGTTGATATCTGAACTGTGGTGCAGGTTCGGTGAAGTGGGGACCGATCTCCAAGGAGCGAGAAGACGAGGTTGAGAGAGTGAGGTCACTGTTGTCGGAGACCCAGCGTGAGCGTAGAAAACTTAGTCACCCAGAAGAACCTGTACGAGTCCGGACTCTTGCAAGGGAGTAAGTACCTGGGTCACTGTTGTTGTTTGTCTTATGATTTCATTTTGTAGTTGAAACTGACTTGGCCTTTTGATGTGCAGTGGCAGGGATCATAAGGGGGAGCACGAAGGTGGCCATGGATCTGGATGATCCCGAGATGCAGAAACGGCTGAGGGAGTCTCGGGCCAAGAAGGCAGAGAAGGGAGGTGCCCAACAGGCTGCTGGGAGGCGTTCCAGAGATGAGGAGGGCCTAGTCTCTGATGTGCTGGGAAAGAAGAGAGCGCTGGAGGAAGCTCACCGGAGCGTGATGGGGACAGGGCCGAGGCTTCCTCCCTTTGGTATGGATGATGTTTACGCCGAGGGGGTAGAGAAGGTGGACTTCTCTGGACTGCGTCGGCAGAAGAAGGAGGTGAACCTGGCCATGCATCGGCAGGAGGTTCCCTTGGTGAACGTCTTCCTGGAAGGCGTGAAGAGTGACCCAGAGGTTCTGGCGAGGACCCCGGCTACCTCCTATGCAGATCGGGCCCAGAAGACGCTCCTGACCCAGGCCTATGTAAGTTGGCTTGCCTTAAGACTTTGTTCATATAATTCGAATTTGCCTTGAACTGATAATGTTGTGTGTTGCAGGCTTATGGTGAGATGTACGTGAATATGGCCAAGGCAGATAAAGAGATCCAGAGGTTGAAGAGGCGCAATGAGATGGCCAAGGATAAGGTAGCGGAGGCGCAGGAGGCCATCCGAGAGAAGAACACCCTGGTGCTGCAGAAAGCGGCGATGGCCAAGGAGATGGAAGAGCTGAAGCGGTCGAGGGCCGAGGAGGTAGCTGCTGCCCGGGTCGAAGCGATCGAGTCGTTTCGGGGTTCGGATGAGCTGAGGAACTACATCATGGATCAGATGGTGGCGATGCAGCTGGGTTGGGAGGAGAGGGTGGCGATGTTCAACCCTTCAGTGGAGATTAACTTTGACACGAGTGGCGAGCCTCCCTCATCTAGTCGTACCACTGATGTCGTTCCAGAGCCAGAGCCAGAGCCAGCCATTACGGATGCTCCATCGACTGAGTCCTGAAGGCGTTGCCTTCTTATGTATTCTAGCTTTTTAGTTTAAACACTTGATGTTTATTTTGGTTATGTATGAACATTTTGCCTTGCCTGGGGCAAGGTTATTTTGATGTGCTATGATATGAGACTTGTTGTCATTTGATATCAATTGTGCTTAGCAAAATGGGAACCATGTGATTGATGAAAATGAGCCAGGGTCGGGCGTTCATTAAATATGTGCCGGAAGGCAAAAAGTACAAGAGTTGGTTGAGTCAAGGCTCGAGACCAAAGTAGGAGAAAACATAATAGCCTAGAGTCTAGGTATGTTTACTTATAGTAGTACTTGAGGTGATCAGCATTCCAAGGATGAGGCAAGGTCTTGCCCTTGGTGTCACGAAGCTGATAAGTGCCGGGGCGGCAGACTTTGGTAACCTCATAAGGACCTTCCCATGTTGGGCCCAAGGTACCTTCAGTGGGATTCTTGGTGGCCAAGGAAACCTTGCGCATGACCCAGTCCCCAAGTTTGAAAGCACGGGCTTTGACTCGGGAGTCGTAGTACTTAGCGATGCGCTGTTTGTACGCGACATTGCGCATGTTGGATTGGTCACGAAGCTCGTCAATGAAGTCGAGGTTCAGGGCTAGCTGCTCGTCATTGGCCTCGGCCTCATAGGTGGAGGTGCGGTATGTGGGCTGGCCAATCTCCACTGGTGCCACTGCTTCGGTACCAAAGGAGAGAGAGAAAGGTGTTTCTCCTGTTGAGGTCCGGAAGGTGGTGCGATAAGACCAGAGAACTTCTGGGAGTAGCTCCGGCCAGCAACCCTTAGCTTTGTCAAGCTTAGTTTTTAGAGTTTTCTTGATGATCTTGTTCACAGCTTCCACCTGGCCATTAGATTGAGGATGGGCTGGGGAGGCGAAGCAAAGCTTTATCTTGAGGTTGGAACAAAATTGCTTGAACTTTGCGTTGTCAAATTGCCGGCCATTGTCTGTGACGATGGTGTTGGGGATGCCAAAGCGACAGACGATGTTTTGCCAAACAAAAGTTTCAATGCGGGCTGCGGTGATGGTGGCTAAGGCCTCAGCTTCAACCCACTTGGTGAAGTAGTCCACAGCTACAACTGCATACTTGACTTGGCCCTTGCCCTCAGGCATAGGTCCAATGAGGTCAAGTCCCCATTGGGCGAATGGCCAAGGACTGACCATGGCTGTCAATGGCTCAGCTGGAAGTTGTGGGATGTTGGCAAATCGCTGACACTTATCGCACTTCTGGGTGAAGGTTTGGGCATCAGTGTGAAGTGATGGCCAAAAGTATCCCTGCCGAATGATCTTGTGTGCTAGGGAGCGAGCGCCGGAATGGTTGCCACAGATACCCTCATGAATCTCTCTCAGGACATAGGTACCTTCCTCTGGGGTCAAGCACCGAAGGTAGGGGAGGCTGAAGCCGCGCTTGTATAGGGCACCATTGATGATCAAGTATCGGGCGGAACGATAGCGAACACGCCGCGCTTCAGCAGGATCAGCAGGTAGTGTCTGGTTCTGCAAGAACTGAGTGATGGGGTCCATCCATGTAGGGCTTTGATCAATGACACAAATGAGTGGTGCCCGTGTACTGGGCTGGTCCAAGAACTCGATGTGGATGTTTCGACCTATGCCCTGCTCCATCGCCGAGGCTAGCCTTGCCAATGCATCAGCATGACTGTTCTCAGAGCGTGGCACCTGGCCTATGAGATAAGCATTGAAAGTTGTAAGCAGGTGGCGGGTATGTTGGAGGTAGGCTGTCATGGAGATGTCCTTGGCCGTGAAGTCCTGGTTGACTTGGTGGACAACAAGCTGCGAGTCGCTGAATATTTGGATTTGCTTGGCGCCCATTTCCTTGGCTAGGCGAAGGCCGGCTAAGAGTGCTTCATATTCGGCCTCATTGTTGGAGGCGTGGAATTTGAAGCGGAGGGCGTACTCAAGGGCAACCTTGTCTGGGGATATGAGAACGAGGCCAGCTCCACATCCCTGGGCATTGGAAGAGCCATCCACATACAAGGTCCACAAGGGCTGAGTTAAGTCTAGGGAGCCGTTGCTGGCGACATGGACCTGGTTCGAGGTAGGAGTAGGCGTGATTGCAATCTGAGGACTGGCCAAAGTATGGGGTTCGGTGAATTCAGATATGAAATCAGCCACGGCTTGGCCCTTTGCGGCTTGGCGGGGTTTGTAGTGGATATCAAACTCACCAAGTTCAATGGCCCACTTGACTAACCTCCCAGAAGTCTCTGGCTTCTGCAACACTTGCCTGAGTGGTTGGTTGGTTAGGACATGGATGGTGTGAGCTTGAAAGTATGGCCGGAGGCGTCTAGCCGAAACCACCAGGGCGAAAGCAAGTTTCTCAATGTCTGGGTATCGAATCTCCGCATCTTGCAATCCTTTGCTCACATAGTGCACCGGATGCTCAGCACCTTCATGTGGTCGAATGAGCACTGAGCTAACCGCCGTAGCCGAGACAGAAAGGTAGATGGTGAGGACGTCCCCAGACTCAGGGGTTGACAATAAAGGGGCTCGGCTCATGTATGCCTTGAGCTCGCCGAATGCCTGGTCACATTCTGCAGTCCAGGTGATGTTGCGCTTGCTACCCTTAAGTGCCTTGAAGAATGGGGCGCAACGATCAGTGGCCTTAGAGATAAATCTGGTCAGGGCTGCGACACGCCCAGTAAGGCTCTGAATGTCCTTGACCGTCTTGGGTATCGTCATGTCCAAAATAGCCTGGATCTTCTCTGGGTTGGCCTCAATACCTCTTTGGCTGATCATGAAGCCAAGGAATTTGCCGGAGGCCACCCCAAATGCACACTTGGTGGGGTTGAGCCGCATCCTATACTGCTTCAAAATGGTGAACGTGGCAGAGAGGTTGGGGATGTGCTGGTCGGCAGTGCGACTCTTGACCAGCATGTCATCAACATAAACCTCCATGGTGTTGCCAATGAGTGGAGCGAAGATGCTATTCACCAGACGCTGATATGTAGCCCCGGCGTTCTTGAGGCCGAATGGCATGACTTTGTAGCAGTAAAGGCCACGGTCGGTGATGAAGGATGTATGAGCTTGGTCCTCAGGATGCATGAAGATTTGGTTGTACCCTGAGTAAGCATCCATGAAGCTGAGGAGGGCTTGGCCAGCTGTGGCGTCAACTAGCTGGTCAATGCGGGGTAGGGGGAAACTATCCTTTGGGCAGGCCCGGTTGAGATTTGTGTAGTCTACGCACATGCGCCAACCCTTCTTTAGTTTACGTACCATTACCACATTGGCTAGCCAGGTGGGATAATCCACCTCCTTGATGAAACCAATGGTGCTCAGCTTATCCACCTCCGCCTTCATGGCCTCATACCGCTCTGGGTCATAAGCACGACGCTTCTGCCGAACGGGTCGGACGACAGGATTAATGCTTAGCCTATGGGAGATGACGTCAGGTGATATGCCCGGCATGTCGTTGTAAGACCAAGCAAAGACTTCAGAGTTGAGGCGGAGGAAGGCAATAAGATCAGAGCGAAGCTCTTGTGAGAGGGAGGTGCCGATCCTGACCTGTCGATCCGGGATATCCTCATGGAGAGTGACCAGTTCAAGGTCCTCCACAGGTTCGGCCTGTTGGGTGGCAGATTCCTCCCTGGGGTCCTCTGGGCGCTCAGTGCCAGCTCGAGGTGGGGCTAGGGCCTGGGTTACTGCTAGGGCCTCACCCCTATGTTGGCGATTAGTAGACTTTACTGCTGAAGCATAGCAACTTCGGGCGCCCAGTTGATCACCGCGCGCAGTGCCCGTGCCATAGGGGGTAGGAAATTTCAACATTAACATATGTGTGGAAATGAAGACCTTCATCTGGGCCATGGCAGGGCGTCCCAGGATAACGTTGTAGGCTGTAGGGCAGTCAATGATGAGGAAGGGAGTGGTGACCGTCGTTCGCTGGGGAGCTGCTCCAATAGAGATAGGGAGATGAATGCTCCCAATAGGCTGGACCACATCACCCGAAAAGCTCACCAGGGGTGTGACGCTTCGGTCGAGCAAATGAGATGGGACCTGGAGCTCATTGAAGGCATCAGCAAACATCACACTGACCGAGCTGCCAGTGTCTACCAATATGCGCCCAACGTCAAAGTTAGATATGTCGGCGCGGATAATGATTGGGTCATCATGAGGGAGGATAACGCCGCGCTCCTCCTCCTCGCAGAAGGTAATGGGGGCCCAGCCTGTTTTTTGTGTCTTCGGCAAGCGTCCCTGCTCAGTACTGAAGACCTGGTGCGCATAAGTAGAGCGGACATAATGTTTGATGGAGTTGTTGGAGGTGCCAGCCATGGTTGGGCCACCACTGATGGTTGAGATCATGTTGATCTGCCGTTGGTGAGGGTTAGGTGGGAGGTTGTGCACGTATTTATCCAGCTTCCCCTCGCGAATAAGTCCCTCAATGATGTTGCGCAAGGCAACACAAGATTCGGTATCATGGCCACCGAACTGATGAAAGCGACAGAAGACTCCTGTGTTAGGCATAGGCTTGCTGCCTGGTTTCCGGGGTGGAGGCTGAGGTATGATAGGTGCCTCGTGCACTAGGACATTCTCATAGGTAGTGTTGAGGGTGGTGAAGACCTCGAACCTGGGTTTGGGTGAGAATGGGAGTGGGGCCCGGTCACTTGGCCTGGGGGGGTTGCTTCCACTAGACTGGTGGTGGTTCCCATGTCTGCCCCGCTTGTTATTGTTGAAGGTATGCTGGTAGCTATCCTTCCTCTTGGGGTGTTGGGCACCCTGGGTGCTTGGTGCAGGGGCAGAATGTTGGGGTGGAGCTGGGATGGGTACCGAAGCAGGTGGAGGATCAGCAAAAGGATTATGCGCCGGGATGGCTGGGCTGCGCTTGGAGTTGAAGTACTCAGCCTTGGCATGAACTGCTGCTTGCTTCATCAGCTCGGCATATGTGTTCCAAGGGTTGCTGTGGACCAGGTACCGGAAGTTAGACTCTCGGAGGCCACTCTTGAAAGCACCGAAGGCGGCACGATCATCAGTATCTGGGCAGCGGGAGTATTCGTGGCTGAACCTGGCTGCATACTCCCGAAGGGGCTCATCCTCACCCTGTCTAAGCATGTATAGGTCGTCCGCGGAGTAGAGGCGATCGGTCTGGATCATGAAATGGTCCAGGAAAGCCTGTTTCAGACTGTCAAATGTATTGATAGTGCGGGGGTTCAGCCTGTAAAACCAGTTCAGGGCCGCGCCACTGAGAGTGGAAGGGAAGAGGAGACACATGCCTTCGTCAGTGAGGCCCTTGCACCCCAAGGCAGACTGGAAAGAATGTATGTGGGTGAGAGGATCCTCTGTGCCAGTGTAGAAGGCAATGCGGAGTGGCTGGATGTCCTTCTCCTGGTGGTAATTAAGGATGCGTTCGGTAAAGGGCCCAGGTCGTGGCTTTGCCCAGAGAGGTTGGTGGTTGCGCTGATGTTCGCTCTCCAGGCGCCGGACTTTCTCGAAGAGAAGCCTCATTGCCGGGTCGGTATGAGGGAGAGTCTCGGGTGCTGGGGGTCTGGTGTGTGGGTGGCCATGGGCTGGGTAGAATTCTTCGAACGCCTCGGTGTGATAAGACTCGTAGTCTTCTGAGTAACCCTGGCCCCAGTTCTCTGAGTCCCCTATACCTTCTCCAAGGGGTAGTTGGGTAGGCTTTGGCGGGGGGGCCCAGGTGTTTCATCTTTGGGTCTTGGAGATTAACAGAGATAAGATGGGGTTCCGTTTGACGGTCCAGGATACGGTCCCTGCAATCCCGGTAGACCTTTGTTGGTTCATGAGGCCGGTTCCTTGGTGGGGAGATGCGGAGAAGCCGCGACTTGGTCGTGTCCGGATAGAGGGGGCCTTTACCCTTGCTGGGCCTAGGCTGGGTTGGGACATTGTGGTGGGAGTGCTCCGGCTGGTTTGGCTGTGTACGCTCAGGTACCTGGGTAGGGCTGTGTTGGGAGCCTTGGGTCTGATTCATCTCCCAGTTACGCTTCAGTGTGCGGTAGTCATGCTCGAGCTCGACGTTCTTAGCATGAAGATTGTCATATTTCTCAGACATCTTGGTGACACTGGCGCGGAGGCTCTCCAGTTCTGCCTGGAGATTGGCATCTGCTGAAGGTCTTCTCTGGGAGGTACCCCCATGGGGGATATGGTGCTGAGTCCCCTGGCTATCCTCAGTAGGCATAGCTGAGTGTGGGGTGAAGAAGAGGCGACGGGGCCGGATAGGAGAAGGAGCCAGCTGGGCTGGTAGAGAAAAAATGGGATTCAAGTATCGTTTCCCACAGACGGCGCCAAACTGTTGATGCTCTTTTTCGGAGAGGGTCAACTTAGAGAAAAAGGGGTTTGCCTTCAGCAGGGAAAGGGTCTGGGCCTTCAATAAAGGCTAGCCTGCAGAAGACAAAAATAGGGGAAGCAGTCGTCAAGCTCCGGGCACCGGTGTGGTGCCGGCCGAAGGCTCTCCGATGCTTAAGTCAGCTAAGAAGGGTAACTTTTGCAGAGTAATAGTAAAAGGCAGAAAAGTAGTTACCCCTCTTACTAGGGTACTGTTCCCTTTTTATAGGGAAGTGAAAGTGGGAGGTTGGTGTAGATTTCCGATGTGGGACTCTGTGCAAGTCGCCGCGGTGGTGACACGTGTCACGAGAATTAGGTTTAACAGTTTGTGAGCTTTGGCAGTCGGGAGTTTCGGCAGGTGCTTGGCACCTCGGAAGAGTGTCTTCCTTCGGCAGGAGAGAAGGCGTGTCTGCCTTGGTGCTAGTTGTTTTGAGACTGGATATGCTCGGTTGATTATGGTGTAAACAAATTTTTTAAATTTTTATGGTGATGCTTGTTATTCTTTTCTCGGTCATCCAGTTTTACATGAAGTCATTTACACTTATATAGCCTTTGCTCTATCTTTTACTCATCTGAATTTGTATACATCCAGTTCTTTGCATAATTTCTACTTTTTGAGGACTCTTATACCGAATTGGAAGAGCATTTGAAATGTTTGGTCTGCTTTCATTCACTGATATGAATTCGATGTTTATGGGTGTTCAATTTTTTTATGTATCCAGGGTCTATTGCTTGCAAAAGGGATTGCTGTTCAAAATCATTTCTTGTTCCATTATTTGCTCTACAAGCACCAGCTATTGTAATCTCGTGGTTTAAATAAGCCTTTCAGGTTTTTTTTCTTGGTAACCTATGGATCACATTTGCCATTTAGGTTTAAATGCATAACTTTGCTTGATGAGAAGAATATGTGAATATTACTCTTAAGGTATTTTCTTTAATTAGAAAACCTACTTTATTGAGATTGATTTTGGAAGCTTGTTATGATTGATTTTTTTCCTATTGTCAGTATTCTATAAATGCTTGTGAAGGTTGCCTCTTTTTGGGGTTTTAATGAAAGCTAATTAACAATCAAACTATAAAAGCCTCTGTTAGTTTCTTTAATTTCCCTTTAGTGTCTGCAATTTTTTATGTTTACTGGTTCTCTATTACTTTCTAGTCTATAGATTCATTCACCTTTTTCTTTTGCTTTGTTTGATATTTTGGTTGAACCATTGGCAAGTGTTATTATTTTCTAGTTGAATTCCATAACATGTGGTCAAAATGTAGGTTTTTTAATTTGTATGGAGATTGTTTTTAATAGCCAATTTAGTCCTTGTAGCCTTTTCCCAAACTCTTTGTAGTCGTGAGGAATCTGGATCATGTGGATAGCCTCTCCCTATCACTCCCTACCTCTTACCATTTCCTTTTCCTCAAAACAATCCAAGCCTATGTTTGAATACTCTAAATTAGTATAAGTGACTTCATGTTATTTTGCATGTACAAGTTTATGCAAATCTCTATCTCGAACAAAGTACAGGTTGCTTGACATCTATGTATTTGGATAGAATCCTTGGTAGAAAGTCAATCAATGTGCTCATATTTGACATATGTTTTTTTGATCCTATAGGAAAGAAATAACTAAATGGGTTGGCGCTTGGACAGAATAATCTCATAGTTTGGTTTAATTGGATTTGTGCATTTGTTATGTTCTAAAGGCGTATTGCTGCTGCATTTCTTATATTTTAAATGTTTACGTATTTGTGATTTCCACTGCCTCTTTCTCTCTGTCCTGTGTCGCCTCTTTCGTCCTATTCTTTCTTCACTCTTACTTTTCCTTTCTATTCTTCTTGATTCTTTAGTGTTTTCTGTTGTCTAACACTTCCTATTTCTTCTTTCAAATCCTTCAGCTCCTCAGCATGCACAATCACAACAACGTAACCTTCATCGGCCTTGACCTTGCTTAACGATTATGCCTTCTTCTTGCTTTAGTCTTCAGTCCTTTTCTTTTTTTTTCTGTGTTCATGTTTATAGATCTTTTTATTTTTTATTTTTATGTCTTCATGTTATATAACTAATTTTCATTTTGATGCATATCTCTTCTTGATTCTCAGTGTTTTGGACAGAGTTGGGGTTAGATTCTTCTTTTCATGCTGGGTACTATTGTTGTTGATATATTTTTCACGAATTTCAGTTCTGTTATTTGTTTTTTAAATTTCCAAGGTCTTGCTGGGAAGGCAACAAATCAATATTATGGAAATGATTTGAGGTAATCCCTAATGCCTTACAGGAAACGTGTTTATTTCTCACAATTTATTATGTTTTAGATCTGGTTCCATTTCCTCTTTTACTCTTAGTTCTCATTCTTTTTTTTTCTTTTTTTTTCTTCTAAGTTTTCATTCTTTGTTGGGTCCAACAAGTATATGGCTGATAATTGAAATTGTTTAAGTTTGGTATGTGATTTTGCATTTTGTGGTATAATAGGGAGAGTCATAAAAGCCTCTGTTAGTTTCTTTAATTTCCTTTGGTTGTATCTCTTAATTCTTTAAATTCATGTCTTACCTATACTGGCAGATTGATGTGTACATGGAGGCTTAAACTACAAACACAAGTGCTACGGAAAGTGAAGCTTCTAAGTTAGAAGTTCTACGTTTTACTATACTAGATAGTTTGGTTTATTTCAGCACGTATTGTTTTCAATGTAATTTTTTTAATGTTTTTTTAATATCATTTCTCAAGATAGTTAACATGTTATTACGAGTTTTTGAATGTTTGTATCTAAATATTATATTTTAGTGGATATTAAATTTCAGCTTGTTATTTTTTTAATATATTCATTTAGCTACTAAATTCTTTGAAACTTTAGTTGTCTAGGAAGCTTTTTTTTTTTTTTTTTTTTTTTTTAAGTTTATTACAGCTCTTGACGGCTAAGAATCGTCAAGAAAGATTTATTAAATGTCAGGAAATATATTTGTTGATACTTATTAAGTGACAAGAAAAGCTTTCGTCGATTGTTTTTCACTATTTCATGATGCTTTTTTCCCGTCAGGAAAACACTATTTTTTGACGGATACTAAGTGTCAAGTATGGTGGTGCCCTTTCCTGACAGTGGCATCCCTGACGCTTTTGGAACCATCATCTAATGGCTATAGTGATGCTTTTTAGCCGTTAGTAAAGGGCGTTTTTCTTGTAGTGAGGCCTATGACACTTAGGCCACAAGTCTTCACTTGTCATTGGATGAACCATTGGACTATAAGCTCTCATAAAGGCTTTCTTTTTGTACACAAGTATCAACATAAGCAATATGATCCCCATTTAATTGGCCAATAGCAACACAAGCATGCTTGCATGGGATCCCAGTGATATCTCATCTCTTACATGAACAACTATTCCTTGCCAAAATCAACCACAACCTGACTTCCATCATGGTTTTTGACCTCATAAAACTCTTCCTAGCAAGCTTTGGAATGCATCAAGCTGATTCTTTCTTCGTTTTCTCCAAAATCCCAAAAATCCTTGGACCAATGTCATGTTTCCATCTCTCACAAGCTGCTCTTCTAGTTGCCATCAACAACATAATATAGTATCTAATCCTCTCTAGCGTGGGTTAAAATGGGTTTGTCTCGGACTTCTACAAGAGCACCATTAAAAGCCTCACACATATTATTCAAAAGGATGTCACACTTGGAATGAGTTTTAAAGTGAGCTCTATACCATTGTAATGGATCTAAGGTTGCCACCCAATCAAATGTAGCTTGGCTCAGCTGTCTCATATTTTTCATCTCAGCATCCCACCATGGGATAGTTGTGCTTCTTGCAATTTTCTCCATTTGCAATTTAACACCAATCCTCTATGACCAGTAAGCAAAAAATTTGCTTCTAAGGGCCAGTTTAGCATTGCTGTGCTGTAAAAATAATCGCTGTCAGATTTGCTGTGAGAGAAATAAGCTGTGAGAGAAATCAGTTTGGCGTTTGGTAAAATTTTTGTTAAAAGTGTTGTTGGTATTGATTTTATGCAAAATCAGAAAATGATTGCCGCATAATCATTAAACCCAGCACCTCTTCGAAAACTGATTCCTCAATAATCAAAAAATGAAAGCACCTCATTAGCTGCTTTCCCTTATAGCTTTCTCTCACAACAATTTGTAATAATAAATGATTTTCTCACAGTTTACCAAACGGGTCGGGCTTCTCAAAATTTTTTAAAAATCACTTATCACCCCAAATAAGCAATGCCAAACTGGCACTAAGTGGTTGAGGCATTGTTTATGCTCAGCGATTGGAAAATTATCATGTACTGCATCAATCAAGCCTTTTGCTTGTCTGTGATAAGGATGTCTCCTGTGCTGTTTCGATTCCAAGATCCTCTGCCAATAGTTAACAAGATCATGACCAAGTTTCATAATTCTCCACCTCAGCCACTGCATACGCAATCGGATACATGCCATTGTTATGATCCACACCAACAGCAGATAACAATTGTCCAGGGTGATGACCTTTTATATGGCAAGCATCAAATCCTATCACTGGCCTACATCCCTACAAAGACCTTTGTTAACTGCAGCCAAGCAAATGTAAATCCTCTTAAACCTTGGCCTTTCACCCTCCAACTCACATTTGATAATGACTGTGCTAGCCACATTTGTCCTTCTTAGGTTAGAAGCATAATCCATAATAATTCATACTATTTTTCATAAGTCCCCTCAGTTATGATGTTGCCTTTTGCCTTGCCCTATATATTTGGGATTTAAAAGCTAGCACTGACAAATCTTTCTTGTACCTGCTGCTTAAAAGTTCCCATATCCCAATATGCTGTCTAGATAGTTAAGTAGCATATCTCAAGCTAACCATGTTGAGTTAGCATGAAAGTTGTGGTCAACTGTCCCATAATCATGTATGTCAACCAACTTCTTCACTTAAACCCATTCACTACCATTCACTGCTGAAGCAAAACAAAACCAGTTACAATTCCCTGCACACACTGCCCTCACCTATCACGATCATTGCATTTGAATAACCATCCTCTTGTTCACAATTGAATAGTTCCTAATTGCTTTCCTAAATAGGCAATGGCTGCAAATCTTAAACCCAACTTAAACACAGGGTTGCGCATGTCTATTTCAGGCTAAATTCTTGAAATAGGCAATTTCTCTTCCTTTTCTTTTGCTTCCCATCATCCTCATCACACGAGCTACTAGTCAAGCTCTGAATATCACTTTTAGATACATCAGTTGACTCCTCATCTCATCTACAGGGGCATTTGGGTCTTCAACTACTTCAGGCTAGTCTACATAATTTTCAAATGCTTTATGTCCTTTTCAACAAATCACATTCATTTTCACTTTGCTCATAAGAACTGTCAACAAAAATCAAGGTTATCTTCCTTGTCTTCTTCTTCATTGTCTTCATTCCTCTCTTCCACATCAGTCTCACATATATAGCACTATTACCCTCATTGTTCAGGGGACCATCATCATCACTTGAAACCCAGTCTTCAACTCTGCAAGCAGGCCCATGATCCTCAGTAAAATGACGGCCCTCTTTATTATTGTTCAGTGGTCTATTTTGGAAAGTGAAAGCCCCATTTGCATCAGTAACAGGCCCAATATCCTCATTCAAAGCCGCATCTTCCTCTTCACTATCCTCATTCAATGCCAGACCTTCCTCTTCACTATCCTTATTCAAAGCCACACCTACCTTCACAATCCTCATTCACTATAACACCTTCTCTTCAATGTGTTGTAATAAATTAGCCACCACTGTCTATAAGAAAGTGGTACTTATCACACAAACTTAACAGCTCACCATCTGTGTCTATATCCAGTAACTCATCATTTACTACTCCTTAAGTGATACTTTCCCCATATGCCTAAGTAGTTTCACTTACCCACATTTCTAACATATAATACTCTACAGTACATCCAATCCAATATCCTACAAAACCCACCAGTATGACACCACTTATTCTGTTTGTTTTTCACAATTTTACTACCATGATGCACTTCAAAACGACTAATTCTTTGTCTATACACAAAATCAAAAAGGGTGTCCTTTAAGACCAGCAAAATATAGTCTAAGCCACTAATTAAATAAGACAACAAACCTGGTTGATTAACATATTCAAAGCCAACAGAAGAAACCAAAAACGAGACCCACATCAAGAAAGGTAACTGCATTAGAACCCACTCTCCGACAGCACATAACACAAAAAACCTAAAGACTATCAATTTGTAACAACACACATCACTATCATGTCAGATCTTTCCACATCCACATCAAGATTCCTTTTCAGGAACCAAGTTCCTTTTCAGAAGAATCACTTACGGTACACAGGTTGCCCTGCTCCTGCATCGCGCCAAATAGTCATCGTCGGTCGAGTCACGGCGCTTCTTCTTGCCGTCAAGTTTTCAAAACCAACTGACAGCGCTCTCCCTCTCTACATCCTGATTCTCAACCCTAGCTCAAAATCCCCAAATCTTAATTTTCCCTCCCAATCTGATTTTCTGTTTTCATTTTTTAGTTTTTCACAGATTTAGGGGTCTGTTTTGTTAGAGATGGGGTCCACAAATCCCATCAGCAGCCAATTTGATCGTTTTTTCGCTATCAGATGTTAAAGGTGGGGTCCACAAGTACAGTCACAACCTCAGATTGGTTGGAAAAAATCCCAGCTCAGTTGAATTGACAATACTATACCCCCTGCACATTCATCATTTTACCAGAATTGGAATGGCGTTGACGGAAAGTGGTTAAGTGACACATGAAACCTTGGTCAAGGGGGGCAAAGTGGGTCACTTAACTTGTGAGAGGGTAAATTGGAATTGACCAATTCCAGCGGACATTTATAGCAGTTAAGACTAAATTTATTTATAAGGACTAAATTGGCTGAAAAAATTAATCCTGGTGGAAATTTCGACAAGCGTTTATAGTTCAGGGGGGTTTTCGGCACTTTTACCCCATTAATAATGTATCGATATCATGTCACAAAACTAAGTAAACTTATGTTACTCGATCAACTTTAACTCATTGTTCTTGATCAACTATATCTTCTTATCCTGCTTTTGCCCACTAAAGAAGAAGTGTACAGTGAAGAAGTTTTTTTCTCTAACTTTTCTTTACACACAATCGATGGAGGTTGATTCTACCTAACCCCGCTAACATCCACAAATCTTCAAAGGCAAAAGTACCAAGGGTGTGGGAACCCTCTACCCTGACCTACCCCAATTTATATGATCAAAAACCCGAGTAGCACCAGAGAGAGGCGAGAAAGCCAGTTTTTCTTCGAAAATTTCACGTCATTTCCCACCATTCGGCCACCATTTGTGCGATCCAGGTATGTTCTCCAACTACTCAACGTGATTCTAGTTGACGGTTTTGGTTGGTTATGATAGATTTTGAAGTTTTGAAACTTAATCTAGAACCCTAAGTTTTGACCCGTTTTTAATGCATTTTCGGCCACTTCAAGGCCAAATTGGGGGTGGGCTGAAGACCACAAGGTTGCTCCCTAGTTGTCATGATTACGTAGGTATGGTAGTGTCCGAAGTGTTTTGCGAATTTTATATGTTGTTGGAATTTCTCAAGACCAACCACATTCTGCTGCGCGGGGGCTATGGTGTGGTGGCCCATTTTGTCTAAAAATGTTTCACAAGTCGTCCCAAGCACGACGGTATGTCGGATTCGAATTTGGTTACGTTTGACGGTTCGAAGGATTTACAACATATTAAGCAATATGTTCAGGACCATTGGATTGGATCCATTTTCATGTATGTTGTTAGGTACCTCTAGGATAGGTAGGAATCATAGATCAATAATCCGAGTCCAAGTACTTTGAAGTAATGATTCAAAGCTTAATTAACTGGTGATGTCCGATCTAGAGCGTCACAGACGCTCAATCGAGACAAACTTGTACAGGGGTTTGGTAGGCTCTGTAGGCTTGGTTGAAACTAATAGGAACGTTCAGATTGGAAATATAAGGTCGTGGGCCTGGTTGACCAAAAAGGGAAGTTTGACCAATGTGACCACAGTCTTGTGGACGTACATCCTTGGGAATGTATAGAATGGCTTAGGACCCTTTCCAAGGTTGTGTATACACATTAAAGGTTTGGGAATTCTGGTTTTGGGTGTATGTTGGATGGTGGCCTTACAGTACTGAAATGTTCGCCATGATAACTATGTGGAATTTTGAATGTGATTATGGCGTTATTGTTGAAAAATTGGATTTGTTGTGATGTGGTGATCATTGATGGGGAAATTGTTGTTTGGTTTACTGGGTTATGTAGAATGGGTTCTTATGAAAGTGGGCTATCGATTCAGTTTGACCTTGACCATGTGACACGAGCCCTTCCGTTTATTATGTTATTATTATTATGATTATTATTATTAGTATTATATTATTAGTAGAGTATTATAGTTTATTTTAAGGATGTTTTATAAATCACCTGATGACTATAGAGGGGTTTGGGTCAGTGTAAGATCTAATTAAATAGTGATTATATGGTTATACTCAAGATATGTCTATGTGTTGGAGTTATGGGTACATGGGAAATTTTGCATCAAGATTATGACCTCCTGGTTAACGATACCCAAACGTGGCGTTCGATTTTATGGTGTGTGGGCTGTCGTTGTGAAACCCCAACCCTATTTTTATTGTCCATTTAAATTAATAATTTTAAACTTAATTATGAATTACCATTTTGCCCTGGGATTGAGTATTTTGGTCAATTTTTAATATGGTAAGATTTTGGGGAACGGAAGACCATGATGTAGAGCCATCGATACGAGTTCGTAACACGTAGGTTGGATTAAATCAGAGTTGTAAGAGAAGAGAAGTTACGATGTACAAAAGACTAGAGTGGCACAAATCGTAAAATTTCAAAAAGTCAGATTTTTAAAGTGACCATCAGAACCCTCTCTCTCTCGCTCAGGCGTCACCCTTTTCATCTCTAAATTCCACTTTGTATTTTTCCCTCAAAGCAGATCAAATTCCAAGTGAAAATCACTTGATCTGAAAGCCAAACTTTCTAGGTTTTTCGACAAGGGAATAACAGGCGCGTTCGAGGACTTTAACGGCTGAATGATCTTGACGAAAAGGTTATGTGCTTGATTGTTGGTATGCTAATTGACAGTAGTTGGAGTTTTCGATCACTGGTGAAAAAATTACTCAAACACCCCGCTCGGCGGTGGCGCCGCGTTCAGGGGTTGTCAAGGTGGATTTTGAGCTCCAATGTTACCCCTGTCGGTCCCAAGCCATCGACGGTCTGCTAGATTTGAATTGGTTACCGTTGACTGTCGCGAAGTATACGATATTGGATTTATCCGGGGCTCGATAGTTGGGAAGTTGGATCGACTCCATTACAAAATATGGGATTAGATACCTCTAGAATCGTTAGGAATTCGCGGATCGTGAATCAGAGTCTGGATGCCTTCGATGAATGATTCAAAAGATTAGGTTAAACGGGAACTGTCCAAATCATGAATCCTGAGAGATATCGACGTTCGATTCTTTTTTTTTTTTTTTTTTTTTTTTTTTTTTTTTTTTTTTTTTTTTTTTTTTTTTTTTTTTTTTTTTTTTTTTTTTTTTTTTTTTTTTTTTTTTTTTTTTTTTTTTTTTTTTTTTTTTTTTTTTTTTTTTTTTTTTTTTTTTTTTTTTTTTTTTTTTTTTTTTTTTTTTTTTTTTTTTTTTTTTTTTTTTTTTTTTTTTTTTTTTTTTTTTTTTTTTTTTTTTTTTTTTTTTTTTTTTTTTTTTTTTTTTTTTTTTTTTTTTTTTTTTTTTTTTTTTTTTTTTTTTTTTTTTTTTTTTTTTTTTTTTTTTTTTTTTTTTTTTTTTTTTTTTTTTTTTTTTTTTTTTTTTTTTTTTTTTTTTTTTTTTTTTTTTTTTTTTTTTTTTTTTTAAAAATCAACAAACTCCAAAAGCTAGAGGATAAAACCCTGCAAAACAAAACCAAAAGCACAAGTATAAGCAAAAAAGGGAAATTGCAGTGCAGTTTTTGAAAACAAATCTGCTCAAATTTGAAAGGAAACCAAAAGGCAAATCCATGATTCAAGTACTAAAACTAAGTTTAAAACACATTTAAGTTCATGAGCAGTTGCAACATTCCCACAGACATACAAAAATTGCAATGCAGTTTTAAAAAATGCAGTTTCTGCTAAAAAAGAAACTGCAATGAAACAAGAAACTGCAATGCAGTTTCTGCTAAAAAATTGCAACAAATGGAAACTGCAATGCAGTTTCTGCTAAAAAATTGCAACAAATGGAATCTGCAATACATTACAGTAACCATACCTTGATTTCCATTCTTTCCGGAAGCACAGAGAAGCTGCCCCTTGTACTTGCTCTTCAAAAACGTAGCATCAACGAACAACAAGGGTATGCAATATTGAAATCCAGCAATGCAACCGCCAAACGACACAAAAAACCGTCTAAAGCGATTAATTCCAGCTTCACATTCAAGAGTGCAGAGAGAACCAGGGTTAGTTTCCTTTACGGCGTCCGCATACCACACTAACTCGTTGAAGGACTTCGACTCATCACCGTGAACGTTCAATTTAGCTAACTCTTTGCCAAACCATGCATGGTAGTATGAAATGTCTATACCATAATAATCTTTGAACTCGTGTATAATCTCAACTGGCTTCAGCTCTGGTTTTACACGAATTCTGTCCACAATGAGGGAGGACACCACACGAGACTTCATCATCTTACTCTTTGATTCCCGTATCCGACCCACACATGTATGCACATTATTTAATGTCCGAATTACAAAACAGCCAGTAGCTTCACAACGAGAAGCATAAACACGCCAGCTACAACCCTCCAATTTCTTATTCGAACAAATAGCAACCACCCGCTTCTTGTCATTGCCGGCATATAAAAAATTAAATCCTACTTCAAGAGCGTACTTGCACAATTTCAAACGGAACTCCTCTGCACCACCGTCAAACTTCTGCCCTACATGATGTATGTATGTCTCCCACTCATTCGACAACAAAGGCTTAGCACTTGCTCTCTTCGACCTGCCCAAAAATTCATTTCTGTCTTCGACAGTACTAGAACACGACGACTCGCCCTTTTCACATGCAATCAACTCCTTATTTACACAAAAATCACCACTATATTCACTGCTTCCGCATAAATCCTTCACTAAAATATCAACACTCTTCTCATTTGATACAAACAAAAATGTCCTCATCATGTCCAAATCGCTATCCGTTTCTAGAAAACAACTCGGATAACTGGGCAGCGAATACCGTAACGTAAAACAACCCAACTGCAAACCCTTAAACCTTAGACACAAAGTCTTCAAAATATCAACCATGGATGACTCTGATGAAACTGAAAACATCATGGTTTCCGACTTATATGTGCACTTGGCAATGACACACACCTCCATTAGCCTTGAAAATGCAAACAAAACAACAAACAAAAACAGAAAACAATTTAAATCAGTAAATAATGTACATGAACAGTTGTAAAATTCCAATAGACTTCCAAATATTAGTCCGAAATCGAATTATGAAACAAGAAACTGCAATGCAGTTTCTACCAAAACTACAATTATGAAACAAGAAACTGCAATGCAGTTTCTACCAAAACTACAACAAACAGATGTAGTTTATGACAGAAAATCAAAACAATTCGAATAGAAACCAAAAGGAAACCACGATAAAAGTACTAAAACTAAATTCCATAAACATACAAGTCGATATAAACGAAAACAGGTTCTAAAGTACTCATACCTCAAAACTTAGGACTGCCAAAAATCTCCACAACCAAACAGCAGCTTAAAATCAAAATCTGATCACGAAACGAAGAATATAGGGTTTAGCATTGAACGCCACAAGATCGCGCCGCAAAATCGAGCCACAAAACTGAGCTCGAAATACCCGAACTAAGGAGAACAGAAATCACCCAAAACTGACAGTCATTCAGCATGCAAATCGAACGAAAACGTAGCAGAAAAAAGAAGACAGAAAAACGAAGAAAATAAAAGCAAAACCTACCAGAAAATTGAGCTCCAATGGCAGAACCCAGCTCTGAAACGAAGAAGAAAACGAACGAAAACGAACGAAGAAGAAACTCGCGCGTCGTTTAAAACGTTCAGAGGCAAAAGCGTAATTTAATTTGTAGGTTTACAGATGGGCCAGGCTTTTTAAGAGAAAAGGGTAGAATTGTCTTTTTATTTGTTATTTTTAAGCTGGCCCAACGAATCTGGGCCAGCCTTTGGCCTAATCTAAAATAGCTATTTTTTTTAAGTATTAAAACCCAAACTAAAATACCTAATATCTCACTTACTAATTAGTAAACTTAATAATGTCTAATACCTAATTTTCCTATTTTGATGTTAGATCGCTCCGTTATTATAATGACCCTTTATGGCAAATAGCTTTTTTGATTGAATTATGAATGTAATTACAAAATCTCTTCTAAGAAAAAATGTCTATTGCAAATGCGGGAGCGAGTGTAAAGAGGCTAGTTCAATAAAAAAATAATAAATGAAAATATAGTCTTCGTGTCCCAAACAAATCACATTCCATATTTCACACACTTATAACACACGACACATGAGTGAGTGTGAAGAAGCTAATTCAATCAGAACATAAAAGTAAGAAGATAAAAAGGCATAAGCTGGCCTTCTCGAGTCTTTGGGTCCCAAACAAACCACAATTCTTTTTCTCTTATCACCAACAGCCTTCCTCTTTACGTTCCAACGCACGTGCACCGCTAATTCAATCTAAAAAGAAGATGAAGACTTGGGCAGGTTAGCTTGAGGCAAAAGCTTGCATTGCATGGTGATTGTTGTTGTCGATAGTGAGCTCTCCTATAACTTTATGCCTCTTTTTTTTCTTAGAAGAAGATCGAGCAGCCAACATGCACTTCAAAATGAGTGGGAAGATATGCAAGATGGGGCATCTTTTGTTTGAGTTGGATCTGTCAAATCTGGGATGACAAGAACTAAAGAAGAGTGTGAACCAGACCATATGAATAATTAGGTTCAAAAGTCGCCAAGAATTAGATTGGAATAATATGCTTTTGATCATTCTTTTTCTTATTTCAAAGATATCTAGCCAAATTAGGAGCAATGTGTACGAGGGTTTAGGCCGTTTTCTTTGACACTTTCTTTTGCATATGGGATATTGCATGCCATCTATACATTATCCAACATATATCCACTACTCAAAGTCAGTCTTTTTTATTTAAAAAATATATATTTTGAATATGATGATTCGAACTTGGAAAAACTTTCAATCGCATTGTACTTAGAATATGAATGTTACTACAGAAAGTTGATTAGTCATAAGGTACCTATTGAGATATTCTCTAGTGTGACCGTCATACCGCAATGTTATGTTATAATCCATTCATATTATGATACATGCTTTATTTATCAATATTATATCCTAAAATATAAACTTATGATCTACTGATATTATAGCACGCACGGTCACACTCAAGACTTCTTCGTACTGTCGGACCATTTTTAAATTCATTTTCTATACTACATCAATAATTTATGTAAGCATTAATCTAATAGCTTCAAATGTGTGCAAATGACAGAAACCATCATTAACCAAACAAGCAAACTCGACTTAGAGTTTAAATCTTCCTTCTTTAATCAACGTAGCTTAATCAACACGGAGCTTGCCAAGACTAAGCATTTTTATAAACTTTGCTGCTGCAAAAGTGCAAGCACAGAAAAAGCAAAGCTGTTTCTGCCTGAACAATGAACTTTATATTATTCATGATGATCTTTACAGGGAGAGGGTCCTCAAATCAAATGACGTAATTATTTGTGGGGGACTTCTCATACAAATTATTGATATCTTTATGTATGGAAAAATAATAATGTATAAGAAAAAATAGTTAAATGTTATTTACTGTTTTTTATTTCATTAAAACCTCAGCCATGACATCCTTGTTTTAACAACTACCAGATTGGTGATGACTGATTTTTTCTTTTTGGTCAGAAGGTGATTACTGTTAGTTGGCCGACATTTTGTCAGCCATGGTTTCTGCGATGCGAACTATAAAAAGAAGAGAATTGCGGGAGATATTCCAAAATTGTAATTAAGTGGGCCTAACTGGGCTTCAAGGTCAACGCTATTGGGCCGTAAAGTTGGCAGTTAGATAATAGCAATACGCAATTTGGACTATGAGCGCAACGGTGACAAGCCCAATAAAATCATCCTAAGAACTTGTCAAACTTGTCTACGGAAGTGCTATAATGAGGGGGTTGTGTGTGATGGGTGAGAAACTCTCATGTAACAGGGATATCACTTTTTGCTATTTCCAGCCAATAACGCAATGATACATAGGATAACTTTTCCATGTGTCATTGTGTCATATGTAAGTTTTTTTTAGTGTGAGGGGGTTGGAGGAGGGGTTCAATCCCACTATCCAATAAGAGAGAGAAAATATTGTACTTAAAAACTTTTTAATGATTGTAGTGTTGGATTGTACCCCTCATTCAACCTCCTTACCCAAATCCCCCTCATTGTAGCATCTCCCGCTCGTCTAAGAATGGGCGATTGGGTTCATTGGCCGCGCAACCACTTGCCCATGTCCAGTCCGTATTAAAGGTTGCTATATACATAGCCGACCCATACTTGCAATGTATTGTAATGGGACTATCCATACTGGCCTGTTGAGTAATGGGTTACTTGAACATGACAAATTCCCCATCTTATAGATGAGACTTGTAAGACATAATATGTTGGATTGTTGTTCAATTTAATAAGTCTAGTACTAGCATTTATAAACTCACCAAATAGCAACTATGACATTAATCAATGTAATTGAAAGAGTCCAATTCAGGCTGAACCACCAAACGTGGCTAGAACGAATAAGATTTGAATGAGATACTTGTGTAAAAACAGCCAGGAAGACTGAAAATCAACCCAAGGCATTGAATGAAGGCTGTACAAAACGGTAACCTACTGACATGGAAGTTTGCCAGTCTGTATACGGGCATTCGGCATTCGGCATGCATATTAGATTGTATAACGCCCTGGCAAATAATTTTGAGTAATTCAAAATTTCTCTTGAGCCAAATAGGAAATGTGAAAACATCAGCCCAACAAGGGGAGCATGATTTGGAAATGTTATCTAGTAACTCTTGCCCCAGTAAGTCCACTTCTTTGCTGGCTTTCCGGAGGCAAAGCGAAGTGTCCCTGCACACAAGTTGCATTATTAATGAGACGACGACTGACCCGAAATTGCAAACATGTTATGAAGGTTTGGAAGTACATGAAACTAGAAATGTACCTTCAGGAAGTTCAGGCTGCTCGAATGGGGTGCAGAGTGACTTAGCTGCTCCAGTTTCACCCTTTGTTCGTTTTTTCACATCCTCCTCTACTTCCTGAAAATTTTGAATGAAAAGGACAAAAAAAAACAGAAGTTGGGGAAAAGAAAGAGCAGACAGCAGGATTAAAAGGGAAATTGCATTAAGTGGTAAATCCTAATAGAGATGACAATGATTACCATACCATTTCATCACACCAAGGAGCCAAGATCATTTTCTTTTGGTTTAGAGCTTCGATAAATTCATCCCATGTCTTTGCAACCCTGATAGAAGCATCTCGCTTTTGTTTCGCAACATCAAATAGATTTTCCTGAATTCTATCCAAGAAATCTTTTACTTGCTCAACCAAATTGCTCACAGGAATGTCCACTTTGTCTGAATTGTCACGGCGGACCAGGCGTACCTAAAAACCGAATGAACATTATTCGATCCTGTCAGTGAATCAACAATTTATAGAAAATGCAAAGGTTACCAACCACAATTTTCACACCGGCATCTTAGTAATGGCATATCTTTTAAATTTATCAGTCTATTCATGTCTTTGGCACCTCAATCTTCCAGGTGAAGCCCGAGGTATCAAACCTTGGCTCCAGTTTTAAGCCATACAAGATAGGGAACAGGGCAACTATTGTTATTTTGTCCAAGCAGCAGACAAGTCCTGGCCTAAATATTACCAGGATAAAGATGCATTCAACCCTATTCTAGATGATATGTCAAACTTAAATGTAGGAGACTCAGACTCGGTAAAAAAACCAGATAATGCCACATCTATCCGACCTGACATTACCGGCTCACATTTCATGATCAACTATGAGATCAGTGCTAAATAGATACAGATATCTGGGTCTAATTACAGGCTTACTCAAAAGCACACAAAGAACAAAAGATAATATGAGCAACTAAATTTAAAATGAGAAATAAATTGTGAGAGCAGGCCTCACTTGTTTTTTTTGTCCAAATCCCTTGGTCCAATTTCAATTCTTAGAATATAACAAAATCCCCCATATTGACATCGTCTCCCATATTGACATCGTCCATGGCCTTAAGTTATATGCTACAAAATGTGAATTTTTAATGTAATATGATTATGTTGAGGTGGAATGATTAAACTTTATTAGATTAATGAAATGGTTAGGATTCTTTTAAATGCGTATAAATGCATTGATACTAAATGCATAGGCTTAGGATCTCCCATATAGGGGGGTGAAAGTCATAAGGACTAGTTTGGAATCAACTCCAATCCAATCCAAGTTAGGCCACCAAACAAGGCCTATTAGTCCAATCTTAGAGCACTTCTAGCAACAAGGGCTATGAGGGTCTAGGCCCAAAAACAGTTTCCAGTAAGCCAGGGCAGTTGTTGGGGCCCATGAAACCAGGCCAGCCCTTAGGCAAGATGAGCCCGAGTGTAATCCCGGGGTTGCTGACGTCAACAAAACAAAAAAAACAAAAAAAACAAAAAATATTTAAAAAATACAAAAAATTTAAAAAAAAAAAAAAAAAAAAAAAAAAAAAAAAAAATCATTAGTTTTCACTTCCCACACCAAACTCTATACAAATTTCTCTCCTCATATCTCATGTGAATAGTTATTGCCATCACAATTGGTGGAAACACCACAACTTTTTGAAAGGGCAGCCACTATTCACGTAAATAGTGGTTGCCCTAGCCTCTCCCTTACCATGGCAAAGGGCAAATTGCTGGAAGTGCTCTTATAAACGAGACTTGTAAGACACAATATGTTAATTGTTATTCTAAATTTTTTGGATGATTATTCAATTTAATAAGTGAATTATTCTAAATTGAGGTCCTAGGTTCGATTCCTCCCTCCCACAATATTGTTTGTATCAAATATTTTTTTGGAGAAACATGAATCATTCTAAATGGGTTAATTGGGTTTTTTTTTGGCGGGGTTAATTGGGTTGAGCTTGAAGTTTGAGCCCTACAGTTATGGGTTCGAGATTACGAGCCATGGCCATTGGCATGTTCGAAAAGCATATGGGCCTTGTCTATCAAAAGCTGATCAAAGCCTGAAGGTTCTACCATGGCCACTTGCCGCTCCAATTCTTCAACACCCATATCACTCTCTGAAACGCACCTGTACATTTATTACATACTATATCAGAACCAATATTTGTATGAAGGATCAGAAATCCTTTTGTGGTCGGTAACTGCAAAGGCTCAGTCTCCATGGCAATCGACATCCGAACATTGGAAGAGAGGTCAGCATCTTTAATTCGGAATTTTTCTAATTTTTCAATTTCTTTTTCAACCGTAGTATGAAGTTTTGCATGTTATTGTAGTTTAGTAGTTTTAAGTTTTATCTGTCGTTTGTTCTATGGTGGAGATGTAAGTTTCTGAATTACAATTGCTGGACTTGTTCATGTTGTAATTTTTCTTGTTAATGTCAATGTTTTTCTCAGTAAATGTTTGAATTTTTTGTGTTCTAGGTACATTAGTTCTTGCAGGAGGCACCATGTCCTACCCAATCCTGCAATTCTGGCTGTTCTCTTCAAGGTCAGTGATGATTATTGTTACAGTTTTTCTTTTTAGAGATGAATTTATTCATTGTGTTTAAAGTTTAGTTCTTTTTATCCATTTGTTAAGGAAATTCGGATTGAAAGTAGTTGCTTTATTGGACTAGGAATTTTTGTCGTCATTAATGAATATTGTATTATTAGATGGGTAAAACAACACGAGCATGTATGTTTAAATTGAGCATAGCACAACACAGCAGGGGTGATGCTTGTCGAATTAGTTGACCCATAAAGTATGCCATGGGTATGAAAGGGGATGATAGGCACGAGTTTGTTCCATCCTTGACTCATTTAGCATTTTTCTTTTTGGAAGAAACATCTGCAGTGGTCAACTTCACTGTTGTTTAAGCCAACAACTTTCGGGGGTTGGGGTAATTGGATTGTTTTTTTGGCTTCCTTTTTATTTCAAATGTTAATAATAGATCAAATGATCTTTTGTTGAGGATTTTGATACACAGTTGTTAATAAAACAACTCAATTATGTGCTCCTTGCTAGCTGGTATGTGATTGACTAAAATAAGCTTTATAATAAAATCAACTAAGGAAATAAATTGCCCTCATGGACGCGTGTTGAAGCATCAAGCTCTACTATCAGGACATCGGTACGAACATGCTCTTGCTATGTCTAAGCTTGGAACAATTGCGCATGACAGACATGAGACAACTATTTATAGCTCTGAAAAATTTAGGGATGGGGATTTGTTAGAGTATAAAGTAATACTTGGCCCCACATCCTTATTATGTTATTGAGAAAAATGGTAAACTAAATCCTGGTGTGAAGTCATAGATACTGAGTTCAAGTCATGCAACTTGCTCTCTTGTAGTTTGCTCCGTTAAATTTAATTAAGTTGAATAGTAATAATCAAAATTAATTGCATTTTTTAGCAAATTTGATGGTCAAATTCATAATGTGTCATTTACTCCAAATTCATTAGTAGTGGAGGTCTATAATAGTTATAGTACTATTCTTAGTCTGATTCCTAACTTTCTTTTTATCACTCAGGCCAAGATTAAAAAAACTTGCCATGAGCTGTGTAGCTTGGAGATTTCATTGGACCACCTTAAGGAGACTGATTTCCCTCCACTTCTTGATTTATGTATGGACCTTGATGCATCTGAGATCGAAGCAGTTGACATACACAATGAATCATTGTATGCTTTGGATGGAAATTATGCTTTGTTGTTGATGCACGCTATCAATCAAAAGCTTCGAGTTGTCGATCTCCATGATTTGTCATTTGGAAAGGATTTCTTGAGGTATATAGTGGTATTTTGTTGTAATTTGCTTTGTGTTGATTGTTTCATTCTATTACATAATATATCCCGTATAACACTCACTCTCATAGCAATAGTTGAATAAGAGGACTAACATGCAATAGGCAATGCTGAGGGATTATTTATTTTTACATGTGTTTTTTGTTGTTGCTTTTTTCCCATCCTATTACAATACTGAGAAGACCACATTCACCACATATTAGGCAATTAGTAGGTGACATATAAGCTATCTATCATTTGTACCATCTTGCAGTCATTGTATTTGATCAGTTCCATTGGTGTTGTCTTGTCAATCAAAATTTGAATGACTAGGAAGTTCACAGGAATTTGTAATTGGCATTCATTGTAAAACTGAAATCATATTATCAAAGATCTACAATGAAGAATCTGCTTAAATTTGGAAATGTCAATATGTAGTTGTTTTGGACCTGGTTTCTCTTCTTCCTTACTTTGCTCAGTATTCCTTTATAACGAATTTTCTGTTATTGTAATTACCTTTTGTATTGCCTTCTTTCTGTGTACTGAATTGTGCCAACTCATGTCTTTTATAATTTGTTTTGTGTAGATGGATGTATATGTTTACATCAAGATGAAATCCTATATAAATGACTTTGCTGTCACTAATTCAAGTTTTATCCGTAGGGATCTTTCTCACAGGGGTTTAACATGCCAAGTTTTAACCTTAAGGTCTTCGCATTTTCGGAAGCTCAACATGATGGGGGAGTTCATGCAGATACATACCCTTAACCTTGATTTTAGTTCTTCACTCACTAGTTTTCAGGAGGATTGTTTTACTTGCATGCCCAATCTTATGTGCCTCTCTCTCTGTGATACAAGAATTTCAAATCTCTGGACAACCTTTGCTGCACTTTCCAAACTCCCTTCTTTGGTTGAACTTCGATTTCAGAACTGGTCGTGTTGCAATGATGTTGGGCCTTATTCTGCATCATCCAGTGGGAAATCAGATGACAAAACTGATTCCAATCAGCCAAATAGTGTTGATTATGGTGGACGATTATCCATTAATGTCGGGGATGTAACAAATCAGAACTCAAGCACCGAACAGGGGCTCAGGAATTTGTTTTTAATTAATAATGTGGTTATAAATGATGATGTACAAGGCATGGCTGAGGATTCATCAGATGATAGTGACTTAGATTTTTCGAATCCCCTGCAAGAACATGGTTCTGTGGAGCTATTATCAAATGTTTTCGCCGGGGGGAATATACAGGTCAATCCACAAAATGAGGTAATGGCATGGACCTTTGCATTTTATTATGCTTGAGTGACTAAGTAGGAAATGTTTAAGTAGATTTGTTGTGACTATGACAGTGAAGGGATTTTCATGCAGAAATTATAGCAAATGATTAATTTTTTTTTGCATGATTAAGTTAATGAAATAGGATTTTGATAAATTATAATATTTTTTAACTGATAAGGTATAATGTTTGTTTTTCTTCTATAAACAGTTATCATCAACAACACTATTAGCAGCCAACTACCTCCATTCCAAATCCTATTGAAATTTGGTTGACGACCTAGTACATAATTATAATACAATTATAGTTCTGTGTAACAATAAGCTTGATATACACTGTATGCCCGTTCTCTAACAGCAAGCTTTTGGGGTCAATGGTTGCCTGACATGGTATCAGCGTATCAGACCTCTATGGCTTTGAGACCTCCACCGAACTCCCCTTTTCTTTATAATTTGCAAGGTGCATTGTGGAACTGCACCTTTATATTTCTCTCTGTCTGCCTATCCACGTGCGAGATGGGGTTGCACTTGAGGGGTAGTATTACCTTGATATGCATTGTTGGTCCATTGCCTAACAACTTAAGCTTTTGATGTCCAATATATATATTTTTTCTATCATATAATTTGTAATTTTTGTAATCATCATTATCCTCCAATCCTCCCTCTTATATTCATAATAATCAAATTTCTACTCTGTTTGGCAGGCTTCTTTTGATAACTTACAGAATCAAAACGAAGAAGAGCCCTTTGAAGGTGTCTTTACAAAGCATATTGGAGATGTTGCGTTGACATATATTTCTTATCATGCTTCGCCAATATGTTTCGAGAAACATTATAGAGAGTACATGATAGCCTCATTACCTCATTTGAGACTTTTAGATAACTTGCCTATTAGAAAGATTGATCAGGAAAGGGCTATGATTAAATTCTCAGAGTATTTTGAAAATCTACCTTATCGGAGAAAGCATAAAGAGAATGTTGTTCATATGTTACAGAAGCGTGAAATTAGAGCAAGTCAAACTCATGCGCAAAGTCATGGGCAAAAAACATCAAATCTCTATGGGAAGTCTCAATACTTCTATACCAGGTCTCTCTGTGCTGCAAAAATGGGATCTTCTGCTTGGCCTTTCTTGCATCCGCTTTCTGTTTCAGGCAGTAACTTGGGAGGTGAAAGTAGGAGCTTTCGTCCTAGGCAGTTTGAGTATCATCCATCTGACTCTAGCCTAATGGTCTTTGGAACATTAGATGGTGAAGTAATTGTAGTCAACCATGAAAATGGAAAAATTGTTAGTTATATCCCATCGCTAGGAGCAATGAATAGTGTGCTGGGACTCTGTTGGCTCAAGAAGTATCCCTCTAAGGTATGCAATTACTGCATGGAATGTAGTTATATTCAAGTCATGGCCTATTATTCTTATGTGTATATAGTTAACAGTTAAATTTTTTTCCTTGGGAAATTGTTGCACCTACCAATCCCAGAATGCTGCACATTCTTTTATTGTTTTGTTTTTCTCTCATCATATGCAGTTCTGTCGGGCATAAAATTGTTCAAAGTACAGATACATGGCGTTCAATAGCTAGTAACAGCATGCATTGACAATTGAAGGGAGTATGTAACATTTGAGTTGTCATTTATGGTACTTGATGGGCAATGCATACCACCACAGGATGGGTCGAAGATGGCTCCTAAGTTGAAGGACGACCTGGTTTTATTGTCACCATTCAATAATATGTTGCTAATGTCTTTTATTTTGGAATTAAGTTGCTAATGTATGCTTGGAAGGGCTTCTTAGGTGTGGGAATCCTTTGTGCATTTGATAAATTGAAAAACTTTTCAATAGTCAAATAATTGTTAAATAATTGTTATCGTCATAGACTCATAGTACTGTATCAATTTGTAAAGATTAGACATCTATCTCTCTCCTTATTTCAAAAATTCTAATTCGTACTTGTTTTTTTCCTCATTGAATGTCAGCTAATAGCTGGCTCGGATAATGGTTCATTGAAATTATACGATATCCATCAAATGCAATCAACTATAGCAGGAATATACAGTGGTGCCGGTTCTGTGACCTTTGACGATTTTGACCAATTGACATCTGTTCATGTTAACTTCACGGATGAACTATTTCTTGCTAGTGGATACTCGAGAGATGTTGCTTTGTATGACATAAGTAGTGGAAGACGCTTGCAGGTGTTTACTGATATGCATCAGGAGCATATTAATGTAGTAAAGTTTGCAAACCATTCCCCATCTCTTTTTGCCACTTCTTCATTTGATCAGGATGTCAAGATGTGGGATCTAAGACAGAAACCAATACGGCCTTGCTATACCTCTTCAAGCTCTAGGGGTAATGTGATGGTCTGCTTTTCTCCAGATGATCACTATCTTCTTGTGTCAGCTGTTGACAATGAGGTAATTTCTGGATTAGTTTATATTATAGTGTATAATTGAGCTGTCCATGTGTTCTCATGTGCCCCAAAATTCTTCTTGTGGATTAGTTAGAATAGCAGCATATTTTTATTTTCATTTTCCTATAGAGTTAATAGTTTTAGTTGTTCTCTTTATTTAAATAGTATTATTATATTATTATGATGCCTATTCCAAAAGGAGATCAGTTGATTTTGGTGGTAGACTTAATATTAGGATTTCACTCGTGATTTAGTCCACCAAGGCCTCATATGGAATGATGGCTACCATAGGTTTTGGTGCACTCCATCAGGCAACTTGTATATAGTTGGATATGTTGGAGGCAGTTACTGTTCGTAACCTTAGGCTTTTGTGTTAGGATAGGAGAAGATATATTTGGATGGAGGAGGTTGATGTAGTCTGTAGATAGGGTTTGTTCTTTAAGATTTATTTATTTATTTATCATCTTGGTATATTTTGTGCAATGATATTTTTGTTATGATACATAATGAAGCTTTACTTGCTGTCCTTCAAGACATTTTAGCATATTCTGAGATTAACTCGTTGATGATGTCAGGTTAGACAACTTCTGGCAGTTGATGGGAGACTTCACTTGAATTTTGAGATAGCCTCTACAGGAAGCTCTCAGAATTACACTCGATCCTATTACATGAATGGAAGGGATTATATCATCAGTGGGAGTTGTGACGAGCATGTAGTTCGCATATGTTGTGCTCAAACAGGGAGGCGCCTGAGGGATATATCTTTGGAGGTACAGCTTTCTGTTTAGATGTTTTATGCCTAAAAAGTACTGCGAAACAGTGGTTTCCTTGTCAGATATAGGTTTAACATGCCACCTAGTGGATATGATTACTTTCTTTCTATGTGTGATGCCAAACTCTACTTTTGTTGGGGAGCTTCACGTTGTATTTGAGTGAAGTTATAAGTTGTCATCATCATTGTCAGTTATAAGTTGTCATCATCATTCTCAGTTATAAGTTTTAGGAGTCCATGTAGTAAGCAACGTGGCACAGCTTTAGATTCTAAAAGAAGATATAGACAAAAATAGGAGATGAAAGAAACCAGAAATACGGTGAAAGGTAGTGCTTTAACTTGAGATTCCTGAAAGGGGAAAAAGGAATTAAATCTGAAATAGGTATGGGAAAAGATGAAAAGAAGTCTGTTTATCGACTAATTGTGAATGTGTACTAGTTATTTTGAGGACAATAATGAGACAATTTTCTGTTCATATGCAGGGAGGAGGAGGATCTAGGAGTTCTATGTTTGTGCAATCTTTAAGGGGAGATCCTTTCAGAGTGAGTTTCATTCTACTTATCCACTCTTTTGGTCAATCAAGTACTAGTAGAATTGTACACATTCACTAATATGGTTAGAAGAGATAGTGTGGGTTATTTCCTTAAAAAGTAAACCCCACAACACGTCAATTTTGTTGTTGTGTTATTCCACTTTATTCACTTGTACGCATATATAAATGTTTAATGAATTCTATATAACTTTATTTGTATGTTGTAACTAATCTTCCAATAACCAATAAATTATTGAAGAATTCTATATATGCTCAGCTTAGTTTGTACTGTAATTTTGCTTGGCTTTTTAAAATCATGCCACAATGATTAATGGGAAACTTAAGAAGCACTCTGTCACATGTCTGCTCACCTTACAAGAGCCCTGTAGCAGTGTGCATGACACAAACTTGATTTGTCCAAGTATTCAAGTGGTGCCAAGGATTAATGGTACCTCCATTATTAATTTAAACATATTTTCTCACAATTTTCCTTGCACCCAGGAATTCAACATGAGTATCTTGGCAGCCTATATGCGTCCACGCTCGAGGTCTGAAATTTTCAAGGTAGGACGCATGCTTCTGGAGTTTTGTTGTTAAAAATGTCATCATGTGAGACACTGAAGTTTTCTGGGTGCAACATTGCAGGTCAATATGCTAGCATCTAGTGACTATGCCAAGGAACACCTTGATGGTCAGCAAGCTTGCCCAACCAATAGTATGGGAGGTTGACGTTTGTACCTTATTTGTGACATATGTATGTATACAACCCTTCTCCTAGGCGAGTGTCTGCAAAGATACAAAAAAGCGAACATCTCCGCCAGCAGTTGGGTCCAACAGCCGAGATCAGTAAGTAGGTCTAATGCCAATCCATGTTACCGCATCCACTCTTCGTATGCTCTCCCTTGCAGGGTTTCGGACCCACTTACTGACCCGATTTGGATTAACTGAACCGGCACATATTTCAACTGTGTTGTTGGATGAGATCCAGTAGTAGGTAGAGATGATTCTTTGTGGATGCCTACCTACTTGGGTTCAGCTAAAGAAACAGTCCATTTGCTTTGATCTAGTATAGGTACATGTAATATGCCATGAAATGTGCTAGCCTTAGCTGGTTAATGGATTGGAGGGTAGTTAGTAGTTGAAGATGGCAGGAAGGGTTAGTTGTTAGCTGCAAAGTGGCATGGGTGGTTCTCGTTGTAAAAATAAACCAATTATCAGTTGTAACAGAGGCATTTCAATCTATAAGAATTCTACAGAAAGCATCAGGCTTCCGTGGGTAAGAGTTTCCATTTAACCTGTCTGACTTGGGCTTCCACAGCTTGACTTAACCTGCAAGATCCTTACAAAGGACTTTTTGTTATTTTTGTAAATAATCTGCTATGTCTTAGACCTCTGGCATTTTGTCTTCTTGTAATGCACTCTCTAGGGATGATGAAGTTGGAGCTACTCTTGTTTTTCTGGGGATGGATGCAGCATGCAGCTCATTAATACATGGCTTGTAATACCCACTAGCAAATGGATATTAACTACTGATGTATTGTGAACCCTAAATGCATCGACGACTGAGAACCGCCCACTCGTGTCGTGTGCTGGTCGCTATATGCCTAGCAAAACCCTAATTATAATCTCAGCGAGATAACCATTTGATTATGTAGGTTTTTTTAGTGTGCTTTGCGTTTGTAGGTACTCCACACTTGGCACATACGGCCAAAACGAGGAAGCTACTGGCAACTTTCACATGCAGAAACCGTGTTACGCACTTACCTAAACCATGGCTCACTGTCTCACCGACTCACTAAATTATGTGCCAAAAGATCCAACAATCCAGCTGTGAGTACCTTCGCCACATTTATTTTTATTTAATGACCACAACTGTCGACGTACTATAGATATTTTGAAGTTTTTAAAAAAATTTATTTTATATAAGCGATATTAAGAAGAGGGTAATCAAATCTGAGATGATCTCAAATGTAAAAAAATAAATACTCTTACTCACTTGAGCTATAAGCCCTTTATAGATATTTTGAAGTTGAAAAAGAAAAAGAAAATACATATTATAAGTTAAAAAAGAAAAAGAAAATATTATGTAAACTAAAGAGGAAAAAAAGGTGGGATATAAATGTGTTATATATAAGAAAATTAGATTATTTACACTACATTCTAGACTTTTCATTTTGATAAATAAAAGATGACTTGGCCTCTGTCCTTGACAATGACAATGAGGGCATCCAAAGTTCCCGAGTCCACTTCTCTCACTATTAATACCATATCATACCAAGGCTTGAGCTCTCACACTCCCCCAAGTACACTGCTCAACCGTGACATTTCCTTAGTTCATAACACTTGGGCAAAACCAAAAACAGAAGCAGAAGATGAAGCTCTACTTTCCACTTCTTCTTCTCTGTTTTCTTCTTCTTGGCTCCTCTCTGATGGATCCAGCCATGGCTCAAGCTAAATCAAGTAAGCAAAGCAAATCTACATTGCTTTTTTTTTTTTTTTTTTTTTTCTTTTTGTTAATTATTAGCCATGCTAATCATTTTGCCTGACAATTTTGATTAACTTGGTATAAAATGAAAAATGTTAATTTGCAGAATATTGCAGTGACAAGTGCTCATCGAGGTGTGCAGTAGCAGGAGTTCAAGATCGATGCATCAAGTATTGTGGGATATGCTGCGAAGAGTGCAAGTGTGTTCCTTCTGGGACTTATGGCAACAAGCATGAGTGCCCTTGCTACAGAGACAAGAAGAACAAGAAGGGCAAGCCCAAGTGCCCCTGAACTCCACATCATCAACTATTTCAGAGAGAGAGAGAGAGAGAGAGAGAGAGAGAGAGAGAGAGAGATTTGGTTTGAGTGTGAGTGTGAGTGTTAATTTGGTGGTGTTAGTGTTGTAGAAAGTCAGTTTAAAAAATCTATGGTGAGTGTTTTAGTGAGGGAGAGTTGTGGGCTCTGCTTAGCAAGAGTTGGTTGTTGATCATCCTTTGTGTCTTGATGGATCTAGCAGTAGTTTATGTGTGATCGTGATGATTAATGTCCAATGGCCGTTGGATTTGCATAAAATGAATAATATTAGTAGTTATGCCTACTTTTAGTATATGCCTTGAAGAAGTTTGATTATTCATATAAATCTTGAATAAGTGTGTAATTATTTTGTAAATAATACATTATCAAAACTTGCATGTTTTGTCATCCCAGATTCAACCTTAGGCAAGTTGTCAATTGATATATTAATGAAAGTTGGATACATGTGATATTGGGAGATGGCATCTTTTACGCACATTTCAAGATGTTGATGGGTAAGTTGAGATCCTTTTCACTGAGCTACACCCGTTAACAGTCCCCTAAAGTTGAGCATATTCATATTTTGATCCCAAAAATTAAAATCAAAGACTTTTTCTTGACAATAAAATCGAAGACAAGCAAAACAAGGTCCCAAAACATGAGACTGGCTTTAGCAATTAGTATATATGCTTATAGCGGCAGGGCGGTTGGTAGAAGAATCTTTTGGGATTTGAGCAACACAATTAAGAAAACCTTTGACTAGGTCTATATTATTGGATGTGTGGCCATGTATATGTTACATCAGCATTTTAACAAAAGAATTCATGGAAGTTGACGGTAGAGACCATTTTGATGTGTAGAGAATAACTTTAAGGATCATTAGTGTCACAAAAAAACATTAAGAGCGAAAGGTGATAATTCCGTCAACCTCAGAGACTATTCGTGATAAAAAGCCAAGAAGAATAAATCAACGTCGTCAAACTGCAAGGAGTCCTTCAGCCTATGCATTGCTGAAACAGTAATAGATGCCACACAAGAATAACAAAAGCATCTGGATTTTTAAAATTGGACTGTGCATACACTATGAGCTATGCTGCTCTGCTACCCAATAACCTTCGATTAATGGTTTTGGCCCAGCCCAACCTCCCCAACCAAAGAAACAGCACAGCATGCATTGACAATTGAAGGGAGTGTGCAGCATTTGAATGTTAATAGCTGGCTCGGATAATGGTTCATTGAAATTATACGATATCCATCAAATGCGATCATGTATAGAAGGAATACACCGTGGTGCCGCAAATAAACATTAGCGTAGTAGTTCAGAATAAATGCTTTCTCAGAGAAGGTCATGGGTTTGAGAGTCAGCATTCGTGTAGTGATGCCGGTTTTGCGACCTTTGACGAGTTCGACAAATTGACATCTGTTCGTGTTAACTACGCGGATGAACTATTTCTTGCTAGTGGATACTCGAGAGATGTTGCTCTGTATGACATTAGTAGTGGAAGACGCTTGCTTGCAGGTGTTTACTGATACGTGCCCCCAAACTCTTCTTGTGGATTAGTTAGAATGGCAGTATTCTTTTTTTTTTCCTATAGAGTAAATAGTTTTAGTTCTCGTTTTTATTATTATTATGTAATTTAAACATATAGTTTCTCACAATTTTCCTCGCACCCAGGAATTCAACATGAGTATCTTGGCAGCCTATATGCGTCCTCGCTCGAGGTCTCTGAAAGTTTCATGGTAGGAGTCATGCTTCTGGAGTTATGCTATTAAAAAATGTCATCATGTGAGACGCTAAAGTTTTCTGGGTGCTACATTGCAGGTCAATATGATAGCATCTATTGACTATGCCAAGGAACACCTTGATGGTCAGCAATCTATAGAATTTTATACAGAAACACTACAACCCTGGCATTCCATTTAACCTGTCTGATTTTGGCTTCTTTAGCTTGAGTTAACCTGCAAGATCCTTTGCAAAGGACCTTTTTGCCTTGTTTTTATAAATAATCTGCTTTGCTTTGTACCTATGGCATTTTGTCTTGTTTTAGTGTACTTTTTATGGATGATGAAGTTGGAGTTACTCTTCCTTATTTTTCTGATGCAGACATCCAACTCCGGTTATTAAAACATGGCTTATCGTCCAGTCGTGTATTAATTGGTCAGGCAGGGAGCGGACGTTTATTAGCCGGCCATTGATGCATTGTGAATTCTAAAGGAAAAACCCTAATTACAATCTCACTTCGATAACTATTTGATTATGTAGGTTTTTGAGTGTGTTTTGCGTTTGTAGTTGCACTTAAAAATACTCTACACACTTATAACATAAAGCTACTTGGCACATACGGCCAAAACGAGGTGCAGAAACCGTGTGTGGATGGACACACTTACCTGAACCATGGCTCAGTTTCACCGGCTCACTAAATTTGCCAATAGTTTCACTCCAGTTGTAAGTACCTTTGCCAACATTTATTCAATGACCACAACTGCCCACGTACTATATTGTCTAACAAACATACTAGATTTTTTAGGCATACAAATTTTGAAGTTTTTATTACTTTTATTATTTTTAAAATATAATCGATATTATTGAAAATAGGAAATCGAACATATGACCCTGTATATATTTATGATCAATTCCATCAGTCTCCCTTTAAGGTTTAGCCGATCTTAAAATCTAATAGTCCAATAAGATAAATTTAACCCACCTCATTTGAAATCCTGAGTCTATCCTTCACACTATAAATATCAAACCATACCAAAGCTTGAGCTCTCACAATCCTCCACACTCCCTCAAGTAACCTGCTCAACTGTGACGTTTCCTTTGTTATTAACACTTTAGGCAAAAGCAAAAGCAGAAGATGAAGCTCTACTTTCCACTTCTTCTTCTTCTTCTCTGTTTTATTCTTCTTAGCTCCTCTTTGATGGAAGCCATGGCTCAAGCTAAATCAGGTAATCAAATCCATACCTTTTGACCTTACTTATTTTGCGGTACATTGTTTTTTAATTTTTCCTTTTTGCTGGATAATTAACCATGCTAATTATACATTAAACATGGTATAAAATAACAAATCTAAATGTGCAGGACATTGCTGTGACAATTGCTCAAAGATGTGTGAAGCAGAAGCAGTTCAAGATCCATGCATCAAGTATGAAGAATGCAAGTGTGTGCCTTCTGGCACTTATGGCAACAAGCAGTGCCCTTGTTACAAGGACAAGAAGGGCAAGCCCAAGTGTCATAGAACTGAACAATTATTCTGCCTGACAATTTGGATTAACATGGTAGAAAATGAAAATGTTAATTTTGTATTGCAGGATATTGCAGTGACGAGTGTTCAACGAGGTGTGCAGTAGCAGGAGCCCAAGATCGATGCATTGAGTATTGTGGGATATGCTCTGAAGAGTGCAAGTGTGTGCCTTCTGGGAATTATGGCAACAAGCATGAATGCCCCTGCAACAAGAACAAGAAGGGCAAGCACAAGTGCCCCTGAACTGAACAATTATTTTGCCTGACAATTTTGATTAACATGGTAGAAAATGAAAATTTTAATTTTTCATTGCAGGATATTGTAGTGACAAGTGCTCAACGAGGTGTGCAGTAGAAGAAGTTCAAGATCGATGCATCAAGTACTGTGGGATATGCTCTTCCTGAAGAGTGCCTTCTCAACAAGCATGAATGCCCTTGCAACAAGAACAAGAAGAACAAGATGGATTAATAATGTCTATTGCCAATATCTTTACATTATTAATTATGTTATTATCTTACTAGACTCACGATCATGGATTAATAATGTCTAGTTTTACCAATATCTTATTTTTATTCCAATGTAATTTTGATATGGAGATCAATTTTCAACATAAAGTTGATCTAAATAACCATATTCTAATAAAAATTATAGAGTAATTAAAATGGTTTTCTGGTTATATGCTGTAAATGTAGTTCTCTATATTCTACCATATTAATACTAAGACTAAAGGTAGAATTTTATTTGATAAATGAGTATTTTATTTGTTCAATTCGTATATAAGGAATTTTATATTTCTTGTTCATCAATTAGGAAGATTTGAAAATAAACATAGTGGATGACACTCCAAAATGCTCCATTCATGTTAATGAATAAGACTATTAATACGCCGATAATTGTTAATATTCAAGAGCTAGCAATACCAGCAACAATTAAATTATCTAATATTCATGACATAATTGGGAATACATCCTATGACTACTAGGTTTGTACTAAAATCTACATTGGAATACAAATAAGATATTGACACACTTAGGTCCAACATGTCCCACTTCAACATAAAGATGTCTAAGGCATTAACAATATAAATACTTTTATTAGCACTTAAGTTATCATCAAGACTATAAATTGAATCTAAGATTTATTTTAAGACTACATCGAGGAAACCAGATGAGTTGTATTTTTTGTACTTCTATTTTTAATTGTTCAACAAATTTTAAAGAACTAGACACCGCGCCTAGAACATGGAACTGCAAAAACACCAACCTAAAGGACTATGTGAGCATAACTCAAAGATTTCCTGATAGACATCCAATTATTGTTATGACAAATATCAAACATGACCGAGTGCTCAAACAAAGTATGATCATTAGTTTAGCAAGATAATAACATAATTATAATAGTTTTTCCCTGTTTTGGACAATGTAACTTATTAGACAAGTAAGAATTTGAACAACAAATAAAGATTATAAGGTGCTAAACTAAGCTCTGATACCAAATTCGAAGGGATCCTCATTCTAAAAAAATAAAAGAAGAAAATTACCAAAAAAACAAATATGAAATATGAAAAAACAGATCTCTCTAATATATAATACTCCAACCAAAAAAGAAAAAAAACAAAAGGTAAGGAATACAAATTGACTCAAAGGCCCAAGTTCAATTTCAGACCCAAAGCACCAAAACGCGACGTTTTGATATTAGCATCCTCCCCTATGGTCCAGCACAAAAGGAAAAATAGGCCCGCCCTCTTCCCCACTCCCTCCCTCTAATCCCATTTTTCATCTGAACGAAAGCTTCTGCAAACTCTATTCAATTCAACAATGGAGAACCGAGCGGTCCAAGAGGTACCTCTCTCTCTCTCTCTCTCTCTCTCTCTCTCCTGTGGCGTATGTACATTTATGTTTATTAAAAAGAATTGAACTTTGCAATGGTTGATTGTAGATATTGGAGAAGCAATTGCTGACAGTAGCGAAGGCGGTGGAGGAAAAGCTTGACGAGGAGATCGCAGCCCTAGATCGAGTGGACGATGACGATCTGGAGGCGCTCAGAGAGCGGAGGCTTCAGCAGATGAAGAAGATGGCGGAGAAGCGCAGCCGTTGGATCTCCCTCGGCCATGGCGAGTACACCGAGATCCCCTCCGAGAAGGACTTCTTCTCCGCCGTCAAGGCCAGTGACCGCGTCGTCTGCCATTTTTACCGTGAAAATTGGCCCTGCAAGGTATAGTTTACATTTTTTGTTTAATTTCCACTATATAAAAATTCAAACTTTCTGTTTAAGTTATGGTTTTGGGAGGCATTTTTGGGTGTAAGTGTTTAACTGTCTTGTTTTCTGAGATAAAGTGTAAAAATTAGCATATGGGATATTCCAACAATTTTGAAATTTTGATTAGTAGAGAGTGAGGGAAGTAATGTATGTAGGGGCTGTGCTTCATAATGGGTAAAGTTGGTATTGGTTTAGATAGAGCAGGATGCGACTTTAGTAAAGAGAGAAACAGTATGAATGGAAACAGGGAGTTGTAGGTGACTCTTTTTAGGTACCCAGTTGATAAGGATCAAATCATAGATCATTGATCTGCATTTGCAGATGAAGTGAATTTCAAACTGTTTTTACATCGTTTTTGTCTATTTGGTTTCAAAACCTGGCATTTATGGTTTCCCTGAGTTGTTTTTCGAAGCTTTTTGTATTTGGGCTTTATTGATTGGAAGCCAAAAGCCATAAACATTGTTCACAAATTTGTGGGGTTTGTTAATTATATCTTAGATGCATGTTGTTGAGGAGAGTTAGAGGTAATTGATGTGAAGGTATTACAACTAAAATGTTTTTGGGGCTTGCATGGGAACTTTGAACAGGTACCTGGTTTGAGTTGCTTATTCCCAAAATGTTTGACCTCCTAGAAGTAGTGGGGGCTTTTAAACAATCTGTTCTAGCTGTTGGAACTATTCAGTAAATTTCCTGGGTTCAATTTAATAATTATATGTATAACTTTTGAAGTTAACTCAACAGTTAGGACAAGTGATCCATATTTACAGTTCATTTGTAGGTGGTGGACAAGCACTTGAGTATATTAGTGAAGCAACACATGGAGACACGTTTTGTGAAGATCAATGCTGAGAAAAGTCCATTCTTAGCAGAGAAGCTGAAGATCGTTGTTCTTCCAACCATTGCCCTTATTAAGAATGCCAAAGTGGATGATTATGTGGTATGTTATAGGAAGGACATGCACACACACCATAGGCAAAATTGATAATTTGCTTTTTAACCCCCAATGTCCTCTTGTGCAACAGGTCGGATTCGATGAGCTTGGTGGGAAAGACGACTTCAGCACAGAAGAACTGGAGGAGAGGTTGGCTAAAGCCCAAGTCATCTTCTTTGAGGGTGAATCGTCTCTAAAGTCTAGTGCAAAAACCAGGAGTGTCCGGCAAAGCAGCAACGCGGACTCGTCGGATTCAGAGTGAAACTTATCCATTTATTTTGGTTGTTATTGGAAAGTGGACTGTTCATCCTTCGCCATTTTTGAACTCACAGCTTCACTGGCTTCGGTGGAATGGCCTAGTTTATGCTTCATTTGAAGTTCAGATGTATTACTTACACTGACTCTGTTTGTATTATATTCTTGAGATCATCATCTAGATGGTTTTACATATTAGTGTTTATGCTTGTATTAGAAAGAGAAAACAAAGGTTCTGTGAGCTTCTGCAAAATATTAATTCCCCATTAGGTGGTAAAATTTTGAAATCTTCTTATGGCTTATCTAGTAATGTTTTGTTTGGTTTCAGCTATGTGGGGTTCTGATTTCTCTTGAGTTTTTCTATTTAAACCTTACACTTCTCTTTGTTCACCCCAACTTCTAATTCAAATTTTCAAAATTTCCAAGAAAACCCCACTATCTTCCCAAACTATTCTTAAATACACACCCAGCAAAAATTAAAATAAAATAAAAACTGATCAACCTCACACCTCACACCCTGCTATCTTGCCCCTTACTACTGTACTTTCACCTCAACCTCACATTACTTAAGAAGATAAAAACACTGTTGTCAAATGTGTAGCAGCACTGAAAATAAATTGGAGGTTTTGTGAAGAGAGGATGAGAGTAGTAGGTTTCTTGAATTGAAGATGAGTAATCTAGCAATAGGGTGTAGAAGAGTTTGTGTTTTTCTAAAACTTAATATGAAGAGTGGTGGGGTGTGTGTATAGATATAGTAGGGTTAATATTAAGTTTGATGACCTTTTTTTGTCTTTTTACACAATAATAAAACTTAAGAGCTTAATGATTTAAGTATTTGAGTGAACAAAGAAAAGTGTAGGGTTTAAATGAAAAAACTATTTTTCTATACGTCTCACATAAATTTTCAAAAATAATGGGTTCAAGAAAAATTTGAGGCCCATTTTCCTTTTCCTTTTCCTTTTTTGTTTGTTTTGGTTTTCTTTTGTATTTTGTAATTATTGTTTGTAAAATGGATAAGAATGGAAGCAGAACGAGGATAAATCTGGATAATTATTACCTATCAACATATCTGCATAATCTACTCTTCTTTATATTTATCTTTTAAGATAAGTCTTTTTATTAGAAATTTCAAGGATTATCATCTTAAAACTAGTCTGAATCCCACCCAGCGAAGGGAAGTTTCTCATCATCAATAACAAAGGTCATCCCTTAATCTTACTTGTACCAAAAAAGAGAGTAAAAAATATTGAATAATTTGATTTAGTTGATAGTCAATTACAAAGTGATAGTTTTTAAAATTGTGCACAAATTCCCATTGATTTTTTTTACGGAGTTCCATGCACCAATTTTATTGGAAGTTCAAAGTAATTCTCTAGCAAGAAAACATAAAAGTAAATGCTAATGACAATCGCTCACATTACATGAATAATTGACGGTTGTTCAGACACGTATTATTCTAATAAAAAACTTTAAAACTGACTGAAAAGATTATAAAAAATCGAAAACTTCAAGAACAACATAGATTATATTATAAATCAATCCGAACCCTATGACACAACTTAACTAGCAACATTGGGAAGCCCCATAATCTACAAACATCCACTCAATGGCTAGTGCAGTGCATCAAACACTTCAAACATGCCATCACAGAGCAGATTAACTCTTTTCCTGCGCTAAACTTCCCTACCACAAGGGGCCTAAAAAGCCAACATACAAGCAATGTACCTAGAAACAACAACAAAAGTCACTCCTAAATTTAAACTGTAGCTTAATTAGCAAACCACAACAAGATTGCTACTACTGTGTTTTGCCTAGCAACAACATCTAAAGACAGAGAGAGGATAGATAATAACGCAACATAGATCAGGAAGCTCCTGCTGAAGCTACAACTTTATAGTTTTACATGTTTTTTTTAGCAACGATGCCTGTGTCCTCTGGTTTTGTCAAGCACCCTCTTTCCATAGAGATGGCTGTGAAGATAAGGGTAATGGCTCCGAACGAGTTGCACAAGAGCATTATGAGCAGCTCCCTGCTTTGACACAAGGAACAAAAAATTAGGTTATGACATATGCAATAGAGCTAAGGGCAGATGGGTTTAGATCTTGGAAATTTGAACAAATTTCCAAATCTCCAGGATTCAGTTTGGTCACAGAATAAAGTTTGAAATTTGTACCAAAGTAGTATGTTATGTGTGTCCAACTATCAACAAAGGAGGTTCAAGAAACCAAAGAATTTTTTTACGCGGATGAACTATTTCTTGCTAGTGGATACTCGTGAGATGTTGCTCTGTATGACATAAGTAGTGGAAGACGCTTGCTTGCAGGTGTTTACTGATATGTGCCCCCAAACTCTTCTTGTGGATTAGTTAGAATGGCAGTATCTTTTTTTTTTTTTTTTTTTTTTTTTTAGTATATATAGTTTTAGTTCTCGTTTTTATTATTATTATGTAATTTAAACATATAGTTTCTCACAATTTTCCTTGCACCCAGGAATTCAACATGAGTATCTTGGCAGCCTATATGCGTCCTCGCTCGAGGTCTCTGAAAGTTTCATGGTAGGAGTCATGCTTCTGGAGTTATGCTATTAAAAAATGTCATCATGTGAGACGCTAAAGTTTTCTGGGTGCAACATTGCAGGTCAATATGATAGCATCTATTGACTATGCCAAGGAACACCTTGATGGTCAGCAATCTATAGAATTTTATACAGAAACACTACAACCCTGGCATTCCATTTAACCTGTCTGATTTTGGCTTCTTTAGCTTGAGTTAACCTGCAAGATCCTTTGCAAAGGACCTTTTTGCCTTGTTTTTATAAATAATCTGCTTTGCTTTGTACCTATGGCATTTTGTCTTGTTTTAGTGTACTTTTTATGGATGATGAATTTGGAGTTACTCTTCCTTATTTTTCTGATGCAGACATCCAACTCCGCTTATTAAAACATGGCTTATCGTCCAGTCGTGTATTAATTGGTCAGGCAGGTTGCGGACGTTTATTAGATGGCCATTGATGCATTGTGAGTTCTAAAGGAAAAACCCTAATTACAATCTCACTTAGATAACTATTTGATTATGTAGGTTTTTGAGTGTGTTTTGCGTTTGTAGTTGCACTTAAAAATACTCTACACACTTATAACACAAAGCTACTTGGCACATACGGCCAAAACGAGGTGCAGAAACCGTGTGTGGATGGACACACTTACCTGAACCATGGCTCAGTTTCACCGGCTCACTAAATTTGCCAATAGTTTCACTCCAGTTGTAAGTACCTTTGCCAAAATTTATTCAATGACCACAACTGTCCACGTACTATATCGTCTAACAAACATACTAGATTTTTTAGGCACACAAATTTTGAAGTTTTTATTACTTTTATTATTTTTAAAATATAATCGATATTGGAAAGAGGAAATCGAACATATGACCCTATATATATTTATGATCAATTCCATCAGTCTCCCTTTAAGGTTTAGCCGATCTTAAAATCTAATAGTCAAATAAGATAAATTTAACCCACCTCATTTTGAAATCCTGAGTCTATCCTTCACACTATAAATATCATACCATACCAAAGCTTGAGCTCTCACAATCCTCCACACTCCCTCAAGTAACCTGCTCAACTGTGACGTTTCCTTTGTTATTAACACTTTAGGCAAAAGCAAAAGCAGAAGATGAAGCTCTACTTTCCACTTCTTCTTCTTCTTCTCTGTTTTATTCTTCTTAGCTCCTCTTTGATGGATCCAGCCCCGGCTCAAGCTAAATCAGGTAATCAAATCCATACCTTTTGACCTTACTTATTTTGCTGTACATTGTTTTTTAATTTTTCCTTTTTGCTGGATAATTAACCATGCTAATTATACATTAAACATGGTATAAAATAACAAGTCTAAATGTGCAGGAGATTGCTGTGACAATTGCTCAAAGATGTGTGAAGCAGAAGCAGTTCAAGATCCATGCATCAAGTATGAAGAATGCAAGTGTGTGCCTTCTGGCACTTATGGCAACAAGCAGTGCCCTTGTTACAAGGACAAGAAGGGCAAGCCCAAGTGTCATAGAACTGAACAATTATTCTTCCTGACAATTTGGATTAACATGGTAGAAAATGAAAATGCTAATTTTGTATTGCAGGATATTGCAGTGACGAGTGTTCAACGAGGTGTGCAGTAGCAGGAGTCCAAGATCGATGCATTGAGTATTGTGGGATATGCTCTGAAGAGTGCAAGTGTGTGCCTTCTGGGAATTATGGCAACAAGCATGAATGCCCTTGCAACAAGAACAAGAAGGGCAAGCACAAGTGCCCTTGAACTGAACAATTATTTTGCCTGACAATTTTGATTAACATGGTAGAAAATGAAAATTTTAATTTTTCATTGCAGGATATTGTAGTGACAAGTGCTCAACGAGGTGTGTAGTAGAAGAAGTTCAAGATCGATGCATCAAGTACTGTGGGATATGTTGCCGAGATATCCTAGTCTTATTAGGATATTTCTTTCTTATTCTATTAGGATTTTATTTGTTTCCTTTTTATAAAGATATTATGTAATTAGGTATTAGGATTTTATTTGTTTCCTTTTTATAAAGATATTATGTAATTAGGACTTTTCTTATTTCCTAGTATAACCCTACTAGGGTTTGTAACCTTGTATTATAAATACCTCATTTCGGAGAATGAAATATATCTGAAATATTCTACCCATATTGTTTAACTTGGTATCAGAGCCAGGTTTCTGGTGACCTGTGTGTATTGTGCCC